TATTAAATTCTTTACGGATAGTTAGACTCTCTATCTCTCGTGGTTTCCGATTCTCCCATAATATCTGCTTACTCCACTCCCCCCCCCCCCCCCGAAGTCTCGTCTCTATTTTCTATCTTTTTTTTTTTTATTTATATTCCAGGGTGAAAGCGAAGTGTCGCAGTGGGAGCAAGAGCGGGGTCACCCCTCGGCCAGAATGGAAGGATATCGTGTGTTTTACAAACGGCCACCGGTGCCATCGACCATTCGCAACAGATGCAAGAATATGCGCCCCCCTACCTTGCCAACCCCCTTCTTCTTTTTTTCTCTCTCTCTCTCTCTCTCTCTCTCTCTTGCCTTCGTCTTTTTTTTTGCACGGGGCTGCGTCCCCAGAGACGCGCGATTCCTCCAGAGGGATGACGAACTCGACCGGTTAACTAGAGTATTGTTCGATTATTATTTCGGTACATATCGCGCACTTGTTGTCTCTTTGTGCGGTCATATGGTGGTCAGAGGGTGGTTTCGTCTCCCGATGATGACGGGTCTGTCGACGAACAACGCCCCGATGAGATGCACACCAACCGATAGCAAACATTCGATTGTTTATCGTACTTCTTTTCTATTTTTTCTTTTCCGAGTAGAATCGATACGATCTCTAAATATAGTATATCAACTGTACTGGAGCAGACTGAGCGTACATTTGAGATTTCAACTCTAGATGATGGATATAGAGTAAATTTTCGATAAGAAGGTTCCTCGGCGCTGACAAGGACGGGTCCCCAGGTTTAATGCTGATTTTTTAATGAGGTTCAGCACAGTGGTAGACCTTGGAATTCTGAAGCCAATGATAGTTCTTCCAGTCGCATATGACCAGTAGTTTATGAAAAATTTAATTGTATGTGCCGAGGAGCCTTCGAACATTCATCCAACATTTATTGTACTTTCAAATGGATTTTGAATATTTATGCGAATATAGATTTTTATGGAGTAATCTACACGGTTTTTGAATTTTCAATTAGTCTATTTTTCGTAGTATCTGATTGTTTCTACACGTTCACCTGTTCTTCGAAGTATTCGACGAAGTTACCTGTAACCGTGGGGTCGCAGGTTCACGCAGGTTGCGTAGAGGGAAGCTCATGGACCCCCCCTAACTGTTCGATCGCACGAGGGTCGTAGAATAGAACAACGCCCCTATATTCGACTACCCTTAGTGAAAATTTCATCGACACTCCCTGGTCGTCAAAAAAAGAGTAGGATCACCCCCCAATGACCGCAGACGACGCTTCTCGACAGTCATTATCCTTCCATTACCGTTTCAGGTTTTGAAACACACTCGCGAGAGAGCTTTTCCCGATGGAAATCGCAGACGTGAAAACGAGGGAAAGGAACGACCGTTCGAACAGAAAAAAAGTACATGGATCCTACACACAGGAGTCGATGCAAGGGGAATCTTCGTTCGAGGATTCAGAGATAAATAATACAAGGGAACAGGTATGATGCTCGTAATTCCAATTTCATTTCGTAAACCGATTCTCCCTCACCCTATACGAATCTCCATTTTTCAGTATTTCGGTCTCCAGGAGCTATGCAGGGTGATACGAAAAAAAAAAAAGGATTTATAACATCTGGGATATAGATAGTACACGCACAGAAAAATTAATATTTTCAAAGTGATGAACAACTTTTTCTTTCGCTTCGGGAGCTATCGTACCGCACAGAATTATCCTTTCATTGTCTCCTGATCACAGAAGGTTTTCCACAATTTTAATACCTCTTTTTACAATTTCTTTCCGTACGCTACTTACACAACACAACTTATTATTAAAATATTAATATTTCAACGCATCTGTATAATTACATTTTTCGTAATTTCGCAATTACTATCTACCCCAGAAGTAACGACCCCCTTTCTGTACACCCACCGATTTCTAAAGCTTGATTCTCGTTCGCCAGAGTGGCTTCCGGTTCGGACCGTGAACGCCTAATTTCGAGCGGACAAGTGGCAAGAGCCAGAAGCTCGAGCCGGGACGAGCTCGAAGAAAGAAGTAAGATAGGAAAAGAACGGTACGAGGAGAAGGAGGACAATGATCTTCGAAAACGCACGGAGAAACATCTGCTCCCTGGATCACGGCATGTCCCTACTTCAATGAGTCGATCGCGTCGTGAAACTTGTCCCACCTCGGCCGTGCGCATAGGTATTCATTATCTTCGTCTTCTTTCCCGCACACACACGCTCGATCCGTCCCCCCACCTCCTCCTCCTCCTCCTACCACTGTGTCTCGCGGATCTTTTTTGGTCCACGAAACATCTGCGGCAGCTGCGAGGCGGTGGCCTGCCGCAGGACTCGAGGAACGAGGCAGGTGCTCACCTTCGAGGAAGCTTCCCCCCTCCCCTCCCTCCTCGCCCCCTGGCCACGCTGCCAATTACGCGTGCCTCTTTGCTGCCCTTTCTCCCTAAGAGCCACGCTCTCCGATGCTTTTTAATCTTTCTTTCTCTCGTCGTCTTCGCCTCTCCCTCGTCCCTACAACATCACGCTTCTAATCTTCACGCGCTAGGCATTTCGACACTCTTCATGTGAAACTGAACTGTACACTTTACCCCGTGGCGGACAACACGCGAGTGGACATAATGAAACGGGAACTGTGAGGAAGAATGATGTTGGAAGTAGTATTTGATTCTAGGTTTTTGTAGGGTGAGACTGCGAATGTTGGTCTCTGTATATCTTCGGAGGGCAGTTAACCCTACGTGGCAGAGTTGGGCGGAATTTTATAATAAATATTGAAACGGAACGGTATTTAAGATCGTCATCCTGACGTTGTAACAGATTACGAGATTGAATAATTGTTTCCTATGTGTCTATTCGTTCGAGAAGAAATGTTATTTTAGTATGAAAATTGGACTTACCATGTTTAATAAATGGCGAAATACTTTTTAGCTTTGATTTATTATTCGAAACTCTTCATCTAAACAATGAATTTAGGGTCGCCTGTGTCCAAACCTAATTTGTCTACTGACTCAAGATTTCCAGAAATCTGACAAAATTCCAGGATATTTATCAAAATCCCAACTACGTTGTACAATCCTTCATTAAATCGAACATACAAAATTATTTTCAGTAAAAAATGGTGTTCGCTTGATCTTCGACGACCCATATTGCCTCACGATGGTGCCCCATAAATGGTACCCATTTTTAAGAGGAACCAAAAAATACGAGTCGATGAACGAAGATAACACAAATAACGATGGAACTGGAACTGGCACAGTTCCACTCCAAATGACCATTTCACCAACAGAGCCCCCGGAAGGTTTACCTAAAATTCGTCTGTAAAGTCCTAAAGTATTTCCAGAGAGGTAAGATTAATTTAGATCTCAATAAAGTAAAAAACTGTGGTATATATCATTCAGATTAAAAATTCCCCTGCACGATATAATAATAACTGCGCTTTCAATGTTTTAGAGTCGCATATCGTCCTTTTCTCCACTTGGATACATCCGGCCTATACGATGTTGGGACGAACAGAGGTGGTCAGAGGCAAGCCGGTCGGTCGAGCTCTTTTTCTTTCATTTTTCTCTCGCGATATTTGAAGCACGGGCGCACGGTGATCGGGGCACGTGCACGAGCCGAGCAGTCGGAGCCGCGGGCGTTTCTCGTCGGAAAGAGGAGCCTTTTCTCCGCCGTATTGGATCATCGCGAGATCATCGGTCCCGTACCTCGGCGCTCCGCCGACAATTACAGACCCGTTCGATGCCTCCATGAACTAATAATACAGACGCGGAACACCGACGAAAGTATCCTGGTAACCAGTCATGTAAAACTTTCGAGTAAATTGCCAGCAATATATGACAAAAGTTGTCTAAAAAGCCATAGTCATCTGTTTCCACGTTTGACTTCCGTTTTGCAGGCAACGCCAGTTGTCAAAATGGTAAAGCAAATTGGCAGCAAGTCTTGCAACATGACCTATGTCAAATTGAAGGCAAAACCGAAACAAGGTTTGAGACCAATTTGCTGCCTATCTGCGCGCAAAGTGTTTATAACCAGGGCTTGAAAACTGTTATGATTTCGGTTTAGGTTCTTGAAACAGTTATTTTCGGAACAGTTTCAAGCCCTGTTTATAATAAATCTTGCATAAAACTTGTCATAACTTTATAACAGATACTGGACACAATTTAGCTTTGCAGGTTGGCTAACTGGATGTATGATAATACCACGAAAATCTCGAACCACGGATAAACGATTATTCTCTCCTATGTTATTCGTTGACCCAAGATAAGGATGTTTGTAAACTTAGGAATACACACGGTTGCGCTCTATCGCATTGCACTCTCGGGTGTATACAGCGTAGGTACACTTTTCCTTAAGTATTTATCAGTATCGTGTCCTGTTTGCGTTGCACGATACCCGGTGGTTTGCTACACCTTTTGTACGTATCATCTGCTTCGCCTCGACCCACCCTGCCTAACGTTCAACTCAGTTATTCTAACTTCCTCGAGAAACGAATATCCAAATGTATTTGTCTTTTGCACGGAGGAGTCGCTGTGTTCGTGGATACTCGACCGAATAGGAGAGCAAAAATGGTTAAGGAACATCCAGAAACCTCGCACGGCCTAATCGACCTCCGTATCTGGCAGCTGCTACCTCGAGACAGCGTAATCTCGACCGTTCTTCCCGTTCGACGTTCATGATGATTTATTTTTTTTTTTTCTTCGAACCTCGAGTAGGTACACTGACGTGGAAATTAAAAAAAAAATCTTAACTGAGAAAAGCATCCTACAACTTGGTATGGGAATCACTGAAATTTATGCCAATTTAACAGTCGATTTTAACATTTATTTCAGTACTTGAAATAAATTTACCAAATGGTAGGAGGCCCTTATTCCCTATACCGTTTTTTCCCCCAACGGAAGCCGAGTTTGCTCGTGAGTGTACTGTTAAAACCGACTTGTAATCTTTATGTAGAGATTTCTATCAATTGAAAACATTCTGCTATCGATAATTAATATTGTTTTTCAGGATAACTTACCCATAGAGCATCGCTGCGCCGGCTATTCCACCTCCGCATTGTGCAGCGACGTAGAGAGCAGCGCGGAGCAGAGAAATCCGTCGGCAGAGAGCGAAAGACACCGAGACAGCTGGATTCACGTGGCCACCTGCGCGTCCAAAAGCGTTTTATGGTTTTATTGCCGGTTCACGAATTCCGAGGGATTAGAGTGGGGCAATGACTTTCCAGCCCCGGAATATATACGTAAAACACATACATAAATATATAATATTCGTAAATTCTAATTCTAGATCCGATCTAAGGTAAATTAATAGATTTTTTACAGTGACTCACGAATGCGTTCACATAAAATAACAATTAAGTCTAAAAATCTATATGCAATTTCTATTTATATATACTTTTATCATCCTGTGACAAATTTTGTCGAATTCTGAAATAAATTTCACATTTTTGTGCATGATTTGGTCATACAGAAATGACAGGTCTTTCGCGAACAAACACCTGTGAGTCACTATATCTAAAACCACTAAAAAATCTCTTAATAGTCTACCAGTTGGTAAAATATTAAATATCAAAGTTTTAATAACTCTATTTTATAATTAACTCTATTTTCTTATGCTTTGTCCCCTGTGCAATGTAATCTACAAATGCATAAAATTCGCAGTCTAATTATTCCCGCTAAGCCGATTACTCCGTAATACGAAGTGATTCTTGGATAATATATACGTATGGATAGGCGACAAGATTAAATGTCGCTGGTTAGAGCTACCCAAACACGGATCACGATCAACTTCCAGACGCAAACGCGTGCTCCTATTCGTTTGTCGAGAGTATTCTCGCCGTGCTGAACTAATGTACGCGATCGTGTTTCGCTTAGACGGCAACGAGGAACATTAAACACACGACTGTGTGTGTGTGTGTGCAAATGTATTTGTCGAGGGCTTTTCATTGATTCTTGCCGCCTAAGCTACGTACATACAGTGAGAGTCAAAAGTGAGTATACACTTTGAAAGTATAGGATTTGTTCATATTGATTTCTCTCATATTGAAAGTGTTGTCCAGCAAACAATTTTTAACAACCTTTGCTGTATATTTTGGGCCACGATCTTACTAAAAGACCCATGAATACATCTGCAGCTGAACTTGATTTTAAAGAGCCCCAAACTATAATAGTAAATTCACCATGTTGAAAAATTTTGTGGTCACAGCTTCGAATTTTTCGCCTGCCTATTCATCCCGAAAATGTTAAGAAAATCGTATCAAATTATATCACTGCCATGATCTTACAATAGTAGGATGCTACAGAAGTATTATACAAACTTCACCTTTGTAAGGTGTATACTTAATTGTGACTATAACTGTATATTGGCGAGCCAGAAACAGCAGAATCGGTTAACGAGCCAATCGAGAGGAACTATGAGGGTTAGCTGTAAACGCGACGAGGAGCGATATCTCCGCGCGACGTTTCCACCAGAAGACTCGCGCGGCTCTGGCACAGTTAACGGGACACTCGCAGCAAAATGTTACTCTCCTAATTGACCTTCTCCATTCTTTATCACGAAATCGAAAGCAATTCCAAGCGAACGTAAACAAAGATCGACAACTTAAGGATTAAATAACGATCCCTTCTGGTATTTTATGTTTTACATACCCTCCCCATCTCGTTCGGGTTGTTCGTTTATTCTGTTTAATTTCCTGATAAAGAATGGTCCCCGTTTGATAGTAGAAACAAAGTAATTCTCACCACTGATGTGCCCAAAGATGAGAGAAATCGCAGCAATAGCGAATCCAGATGCGACAGCAGTTGCCAAGATAGACAGTCCGCTACCAGAGACTGCGGAGGACGCAGCCGCGCCGGAAACCACCAGACTGAACAGAAATGTCGCGAAACACTCGACGGCGACCGCTCTCCAGAGTTCCAAACTGCGTGCCTCGATCGACACCGATGGTTTCCGTTCAATCAGCTCCGGGTTATTCTCCTTCAGCGCGGAGATCCTCGTGAGCAGGGTCACGATGTGCGCGTCCACTTCGCGCGACAGCGTTTCCGTCGTCATTGTTTATCGAACGTGCGTAAAAATAATTTCAACGAAAACTTTAGTAACTTTGTAAAAATCTGATTCGAAACTTTTGTTACTCAGCAGCTGCTTAGAGCATTCTTTCAGCTGTACGTCACTGGCCCGCGTTGCACCTCTTGTGGACCGTGCGAAATGCCCCCGGAGACACTCGAATGGACCTTACGGATACAGTAAACACTTCCCCACGTGTCTGTCTTCCTGGTCCCAGTTGGAAAGATTCGGAAGAATTCGCGAGAAGATTGTTGCCGACGAACTTTTCGTATGTATATGAGAAATTGGTAATTTAAGGAATGGCACGATTGGAGGAGCTAACGTGTGGACGACGAGGACCGATGTTGTCGGAATGGCAACGCGCTCTCGAGTGTCAAGCCCGACCTTTCGACGAAACAAGTGGGCCCCGGAGTAAGCGAGCAGCAGCAGCTCCACCACCGCACCGCCCCCACCCTTCGACCACTGGCAACCGGTGCATCTGTGCCTGCACTCGAGGAACTCGACCACGTGTCGGGGATGGATCGCCCTGCCCCGTCCCCTCCCCCACCCTGCCACCTTCAAAGGACTTCTTTCTGTCCATGGAAAACGAAATTGACAGGTATCGAAAGAGTGAAACAGCGGAGGGGCTAGTGGTCCTACAGTAATGACGGTAACATTTTATTATTGCAGATTGTCGGGTACCATTACGGGGATTTCCCTGTACGAACAATACCGAGGAAGATATACAGGGTGAACCACGAATCGTGATCAGTAGAGATTACTCTGTTATTAACAGACCGATCGAAAATGTTTTTATCAGGTATAGCATGGTTTCAAGAGAGCTTTAACGCGATTATAGCAAATTTTTTGTTTCAGCAACATTTCGCTTCGAGACAATAAAACATTGAAGGTTTTATTGGAAACTAACAGTTCTTCCTGTCTGGAATAGTAACAATACAGGGTAAATTACTCGGTTTAATATACTGTAAATGAGATGTCCGATGCAGTGGCTACTTGCGTTGTCGAACGACAACTGCGGAGACGTAATACGCGATAATTACATCCACGGTCTTATTCCCACGAGTTCAAAGACTATTTTAATGTCGAAGTTCCCATAAAAGAAGGGGGGATGTACGCACGACAGGACACGAACAACGAGCCTAATAGCGTCCATTTAAATCAACTTTCCGCGAACGTCGGAGACAAAGGCAGACGCCACGGGATGATCGAATTTAGGAGATTTTCATTTCTCAGCTACAGCTACAAATGTTTCATATCCCATCAGCCCCAAAAATGGTCAATATTATCCAATATATTCCAAGTATGTATACCGATCTAAAAAATTAATTTCAATTTTTATGGACAATTAAAATATATGAATTATTCAGATCTCCAATGGATTTTCCTGCATTGCTAAGTCACTCCTTTCAATTTTCCAGTTATCATCCTACGATTGCTACTGTTATTATATTCTGGACGCTGGAAACCGACCCCGCTGCGTCGAGCGTGACGATTCCAAGCGGATAGCGCGTAATTAAACTCGGCCCGGTTCTTTACTGGGACTGTACTGCCATGTAAGTAAAGTCGAGCGGGGAACACGGCTAATAAATCCAGCAATTGCTGTAAATTGAAGAACTCACACGAGGGGGGGGGAGGACCGACGCGATGAAAAAAAAAAAAACATTTCACTTTGTTCTTCCGCTGGCTGGAGAAATTCTTAGGGACGTCGGAATATCGCGATGTCGAGCTTCTCTAAAACAACTGGTGTCATTCTTACTTCGCTTATTTGACCCTTGTTGTCTATTCGCAATATTCTCTGCCATAATCATTTGGAGATGCAAATATGAAGCTGATCGGTAACCAAATATGTTATAATAATCATTTATCTGGCTTTTAGTGGCTCACACTGAAAATCGTCCACTACATTCGCTCCTTATTCGCCGTTGCAAAATTAACTAAATACAAATAAAAAATGTCTATAATCAATATAGAAATATTTTTTACTTATTGTTATAAGAAAGGTCGATTTTCAGTCTGAGCCACTGTATGTATGCACATGTGTGTTCGTATTAAGCGAAGCATTACAGTGAAATTGTTGCGATGAGCGTCACTGATCTAATCTTTTTCAGGTAAAATCACTTCGCGATAAGCGTGACCGTTACACGAGCCAAGTAATCTCCGTTAGAATGCTCCGAGTGAAACAGAAGTAGTCGTCACGATTTTCATACACGTTGTCGTCGTGTGGTGTTTCTTGAAAGGAAGATCATTTACAGTTAAAGGTGAACATTTTCCTTATTTCTTTGTCCACGTATTCTACTCGATCAATCGATGCAGAGCCTTTAATGAAAGTTTAATTATATTCATAATTTGTTCTCACCCGATAGAACGACAGCACGTCGACTCATTCATTCACGCGACGGGCATACCTCGATGATCATAGGGGCTCGTAGATCACGCTCCTCGATCATTCCTGCGAGTACTTGGTGTGTGGGCGAACGATCGCAGCGCGTATTTGCGCTCGAGTACAACATTGCCCGTTCAGTGGTCTCCGGACACTGGACCGAGCAACGTTAATATACCATAAACCATTTTCACTCCCATTCTAGCTCGTTTTAAAATGTTGCCTCGAGTTGTTTCACGAAAACGAACCAGATCGAGTGTACATCGACAGGAGTATTGATCCGTCAACTCAGTGATCGGTAAGTAACCGATGGACCTTCGAGTGTATAATTTATTAATTTCCACAATCGGTTTCTAGTAATCTATCTCGTTCGAAATGTTCAAATATTCCGCGCAGAAAATGATTCTCCGTGTTCGGATGGTTCAAGAAGCGGAATAATAACGATCGTTTTCGAACGTGACGGGCCCAAAGGGTGTTGGCCCATGCCGCGTGCTGTTCGTGACTATCGTCGATTTCGTAACGACACGCGAGTACCGTTCAACGTTCTCTTTATCGTGAAGCTCTGTATACCTATGTGGAACCGTTTCATCCTCTAGCGTACAACACCGTGTGTATACTATACCTACTACTCAATGAATGTACGTACGTACGCCTAGTTGTAAGATTTTACTTTCGTAGTGCCTTTCCCTTTTTCCCGGCTCCTCTTATGGGTTTCCTGTTAGGACCGAGTTCCCTGGTTTACAATCATGTGTGTATATATATGTGGGATGTGTCACACGTATATTACCTGCGTGTTCTGCTACCACCACACGAGCAACCATACCTGTCTCACTCTCTCCCTGGTTGCAGTGAAACGCCAGTCGACGGCAGAGCATAGCACGCGGCGGTAAGATGGCCGTGTACAGACTGTCCAGGACACTTGGTAGCGTCTGCTTTCCTCTGTGTTTCCTTGCGTTTACGGTATTGTGTCAGGAACAAATATCGTCTGGTAATCGGTACTATGGCCGTGACGGTGTCTATGTGCCACCAAATGGGCCCGATCGCCGGACCGACACATATATTTACAAGGATAGACGGTACGGTTACCGTCCCAGTTACCTGGACCCTGTTTACAAAGGACCCACCAAATCTCCGGAGGATCGATACCATTACGAGGTAAGCCGAACAACGTGTAAGAAAAACCGATGAATGGGGTGAAGATCTGAATAGTTTTCTCTGTAAACATTCCGTCGTTTCTCTTAAAAATCAATGACGTTATTGTAACGTTCGCTCACAGCTAAGTGTACTGGGTCACTCCCATAAGCGATGCAAAACTTTCATTGGAACAAATATACCGGGTGATCCGAAAGGGTTGGATTTCTGTGATCTTGATTATAAATAATGTGCTTTTACAGGATGGTAGTGCGGAGATGTTGAATTACTTTAGAGATACAAATAATTAAAGAGATGCTAAGTTTTGGATTAATACTGACGCTATAATCATAGGAGTAGAGATAGTTTAAGTGGCAGTTAGTGTTTTTGTTGCTGGCATTTTTTTTACAGAATTTATTATTGTTTTTAAGGATACTACTTCAAGATTACCTTTGCCTGGAATATTAGGCGGATGGCGGGAGGATCTTCAAGGAAGAGAACGGTCTGATTCCAAAAACTTGGAAAGAGATATCACTGTCACTACCACCTATGGACAAGTGCAAGGTTTTAAAGTTTACTTGTACGACGATCCACAAGCAAGACACAGACCTTGGAGTTTACCGGTTGAAAGAGTGACAAAATATGTGAACGTATTTTTGGGTATTCCCTATGCTATGCCACCTATAAGGGAGGGCCGTTTTAAGCCTCCTAGACCGCACAGGGGTTGGCAAGTGTTACAAGCTGTTGACTGGGGACCAGCGTGTCCTCAACCGAGTGCATATACCGGTGCCACTAAAGGAGTTAGAGATGTAGACGAAGATTGTTTGTATTTAAATATTTTCACACCCAATATCGGGTCTGGACTAGCTCAACCGTATGCTGTAATGTTCTATATTCATGGTGGAGAGTTTGCTCATGGAGCTAGTAACTTATTTCCTGCTCATATGCTGGCTGCATTTTACAATGTAGTAGTTGTATCTATTAACTATCGATTGGGGGCATTGGGATTTCTAAGTACAGGGGATGAGAACAGCCCTGGAAACTATGGGATTTTGGATCAAGCAATGGCACTACGATGGGTGTACGATAATATTAGAGCTTTCAATGGTAATCCCGATGCAATAACACTTTTTGGTCCAGGTGCTGGTGCAGCAAGTGCTGGTTTATTAATGGTTGCACCCAGAACTAGAGAAATGGTATCGAAAGTGATAGCTCAGTCGGGTTCCGCGTTAGCAGACTGGGCAGTTATCATAGACAAGTATAGAGCGCAGAATACTTCCCGAGTATATGCTGAAATGTTAGGTTGCAGCATAGAAAGTAGTTGGAAGTTAATTCAGTGTTTAAAGGATGGTCGAAGTTTCCTTGAACTGGGTAACTCTGAATTGAAACCACATGTTGGGATGTTCCCATGGGCACCTGTGTTTGATGTGAATTTTACTGTACCGAGCGATAATTTATACGAAGACTGGAGAGCATCTGATTGGCGCTTCTTCACAGAAATACCCGAAGACGCTATTAAAAATCATAGATTCAAAAATAATTTGGCATATATGGCTGGTGTAACTACTCAAGAAGCAGCTTATCTAATATGTAAGTAAAGTATGATTTACTCTATTGAGTATGTAATATAATAATATTTTTATATTCCAGATAATAATGCCACATTGGCAAGGAATCAGTACATAGTAGATTCGCAATTATTCGACCAAAAGATCTGGGAACTTGTTCTTCAGTATAACTACACTCTCAATCCTCAAGGCGTTTATGAAGCCATAAAATATATGTACACGTACTGGCCAGATCCAAAAAATATTACGCACATTCGCGATCAATACATCAGTGTAAGTTAAACGTACTGCAGTTGTAAATGCTTACTTTACTATTATAGAAAGGAATTAATCATATTATGTGTGCAGCTGCTGACTGATTTCCATTATGTGGCTCCGTTCGACAAAATTGCAAAGCTCTTAGTGGAGAAACATGTGCCTACTTATTTATATGTATTGAACACAACTGTGGAAACCCTGAAATTACCACACTGGCGAAGAGTGCCTCACAATGCTGAACTTCTTTGGCTCACAGGAGCACCTTTCATGGATGTCGGTGGGTATACAATATCTTAAAATATTTGTAAAAGATTCTGTAATAAGAAAGTGCAATTTTATAGAATTCTTCCCTCAGAAATGGAAACTAAAACGAGATATGTGGACTGATAATGATCGCAATATGAGTCACTTCTTCATGAAAGCGTATTCAAATTTTGCAACGTATGGGTACGTTTAGCTATATCATAGAGACAACCATTTTTTTAGGTTTTAGCATACAGTACAGATCACACTACTCTTTTCCAGAAATCCTACACCTTCCCAAATTTTGGGCTTGCATATGGACGTTGCCAAGCAGGGGCAATTACGATACCTGAACATCAATACAACCTACAACAGTTCAATTTTATTGAATTACAGACAAACGGAAAGCGCTTTTTGGTCCTCTTATCTGCCGACCGTTATTGGTCGCTTAGTGCCTACGTATCCCCCAGTCACCGAAGTAAGATCACTACCTTGCATATTTCTCTAGATCCGGGGCATATTTATTTATCCGTTTCTACTTCATTTGCAGTATTGGTGGGAGCCGAAGCAACCCTTACAGATTGCATTTTGGTCAGTTTCTACGGCCTGTCTGCTCTTAATCGTGCTCTCTGTAGTGTGCTGTATGCTTTGGCGTAACGCCAAAAGGTAAGAAAAGGTAAACAGAACCAAACCCATATGACTACGTATACTCCAGATTGGTTGGGCTTGCTATAACTGTAGCGCATGCGGGATATGGTTCTGGTTTTACACCTGTTCAAACTATATTCGGTTAATGTCGGTTTAACACTCATAGAATGCCATCGATTAATTTTATCGTTACTTGCAATTCATGCAGCAAAACTAAGGCTGCCAGATCATACGCAGGTAAACTATAACACTACTCATTCATGCTGTGTTTAAACACTTTGTACGTAGTTTCTATGGTTTCACGATGATTCTTTCCTATCGGTAAGACTGTAATTAATATTCTTATCGCAGTGTCATTTTACCATTCAGATTTTTTAATATTTATCCGAAGCAGATACATGTACAGTCCTTTTTACGATGACTCTTCCAGACAATCTGATCACTACTATAGCGGGGACATCCTGATGGTACGAGACGACGAACCCTCGGAGGGAATCGAGAATCTGACTCGTGCCTCCAAGGAGAACGTTTACGAGTACCGAGACGCACCGCCACTCAGAGCAAGAATATCACGACAGAATGAGGGGAAACTTCAGGAACGTTTGGCGCACAACCGGAAGTTCAGCTCGACTCCATCGCTCAGAAGTAACTCCAATATTTCATTAAAAGATATGCGCACCGAAGGATTCGTTACCAGTTCACCGAACGGGCAGCCTAAGCTGAATAAAGCGATGAGTCAGTCCTCGTTGCGGAAAAGTAGGACTCAGCTTGTCCAAGGTGTTCCACAGACAGCTGTATAAATCTTGATTGTGTACCTTTATCCACGATTTTCTTATTTATTGTAGACAAAGACACACCGAGAACAATTTAATGATTTCTAGCAAAGAAAAGATCTACAGTAATGTCTCGATGAGTGCGACATATTCGAGTCGATTTCGGAGCATTCGTGGCAAAACTGAAAGATTTTCAGCCCATCATAAATTTATTCTTTGCCCCAACTCGAGACTCTGCTTAGATTCTATTTACTCTATTTTGATTGGTTCCACAAGGAGATTCACCAGTGGCGGGAATAACGCCGTTGCTCGTGTCGCATTCATTGAGGGATCACTGTAGTTAGCATTATCGCGGAACGATGAGTTATATTTCACGCACAAGAGATACCGCCAACGATAAATTTCGAGGTTAAAAATAAGGAATGTTCCAACGACTGAATTTGAATAATATTCTACGGTTCGGCTAAACATTTTATCCGTCCATAAATACGTCATTGTTATATGTATTTAGAAATTCATATTTTTGTAGTGTATATATATATATATATCGTTACTTTATACGTTTTTTTTTTATACTGATTTTAGCTTTATAAGAATCAATGTTGTGCCTTGTAGGATATGTCAGTAATTTTCGAAGAGAACAACACACGTTATAATAGTAATATATTTTATAATAGTACAAGTCACCGACAAAATCACGTCAATGGAATATATGCATTTTTCTATCTCTTTTTTACCATAAAAGAGGCAGCTATATTATATATATAAACAATATATTCACACGTGGCTACGTTTGTAGTATTATTAGAGAACCACGCGTAGTTGTAGTCAAACCGATCTCATTTTTTTTTTTTTTTTACCATTGTCACAATTTCATTTATATTCTAGTAATTCGCAGTATCAAATCACGAAGAGAGATATATATTATTATATCGTGCGAGAGAGAGAGATTTTATATATTTTCTATAATGTTTAAGATTATATTCCCGCGTTAAGAAAGTTCGAGAGCGTATAATATTAAATCACCAAAAGTGCGTATATCGAATGTATGGCAATCAAAGAAGCACCCCGTTAAGTATAATAAATTGTACAATTAAAGTACATTTTCGAAGCAAACTTTAGGCATTTAAAGAATAATCTTTGTTCGTTCATTGCGGCAATATTCATTATACACATATTGTTTGTTAAGCGTCGCGATGAACATTCGCTGTAAATATTAATGAAAATCTGAAATGAAGAGACATGGGACCAAAAAGGATTGAAGTAATAATCGACATTATGTATACGCGTGTGTACGTTACGTTTTTTTCGACAGCCTTGGTTCACTTGTAAACTTTGAAATAGAAACGTTCGGAGAAGGGAAAGGAACGGGTGGATCGCGAAGAACAAAGTAAATACAAGTTCGATCCACTTCGTTTAGAAGCGAAATATCCTGGTACAGCGATCTTGCTGTTGAAATGCCAGGAGCAACCTGTACTTTTAGCGGCGGCCGCTGCTCTTTCGAAATACGGCAGTAAATCAAAAGGGAATTTGGAAATCTTGTTCGATCTCGAGATCGTGGAAAGTGTGATCCCGTTGATTGAACACGAGGATCTATTCACGCGAAGGTTATTTAATTTAAGGACTTGAGTACACGTTGATTTTACGCGAAGTTAATCATTTTCATAAATGTTTAAATATTCCTTGACACGTCGCGTGGGGCACAGATTTGCAGCGAAATTACTAGCGGAAATGATAGGCATCCCGAATGTTCGGAATTTCTTGATGGACACCGGCTACTACATTCTTCATTTCACGAAGGTTCTCATCAACGACAAAGATTTGTTCATGCAGGAATTCTCCTCTTTGATATTGGCAGAAATATCGAACGATATGTTCGGAGCAGCACAATTATTAAAGGAGTGCCCGCACATGAATTTTTTGTTCGAAAGATTCCAATCACCTGACCCGGATGTTAAAAGGAACAACTTACAGATTATGTACAATATATTACAAGATCCTATCGGAGCAATAGCGATCATAAACACAAAGGTGTACTAGGATGACCAGTTGAACGACATATTTTGTAAAATTTCTTTAATCTTAGACGTACACGTTTGTGCTATTTCCATGATATTTAATATATACTTATTCTGTAACTTTCAGAATTTTAACCTGAACCTTATCTATGACCTCTATGACTCACCTTATCCCGAGATCCAAAGGCTTGCTCTAAAGATCGTGGCTGATTTGGTCAGCAGAAACCAAGATGATAGCATGCAGGATAATTTTAGAAGATCAAACGGTCTCCAAGCTTTGATGAAGTTTTTAGATGTAAGGATCCGGTTGCATGTGTCCTGTAACATTTAATGGGCGTACACTTGCATCAATTTAGAACGAAGAATGGCAAGATCTGCATGCAGAGGCACTTAGGATTCTTTGTTTGGCATCTGATAATCCTGTAACTGTGAACCTGCTGAAGGAAGCCCTTGATGTAGCTGTGCGCCTAGCATACACACCTTTGGGCAGAAAAGTAATACATATGTTATTCTATAAAGTCCAAGCTGCACAATGCCAATGGTTTGGGGATTGAAGTTTTTTTATTTAAATTCTACTATATCTGATTCAATACTCGTTTGCTCTGTAGGCACTCTACTCTTATGGTATTATAGATCATTTAGTGCACACGGTGCAGGGCAATATGCAAGCAAGCGTGTATGAGATCAGCTGCCATGGGATTGGTATGATGGCGTTATATGCTGAAGCTGCTAAAGAACTAACCGATAGCAATTGCATGAAGAATATTTTAGGTAGCTCAGATGCTAAAATTTTCCTTATAGTTACATTCCTAATTTACACACTTATTCCAGACATCCTGAAAACAGAGACTTTCAAGTGGACTGTTAGGCAAGCAGCCATGTTCGCTTTGACCCAGCTGCTTAAATGTGACATACAAAATTGTCATGATTTCTTGGACATTCAGGGACAAGTAACTTTATTAGTTTAAACTGCCTTAAATTCCTGGTTTCAACCTATGCCAGACATGTTAACAATCCTTTAGAATTACCTCATATGGCTGATGAAGCAAACTGTAGAGAAGGTGCCTATAGAGATCCTGATTGGGGCTGTCGAGTGCTTAACAACAATAGCAAAGAATCAGTCTTTACGAAGTTCCATTATTAGCACTGACGTGATTGATGTGATATGCACATCCTTCGAGGTAAACTTCCACATTTAACATTAACGCAGAGAATAATGAAACTTTTTGCATTAAAAGAAGTCAAATTTTTCTTTGTCAGCTGACGTGTCCTATAACGACCGATTACAAGATCGCCTGTTGCAATGCTCTTTCTGTACTGTGCATGGACAACGTTGGAAGATCCGCTTTTCTGAAGGTCCACGGGCCAAGCAGATTGTACAATCTATTATGCGACGTTCGGTCGATTCCAATAAGGAACGCAGCCGCTCAGATTGTTCAATTGTTATGCGTGGATCCGGTTCTGGCTGACGCTTTCGTGCAGGCCAGATATTTAAATTAGTAAGCCCCAGGATATATTTTTTAACGTACAAAAGAGAAATTCGCAATCGTTCAAATTGAACCGGTGAAAACCTGATGACCCAAGCATGCTGAACAACCGATCCACCGCGAGAGTTATCCCTTCCTGGGACACGTGCATAGGGGCGCTGTTCGACTCCCATCTGCCGATCAAGTTCGCTTTCACTGGACGACTTTCGCTGCACGACGTCACCAAAGATGGATTTTACGTACTCCGGAGGCACACCTGCCCGTAAGACGATCGATGAATTTTTTTTATAAAATATAACAATACGGATTACTTTGAAGCATCAAAGTTTCCTTAGACTGACAGTAGAACGATCTTGAAATGCATCTTCGACCGCAGATTTCCTATCCTGGAAGACATCTTCCGGTTCAAGTTCTGCCCACTGGAACCGGTTTACGTGGTGAACTGTGCTTCGCCTCACCGGTCCGAGTCGTCGGAACTGTTGCATCACTCGATCTTAGAAGGCAAGCACCTTGATTCTACCACGGTACAGGATCATCACGTGTCAGGCTCTTGATATTCTAGAAAATCTTAGTACCATCAGCGTCGAGGAAATCCACCGTAAGGGAGTATTTCTGTCGACGTACCTCGAGGCATTGGTGATGGACTCGAAGTTCGGTCGTCTGCAATGCGATCCATGTCTCCACGATTACATAGACCTGTTCAAATGCAAGCTGATCGCTGCAGAATCGAAATGCGTGTAGGTGTCCCCCTAATTGATACTCGAAACGTTTTCTTCCCTGCCAATCCCCCTGATTCCGTGTACACCTCTAACGCAGAACATCCGAGACGAGATCTGGCCTGGCGAACATTAGTTACGTGGCCATGCGTGCCACGATGCTGGCCAAATTCGTGGCCAGACAAATGTCCGGGCCGGATCAGCTGATCAGATGCGTGGACCATCAGCTGGATGTTCATTTGAAAGAGATCAAGGCCAACACAGAGACCAGCGTGATACCGTTAGGGATGCTGCGAGTCGGTTCTTACCTCGAACGAGCATTGCTGTTCAAAGTAATAGCGGACAGAGTGCATCTACCCGCTGCTTTGGTCAGGGGTGAATACGGGAAAGCCTGGATCGAGATAGCTGTGCCCGAAGTAACGACCAGTCGTCGATTTTCTTTCGCTAAAAAAATGTCGAATTAATCTCTGGTGCAGATGGGTTTCGCAATTGTCTCACATTCGAATGGTTTTCAGACTACCGGCCCGATCGAGGAAGCGTCGTTCGAGCATTACGCGAAGAGGAACTCCTGCCCAGAGTATGTTACGTTACAACCGACGCAGCTGTACACGTGCAAAGAAGATGATCCTAGTGTTGACGCGGTCTCCGTCGATCATCGTCGAACGGCGTTCCCTACAAAACTATTCAGGCCGAATTTCATCGTCGATTTGATGTACTCGCCCGGGGACTTGATCCCGATCGACAGCCGCCGGGCGAGATTGTACTGCAGGCAACAGCCGACCTGCCAGCGAGTTTGCCCTAACTGACACAAACTTACTTTCCGAACGGAGAAAAAGCTTTATTTCTATCTGGACGAGTATACACTACAATATCGGTCTACTGAACTATCGCTCGCACTCTCACGCACTCTTTGGACTGTTGAAGATCGAGGACGCCTTATATAAAATTACTCTGCGGTAAAAAAAATACAGTAACGTTATTTACACTCGTGGGCACGCTTGTACGCGGCCGAACGGAGCCAACGACCTCGAACGGTCGGAGTTCCATCGGTACGACGAAAAAAAAGGGAACGCATTTCCAGCGTTCGAATAAATTAGAGTCGGGCACACTCGGTGCGCCTGGTCGATGTAACAAAAAGAAACGGTTTCGTAGACTCGTGTACATCCGTGTGACACGAACTATTGCGACGAGACACGTCTTGACAGAGTCCTGACGTCCCCGAGTCTGACCACGCCGAAGAAGCTGTCGATCGCCTCGAGAACGGCTCCCCTTGGCGATTCCCCGGTCTCTTTAAGGGCCAACGAGTCGTTCTGTCGTAGAAGCGTCACTTGCGCCGAGAAGCATGTCTGGTCGATTTTCTTACAAGACCTCGACACCTGCAAGAGTAATTTTATTGTATCGGTAACATCGGACGGCAGGCAGGGAAAGGTTCTCAGGTCTTGACGCCAACTTCTTACTTCCCAGATAGCACATGACGGCTTGAAGACGCCCATTTTACGGCCATTTTAGATCTAAAACGCCTTTAAGCCGTCTGGGTTGTAAACCAAATTTATATTTGTTTCATAATTTCAAGCTCTAACGCTGCTGTAAATACCTCGAAGAGTTACTCGAGGACCTTTCCCTTATCGCGTGATAACCAAAGAAAGTATCGCTCACCGTGCACTTCAAGATCACCCGGTCGTTGACCTCCAAATTGAATCCAGCTTCGTGGACCGTGTCCACGTAATGGATTTGCGCGTAGACCAAGTACAGTCCGTCCTTGTTTATTACAAGACTACCGTCGTTTTGCATGTTGAAGTGCTGGCTCATCAGCTGGTCCACCCAATCGGTGGCCCTCCACGCGGTGAAGATCCGATCCTTGTGACAATGCCCCGTATCTGTAACGTTGCAGAGCCGACCGCATCTGTGGTTGCACTCGCTGACTCCCGGAAGCTCTCGGTCGGCGCTGTAATGCGCGGCAAAAACCTGCCTGGGCACGGTCAAATGTTTTCGCAGCCTTCGAGCCGATTTTCTCGGCTGGTGTTGCCCGTTGATCGAACCGTTCGTACGGTGTGTCTCGACCGACATGAAATCGTAACCGGCGTCTTGGGCCGAGACGGTGTAGTATTTCTTAGGGGGATGTCTGCCACGTGTGTCGATCGACCTGAAGTGGACGAAAGAAGCAGCTAAGTCACGTACATATTCTGGACCCAAGTGGATAACCATCCTGTTGCGAATTAATCGCCCGGGGGTTTTTATGTTAACCACGATCGTTGGCTTGCAACGGTATACAGTAAATCCTGAACCGCATATGACCATTACTGTACTGCGAAGAATACGTTGAATATAAATGTATAATAGGTAATTCAGATTTTTAGATATCTAGTGTTTTTAGAAATGAATTTAATTCATATAATTGCAAATTAATATTAATTTAATAATGTTTATTATATGTAATAGTAATAATATTCATATTATTTGTTTTTATAAAAATTATTTGATAATTTATATTTTATAAAATTTCGAAGGATGGTACGAGGAATGTGTGGAATATATACTTCTGAGGAAAAAGAATCTGACGAGTGGAGACTAAAGTAATTCTCTTACAACCCTTACAAATACTCTCCCGCTCGTAAGTATGAGGACACTTATCGAATATGCAGTAAATGTTATCAGTGGACTGCGGATTTTATGCATTTATAACACACACTACTCTCTCGAATTCACTATACTTAAGAGTTTAATCAATTTTAAAGATGTATGTATTCTTTTTGGAGTAAACAGATAAAAATATATATTTGCATAAACATCCGCAGTCAACTTATGATTGTAAACGTTAACTCACGTGTCTTGCTTGTCCCCGTCAGGTTTATCCGCCGTGTCACCTTGTGGACTGGAACCAGTCGTGATCATCCTCCTGGTATGGTTCCGATCGCCGTGTCGCTGAACGTTCAACCTCTTCGAGGCGTCCTTGTGCTCGTTAACGGACCGTTTCCGTTTCAACGCTGTTCTCCATTCCAGCAGAAGATTCATCGCATTCTGGCCGTCTGGAACATCCCTCTTCTGCTTGGTATTACTCTTCTGCTTTTCCTTTGTTGCCTCTGTGGTCTTCCGCTCGTGTTCTTCCAGGTGACGTTCCCTGTCCACGTGACGGTGGCCCGACCGTCCATTCTTCTTCGATTCTTGACCGTCGTTGGCGTCTGTTCGACGAGTTGCCGCCAACATTTCCAACGCTGCTTTGTCGGTGCTTGGCTCCGGTGGGGACGGGACCGGCGCAATTGTCGAAGAATACTCGGGGAAATCGGACGGTCTGGCGCCGTACGATAACGGCGAATGATAGTCCGACGAGTAGTCCTGCAAGGCATAGGTGTCCTCGTAGTTTGAGTCGTAGTCAGCATTGTCTATGTCCGCCTCGCCCGAGTCATCGTCGTCGTTCGACTCCCCAGCGTATAACTGCGAGAGGAATACAGAAAGAAACTGAACTCTACGACCATATTAGATATGAAGGGTTCTTTGGTGTAAAATTGACAGGTCCACCGCAGAGTTGGGCAGAATTTTATTCGAATAATACACAGTGAAAAGCAGCAGTACCTAAAGGTGTCATTCTGAGCTTTAAAGAGTTAATAAGATTAAATAATTGTTCGAGAAATGTTTTATTTGTTATTCGAAACTTTTTATCTGAATAATTAGTTTGCCCATCTCTGGTCCACCGTGATCAACCTTGTACACTCTCTGCCAGAGATAGGGAAATTCATTACAGTGGACTCTAACTATTAGGTTAGAAGTCGAAACTATTAGTTAAAAGTCATGTATCGTTCGAATAAAATTTTGCTCTGCTTTCTGGTATGTTCGATTAGCTTAAGTTTTTGTGAAAGTCAATTAATACGTAATAGGAATTTCGCGGTTATTCATTGAAAGTCGAACGTCGTCCTGTTTCCGATCGAGCAGCGCGCCGTTCGAATAGCCGTGAACATCCGGAAGCATTAAAGATTCCATCGTGAATTGCATAATTTGTTCGATAATATTCGTAGCCCCCGGCGAGACGCAACTGTTCCTCGGAGGTCATCGAACCTGTTTGATGATCGGACACGTTGTCGTTGATATTTTATCGTCGACCTTTCCGTGTCACGCGTCCCGATTCGATAACCCGGTTTCTCTGATTGTTATTGAATATCGTGTCGCCGGCGATCATCGTCTGTAATTAATAGTATCGCGACTCGATCCTGCTCCCTCGTGTATGTACTTCAATTCCGTCAACTATCCCCGGTTGCTCAACGATCTCACCGGTTTCTTATGTTTCCAGGTCCGAATCGATCATCACTCGCTGCATCAACGAAGCGAATTATACATCGAGTGATCGGCATAGATTGATAACCGACCGATGAATCAAGCCGACGGATTGCGTCCAATCGAACGTGAATCGACGACACTAACATTTACCGATATTGGTATCGATTTATCACTACAACATCCGGTGCAACAAAAAATACTCATCGATATATGAACGTGCATCGATTTCGAACAGAGCCATTCGCATTATCTGTCGATTACAGCTTATCGATCATTTTTAAAGCGAGAGCAAAGAAACAGTAAGAGACTTGCGTAATTTTCCATCGAACTTACAGTACAGTTTTCAGCTTATGTATATCACGATACGTAATTCGATCCGATTGTTTCTTTCGTTCAAGGACACTCGGAATATGATCGGGAATGATCTGCTGCTGGATGTGTGTTTACTGACCTGCTCCTCGAAGGCCTTCAGCTCGTCCAAGAGATCCTCCTCCAGGAACCGATGCTTCAAGCTCTCCACGTCCCGTTTCAGTTCCTCGATTTCCCGCGCGTTTATCAACGAGCAACGCAGTTTCCAGGTTTCCAAACCGAGGCAGAGCAGAGCGATCGTCAGCGCGACGATGCTCAAAACGGTGTTCCGATCGGGACGAAAGCGTTGCCTGTTCAAACCATGTTCCAAGTCCGACTGGGAGATGCTCAGATTCTCCCTGGAAAAGCTCAAGAACGACCGTGCCTCTTCCTTCCCGCGGACGTCGTTCATCAGCTTCTGCTTCAGCTTCGCGATCTTCGTTTCCTCTTCGGACAGCACGGAAGTCATCTCGATATCAATGACAACAACAACAACACGGTGTGTATATATATATATACACGAGCTTCAAGTTTCTTTGCGTCACTCCTCTTCGAGTTACGTAGAACAATAACTATATACAGTCTTTATCTGTGTATACACAGGTCTTCTAGTTCTCTTCGAAGCTGTTCAGAGCCACTCGAATTCTCCCGTTGGTTGTATCGGCAGTTTGTTTATATCCAGGGTGTCCATCGCAGCTACCGGACTCTTCTTATCGCGGGTCTTCCAAGAGCGATTCGTCAGTGTCATCCAAACATCTCTGCGACCTTCCGCGATGACACAACCGCTAAAACTGTCGCGATAACGATATATATGTACGTAACTCGTCGTGCTTTCTCCGGGTGCGATGCCAGGAAACGAACACCGAGGAATCTAACAAGAAGACAGTGTTTTAACACTAGAACTACCGCAAAACAGTCAAATGTACACTCCTATAACGATGATTAAAATATTACCAAAGTACGTATTCTCATAAATAAAAATATTACAAAAATACAAAATTAAATATTACAAAGATCGGTAACATTTATTGACTATTTTCAGAAGTTTGTCTCGTCTTTATCGTTTCGTTAGATGTATATATACGTTCATAATTGATGTAGTTCTAGTGTTATATGTCTCACAGGGTTTTCTCTAATAACAATACGCTGTAAAACGTGTCGCGTCCTCCACTGCACGTTACACGTCGTTCATCTGATTCCAGAAATTCGTAGACCAGGGAGATGAATCAAGACGTTAAATGTCCCGCATCCCAGGGGCCCCTCTTTAAAACCAGTCCGGTGGGTTTTTCTCCCCAATTGGAGAAGGAGAACTGCGAGCAGGACCGACCACCGTGGGCAAGAGTGTATCGAAAATTCGACCCTTTGGCCCCTCACCTCCGCCCGCCAACCTTTCCTCTCGGTCCTTTCTTTTGCCTTCTCTTGCCCGACTTCTTTTTCTTCTCGTTGCACGAGCCTCGCGTGCTGTGGAACGCGTGTCTGCCTCACGACGATCCGTCGCGGTTTCTCGATCTTCCGACACGGGGTACCCGTTTTCTATTTTCAATGTTTCTCTTCTTTCCTACCTCCCTGGAACACCACCCACTCTTCAACAATTTTTTTATCGACAATTTCCAACAGGGAAATCTCTCCACGTGGACGATTCTGAATACCAAGATATTAATTCTCTGTAAATAATAAATTCACAGAGTTTCTGGACCGATGCTGCACGTAAATTCTATCAAGATCGCGCGTGGATGTTGCGCGCCACAGAAAACGCTGCAAAACCGAAACAACGACCGGCTGGTTCGAGAGACACGAGCGTACTGAGAGTTGGACGGAACGGGGAACGCGCAACGAGCCTGTATCACCGGCAGCGCCTTCGTTTCTGGATCTCAGTGGCGTAGATCAGTGATCTATCTGCGAAGATGCTACTTCCCCCCTTTCGTTCGACAGTCGAAACATCGGTACGATGACACCCCGCTTGAAACTAATTACCACACTAATGAATAATTAACCCGCTTAAACTGATTCGATTCGTTTCTCAGCGGATACCAATTCACCGGCACGAAATCCTTGGCATTCGATCTAGCATTTTTCCGTTCGGAGAAACATGTTACAAACTTTAACTAACTTAAACATGTCGAACCGTTAAGGGCCGTTTAATTTGCAATTCGTTTTTCAGTCGATTCACCTGTCAAGCGAATACATTGTTGGCCCCCCGGCAAAATACGAATTTACGAGGATCTGAAGTATTTCTCCCTGTAAGCCTCGGCAACAAAGTATGCGTTTGACAGCTTCCACGCCTCCCCAGTGGTTCGGATAACGCCTGGACAATAATCATGAAGAACAAGCAAGAAGTATTTACAAGCTTAAAAATATTTTTTTAAATTTCAAAGTACACGCTATAACGGGTGCTTAGCTATAACGCTCTCAATGGTTAAAATATTTACTATTTGGCCCTTTAAAAAAAAATAATTTGCCGAACCCTGAGCTAGACAATAATCGAGAGGAGTCTGTATATCGGTCGAGTATTCTCTTTCCATTTCGTAATCCGATTGCTCCCAATATCGCGTGCGTCTTCTCGCGAGGAAAACGTTCTCGGTACGCCCACTATTACCGATATTTCTCACAGAGCGCACGCTTCTTCCAGGAACGGTTGCAACGACGGTACGGTGACTTTATCGTGACCGACGACGTGAACACGCGTGCTGCTCCTCCGTTGTCGCCGAAGAGGGGCAAGAGGCGTCTCCGATTCCGAATTCTTTCGGTCCACGTACGAGAACGAAGCGAATTCGATACGCCCGCTGCTCCTGGAACCGTTCCCTGTCCGTACTAAACACGGGACAGACGCCGTGAGAACCGGGCCGAAAGAATTTCTCCGAGAACCGCGACCGAAGCGTCGCTTCGACGAATATTATCGCGCAGGAAGTATCGAACAATCGTTATGACACAATCATCAAGCTCTGAAACTGATTCGAACGGTGACAAATGCAGTCGATTTGCATGTAATTAACCCGGAAGTTTATGCAAATTCAGAATTTCAGATGTTAATATCTAAAACCTTTAATTAGAAGAATTTTGAATTCTGTACTGGAGCCTTTACTACGTTGATAACAACATGTAAATAGTATTAAGATTTATTGGATGCTTTATTTTATTGTTGTTTCGTACCGTTGATCTCGCAATCTGTTATCAGAAATTCCACAATCGTGATCGTAATTAGTCATCGTGCGACTATCTAGTTTTTTTCATCACGTGGAACGTCCCTGCGCCGGTCACCGATGTCGGACGGAACGAAATTGCTGTTCGATTGTCGCGTCGGTCACTGGTGACGGATCGTGTCGTAATATGTATATACGAGAATTGACAATCGTGCGGCGCAAGTAGAAACAAAAGCGAAATTGGCCACGGCGCTTAACGCGTTAACCGTATAATTGATGCATCCCTGCGTAGGAAGACGAAAATTCGTGATCTGGATCAATTTACGGTTCAACGAGTCGAATGTTGCCACCAATTACTTCGCCGCACGGTCTTTCTCCTTATTTCGTCCCCGCGCCTCTGCCCACTCGCTTCTTCCGCGACTTTCCTACGCTCTTTGTACCGAGAAAGCGAATTTAAATACTTGACAATATCTGATACGTGATTCGTTTAACCCTTAGAGCTGGATAGAAGCAACCCAGATGGCACACGATGTCTAATGACGCCTTGAAGGCGGCTCAAAGGCATCTTTGACCTAAAATAGCCGTAAAATGGACGTCTTTGAGGCGTCATGTGCTATCTGGAAAGCGAGGTTTGAACCGTCGACGGTGACGTTTATGATAATGAGGGGTTCAGTGGAAACGGGGCACATGCCCTTCCATTAGTTTGCCATCAACAAGCTCTAACCTTACTTTTGCTAAAATTAGTTGTGTAAATTTGTATATATAGTATTGTGGCATCTACCACTCTTCCACTATGCCCCTCAATTTCAAAGAAAGGGCAAAATAATTATATACACGGCGGTGAATGTTTCTATGTAAATGTATACAGTAAATCCTCCATAAGTATTCGAAGGCTTCTCAACACTGAACATTAAATATTTCATAAGCTAATGGCCATATTCGGCTGAAACAAATATTTGCTTCAGAATTCCAAGCTCTATCGCTAAGTTAAACTTCATTAAAAATTCAGCGTTATACCTAGAGATCTCTCCTTGTCGGTGCTGAGGAGCTTCCGAACACTCATCGAGGATTTACTGTAAATATTTGAAGGGTTGCAACGAACGTATTAATTGTACAAATTAATCGTACGATAGCCCATCGCTAGCTTCCCGTTCAAAGACGCAAAGCAATCGACTTTTCGACGACATGACCGTGTGCATCCTGTACGGTAACCGGCGACAATTTTGTTTTCCTGCGTGTGCAACAGATTATTTTAAGTAGCCGGGCACTTTAAACAAACACCTACATCAACGAGATAATAACGAAACAGATGCACCGAGAGACACGTATTAGCGTGGGTCCCGTGGGCTTTCGATGCTCCACAGAATCATTTCAGAGCGAAACTTCGCGGCTAAATATAGCAACGAAGATGACCGAGCGATAGAAAGTCGAATGCCAGTTCCAGAACCATTTTCTGCCGACCCGTTCTCGATGTTTCCTTAGCCGTTCCCTTAATCGAATTCAGCGACGGGTATAATTATTTCTATTCTGAAACAGGTAGAACTGGGGTCGTTTCACACGCTAGATGTGCACAATTATTGTACGAAACACGTGGCACGAATTGTAGAACAAATACCAGTTGCTATCGCTTCGCCATTGTTAGAAGTGTTTTTGAAGATTAACCCCTTGCCCTACGATTTTCTTTACGTCTACAAACTTCAAAAATACATTGTTCTCGATAGTTTTGAGGTAAACCTGGTTCGGTTAATGATTTTGAAGTCGTCAACACGATGTTATAGGGTAAGGGGTTAACACGTTAAGCGCTATCATGTAAGAGAAAAAAAATTATGTTTCTTTATTACACAGTGTCCAAACAAACACAGATGGTCCATCAGGCCAGAATATATTATATAGAAATGGCGCTTAACTTGTTAAATATCTCGAGATGTCTATAGAGAGAATTATATTGCAAGTTAGGCGCAGAAAACATCTGGTTGGTGTTCGACAATGGAAACTGGACTCTGAGACAGAGACCATTACTGGAAAATCAAGTGCAGCGTTCTCGGAAGTAGCATTGCGACTGAGGGGGAAATAAAAACTCGAAGACTGTCGAGCAAACGAGGAACACCACTCGTGCATGCAGTTGGTTAACGTTTGCGTCAGAAGTGCACTGATGCATCTTGCAAATCGAGTTACAGACACACGAGTAGAATTCACGTTGCAAAAATATCGAATCGTTACAAAGCAGGTCCTACGAATCCACGATCAAAGATCCTCTGAGTGGGTCTATCGGACAAGGATCCAAGTCGAGATTAGACAAAGGATCCATTGGCCTTGAGAACAAGTTTCGTAACAGAGGGATGCGGGAATTGAAAACGATTCCCCGCATACCTCGGACTATTCAGTTTCACGTACGTTTCCTATAAATCTCTCAGATTCTCCAAGAAAGCGATAGTCTTTTATCTTATCGATTTGGGTCTTCGACTACATCCGCTCTTACGAATGAAATACTTCTCGTGTAGATATAGAGAGAGATAATGTCGCGTAAAAGTTTGCGCATTTTTCTTTCCGGACGATATATAAATAGAAAACTTTGCGATGCGAAGGCGAGGTTCTTTGATGTATATATACAAGTTCACTTCGGAGGAATCGGTTGTAAAGAATACACATATTCTTCCGGTCGTGAACGTTATCGTCTGCTCCTCGTCGTTCCTATCGGTTCCTATGGTCGAACGGACGAACGAAAGGAGGAGTGATCAGCAAACGCGAAAGAGGAGAACGGGCACGATAGGAGGTTGTATAGTTTCTTGCCAGTCCGAATGTTGGCAGCGCCTGTCGTACCGAAGAGAGCCGCTAAACCGGTCGAGTGGACTCGTCGCGAGGCTTGGAGACGACGCTTGGGGTCTCGTAACTGGCTGGGTAAACAAAAGATGGTCTGGAACGGTTACACTCGCACCTGCAGAAGGTGAGTCCGGTGAGTCTTCGACGGCGACGCTGTCAGCACTCTGGAGGACGACCTGTTCGGAGATCGATTATCCACCACACCTGTTGCTCTTCCGAGTCCAAGACATGTCACTCAGGTAAGGGGGAATGTTCCGTTAAGTTGCTCGCGAGCCCACGTTTATCGAAATAACGGAAAACGATTTCTGTAGTACACTTAGGAATGCTGATGTTCGATTTATCACAGAGAACATTCTGCTCGAGCGTTCTCCTTTCTTTGTATCCTGTAAAGTTGTGAATTCGAGCCACGATTGCCTAGAGTTCTTTTTCCCCTTTTAGCAGGTCTGGTTTCTTTCTCTTTCTTCAATGATTTCATTCATGGACTTGTAAAGATATTCATTTCTGTTTATGAAAACAATGAATTGCAGTTAGTATTTTGATTTTATTTCAAAGAAATCGTCCCACGTTTGACGGTGTCTTCTGAATGACGGTTGTTAGGGTAGTTACGCATCGAGAATTTTTTTCTTCTATCCAGAAAGAATCTGCGATATGCTGGCACACTTTTTTTCGCTTATTCCAGTGACACATGTATAGAGACGCTACATGGTAGGCACGAGTCAGCGAAGTTGCACGGAATGACGAATGAAGTCTTTGTACTTATGCACTTTTGTTTTCTAAGATCGTTCAGTCGGTCGTCGTGTCTGAGTGAATCAGGAACGTCTTTCCGTTATCTTCGATACTTTCGCTGGGGGGGGGGGGATTTTTGTTATACATTTGCTCGAGCACGTGCATTTCACCCGTTCGAAAAAATGACATTATCGTCAGTGTTTCGCAGTCTATATCGATAGTCTTATCGTTTAAGAACTTTGAAAAATAAACGACGGAACTAAAAAATATGATCTATGAAAGACATTCACGGTGTGTTCCAGGGTATTTTGTTGATGTGATATAATTTTTGAAACTAGTCCCTTCGATCGACCAGTACCGTGACAGGTTACCAATATACAATTAAAAATGAAACGAGTCCAAACCAACAACGATCCGCAGATGGATAATACCGTTAGAGATTCGACGAATTTTATCGAATTGAATGTCGACATGAACGTGACTGTGTCGAACGTGAAGAAATCAAAGATGTTCCAAAGATCGCGCGGCATCTTTCTGTTCCTGTTAGCGATCGCGTTCGCTGTTATTCTATCTCACCTGCGGAAAGAAGTCCGCGCTTTGCAAGTACAGGTAAGCCTTTGATTATCCAAAGCTGTATTAAACGAATACGGTATCAGATAGCACATGACGCCTTGAAAACGGCTTAAAGACGTCTTGGACCTAAAATAAGCGTCACGTGTTATCTGGGAGATAGGACCTGACGTCTTGAAGACATGCATTTTACGACTATTGTTGATCTAAGGCGCCTTTCAGTCGTCTTCAAGGCGTCACGTGCTATCTGAGGTGTTTACAAAATAAAATTACGTTTACGAATAAAAAAAGAAGTAATGCTTATCACAAATAAATATATATCCAGATGCAATCCGTGAACGTGAACCTGCTTGTACTAATGTCTAAATACGACAGACTAAACAGAAGTTTGAATCGGGCTTGGATAAACAGGCCAGATAGGTTTCTCGAGCACAGAAGCATGCACAATGTGAAACGGCTCCTCGAAGATGCTTCGTCGATGACGAAAACGATGCACCTATTAGACAATATTCGCAACGGAACCGGCGAAAACTTGTACGCTTATAATGTATCGATCATTCCGTACTTAAATACGCTCGCAAGGGACGAACAGGCGTCACGCGACGGTGGTGTTCATGGTGCAAACGAAACGAACGAAATAATAAACCTGAACCCGTTACCGAAGCCAGAGAACGACCGAACGTCGGATGAGAAAGATGAAAGTAACTCACGTATCGAAAGAGCGATATTAACTGCGGGGCAACAAAATTCGTCGGCGAAACGAATCGATTCGGATCGCGGTGAAACTGTCGGTCGCAATAATGATACCGATGACGAATATACCGACGACTATGTCGACGACGAGTCACAATTAGATATAAGAAGAGAACCTCGTTCCGGACGGTCCCGAAGAGACGAGGGAAGAGGTAAAAAACGGGGAAAGAACAAACGGCGGCCCAAACGCAGCCGCAGGCGATTGGGTATCTAGTATTATTTAGTTAGCATGTGTCTTCCGTTATTCGTCCTCCTTATCTCTCAGTAGCTCGCCATCTAATACACATTTTTCAGTCATCTGTAGACTATGTATCTATGTAGCAATCGTACTAAGAGATATTGTTGTAGGCAGTTTTTAAAATCAAGGAACGTTATCCCTGCATGGTTCTTTGGTTTGTGGTTAAAAAAAGATTTTGTGAAATATGTATATTACAGTAAAGGGTGTATTGCATACAAATGTGCCTCCATTGGTACTCCTTAGTATGATTATGCTAAAATAAAGAAATTCAAAAGTTATTCCTGAGATAACAATGTTTCTTGTGTTATTTAGGTCCATTGGTGGCAACATTTGTAGGTGCAATTCCTGAGCAGCATGTTACAGATACAGGTACATACCCGAAGAAAGCAATATTTGTATTAATAGTATGTATTGACATTAACATGAATTACTCTTGTTTAGTGTATATTGGTCCCTGGGTGAGAAGCACCAAAAACAACACCCAGTATAGTCTAAATAAATTCCATTTAGTCGAAGATAAAAAGTCTATAGAAGTTACCGCTACTGGTCTGTACATGATTTCTGCTCAGGTAATGGTATATAGTTTTATTTTAATCGAATTATATGCTTATATAGATTACATTTATATAAGTGCAAACCTCGTTTTTTTTTTTTTTTTTTTTAGATATTTTATTTCGGCGAACCAACGAATTATTCATACTGGATACTATTAAGTTCAGAAGGTAAATCCACCTCTCAGAAACTCGTCAAGTGTTCTACAGCATCTTCCACGTCAGCGACAGAAGTGTCGTGCTACACTAGCGTGATTACACCTTTGCAGAGGGGTGACAGAGTTCACATACAACAACAAGAGAAGAACAGGTAAGGTCAATTTTTCTATCGAAACTAGTTCATGGAATTCCTGTAACGTGACAATATTTTTCAGATTAATAAATATGCGAGAAGGGCACAGTTACATACAACTTGTACTTTTATCGAATAACATTCGTAAGAAACGTCAGCGGTAGAGCCCGATACACAGTCGAAGTTTCAGAGGAACATTGTGCCATGAATAACCATAGAGGGATGATTCCTGAATGTGATTCTGCGCCCTATTTTGGAATATTAAGAAAATGCAAATACCGTAATGCATTTATTTCAAATGTAAGCGATTAAAATTTTACCTCGAGATTTCAAGCTTCGCGCGAGTAATAATCAAATGGAAAGAATTATATCACGCGAACAATAGTTGTTATTTTGTCTTTCTATCATTTTTAACTCTTCGTAAAGTAAGTTTAAGTTTTATGAAAAGTTGCGTCGAGATTGTACAATGCATAAGAAGTGTACAGAGGAATAATGTTTGGTTGTAAATAACTAGCGTGAATGCGTGCTTAGTTTTTTTTCTTTTCTTTTTTTTTTTATTGACGAATCCGGTTTTGGGACGAACAACCGAAATGTACACTGACATTATACCTTCGTACATTTTGAATTTTATTTTAACCCTAAATCGATTAAAGTTGTGATGTTATGTTTACGGAGTCTGTCATATTACTGCAAGTTACTGCGTTTTACATTTTTCAGTTTTGTACATTTTTCAAATTATTTACAACATTTATGTTCAATGTTAAGATCAATGTGAAATATAAATAAACCAACCGAAAGGAGAAACTTCACGAAGTACTTCACGAATTTGAAAACCTGCAAACTGTTTCGGTTATTTCTATAAATTGTACGATTTATTTGTAATAAGTATATTCTCTTATCACAGATGGTAATCACAATTGTTACTAAGCTTATCTCTCGTAAAATTAGTCGTTTCGAAATGCAGAGTACAATGTCAGTACCTTTTGGTAATATTTTCCACAGAAAAGTAAAGGACACCTGAATCCTCTTGGAAAACAATGTCGATACCAGTCATGTGGTAGATGTTGCTCGGCTCAAGTAATGGTAGTGCCACCGTGTACGACGGTACAGATGTTATCAACCTAAAGAAATTAATAATAAGAAATTAGAAAGAAAATAACAAATAACAGAAGCAATAAAATCTTATAAATACTTAATAACCTATCGTCTAATACGCTTATAAACAATACTCGAATCACGCATTATACTTTTTCTTATTATTCTTACAGTTCTTTTCGTAGATATTCGTTATATTCCTTCCCTATTTCTCGTATTGTCTCATCGTAAGGTCATGATTGGTTTCATGAAATAGTATTTTCTCTTAAAAAATTTCAAATAGTCTTTCTTTCAATCGCTACCTCATCATTACTATTGTGGTATACAATGCTGCAGGTATCGCAGGTATAAAGCGGTAAAAAAAGTCCCTTATTCAAATTCCTATCAAGAGTAATATCAAAGCTGCCTCTGTCAAGATATATTGGCGAGATCCCACTTTACACTCGATAAATGCAGATTTATGTAGCATTTATCTTTGCTAACATTTTCTTGGTAATAAGTTGGTAGATTGTTTTTATTAAAAAAAACGGATATATTTATATTTACTCACCTGAACTTGGGTTGAGGTTTACTCGAGCATTTGTTTTTTTTTTTTTGTTTGTTAAATATATTATGAGCGTTATACATGTTAGCATAGATTTAATTCATTATAACTCTCTTGCATACTTTTCCATGATTACTTAGAACTGTTCGATTTTGCTTTTGCTTTTGCTTTCTGAACGTGTGCTTTCTGTTCGATACATATGTATACATATATGCAACAAAATTCGACTAAGTTTTGTACACAGTATAGAACTTGTAAGAGAACAGATTTACTGATGAAAACTATTACACAGAAAATAATTGTGACAATGTTCTGAATAAAAACAAACTGGGTGCATTATAAAAAATGATCAGACACTATTCAGCACTGATCGACTCTTTGGAAAACGAAATAAAGATATACTCTAATTAATGAAAGTACTATGATACTCTAAAAGAAGAAACAACATTTTCTAGATTTCATTTAAATGTGTGCGGTACCTGTGCAATTGGTCAATAATTACTTTATCGTATCAGTCGTCATTTATTCGTATACTATTGTATGATTATCAGATTCGGTATCTCCTTGCTGGTAACGGAGGGAAGGTATTCGCTCTCTTTCTTTCATTGTGTTCGCTAAGTATCTCAGGTTGTTGCTACGCCTGTGAAATAAACTTAGTTTTCGTCAAGTTTTTCATATACCTAGAATTTTCCACCAACGATAATTATTTCACTCTGACTAGAATATATTCTTCGAACGAACTATATATGTACAACAAATATAAAATATTAATAGTTTCGTTTATGATTCTTGCTTAACAGTTAGAAAAAAAGGATTCCACACTCGTGTGACAGGTCAAATAGCGTTTCGTAAAAAAAGCTCATACCTACATCACTCATATAAAATACATTATAGTCTTGCAAAGTTGGGATCATTCTGGTTTCCTACGGCAGTTGCTGGTTTAATAAATCTCTCTTTGTTAGCGCGCAGCCTATGATCTCTCATGTTGAAGGTGAGGAAATAAGAAATGTGAAAAAGTACTGAGGTTTTTTTTTTATGGTTTCTTTGTTTCAATGTTTTGTTTTCATTTCAATCGTTAGGTCTATTACTTACAATAATTAATCAATTTACCATCACTATACTGATGACATCATGCGACAATGACTCTTGGTACAGTTTAATTAATTTCATGGTTATTAATATAATAAATGTAAATAGAAGATTTCATTGTTTGCCCTACGTTAAGTGATTCTGTACTTTAATGTACACAATTGGCTGGGACAAATTTTCATTAGCTACTAATACACATTCGTCTTTGGACAATTACTCTGTATGTTCTTGCAATGCATATGCATATATCTACTCGGATGAATCTCTAGAGTATGTTCTTACGATTGTCTCTGCCAGTGTGACATTTCTACTAATACGTATCACTGTTGAAATACTTTTTAAAAGGTCCTAAAACATGTAATTCGATTCTCAGGGTATCGACCAACACATTTACCACTTGTCACCTCTAAGCAGAGCATTACACACCGTCCAAGCTAATAATTGCTCCTCCACTTTGGAAGATATGAAATGATAAAATAATCGCAACAATAAGACTGATTTATTGTATCATTATATTGTTAATTTGCAGAAGTGTCGTCAAGACTTGGTGATCGCACTAATGAACGCACAAGTACGAAACAGTGTTAAGACCTGATACATGTTTGATTCTCTTGATTTGTATGTTAATACGTAAACGAAATACACCACAAAATACAATTATACTTTTTTTCCATTGTATACAGAGCATACGACATTATTTGTTCTTCAATTTTACTCTACACCTAGAATTCATTTAGCAGTAATTGAGCTGTGTTCACAATGATCGACTGTTTTAACGACTTTACAAATAGTGTAAACATCTTTGTCCTTACTGTTACAATCAAGACAAATATAGGTGTTCGTGTACGTGTGTGAGTGAATATATATATATATATATATACATATACATATATACATGTATGTATATATACATATATGTATGTATATATAGATAGATAAATATATATGTATACGATTTAATATTAATTACTTCACAATCGCAGATTAACTCGACTGTACACCAACTAAACTTAATCCTAAACGAAGTTATTTAGCCAAACGTGACGAAGTAGATGCTATGCTGCTAGTCAAGTATAAAACGCTCTTGTCATTTATACCTTCAATCATAATGATAAAGACCATTTAAGCACTTTCGTGCAATGTTAAATTAATCCTTTCTTCCATGCGCGCGACAAAGATAGGAAACAAAAAATCTCATCGTAGCAGATAGTGCTCTTTTCCTTTTTTCCTCTTCTCTATGGTTAAAACCACTGTTCGTTCCTCTTACTATATATGTAAAATACTTGTATACATTTAAAGACAAATAACATTTGTCCAACTTTTTCACGCGCTAGGAACAATTTTTTTTTCGTTTAATTTGGAAAAAATCTGGATATCTAACGTATAAAATTAAATAGCTGAACGTGTTAATTTAATAACGTCGCTGAGACTGGGCGTTTTGGTAACCAGCACTGCCACCTGCAAACAACCATAGAGCTCCTCCGTTCAATCATTTTCTAGGCATAACTTTGTTATTTGTTTCTGTATTTAATTATATACTTATACACACATCAATTGTCACAGAAAAATTTATCAATTCTACCTATATCATTTCCCTCTATTCTGGACTGTTTCAGTAAGTGTTTTTATCATTTAATAATGATAATGCAATTCAAATGTTGCGTTCTTTTTCTACGCTGTTTTCGGATGTAATGTAGGTATATCTTTAAATTAACTGAATCTGCTTTTAATAAGAATATTTGTGTCCTTAATCACAGGGACACTTTTCTTTATACATACATATATATTTTTGCAGTATCTAAAAATATATTAAAAATAAACCTGCGCTAATATCGTAATTCTCGCAATTAACGCTAAAATTCGTGTCTTTTGCACTTGATTTTCTTGAGAATGAAAAATTCTCAATCGAATTTCGTTCTTAGTTTCTCAATTGCTTCGGTTTCGTTACGCTAAGAACTTTTCGTTTACGATACACTTGAAATCGGCCCTAAACGTTTTACTCGTGATAAGAAATTGCCTTTCAATATTTAAACAATTCTGTCGGATTGTGAACTGTACTTACCATAATCCTGTTTGCCGTATACACCATCCTGATTCGAGTAATCTGCAAGTAGAACAGATACAACGTTACTAAACTGTTAGCGACAGGTCTGAGGATCGTTTGACGGTGAAGTATGACAGAAAGCAAATAGCGCAGCGATGCTAATGTTAGTGTCTTTCGCAAACAAAACGAAAGAAGAACTAATGAAAATAAACATGTGCAACGATATAAACAAATGATGCCACGCCCATCTTTTTTTATTGTGTTCCTCTACTATCACTTTGTTCCAGGCAAAACCGAGAACAATAGAAGAGGTAGCTAAGCATAAGATTGTGCTAAGTATTCTGTCTGGTCGGATATAAAAGTGGCATTAAAGAATCGATCACTGTTAGGATCAGATGCGGCATATGTTGTATCCCCACACCCTGTTATTATGGTAATTGCTTCTTGCTGGTAATTGGCTATGCATGCACGTTACACCAATTCATCACATTTTCCAAACCACGACCTCACACTCTTCATTTTCGGAAATGTTCGAAGCTTTCAACTTTTCGCAATTTCGTTTAATAAATACATCTGGCTATGACTACTTGGAAATTCTTAGTGGAATATTTCAAACAATACTGATACTACTGCAATACTAAACCAACCTGATGGCGGTGCTTTGCCATAACTGTAGGGATCGCCAGCACTGAAAGCTCCTGTAGCTGGAACGGCAGGCGCTCCACCATACCTATTATCAGCGGCTGCCGATGGTGGGTAACCCTGAACAAACATAATATCTCGTTTTATACCAATCTAATTGCATGCTTCGTAGAAAGTTTGTATAAATCAAAACTTACTGCAGTTTGACCATAATCCGGCGGTTGTTGGTAACTTTCGTAGCCTTGGTACGAGGACTGCGTATAATTTTGCGATCCATAGCTTCCGCCGTATCCCACCGATTGCTGCTGTGGCTGTTGCTGTCCTCCGCCGTACGCGTTACTAGTACCTCCTCCATATCCACCTTGACTGTAATGTGATTTTTTGATTTTGTCAATTTCAAATCTTAAATCTTCAATTATTCAAAAATATATTAGAAATACATAAACTAAATATACCTGGCTGGTTGAGTTGCATAACCATTTGCGGGCTGGGAAGATGGTTGATCGAATCTTGGTCTTTTAGAAGGTCCACTGGAACCTGGTGGACCACCTCCTCGTTTCGATGGGCCGCCACGACCACCGCCGCCCCTGCTTCCACGATCTCCGAAACCTCCTCTACCTCCTGGGCCACCTCTACCAGATCCACCCCTAAAAGTTGCAATGCAAATGAAGCAGAATAATACAACGCAATTGTGCTTTGTTCCACACAACAAGCACGGATTATTAAATTTACATTAGTATTGAAAAATTGAAAGATATTTACATGGTGTACCTGGACCCCCCTCGGCTGCCTCTGTCCATTCCTCCTCGACCACGGAAATTACTGCTACCTCTACGACTATCTCCTCTTGTAAAATCACGACTTCCTCTACCACGGAAACCACTGCTTCCTCCTCTGCTACCACCACGTGGGGGACCACCCATTCCCGGTGGACCTGGTGGTCCACTACCTCCTGGCCCACTAGACATTCCTGGTTCTGGTGGACCTCTGAGGTTCCAAAGTCAATTAAACAAATCACCAACAGTAAAATACAATTACACTGTTCAACAAATTTTAACCTTTCTTCGCTTTTTTTAACCTCCAATAGCCGTTCCTGATAGATCTTCATCAGTTGAATACGAATCTGCAAATCGTTTCCTTCCAACACGTCCAGTTTTTGGAAAACCAATGTTTTTCTAATTTCAAATTTTCTAACTGCTAATTCTATAACTATTACTGTAAAATCACAACACAGCTCCAAAGTTGAAAATTTGCAGGTAAAAAGAAATTGATCTTTCCAAAAACTGGACATGCTGGAAAGAAACAGTCTGCAGATGTGTATTGAGCTCGTAAAAATCTACCAGGAACACCTATTGAAAATTGCAAAATTTTGTACGCATTGAACAGTGTTATTAATAACATAAAAATTAATATGCTGTACCCTGGAGGAAAATGTCCACCGTGACCACCTCTTCCAGGAGGACCACCTCTACCTCTCATTCCAGGTGGTCCACCTCTCATACCACCTCCAGGACCATTTCCACGACCACCTCTCATCATACCACCTCTTGGAGGTCCACCCCTGTTTTGAATATCATACAATTTTAAAGTACACTATACAAACCATATGCATTTAGAAAGTGTTATTATCACAGATTCTATACCTTCCCCGATCTCCAAAGCCACCACGTCCCCTCATGGGGCCTCCTGGACCACCACGGCCACGAAATCCGCCTCTACCAACTGAAGCACCTTCCATTTATACGAGTATCTAAAATTTTAAACAAAGAAATGAATTGAAACAAGAGTTAAAAGCTACAATTTATAATAATACTGTTAAATAAACTCTGTAGCTTAACACTTGACACAAAAACAGTACTTGAAAGAAAATGTAAAGGTGAGTATAAGAAAACATTTTTCGTAAATTCTTGATAATTCTAAATAATTATGATTGCGGAAAGTAAGACATTTAATGATTGAACTTCACAGAACACTTGAAATACACACATTTAGGAAACAGAAGTATTGTTTATGTACTTATACTTCAAAACAGGGTTACAATTCGTTCTGTTTCTATGATCACCCTATAGACAGACGCTATCTGATTTCGTCGAACAAGCCTCGGCTGCTTTTCTTTTTCCTGGTTATTTTCACAATACAATAAGAATCTTAACCGTACCGCAATAAACTCTTGCACACCGGGTATGATTTATTTACATTAAAGAGTACTTACGATTCACTTGTCGACAAATACTCCGTTCATAAATGAGAAACGCGCCAACCTTAGACAAGCCAACAGGGAAAATGGACGCCGGTTCCCGGAAAGAGAAGCATCGACCATTGCCACTCAAATTACTATACTTACATTACCGGATATCCTCTCATTAAGGTCTATTTTCATAGAATATCAGAGTACCATTAAATTAATCGACCCTCGGGTTCGTGTGACAGTTGCTTTACAAAACGTGATAAAAATGTATGTATAAATCTTTCTGTACTACTTACGTCATGTAATATAACTCATTTCGGGTCCTATAAAATTCTTTAATTTATCATATATACAGTTTACATTAATATTACGCATGAAAGAGGAATTTAGATTTGTTACAATAAATGCTTTCATGCACGAATGAATAACTTTAATATTATGTAAACAATTCCTTGAATGATATTTCGAAGCAATTTCGCAGGGTCGGTTTTCATGAACAACGAATTAAAAATAATTGTATTATTACTAGATCTGTGTCTCCAGCAGCAATTATACCAATTAGAGATGGCGTGCAAAATCACTAACGGTGATTTATCACAGTGATCGCCGAATCACGATCACGATCGTGATTTAACTTCATTCACGACCGTGATTGCGATTTTTTTATCTTGAGTGAATTTGCTCACTGCAATCGTAAGTCAATAATAATCTTTAAACAGAAAAACGTATTCAATATGATTTTACGATGAATTACATTACTGTGTTAGGTTTCTCCACCAATCAGAAACGATCACGAGAAATCACGAATCACTGTGAAAAATTACCGTGATTGAGAACGAACACATCATTTCTAGTGAGAACGTGAGGTCACGGAGCCCCCGGTGGAGGCGCCATAGACCCTGCACGGTGAGAGCGTGGGGTCACGGAGGCCCCGGTGGAGGCGCCATTGATCACGTGGGGTGAGGGCGTGGGGTCACGGAGCCCCCGGTGGAAGCGCTATAGACCCTGCACGCTAGGGTACATCCACTACAAATAAATTATCAATACTAGCAATGCAGTTAGTACTTTGTAGAACAAGAGACCAATAAAATTGTAGTAAAGACACATATCGTAAAAATAAAAGAAATGATTGTCAGTTGTGATATTTCTAATTAAACGATTAATTTTTAAATGATAAGTAGCATCAAAAAGACTTGCTGCGTCATCTACGGCAAAATGCCCAAGCTACTTGATCGTCGATTGTTTGGATGTTGCTAGGAACTTAGTCCTAGTAACAGACCAAATGTTGGGAATTTCTGCTTCATATACCACAGGGAATGGATATAATCTTCGTTGGTATCATTGGTATGTTGGTATAATACGCGGGCAAACGTGCGATTGATCTTCACGCTGGGATTTAAATATTGAAATCCGTTTAAATCCGTTGCTTGTCTTCCGCAAGACAAAAACTTTAGTTTGTGTTGTAGAAGAAAGTCCAGGAAAGTCAACGGTGGAATACACAAATCTTTTCGTGAAGCATACATTCAACGGACAAGCAATCCTGACCGAAACGGCATATTTCAGGCGTTACACGCTCCTGAGTAATACGGACAGAAAACAGTTTCGGTCGAAATGTCGAAAGAGGAGAATGAATGCGTTATTCCGGACGTGATATACGACGTAAACTCGGGAAATAGTTATATCAAAGGCCGATTTTTCGGAAAGGTATGCATGTATTGCTGATTTTTATTTACTTCTACTTCATTCGTAACGTATTTCTACGTATTATAGCATATGGTACTTGTTGCTTTAGTTACTTTGAATCGAGTAAATTTCTGCATGAATACGATATTATGAAAAATCGTTAGTTTCTAGTTTATGCTCGTTAATTTGGAATGTACAGATTCAGATTATTTTAATTAATTGCATAGAAAATTTTCTAATGTGCACACATTAAGTTGGTGCATATCGAATGGTAATTCTTCCAATTCGAAGATAGTATATTTTTATACTATTTTATAGGGTGGTTTTGCAAAATGTTACGAGATCAGGGAATCGAAATCCCATCGTGTATTCGCTGGGAAAATTGTGCCAAAATCCCAAATTACAAAAAGCAATCACAGAGAAAAAATGACACAAGAAATCTCAATTCATCAGACTCTGGCTCACAAAAATGTTGTTGGTTTTTATGGGTTCTTCGATGATCCTCAGAATATATACATAATTTTGGAGTTATGTCGCAAAAGGGTATCATCATTTTAACAGCCCTTTCATTAGTGTATATATGTGCAAAGACACATATGTTATTGATCATTTCAAATTTTAGTCAATGATGGAGTTACATAAACGAAGGAAAGCTTTGACAGAATGTGAGACAAGATTTTACATGAAGCAAATATTAGATGGTGTCCATTATTTGCACCAAAATAAAATAATTCACAGAGATCTGAAATTAGGTAATGTATTTTTGAGTGACGAACTGCAAGTTAAGATTGGTGATTTTGGATTGGCTACTCGGTTGGAACATGAAGGAGAACGTAAAAAGTAACAATCTATTTCTATGGTTATTCAACGATACTGTATCTCTATGTTTATCCAAATGTTCAAACCAAGTCATATTTTGTTCCTGTCTTAATAGGACAGTCTGTGGGACCCCAAATTACATAGCACCAGAAGTTTTGACTAAGTCTGGCCATTCGTATGAAGCTGATATATGGAGCATTGGATGTATCATGTACACTCTGCTTGTGGGCAAACCTCCATTTGAAACATCTAGTTTAAGAGAAACTTACGCTAGAATTAAACAAGTTCAGTATAAAGTTCCTGCACACATCAATACAATAGCCATGAACATGATAACCAATATGTTGCAAGGAAATCCATCCAAACGTCCTTCTGTAGGCAAACTGTTGAAAGACCCGTTCTTCACTTGTGGTAAATATCAGAAATTTTTATTACATCATTGAACCACTTGCTAATAATTATTTTGAAATTTACTACAGGTTACATGCCATTGAGTCTACCAGTTTCGTGTTTAACAATGGCGCCTCGTTTAGACATGCTAGAAATGCACAATCAACGTAAACCATTGTCTGAAATGAATACTAATGTAGGAGGAGAGGGACAAGACTTTATATTCAGAGTACCTAATAGTCCAGCACGTAAGACAAAGCCTGCTGATACAGTAAACGAAGTTCAGAAACTGAATCATGATATTAAAAAGATGCTTCAGACACTAAGAGAGCAGCTGGCTGCAGTATTAAAGCCTAATCCTAGTAGAGAGACAACATTGTCAGAAGGTAATCTAGTGTTAAATTGAATCGAGTTCGTATTGGAACAGGTATGAATTAACTCTTTGTTTTATGTAAATCTAATTTAAACTGTACAGATGAAATGACGGATCCAGCCGCGCAGCCTGTTATATGGATAAGTAAATGGGTCGACTATTCTGACAAATATGGCTTCGGATATCAACTTTCCGATGACGGAGTCGGTGTTATGTACAATGACGGCACCCGGTTAATTATGCTAGCTAACTGTTTCAATATTCATTACATAAATCGTGAAGGGAACGAGTTATATTATACCGTCAGAGAATATCCGTCGGAATTGGAGAAGAAAATGAAGCTGATGAATTTCTTTTTGAAGTACATGAAAGAGCATCTAATGAAAGCTGGAAGTTCTATCAACGTGAAACCGTGCGATGCTATGTCCAGGATACCATACATACATCAGTGGTTCAGAACACAGAATGCTGTAGTTATGCAATTGTCTAATGGAACGGTGCAAGTAAGCGAAATTGAAATTTTGTTCTTTAGTTTGCGTTCATCGAGTTTATGAAATTGATTCTTGTTTTTTTTCACTGGAAATAGTAACCAATACCAGTTGAGCAATGCTACGAATAGCGATCAGTATTCATGAACGCAACTGTAGTCACCAATATGCACATTGAATTTGTTTTTTTTACACTGTTTAATAATGCTGTCTTTACAGATAAATTTCCTCGATCACACGAAAATTATTATGTGTCCGCTAATGGCAGCTGTTACATATATAGACACGGAAAAGAATTTCAGAACATACAGATTTCAAACCATACGCGAAAACGGCTGCTGTAAGGGTTTAGCGAAAAACTTAGCGTACGCATATGACAAACTTGTATTGATGTTATCGAATCCGCAAACTCGATAATCGTTGCTGGAAATCTGTTGTGGGAACACGCTAATGCTACAGTATGTCGTAGAAATATTAGTAATTTCTTCTTTTGTAATAAGGGTAATATCTTTACACTTGGCGACTAACAAATATAGTTAAGTAATTGTTTTATTTTATTTTGTAGAACCATATAGAACTTTTTACTAGGTGTTTTTATTATAACAGCCGAACAGAAATCCGCAAATCATGCAAATCATCTTTAACATTCCAAAAGGGGGCCCTGTTATATTTTTTTAGGACAGCTGACGATTAAATTGTGGTTGTATTCCATTGTATAATAACTCGTACTTTGACATAATTTTAGGGATAAAAATAAACGTTAAATCTACGTGTCTTGCCATGATATACACGATACTCCACAAAAATACCTTGGGTACAATCGAAAAGAGCGAAAGCTCGTGATATGCTTTGTTGGAGTAGTGCAATTTAAACATTTGTCTATTTATTGATATTGAAGGAAAACAGGCGACTTGAACTTCAGTAGCCACATCTGAGAAAAAATATTTTCATATTCATAACTGACCAATGTTTAGGGTCTGCTACGTATGTAATATACGCGTGTGCAATTCGTGCACCACCTAAACGTACTGAAATTTAGGATTTTCTTGAGCCTAGAAATGGCTTCAAAAATGAAGGTCTAAGTAGTTATAAAGATGTCGGAAAGATGACAATATTTCTAAGACTTAAGATTCATGTTTCAAACATTATTTTAGCAAATTACAATTACGATTCTAAAGAAATGTACATACATATAAGCATCTTCTAGTATTGTATCAAACATGAAACATCGTATAAGCATTTAATGTATTAAAACGATTGTAGTAATAGTATTATTTTTGTAATTAGTATACGACATTGTTTTGAAGATGAAGTAAACTGTTTTCATACGTAACGTTGTTTTGAAGATTAAAGACAAATCCTCTGTGACTACGTTTTGCTATTGTAGTTTTACAAAATTTATACGAAGTTAGATTAGGTTAGGTATAGCTTTTACACGTTCCCGTCGCGATTTTTTTATCACGGGAGTCATAACTGCCTTTGTAAATTTTTCATATTGTCATAATAAAAGATTCATATAAACTAATAAACAATCCCACAGTATATCCTGTTGTACAAAAACTTTTTAATAAAAAAAAATATACTTAAAACAAAGCTACATAAATTTAATACGAATGACCCTGCCAACAATTTTGGGTCTGCCAAATGAGTCACAATTGGCAGACCCAAAAATGTATCATTGTAGGGATCAAACGGGCTTTGTTTCAGCGAATAAAATAACCAAATTCTGAAAAAGTGCAATTGCTGGAAATGAGTTGAATGTATAGGACATTTGTATACGATAATAGTAACGAAATGAATATAAATGAGGGAGTTTGGGTGTGATCAGTACAATATCCGAATGTAATGGTATATGTATTGGTGCCTGACAGTGTGAAGAGCCAAGCAGAGGAAAAGTGAGATCTGTAGTCAGTAGCGACCAGTCGCGACGCAGGTCTGCGTCGAGCTTGTTTTCGTCGTTTAAATTCGTTCACGCGTGTTCCGCGCCGAGAAAGTAAATTTTCTTCGTTTCAGCATGTGACATATATACGTATGATCTTCTCGTAAAGCAGAATCACGATCCTTATACACATATACTGACAGAACAGTGAGTATAAACCGATTAATTTTGAATGGATTCGAGTGAACTGTTTGCCCCAGCTAGGTTTGGAACAGACCTTTAACTTATGCTCCAAAAAATGTTTCCAACTCGGATATACTGTTGATAAAATAGTACAAGAAAGTAATAAACGAAGAACGTCTATCAGTAGATCGTGTTGTAAACGATTACTGTTCACACAAATAATGCTTCTTCAGACTTTATTTGTGTGTACATTACGGGTCGAAGTTCATGTTACTGTCAAACACGATTGCCTGAGAGATGTACAAATTAGCAATCTATAACGCGTTAAATTGTTAACTACCTACATGATTTTTGTGACATTGTTTTTCGTGTTAATTGTTGGACTTATTTCTAGTTAAATTCCTGCGGAGAACATTAACAAATTCGTATTATTAATCATGGAACGGAACTTCTAATCTCTTGCTTGATAATGGAAAACAAATGACTAAACGGACGGTCTTATATGGGTCTTATTGAATAAGTCGGGGTTAAAGATTCAAATACGTGAAACTATGTACCTAGATCATAGATAGAAACATCAGTTTAATGTTTTAAATATCATTATTTCAAAACGCTCTAATTATGTACAGTTTATCGACACTAATTATCGTACGCGTTAGACTCGAGAAGATGTGTGGTACGTATCACGCTGAACCGTTACGAATCACGTGTCGTTGACAATTGACCCGTCCACGGCATCTGGTCTTAATAACAATTTCGCGTGGCATCTTTGATGGGTACCCATTAAACGCTTGACGTTACACAACTAGAATAAACTTGAATAGTGCTCACGATTAATAATCGAATAATTAACCCTCGGAAGAACATATTTTTAGAATCGCCGGCTGAAATGCACGGTAGACAACGGCAGATTATCGTACCCACGTTGCTATCTTCGTTTCTGTTACCGTTTCGTCGTGATCGCCGTATGTTTCAGGTTAACTTCTTGTTGCATAACGCGTTTCAATTGTTTTCGAAGAACCTTCGTCGTGTCTTTCCTTGTGCGACCGCGTACATTCAGCTGATTCGATTCAAGCTATTTTTGTAGTACAGACAGTAAAAATTGCTTCATATAACAACCGGCGAATTGAAACGATCAATTTGTTACACATTTCTGCGTAAATATCAAACAAGTACTCGTGTTGAAACTGGGCGCGTTGTAATACAACACCGGTAATACCATAAATTCGTCGAGGCTTCACGAAGGCATGGAAATGACGATGGTTCATTTACCTTCGTCGTACAATTTGTTTTGCAACAGACAGTGCACACATCTGTCTAACTTGTCGAACCTTACCGGCCGAAGCATTGCAATTAATTGAATATGAACTTGAGAAGGAAGACAGTTCTCGGTGTCGTAATTGAATCTTAAGCTGACGGCTGAGATCTCCAAAATTTTGCGAAACTGATAAGAAACGGTACATGTCACAAGATGATATTGAATCATGATAACATTATGTTTTAATCATTGGCTTGAAAATATCGTTTTTTTAGAGTTTAGAAATTATTCTCCTGCGGTAACCAGGACATTTTCCTCGTCCGGACATTTACCTTGTTACCGACACACGATGAAACAGACTTCATGTTGTAGGATTCGTGTTTCGGACTGACACGTAAGATTACATAATGCTTAATATGTAACGTAATTACATAGTGTGTGCGTTTGTAGAAAGTTTACTGAGGTCTCTGTTACGAGCAATTCTAACTATGATAGTTCCACCGATTTTGCAATTTCCATGCACGACGACCAAATAACAAATATTGGTCTGCAACGCAAGACTCTTCGTGTACGTATCGTGGCAGTTATTTACGGCGATAAGAAATTAACGTCTTGGGGTTCGCCGCGTTTCACAGCGGTTTCAACTGCCGAAGCTTTTCCGTTTGCCTCTACTTTTTTATGATGACTAGAACGAACGTGTACAGTTGGATACGGCATTAGTGCTGAATCATGGAACGTGACGAAGATTACTGGCACTGTTTCATCTTCGTCATCGACTGTACACTGTGCACACGACTGATACGTGATAAATTAAAAATAAAACGACAATTATTTGACTGCACAGACGACGACAGTCACTACTTACATGCGAATATCAAACGTGTAATCAGTTTCGCAAAATTTGCTACAATCCAATTATTTCATCGAAGATTAAAGGCACGTTCATAACAATGCTTTGTTTATTCGAGAAACATCATTATACAATAGAAATTTCGTTCTTCATATAAGCTCGTGCATACTTAAGCTTGTGACAACAGTCGTTATAGCACGAACGTTATAATGCATACGAGTATAATAGTCATATACAGGGTGTCCCAAAAATGTAATTAATATACAATTCATTTCGAATAATTAAGGGTGACAGAGATAGTTGGGACACCCTCTATGTAACGTTAATATTTACTCTATATCAACAAAATTTACTATAATCACAATGATATTTAAATTCTACTCGCTGATCGACATTGAAATTAATCCCTCTGTGATATTTACAACGGGACGTCTTTCCAAGGCTACGAAAATGTATGTACGCGAAAGAAAGACATCGACGACGATCTTCAATACACTCTGTTATCGTTATTGTCATTCACGGAAAGCTCGCGGCGTTGTTAGAATATTTTCTAACAACGCCGTCAACTTTCTGCCTAAGCTCCGTATCAACGTGCAACACAGACACCCCCTTTATCTCTTTGACGGAGCGTCGAACAATGTGTTTGAACAAGAGAAGATGTTTCCCGATGAATTCTGAACACACGCGCAATTGCGAATAGTTATCCAACGCGTGGCTTCTTAAAATTTCGCTCAACGTCTTCCACACGCATTGCATCACGATTTGATCGACATTTAGCTATGAATGTAATAAAGCTTGTTCGACCTTCGTGGTTTATTTATCTCGCACGATGCAACAGTTATCATTACAAAACATGGTGGGTACACATTTTATATTGAATTCGTCTGCTACATGAAAATCAACGACTTGGTAGATTTTTTTTTTTAAATTTCTATCGATAATTTTTCGATACGTTTCAGATCATTATTGTTGGGTTAATGGTATTAGATTGGTGCACATAAAATGTCGGATTTTATTTATTTGTGGAGGTTTGTTATTCGTTTGTTTTTCACATAATCTCTTGAACAGTTTCATCCTCGAAAGATATTGATAACTACCCTAGTAGCAATTAATGTTGGCACTTTTATGGGCCTTTGATGCATTATTGGCTGGTCAACAGTTAGAATTGTCACCCTTTTTTGCAACTGGTCCAACAATCATACCCAACGTAGGGCCCACGTCAGTATACTACGAAGGGCCAACTGGATGTTTCTTTCTGTAGGGCCAATTGTTGAGTATTGAAACCACACGTTTAAAAAAAAAAATGGCATTAATGCTTTAAAAATCCGTTGGGAGAAGTGTGTCGAAGCTGATGGATCTTAATTCGATAAATAAAATTCTTTTTCTAAACGAAATAGTGTTTTTGTTATTTAAAAAAAAAATTCGACATTTCATATGCACCAAGCTAATAATAAGAACTATTAGTATACAACGGTATACATAGTAACACTTACGTTTAATAGTAATGAATATATGTTAACGACCTCGTCTATAACGAAGCACTTTTTTTACCATTAGCTGACTATTTTATATGTATTTAATAATACACGTCTCGTTATATCATTCGTTCGTAACACCTCAAATGCTCGGTCGAACCATATGAAATTTCACGTCGAAAATATTAAACGAAATTGAGTTTAACCGGCCCCGAAACGTCCCGATCGTATTGATATTTAACTTACCGGGCGAAAGATACCGCGTGTAATACAGCAGTGTAGAAGCTTTACGACCATCCAGGCATTATTTGAGCAATGACAAAGCAAGTAGTAGATAAAGATGAGAAGCCCGATTGTACAATACATTTCGAAATATGATACAGAATCTGTTTGCTTAAATACAGGCGCTCGATCGATAGGAGTCTTATTCGTAGAGGAGAAGAAGAAGAAGGATCGATTCTTCTGCGTATCCGGAAACATATTGGGAATCGTTGGATCGCCGGCGAACGGATTTAATCGTCTCAAAAATCCTGCGATATACTTGACGTCGAGATTGCTGCCTTATCTAACAGTCGAGTGTAAATTCTCGAGTGGCAGGACAATTAACCAACGATTATTAGGCTTGACTCAAGAGGGCCCTCGTGAAGATAAGCTACTTCAACGATGACAATCGTGTAACAAGCTTTGTGAAATCGTTTACGATTCCAATTATCTTGCTTGATATTGCGAGCACGATTTTTCGAGATCGACACTTTGACAGTTTCCCGTCCATCGTCGAGTGATCCGGCCAAGTGTCCCATTAGTTTCAGTAATCGCTCGAAAAAAAAAAGCGAGTTAATGCAGGGCACAGAGGAAGATGGACTCGAGCAACGTGAAATCGAATCCGAACCCGCGAGAAAAAGCGAATTTACTGTCGGTCCTATTTTGGTGGTAAGTATTGGGTGCATTTGGCATCGATGATCTGTGCAAAATTTGTATTTTTATCGTGGCTGTAGAAAGTGGCGTTGGAGATTGGCCTCCTAATATTTGGTATCGGGAATTATTGAAATTTATGCCAAATTAACATTCGGTTTAACGTTTATTTCAGTCCTTGAAATACATTTACTAAGTGGCATGAGACTTAGTAAATTTATTTAAAGTACTGAAATGAACATTAAACCGAATGTTAATTTGGCATAAATTTCAATAATTCCCGACACGAAATTTTAAAAGGCCTTTCTCCAACGCCACTTTTTCCCCTAGCGGAAGCAGAGTGTTGCTCGTGAGGGTACATCCGGTCGCGAACGTGTTAAACAACCAATTCGTTTGCTCGATATGTATACTAAAGTCACTCTTAATATGTTGCGACACAGGTGGACAATAGGATTGTTCAAGGCAGGCTACAAGAAGGTATTGCAAACGGACGACTTGTACGATCCGTTGAAGACCGATAGATCGCACGTGCTGGGAGACAGATTAGAAAAGTTGGTATTAAAGCAAACCATACAAATATTCAGATCGATCCACGAAACCGATGGAAACGATTGGGGGAGGAAAGCACCAAGTTTCATGGAAATTTTTCGTTTTTCAGACGATGGACAATCGAGCTCGAGAACTCGAAGAAATCCAAGCGACGACCAAGCTTCCTGAGGGCCATTTTTCGTACCTTTCTATGGGAGTACAGTTGGCTCGCGCTGATGCAGATACTGAACGAATTTTTACTACGGTACGGTCTTTTCTTCTCGTCATTCGACATTCCATATTGTTAGAATTATGTGGGTAAAGACTGACTATACTTATAAATACTATTTAATCTTGTTAACATTATGATCATGCACCAGCTATTAGTAGACATTTTTAGAGTTAGAGGAGAAGATGAATATAATACCATGAAACATGAATATGAAATACCAAAAAATGCAGAAGCGACAAAACACATGTATCTTACGAACAAATTATGCTAAATAGATGGTTGGTCGATAAGTGATTCATAAGCATGAACTAACATATATTATTAGTACAACGTTTTTTTTTTTCTTTTTGTATCTAACACCTTGTTATCTGTATTTGATCTTTAGATTAGGGACCCCGATGTTACTCGGAGGGCTGCTGCGCTACTTCCGGAAGAACACAACCGAGACATACGAAACAGCACTTCTGTACGCCGGTGGGATTTGCCTGGCGACCGCGATGAATGTGATTTTCTTGAACCAATCGATCTTCGGAGCGTTCCATGTCGGTGCGAAAATCCGTGTTGCGGCCTGTTCCGTTGTTTACAGGAAGGTAATAAAAGACTGTGCGTGGCCAATTACACTGTGCAACACGATTTTTAATCTGCAATATCCATTGGGAGATCCTCAGTTCCTCGTCCAGATCACGAATCCAGAAGCAATCGGCTGTTTTTACAAAAGCTCATGTTTGTCAAAAACTGAAAGAGATTGAGAAATACTGCTCACGGATTCGTGATCTGGACTAGAAACTCTATTTGGATATTTCCCAATGGATATTGCAGATCAGAAAAAAAGTTTAAATTTCTTGGACAGTGTTATCAATAGACTGCGGATTTTATGCATTTATAGCCTATAGGGCTTTGTGAAATACAATAAAAGAAAATACGACGTCGTTTCTATTTTATTCTTAATCCAATAAAATATTTAAGAGAGGAAAAAAATTCCTATATTTGCTATTGTCTTTATGAATCACTTTACATAATGTTATTTTCCATAGAAATCCGCAGTCTAGTTATCAAGGTGGAGGCGAACGTACGTTGGTCACCGAAGGCCGCGAAGATCTCTAATCTCCAATTACATAACTCAAAGATTACGCCATTGTTTCGCTATTGTTGCTGTTACAGGCGTTACGTCTCAGTAAAACGGCGTTGGGCGAAACAGCACCGGGTAAAATAGTGAATTTGGTGGCCAACGATGTGAACAGATTCGATCTGGTCTCGATTTTTATTCACCACATGTGGTCCGCCCCGTTATCTGGACTGATCATCGCCTATTTCTTGTACACTGAGGCTGGATACGCTGGCCTGATCGGCATCGCCGCGGTGTTCATTGTTGTGCCGATTCAATGTGAGTTCCCGGTAATGCTGACTGCGTTATACGTTAAAAAGAACGTTCTGATAGAATTTGTTCTTTACAATATTGGTACCTCTATGCTTCAGCTTACACAGGAAAGCTGTCATCCAAGTTCCGAATGCAAACCGCGATGAAAACCGACGAAAGGGTGCGTCTGATGGACGAGATAATATCAGGTGTGCAGGTGATAAAGATGTATGCCTGGGAGAAACCGTTTTGTGCTCTTATCGAAACTGCCAGAAAATTGGAACTGCAAGTGGTCACCAAGAGCTCGTACATCAGGGGCATCTACATGACCTTCAATTTGTTCACCACAAGAATGGCACTTTATAGCACTCTGATCAGCATGCTGTTGTTCGGGAACGAATTAACAGCGGACAAAGTGTTCGTTTTCTCGTCCTATTTCAACATATTGGCGCACACAATGTCGGGAATGTTTGTACGCGGGTTCGCTGAAATAGCCGAATGTCTGGTCGCCGTGAGAAGGCTGCAGCATTTCCTGTTGTACGAGGAGTTTCAGGAGAAAGGAGTCAGCTTGAGCAAGTTCGCTGCCAGTCTTAACGGTAGTATCAACAGTGACACAAAGCAGACGTCCGATAAACCGTCGAGACATGATTTACCGTACATCGACGACGAAGTGGACGGCTATGAGAATCTGGACGAGTCGTCGGAGAGAAGACGACATAACGGTTTAGTGGTGGTCGCTAGCGACTTGTTGAAGAACACTGCGAATCTGGTGGGAGGTAATGTGTACGCAACATTTAGTATTAATACGTCATAGAATACAAACATCTGACATCTTCCATTCACCTCCACAGAGGAAAAACGGTCCTCCCTAATGAACGAAGAAATATGCGCAGTTAGGATGGACAACGTGACAGCTAAATGGGAACTGGGTCACTCGGAGAACACTTTGGAAGGTGTGAATTTAGAGATAGAAAAAGGAAAGATGTACGCTGTGATCGGCATGGTCGGGGCTGGCAAGAGTTCCTTCCTGTCCGCGATTCTTGGAGAAATAGATGTTACAGAGGGTCAGGTGAAAGTCAATGGAACTGTCAGCTATGCGGGACAAGAGGCTTGGGTGTTTGGGTCCACCGTTAGACAGAACATACTGTTCGGCCAGTCGTATGATCGTCATCGTTACCAAAAGGTTATTAAAGCGTGCTCCCTTACGCGAGATTTCAAACAATTTCCCCAGGGCGATCAGACGACTGTCGGGGAAAGAGGTAGTTCTTTGTCAGGTGGACAGAAGGCTAGGATCAATTTGGCCAGGTCCCTGTACAGGCAGGCGGACATTTATTTACTGGACGATCCTCTAAGCGCAGTGAGTAAACTTCTTGTACAGACCGGATATAGGAAAGTCCCGACGTCTTACCGAGGTTTCCTTTTTTCCCTTGAAGCACCGACCTCCCGAGAATCCTCTCATTACGCCCTCTGTAATTATGAACGGCGATGCTGAGAACTACGTTTGATCACAAGTCGAAGGATAAAGTCCGCAGCTGTGATTATTTAATCCGAATTAAGTCCAATCTATATTTCGTCTGTGGTCCCAAATTAACGAGTATTAACTGTATATACTTATTTTACATTTGTGCACACGTTTTAGGTGGACACGCACGTTAGTAAACATTTGTTCGAAGAATGTATGCAACGATACTTGGCAGGGAAGACCAGGATTTTGGCGACCCATCAGTTGCAATACGTGAAAACCGTCGACGCGATCATACTTATCGAGCAAGGAAAGGTCACCGTATTCACGACTTATCAAGATCTGTTGAACAGACGACCCGATTATGCTCAACTTCTTGCAGCGGAGACTGAAGGAAACGACGACTCGTCGTTAGAGAAGAGCGTGATGCGAAGACAGTTTTCGTCGTCGAGTACCAGGGTAAACCGTTGTGTTTCAATACTTCACAGACATAACATAATTAGTACTGAAAAATATTCAATGTGCTATCTGGGGTTAAACATTTAATACTTTTTTTTCGAATAGAGCCGAACACCGGAAGCCAGTACTGCTGGTACAGATGATGAGGATGAGGACGAGGATCCCGAAAAATTAAACGACGGCTTCGAAGGAACATCCCGTGGAACGGTCAAGGGGCCGATCTTCCTAAAGTACTTCCAAACTGGCGCTAACTTATGTCTTGCGACAACAGTACTTTTACTCTTTCTCTGTACACAATTCACCGTTAGTCTTAACGATTATTTCATTCCTATTTTGTGAGTATATTTTATAATCTATCGTGTATGATTATCCTTTGAAAATGGTCTTCGTGATGGTAAAATATTTTCAGAGTAAACGAAGAAGAGTCGCGGCACTATAATTTACTTCAGAGCAGCTTGAATGCTACCAACGAAACATCAATCGATACTTCTGACTTGTCGTCGACGTACAGTTATTTGTATATTTACACGGCTATAATAGTCGGCATATTCACCATTGGAATCACTAGATCCTTAATATTTTACAAAGTATGCATATTGTGCAGTCAAAAGTTACACGACATGGCCTTCAGCGCCTTGATCCGAACTGGTATGCGATTTTTCGATACGAATCCCAGTGGTAGGATCCTCAACAGATTCTCCAAAGACATGGGAGCGATAGATGAACTGCTACCGAAAGCAATACTCGACGCTGGCCAGATATGCATGATGATGGTTGGATCGTTGGTCGTATCTTGCAGCGTCAATCCACTTTTCCTGATCCCTATATTATTTCTGGGCTTTGTCTTTTACTGGATACGAAAAGTTTTTCTGAAGACTAGCAAGAATATCAAGAGAATGGAAGGAGTTAGTAAGTATTCACTGATATTGGTAGCATCGCTTCTTATGTTCTTAATAAATATATAAATCATATATTAATAATATATGATAATATATAATAATTAATTATATATTATACAGCTCGATCACCTGTATTCACTCATTTGAATGCTACGCTCAATGGTTTGAGTACCATCAGAGCTTATTGCGCGCAGGATATACTGAAGAAAGAGTTTGACAAACTGCAGGACGTTCATACTTCAACTGTCTACATGTACATAGTAGCAAGCACTGCCTTTGGATTTTCTCTGGACGTCTTTTGCCTTGTGTTCATTTCATTGGTCACCTTCAGTTTCCTTCTATTGGAACAGGGTAAGAGATTCATACTACGGAGCCAAAACTGAAGGCAACTGGAAAATCAAGCAGCTATCTAGAGATACCTCTCACAAGTTTGATATTGACGAGTGATCGACTGATGTTTTTTCAGCATTCTCTGGAGGAGAAGTGGGTTTAGCTATTACCCAAGTGATGGCTATGACTGGAATGATTCAATGGGGTATGCGACAAAATGCTGAGGTAGCTAATCAGATGATGGCTGTGGAACGTGTGCTCGAATACACGCAAATAACACCCGAACCAAATCTTCGCGATAAAGGAAAATTCGTGAAAAAGAACGAGAGAGCTATTGCACTTCCAGCTAATGCCCCGAAGAACTGGCCCGTATCGGGGACGATAAAGTTTAATAACGTATATATGCGATACGCCGAAGAAGAACCTCCAGTGTTGAAAGGGCTGAATATCGTCATTCATGCGGGCGAGAAAGTTGGTTGACTTCTCTATCATTTCAATTATTATTAATGTTTACAGAACATCCATACGTTTGTAAAATATTTCAGATAGGTATTGTGGGTAGAACTGGTGCTGGAAAATCCTCTTTGATATCCGCGTTATTCAGACTAGCCAAAGTCGAAGGAATGATTGAAATCGATGGTGTAGACGCTGCTTCTATTTGCCTGGAAGATCTACGATGCAATATATCGATAATCCCTCAAGACCCAGTCTTATTCTCTGGTACACTGAGACGCAACTTAGATCCCTTTAACGAATTCTCGGATAAAGCACTATGGGAAGCGCTCGAAGAGGTTGGTGGAATAAGAGTAATAGTTTTCTTCAGACGTAATTGTTTTTTTCTTAATAAATGAGTATATATATATATATCTTGAAACGCATAGGTCGAGTTGAAAGATGCCGTTGTCACGGCTGGCACTGGATTGGAAAGTCGAGTGTTGGATAGAGGCAGTAACTACAGCGTAGGGCAAAGACAGTTGGTCTGTTTAGCAAGAGCAATCTTAAGGAACAATCGGATACTCATGCTTGACGAGGCAACTGCGAATGTGGATCCACACACTGACGCGTTGATTCAACGTACGATAAGGAAAAAATTCGCCAGGTGCACTGTACTTACCATTGCCCATCGGTTGATCACCATTATGGACAGTGATAAAGTTTTAGTCATGGATAAAGGTCGTATGGCGGTAAGCAGGATTCTTTATTTACTAAGGAAATTGTGTATCATCATAGACAAAGGATCTGGGTCCAGGTTGATGAATATATTAACTGTTTATCTCGTCCGTGCTTCAACTATCGTTTACTGTGTTCTCTACCCAGATAGCACACGATGCCTTGAAGACAGCTTAAAGGCGCCTCAGACCTACAATAGCCGTAAAATGGACGCCTTAAGGACGCCTATTTTAGGTCTAACGCGTCTTTCAGCTGTCTTCAAGGCGTCATGTGCTATCTGGGTATTAATCGCGGTACACTTTCAGATGTCGAAACACAGTAGTTAACTAAAATTATGTATTGATTTCTATTACAGGAATACGAACATCCACATATACTGCTCCAAAATGGCTACAGTCACTTTACGTCGTTGGTGAAGGAGACCGATAGAGCAATGTACGATCAATTAGTAAAGATAGCAAAACAGTCTTACATTGCCAAACACGGGGAACGATGATTAATTGAATTAGGTCGGTCAGACTTTTCTACAACCAAGTTGATTCTACATGGTTAACAAGCATCGAACGTACCCTCACGAGTAAACTCGGCTTCCTTTAGGGGAAAACGCAATGTAAAGGTAAGGGCTTCCTATCGATTGATAAATTTATTTCAAGTTTGAAATAAATGTTAAACCGAGTGTCGATTTGGCATAAATTTCAGTAACTCCGGAACCAAGTGGTAGGAGGTCTTTCCTTTACGTCACTTTTTCCCCTAGAGGAAGCGGAGGTTGCTCGTCGGTGTACAATTAAATTTAAATTATAATCAAGTATTATCGTAAGTTCCGAGCACGCTCATCGAATATTATATTTTTGTACTTTCGAACGGATCCTGTCTCGGTACTTCTTGTCGTCGTAGAAGGTGTTGTTGAGCGGTGCTACTTAGTGGTGTACAACTCTTCCAATTAGTACTTATATTTTTCTACTGTACATTTTACGTGATACACAACTCTGGCAATTTTCGATCCGCCAATTTTAAACAATACCTTCCCTTTCAATGAACCAAACATGTACTTATAAGATGTTGAACAAACGTAAGCGTGATTTAGTTGGACCTATTAAGGAATATCTAATATGAACAATACACGGTATACGAAGAAATATACTTACACAACAGAATTGTACAAATCGAGTGCATTAATGGTTCTTTATTATGCAACATTAATAATTGCAATAAAAGGAAAGCAACGTGTTATACAGGGTAGGTGTAATAGATTGCGTACAATCCGAAAGTAAAAATAATTTCATTTCATATGAAAGTGAATGCAAAATGTGAAATAAGTATTTTTATAGGTTTTTTTTACGATACTTCTGAAAAAATGCAAATATCACTGTGGAAAAGAGGTAATACTATAAAGCTGTCCATGTTTATCCGTATTAGCAGTGATAAAAGTGATCAGAAATGGATAGACACGAGTGCAGAATATTTTTTTAAAAAAATGTCAGACCAGAAAAAAGTTTACTTTATATTTTGTCACGTATTTTGACATTGTACTATGAATTACGCCCCGCCCTGCTTAAAGGCACGAATTTCTGAACAGTACGCTAACATGTTTTATAGTATAGACTCAGTCAATTTTTTCTACATGCTATCAAGTTACACCAAGAAATCATTGGTGTTGGTGGCAAGCCAGTGTTCATTTTAACTAAACATCGCGCGGAGATTATAATATATTTTCTAAGAATATGTATGCATATGTTTACAGATACCATTATTGTATATTATCAAATTGTAAATAAAATTCCTTTTGTATAAACTATCAGTGCCCTGTTAAATTAATTCCGCGAACTGTTCAAATTTCCATTAGATGACATTCAGTACTCACCGAGCCGGACATATGTTGGAAGAATTGAACGAAGAAGTTTCACGATCAGGATTTCATTATGCCAGCACTCCACTAGAAATATATACACAAAAGAATTTCACAATTTTCAATCACTGACACTCGCACAAAAGTGTTTTATTCGAAAAATAACTGAGCAACAATCCACCCCCATCGCGAGGAATGATCGCCGAAAAGGTCTGTGCACGTTCAAATTACCAGTAGCTTATTGGTTGGCGCCGCGCCTGCGCAATAGGATTCAACTCTCCGGGCGGGAAATTTAAAATTGAAATGCTACGGATTGAAAAATGATATGACGGATAATTTTTAAAGAAGTAATATATAAAACACGTTAAAACAGTTGTATAACATAAATTTCTGCGGCTAAACAGCAACTTTAGCATATCACCAATGAAAATTCAGTTTTCGCTTATTCATGAAATAAATCTTATTGTCAGCAAATCTGTTATGCATTACTTATCGGTAAGAATAAATATTCTAGTAGCTACAATTCAAATCACGGCGATAGCAAAGCAAGAACAGTTTCTAGGGTTGCGTTAAAGGAAATTGTATCGGATCGAAGACGACGGCTGGTTGCTTTTGTAAACGCAAGGAATCCAATAATGGAACCGAAAGTAGTGTACACTAAACGCAGTCCCAAAGAGACTACCGGTCCACTGAGTCGATTATTCTTTGGGTATGTATCCCTTCGTCCTATTAATTCTTCTTCGTTTCGTAGAACCAGTGACGTTTATTCTCTGTATTTCCATGATGTAGATGGACAAGGAAATTGTTTCTCAAAGGCACCAGGAGAAACTTGACCCTATCGGATCTCTATTGCCCCATGAAATCGGATGAATCCGAGGGACTTGGCGACCGATTGGCCACGTAAGAATCCATGTACCTGAAAACGATCGGTTTTTGAAATCGTGGTCGAGGTATTAATATCGAGCGTTCTACGCCGCACAGGTCATGGGAACGTGAATTGCAGAAATCGGTGTCGAAAGAGGACACGAACGAAACGTATAAGCGAAACTCGAATGAAAAAGGTTCTCCCCTGTTGGCATTGGCAGTCGTTCGAGCATTTTGGCCAGAATTCATTATCACATCCGTCCTTTACGGGCTCCAATACGTGGTCCTGCAGATGTTTCAACCGATTCTGCAATCTTGGATAATCAGTTATTTTAAAGGGAATCAAGACGCCTCGACAATCACCAAAACGGATGCTCTAATTTACGCTGGCTCACTGACGATCGTTTTGTTAGTCACAGTTTCAGTTAATCATCATGCTGATCTATTGGTGGACCAAATGGGCATGAAGATACGAGTCGCCTGTTGTTCCCTAATTTACAGAAAGGTAATCAAGCATCGGAGCAACGGCTCAGGTGTTCCGTTTAACAATATCGTTCAGAATTCGATGGGAGTTGTGCAGTCGGTACAGTTCACGGATATCCGTTGCGTAGTGACTGTTCATCGGTCAGTTTTATAAATCACAAGTACAAACAAGTAATTCTTTATTATTCTATCGAGAGCCATTTTGTTCGACGTCGTTCCAACGTTTAGAACTGTCCTTCGCCTCTAGCGGATACAAAGTACAGTGATTATGCAGTTTCTCTTGCAATATAGATATTGGAAAATGCTTAACTGACATTTTCGAACGTTATCGGTAATAAATTATGTCGAGCCGTGATATTTTACTAAAAATAATGGACTTGAGCGTTCACTTTATTTATCCTGATATGAACTTTGTACGAGTCTTGGCCAGGTGTTCCTTTCCCATCTCAAAGATGTTATTTCCAGATGCTACGACTGAGTCGTGGTGCTTTGACTCACATCACATCCGGACAGATCGTAAACCTTATCAGCAACGACGTGAGTCGCTTCGATACCACCATGCATTTCGTCAATTTTATGTGGATCACACCTGTTCAGGTACCATCAGTCTTATAGTTTTTGAATGACAAATGATAACAGTTAATGCCTGACGTTATATCGAACGTTCCGCAGACACTTATTGTCGCGATGATAGTATGGGACCAGATTGGACTCGCGACCATCGTGACATGCGGATCACTTTTTGTAATCATATTTCCGGTTATCGTAATCACTAACCGACTAAGTGACAGATTCCGGGAGATCATAGCAGTGGTAACAGACACAAGGGTGCAACTAATGCATGAAGTATTAACGGGCATTCAGGTAAGTGACCATTAGAAACGAAAAAACAAATATATCGGTCAAAGATCTAATCTTTTAAATAAGGTAATCAAAATGTACGCTTGGGAGAAGACGTTCGCCAAGATCCTAAGTACTATCAGAGCCGAGGAACTGAAAAAGATCAAAATGGCATCGTTCATTCGAGCTGTACACATGTCCCTCATAGTGATACCGAACCGACTGGTTCTCTATCTCACCCTTTTGTCTTACGTTCTAATGGGAAACCAGATCCAGCCGAACATAACGTTTATGTTGGTGAGCTACTTTCAGCATATCCAACTGACGCTTGGGTACTTCGTACCAGTGGGGGTTATGCTTATTAGGGAGTCCTTGGTGTCCCTCAACAGAATAGAGGTTTGTACCTGAAACAGAAGAATAGTCATCGTCTGTCGCATGATCGCAGAAAACGGAATTTCGAACTATGTCCGTTATGCCTGAATTTTACTTTCAGCAATTCTTATTACTCGAAGAACAGTCGAAAGGAAAAATATCGTCGCTTCGAGCACGACCAAATGTTCCTCTAAAGTTCAAGAAGAACGGTAAGACGGAGAATAGCACGGAAATACCAGATACCGGTAAACCAGAGAACATTTTCGAGGAAATTACGCCAGTTTCGGTGGCACTGGAACACGTATACGCGAACTGGGTTCCGGAAAATTTACCACCAACTTTGTGCAACGTGTCGATGCAGATTCGAGCTGGGGAATTGTTCGCGCTTGTGGGCTCTGTCGGCTCCGGCAAGTCTTCCATCATTCATCTGCTTCTAAGGGAAATATCCTTAGGAGCTGGAAAAGTGAAATTCATCAGTTATCCGGCGAAGGAGATTCAGAACAACAAACTGGGCTATATCGTTCAGAAATTAAATCTGAAAGTCTCGTACGCGAGCCAAGAACCGTGGTTGTTCTCTGGCTCGGTCAGACAGAATATCCTCTTTGGATTACCGTATGACAGAGAAAGATACGTCGCGGTAAGTCCTTTCGAATGTTCACGATTCTTTGCGTTTGCTCTTGGCTGGAAAGTTTCAACCTCCATAAAATTAGAATAGAAGTAGTCACGCACTGTCAGCATCGTCAAACGTGAAATTCTAAGCTGAACGTATTTTGTATTCTAGGTGACGAAAGCTTGTGCGTTAACTAGAGATTTTCAACAACTCCCTTACGGCGACATGACCAACGTAGGCGAGAATGGGTCGTCGTTATCAGGGGGCCAAAAGGCCCGAGTGAACCTGGCAAGGGCGGTCTACAGACAAGCGGATATTTACTTGCTGGACGATCCATTGAGCGCGGTGGACGCACGAGTGGCCAAGCATCTCTTCCAGAAGTGCATTCGGGAATACCTTCGCGGGAAGACGAGGGTTCTGGTCACCCACCAGGTACAATTTCTCAAGGAGGCTCACACTATTGCGGTGATGGATCGAGTAAGCGTAAATCCTTTACTGACTGACGGAACGCAGGTGGCCCTGTGTACAAGATAGTGCATGACTTTTAAACGATACACGCTGGTTCCTCTTTAAAGGGTAGTGTAAGAATGCAAGGCTCTTACGACGAATTGTCCAAGTCTTCGAAGGACTTCACGGAGATAATCGAAGGTATTAAAATGTCAGCAGACGCCACTAGGGAGAAAGAAACCGAGGATATACCATTAAATGAGTCAACGACGAAGAGACAGATCAGTAGAAAGAGCGTGGGCAGATCTTCTATTATATCCACCGCCAGCAGTATAGTAATTATATATAAACACCGTTTATATTGGCACTATTAGAAATGATCCTAATTGGTACACCCATGCAAGGCTATAGATTATAGCCTATAATGAAATTGTAGGAAATCTCCAAGGTTCTAGATATCTTATTGTTTCCAGTTAACCTACAATTACGAGATTCAAGAGTTTGCGCCGTCCGAAGACAACGAAGAGGAAGCCATTGGTCGCGCTTCTGCAAACGTGTACCTTAATTACTTCAAATACGGTGGTTCTTGTTTCGTTTTGGCGATGCTTGTCTTCGTATTCATCGTCTCCCAAGTGATTGTTTCCGGTAACGATTATTGGGTCTCCTACTGGACAAATTTAGAAGTTATCCGACGGTCAGTGGAAAACGGTTCTCAGGCTGACAGTTATCAGTATAGTTACATGTTCAACAACACGTTTTTTTCGAGCATATTTACATTGGACAGCAACGGTCTTCTATCCGAATCCGACGCGCTATACGTTTACGCCTTCTGTATTGTCTCTTGCATCGTGATCGCCTTTGGCCGAGGTTTCTTCTTTATGCAGATCTGTATGGTCGCCAGTCGCAACATTCACAATTCGATGTTCTGGAGTGTGTTGCAGACAACGATGTCATTCTTCCATCGGAATTCGACCGGTAAAGTAATCGAACACGCTTGTAAATGAACATCGACAGAGATTACGAGTCGATTACTCTTTACAGGTAGAATTATGAACAGATTTTCCAAAGATGTCGGCACCATAGATGAATTGCTGCCGCTGGCATTGCTGGAAACTGTTATCGTATTCTGCACTACCTCAGGCATCTTTATTATGATAGTAATCGTCAGTTACTGGATGATTGTACCTCTAACTGTTCTACTTGTTCTAATTTACGTCATAAGATTACAGTATCTTAAGGTTGTGCGGAGATTGAAACGTCTGGAGGGCATAGGTAAATAGTCTTTAGACAAAGGCAACTACATGAATGCTCATTAAAGAAATTTCCAGCGAAGAGTCCCGTGTTCTCGCACATGACCGCTACGCTTGAGGGATTGTCGACGATTAAAACAAGTGGCTCAGATGTATCGAGGCTGTTGCAAAGACAATTCGATCAGTTACAGGATGTTCATACCGGTGCATGGTACATGACGCTTGTCGCGCCATCTGCGTTTGGTTTGTACCTCGATATAGCTGTCAGCTTCGTTATAGGAGCGATTTCTTTTAGCTTCATTCTTCTCGACCGAGGTACGCGTCATTACGAACATCAATATTGTTCACAATAACAATCTGATTACTGTTTGTTAGGTAATACTCTTGGCGGTACCGTCGGCCTAGCTCTATCACAGGCATTCCTTATTCTTGGTACATTGCCCTACGGTATAAAAAAAAGCAGTGATGTGGTAGCGCAAATGATATCTGTAGAGAGGATCTTAGAATATGTTGGGCTACCTAGCGAAGGCAATTGGGAAACTAGCAATCCACCTCCGGCCGACTGGCCGAATCATGGCCAGGTGATCCTGAAAAACGTCAGTTTGCAATACGAAAAGAACGAGGCACCGGTTCTTAAGGTATTCACAAATTACACGCGACCTGTTTACTCTCTCACATTCGATTCTAGAACCTAATTATTGTAGAATTTGAACGTGACCATCGAGCCAGGATGGAAAGTCGGTGTTGTAGGCAGAACCGGCGCTGGAAAGTCGTCCCTGATATCCGCTCTGTTCCGTTTGTTCCCCGAAGGATTGGACGGACAGATAAAAGTCGATGGAATCGACGTCAGCACAGTGGGTCTGCACGAATTTCGCACTAAAATATCCATCATTCCTCAGCAACCGTTTCTGTTCACCGACACTGTACGCAACAATCTGGATCCGTTCAACTCCTACGACGATACGACGTTGTGGGACAGTCTTCACCAAGTGGAGCTTAACGATCTCGTCCTTGATCAAAAACTGCAATACAGTGGAGGCAACTTGAGCATCGGCCAGAAGCAATTGATCTGTTTAGCAAGGGCCGTCTTGAAAAACAATCGGATTCTCATTTTGGACGAAGCCACCGCCAACATCGACAACCAGTAATATCGATTTTTACGCACACGTTGATGAAAAACATTGCATACCTGTTGCCGTCAAATGCCCTTTGTTTCAGAACCGACGCTTTGATCCAGAAAACAATACGAACCAGGTTCTCCGACTGCACGGTCATCACCGTTGCTCATCGCTTGAACACCATCATCGACTGCGACAGGATCATAGTGATGGACGCTGGATGCATCGCGGTACGATTAATTTCAGATTTTTATTATAGAAAATATGGCTAACGTGAAATTCGTAATACCTGATTTGTTTCTGGAAACAGGAATTCGGCTGTCCTCACGAGCTCCTGCGCGACAAGCCCAACGGGATATTCTCGACGATGGTGGCAAACACGGGGCCGACTATGGCGAAAACTCTTCGCGAACAGGCGGAAAGAGTTTCCATAAAAAACAAGATGGAACAAAATCTTAATTTGATCAGGCAGAGCTCCACTGATACCGATGCAACGGACATCATCGCTGAAACTGTTCTGTAAAGTTGTTCAGTCTAACCTGAAACAATAGAATTACAAACTCGAACACAATGGTACAAACAGGTTGGATAATACATCTCAAAAGTCTGATACTTAATAATGCACATATTTTTAAATAAAGTTTGTTGATGTTTGAATTAAATACACGGTGAACGATTCTAAGCGCGGTTCTGTTACCAGTCGGTAATTGGTCGAAAACGCGCAGTCGCGTCCCGTCCACCAAGTTGTAAGCGCCAGATTTTAAAAAGCAATAACGAGTTTTCGCGACGGATATTCCATATTTTGAAATATTTGTTTCTTGTAAATTACACAAACACAGTAATTATCACACAATATCCGACACCGTTCGGATAACCTTGACGGATGTATAGATAAAGTCCAGGCTGTGTGAATTTTGCGACACGAACCGTTTTCCTCCAAATGTGTATTATATACAGTTTATCAGTACGAATAAATTTTAATACGAAAGCCAGACAAGTTCGTACGTTAGTCACGTCAAACCTTCTGCGACTGGAACGTTGACCAATTTTCCGCCAACTCAAATGCACCAGTACCTAGCCGCTCAGCTGAGAACACAGTGATGGAAGTGAAAGAGGTTTACACTAAACAGAATCCAAAAGAAACCGCTGGTGTATTAAGTAAACTATTCTTCGCGTAAGTTATTGTTTATCCATTATGTTTCGTCGATGCAACTCCGTGCAACGGAGGGCAGGTTTTGAGTGTTTAGTATCTGAAATACGAAAAGAAACATGATATCATCGAGAAACTTGCTTTATTACATGGTAAAAATAATACGATGGATAGCTCAAGTATAAAATTACCTGGAAATCATATCGCTGAATATTACGTAACATATGCCAGGTACCTCTCATCTGATGTGTCGAGAAAATTAGCATAGGGTTCACTCAGCGCCGTGTCAGGTGGGCTAGGTGGGGGGGGCTGCAGTCCCGCGGGCCCCACTTTGCAGGGGTGCCCCAATCTAAGTCTTTCATCTATGGAAAAGAATAACTGAATAAAATTTTGTTTACTGTTTCTTTTTGGAATAGCTAGAAATCGCAGTAAATGTAGAAATAAATTGGACCATAGTTATTAAAATATAACGAAGCATTATTTAGTTACCATTTAATTTTATTTAAAGCAAATTTCAATGTTCGATGATTTATGTACTTTACTGTATCTTTTATTACACAAATCCCCCTCCACCGCTTTTCAACCAAGGTGACCCCCTAACCTGGCCTGGATTCACTTGGAAGTTACATTATTACAATTATTCTTTTCATATTTATGCAACAAATCTCAGATGGACGAGGCCATTATTGATTCGCGGCGGTCACAGGGAATTGGAGTTGTCGGACCTCTATCACCCTCTAAAAGAAGACGAGTCAGGAAGATTGTGCGACCAATTGTCCAAGTAAGCGACCGTACGTGTACATACGTTTCATTCTCGATTCGTCGAATCGTGATTAACAGGCGTGATTATTCCTAAAAATAAGGTCATGGGAACGTGAACTGTCTAAGCTGGATCGTGAGGACCCGGCGAAAGAGACGACGCAGGGAAATACAAAAAGGAAAGATCGTTCACCCTCGTTGCTGTTGGCTATGATTCGCGTATATGCCTCGAATTTGTTTTGGCTCGCTGCAATGTACCTGATCAGCTACGGGATCGCGCAAGAATCCCTGCCATATCTACAAGCCATGCTTCTCAATTATTTTCAAGTGTACGACCAATCCACTACTATTAGTAAAAAGGAGGCGTTAATTTACGGAGGATATATAGTAATTTCCTTAACGATCTCGATTTTCGTCTTTCATCACGCTAACTTGGCATCGGCGAGGCTAGGTATGAAGATGCGTGTCGCTTGCTGTTCCCTTCTTTACAGAAAGGTAATCTATAATTATATACGTAAATGATTATTTCCATACCGAATAAGGACAATGTCCACCATTTCTAATCACGTCCCGATTTTAAAGTTAAATAATATATTAGTTGTACAAAAAATTATTTAAATTAGTTCAGTATTTCCATACAAAATGCTACGGCACGCTGTTCAATAGATAGCAGTATTTTAATAGAAATAAATTTAATAAGTGTGCCGTCGTAAATAAACGCGATTTGAGTGGTTCTGAAAAATACTTCTATTCAAATTTAATTATAAAAGGAGGGTTAGATTTTATATCTAATGAGATTTTTTTGCCGTTCGTTGCATAAATAAATAATAAAAATCAATTTCTGCGGTAGCAGAACTCTTACACGATTAGAAATAAGGACATTCACCTTATTCGTTTTGAATATTCGCGACCTCTTTCGATGTAACGAATAGAACATCGTATTGCAACCTTCGAATATCCATGGTGGTCTTTGACCGTGTTTCAAACGTTTCACGATACAAGAAGTAATGCAAGTCACCCAACGAAGGAAACACATCAGTCAATTATAACTGTCCTTCGTGCTCCCGAGATAACGTATGCAATCAACCAGCGAAACTTTCCGTAACGATGAAAATATTCGGAAAACATTGCCGTTATTTTACTAACAGTCATCGGCTGTTCGAATATACAAATTAGCCTCGTCAGGTCAGCATTATACAGCCCGTAAACCTACGTACGATACTACGTCCGTTCGATGGTGTTCTTTTCCCAATATGAAGAGCATGTTTCTCGTAGATATTACGACTGAGCAGGAAAGCGTTGAACGACACCACCTACGGTCAGATTATAAATTTGATCAGCAACGACGTCAGCCGTTTCGATGAATTTTTGCACTACGTAAATTTCATTTGGCTTACACCGTTCCAGGTAGGTATCTAGAAACGTTTTAATTCACAGAAATACGCTTGTCCGTCGTTACATTTTCACGGATCCCGCAGATTCTTGTCTCCTGTCTGATAATATACATGAAAGTTCGAGTCACGACTTTCGTCACCCTAGGAACGCTCCTCCTGTTGACTATTCCGACCCACGCTATATGCGTGACATTGAGCACAAACTTTCGTCAAGCAAGCGCCACGTTAACGGACAAAAGGGTGCAACTGATGCACGAGCTGGTAACCGGTATACAGGTGAGTAAACGTTCGAAAAACTAAATGGTAATTCATCCTGATATTAAGGGTACATTTTTTCTCGACAAGGTGATCAAAATGTACGCTTGGGAAAAACCGTTCTCGAGCATTATAAATGCTGTCAGAGCTAAAGAGATGAAGGTGATTAGAAACACCTCGTTCGTCAAAGCTATATACGCGTCGATGATGATGTTCAGCAACCGAATAATAGTATACGCCAGCCTTTTATTCTACGTAAACACGGGAAACCAGCTTGGACCGAATGTAACATTTTTGTTGATAAGCTACTGCGAGCTGCTGCAGTTAATTGTCGCATTTTTCCTGCCAATAGGTCTCATGCTACTCTCAGAAACGGTGGTCACCATCAAAAGGATAGAGGTTCGTCTTTGTTATTGTATAGACAACGTATTAGATAATAATAATTTATTACTACTATCTACTGCGGATATTTGAAAATGTAGACATTTACTTTTCCTCTTAAGTATCTTATCGAGTTCAGAATAGACCTCGTTGGATCCGATGAAAGTTTTGTCTTTTACTGTATTTCACAGTGCCCTGTATCCGCAGTCTAGTAAGAAATTAATTATTACTTAAATTACGACGTCCAAGACACCAAATAATTCAGGCTCGGTGCGACCAACTCGAAGAGTTTTCATTTCAGCAATTCTTATTACTGGACGAACAATCGAACGCAGAAACGCTTCCAACACAACGGAACGGTTTTCCGGCGTACGAGAAGTCGAAGAAGAACGGGATTACAGGGAAAACGGTAGAGGACGTCGAAATGAAGAACGGGCATTCGCGTACACCAGTGAACAAAGTCGAGGAAATTACGCCAGTTGCGGTGGTATTGGAAAATGTATACGCGAACTGGGTTCCGGAGAAGTTACCACCGACTTTGTGCAATGTTTCGATGGAGATTCGAGCTGGGGAATTGTTCGCACTCGTGGGTTCTGTCGGCTCCGGCAAGTCTTCCATCCTTCATCTGCTTCTAAGGGAAATATCCTTAGGAGCTGGAAAAGTGAAATTCATCAGTTATCCGGCGAAGGAGATTCGGAACAACAAACTGGGCTATATCGTTCAGAAATTAAATCTGAAAGTCTCGTACGCGAGCCAACAACCGTGGTTGTTCTCCGGCACGGTCAGACAGAATATCCTCTTTGGATTACCGTATGACAGAGAAAGATACGTCGCGGTAAGTCCTTTCGAATGTTCACGATTCTTTCCGTTTGCTCTTGACTGGAAAGTTTCAACCTCCATAAAATTAGAATAGAAGTAGTCAGGCACTGTCAGCATCGTCAATCGTGAATTTCTAAGCTGAACGTATTTTGTATTCCAGGTGACGAAAGCTTGTGCGTTAACTAGAGATTTTCAACAATTCCCTTACGGCGACATGACCAACGTAGGCGAGAATGGGTTGTCGTTATCAGGGGGCCAAAAGGCTCGAGTGAACCTGGCAAGGGCGGTCTACAGGCAGGCGGATATTTACTTGCTGGACGATCCATTGAGCGCGGTGGACGCACGAGTGGCCAAGCATCTCTTCCAGAAGTGCATTCGGGAATACCTTCGCGGGAAGACGAGGGTTCTGGTCACCCACCAGGTACAATTTGTGAAGGAGGCTCACACTATTGCGGTGATGGATCGAGTAAGCGTAAATCCTTTACTTACTAGCGGAACGCAGGTGGCCCTGTGTACAAGATAGTGCATGACTTTCAAACGATACACGCTGGTTCCTCTTTAAAGGGTAGTGTGAGAATGCAAGGCTCTTACGATGAATTGTCCAAGTCTTCGAAGAACTTCACGGAGATAATCGAAGGTATTCAAAAGTCGGCCGAAGCAACCAGAGAGAAAGCAACCAAGGATATACCATCGCACGAGTCTCTGATAAAGAGAAGAATCAGCAAAATGAGCGTGGGCAGATCTTCAATCGTATCCACCGCCAGCAGTATTGTAACTATATATAAATTCCGTTTTTATAAGTTAAGTTATAGTTCCGTTTTTATGAGTTCTGGATGTCTTACTGCGTTCCAGTTAACGTACAATTACGAGACCGATGGGTTTACACCGACCAAGGACGAGGAGACAACAGCCCTTGACCGTGTCTCTGCAAATGTGTACTTTAATTACTTCAAATACGGTGGTTCGTATTTCATGTTGGCCATGCTGGTCTTCGCCTTCATCTGCACCCAGTGTGCTACCAACGGTAACGATTACTGGGTATCCTACTGGACGAATCTGGAAACCGTAAGAATATCCGTGGCGAACGATTCACGAACGGCCACTCGTCAATACAGTTACATGTTCAATAATTCTTTTTTATCGAGTATATTTACATTGGATCGCAATGGTCTTCTAACCAGCCGCGATGCTATGTACGTTTATACGTTTTGCATTATCGCTTCTATTGCAACCGTGGTGGGGCGAAGTTTCTTCTTCATGTGGATCTGCGCGAAATCCAGCCAGAAGATTCATGACTCGATGTTCTGGAGTATTTTGCAGTCGACGATGTCGTTCTTCCATCGCAATCAATCGGGTAAATACACTGCTGAACACACTGGCGATATAAGCGAAGATTAATTTTATGATTCCGTTGATTTACGCAGGTACGATCATGAACAGATTTTCCAAGGACGTGGGAAGCATGGATGATTTATTACCGAAAGTGACACTGGACACCGTCCAGACATTTTTAGTAATAATCGGCTCCTGTATTATGATAGCAATCATCAATTACTGGATGATTTTACCTTTAATCATTCTGCTATTCTGCATTTATATATTATTCATATACAATGCGAGAAACTCTAGAAGCATGCAACGTCTGCAAAGCATAAGTAAATAATTAATCTCGATGCGAAACATCCAAATGTGATACGAATGTATTAACCATTAAAGAAATTTTCAGCGAAAAGTCCTGTATTTTCGCATGTGAACGCCACTCTGGAGGGCTTGTCGACGATTAAAACCAGTGAACCGGATGTTTTGAAGCTGTTGCAAAAACAATTCGATCAACTGCAGAATATTCATAGCGGCGCGTGGTACATGTCGATCGTCGCGTCTGAAGTGTTCGGCTTCTACACAGATGTACTCATAGGGTTTTTTTACATATTTATTTGTTTTTCCTTCATACTAACGAACAAAGGTACGTTTATGATCGTCGAAGACCTTCGACACTTTACTTTACGCTAAATTCTGTTTCGTGTTTCGCCAGGTGACATACTTGGCGGTAATGTCGGCTTAGCTTTGACCCAGACTTTCTGTTTAATCGGTATGGTGCCGTTTGCTACGAGGGAAAGTAACTTTATGATGTCGCATATGACGTCAGTAGGGAGGATCTTTCGATATATCGGGCTGCCCAAAGAAGGAGACTGGCAAAGTAGCAAACCACCTCCGGCCGACTGGCCGAATCATGGCCAGGTGATCCTGAAAAATATCAGTCTGCAATACGAAAAGAACGAGGCACCGGTTCTTAAGGTATTCACAAGTTACACGCGACCTGTTTACTCTCTCACATTCGATTCTAGAACTTAATTATTGTAGAATTTGAACGTGACCATCGAGCCAGGATGGAAAGTCGGTGTTGTAGGCAGAACCGGCGCTGGAAAGTCGTCTCTGATATCCGCTCTGTTCCGTTTGTTCCCCGAAGAATTGGACGGACAGATAAAAGTCGATGGAATCGACGTCAGCACAGTGGGTCTGCACGAATTCCGCACTAAAATATCCATCATTCCTCAGCAACCGTTTCTATTCACCGACACTGTACGCAACAATCTGGATCCGTTCAACTCCTACGACGATACGACGTTGTGGGACAGTCTTCACCAAGTGGAGCTTAACGATCTCGTCCTTGACCAAAAACTGCAATACAGTGGAGGCAACTTGAGCATCGGCCAGAAGCAATTGATCTGTTTAGCAAGGGCCGTCTTGAAAAACAATCGGATTCTCATTTTGGACGAAGCCACCGCCAACATCGACAACCAGTAATATCGATTTTTACGCACACGTTGATGAAAAACATTGCATACCTGTTGCCGTCAAATGCCCTTTGTTTCAGAACCGACGCTTTGATCCAGAAAACAATACGAACCAGGTTCTCCGACTGCACGGTCATCACCGTTGCTCATCGCTTGAACACCATCATCGACTGCGACAGGATCATAGTGATGGACGCTGGATGCATCGCGGTACGATTAATTTCAGATTTTTATTATGGAAAATATGGCTATCGTGAAATTCCTAATACCTGATTTGTTTCTGGAAACAGGAATTCGGCTGTCCTCACGAGCTCCTGCGCGACAAGCCCAACGGGATATTCTCAATGATGGTGGCAAACACGGGACCGTCTATGGCGAAAACTCTTCGCGAACTGGCGGAAAGAGCTTGCATGAAAAACACGACGGAACGAAGTCTCGATCTGACCAGGCAAAGTTCCACCGATACCGATGCAACTGACATCATCGCTCAGACTATTCTGTGAAGTAGTTTAATAGAATCGACTGAAATAATACGTGAAAACAATGAACAAAACAACGTTCAATAAATCCATCGACATAAATAGTTAATGCCTATGAATAAACTCAAGCAGTTGCAAATACAAACGAAACATTCAGACTTGTTATATTTATTTAAAGTTGGAAAGTATTTGATACAAGGGTTTCTTTTCAAGGAAAGTGAAAACCCTCATTTTGTCGACGTTTAAAAATAACGCTATCATTACTGTATCTAAAATCCTGTGATTTTCGAATATTCTTTATCGATATCGATCGGTCTGGAATTAGAAATCAGCGGGAACCATTGAAATCGTTAGGAATTTTTTCTCTATCAGATCGTTCGATTTAATGGAATATTATTAAAAGACAAAACGATGTATGTATAAATCAAGTTATAAGACACAGATTGTCCGATGTGCTTGTACCGTGTACTGGAATCATTTTTCCAGTCGATTAGAAAACTCTGCGGGGTGAAATATCACTCGTAAACGAAAACCATACACCGAACAATCGTGAAACAAGCTTTCTTAAAACGTAACCGTGTCGCGTTGATTAAATTGGAAGAAAAGTAGACATTTTGAAAAATGTAGAATCATAAAATTATTATTCTCTCTATATCTGGTTTGGCATCTATTTCTACAAACGTGTAATCATTAATATTATCCCTCTTTACCCCCTGAACGAGAGATTATAGATGACCTTACCGTCACACTTACAGCGTAAAAGGCATTAAGTTTCTGTGATCTGTCTCGGAATCAATCCTCCCTAGCGCAGAACAATTCTGTCTCTGTGTTCCTATAGTAACTTAAGAAGTGAGTACATACAATTCATGTTCTGTGTATAACTGTTGAATACGCATACGTCCTATCATTTTTTATATGTAATTATTTGAATTCTTTTGTATCTTCGTTTTTTCTTTCTCCCCTCGTTACGCGTGTGGCGAATTAGTCGCCTAGAGTAGACCCCTAATAAGTATAGGTTTGCACTTCGTAAAATGTACTTTTTTTTCTCAAAAAACGTTAAATCATATATATGTATATGCACTGGATTAGAATATATTTTCGAGGAATCCGTGATCCCCTATCGAACGGTCTATCAAAAATTTCTCTAATAGTCGCTACGTGTTGAGCTACACGGTCCGAGTGAACCGACAGAGCACTCGGATATTCATACGTCCTGAGTACAATATAATCGATATATATATAACAGAGCGTGTACAAAACGAGAATATTCGCGATATTATTTACATATAATGAAATGAAAAATCACAGGTCAGTTTTAATAAAATTATAAAATACAATGAGTTCAACACTTAATTCTAAAAATGAAGAATTATTCGCCGGTACATTGTACGCAAAGAGGACACGCAAGAACACTGAATCAAGAATGATAAACATATTCGATATAACTTGGAAGAACAATTTCCACTTCCCTTTAAGCATTCAAATACTTCCGGTGAACAACGCCTTGAAAAATATGATTCGATCTTTTTTATATTACCTAATATTTTTTACATGTACGTACATACATGTATACAATATCTTCGATCTCTTGTAAGCTTTTCCACCCTGTTCCTGCTTGAACATTAATTCATATATCTGTCTCGTCAACGAAAACGTACGTTGTCGAAGTACAATGTTTAAATTCAAATCCTGAATGTCGTTCGTGTATATGTATTAAACGCAACGTAACGGTAATTACGGAATTTTTTCTTTTCAGCGGACCGTGTTACATACATTCAGTTCTCGTGACGTGTGTACACTTATAAGCAAACTCTGCTTCCACTAGGGGAAAATATGAGTTAGGTGAAGGGCCTCCTACCATTTAGTTTTGGGAGTTACTGAAATTTATGCCAAATTAATATTCGATTTAACATTTATTTCAGTAGTTTGAATAAATTACCAACTGGTATAAGGCTCTTCTCCAACGACACTTTTTTCCCCTAGCGAAAGCAGAGTTTGCTCGTGAGGGTATGTATCGTGTTATGTACAGAAATGTATGATTTACGTACCAAATCCATTTCACATCGCGAGATTCCTTGCTGACTAGAAATATCTAAACGAACAACAGTGCAGCAAAAACGATTTGCCAGTCCACGCTATTGTAAACGCGTAATATCCCCTCCCCCAAGGAATTCACCCACCATGTGATACAGACTCTGTGTATCAAACAATATACCGAATGTCCTAATTTGTATGCTTTCTAAAAACTATGTTATATACAATACGTATGTTAATGTAACTCTTCAAGCAGCACTTACGATACATATTGTTTATATCCCCTTCGACGTTTAATTATCGGTTCGTGTGATTTACTTTCAGTCCTTGCGGTGGTACTTAAGTGTTACTCCTTAAATTGCGATTCACGTACGGTGATACGAGAGTTCAATTAAAAACTATGGTTGATTCACTCGTTTCAATCGTGACTCGTCTATCGAGGATCGAATATTCCCCGTTGAAAATATTCAATGACAAAAATGTAATCGCATTATAGACGAATCGAAACACTACCTAGTAGGCGATCGTGTCCATTTTCGTTTAAGTAATAATGTATTAGTTGCTCGCGTAACGGCAATTATAGTTTGAATAATAATTGTCTAACTTGATCGAAAACCTTTATAATCGTAAATTATGTCGGTATTTTCCCTTCGTTCGTGTCGACAGCTTCGTGACCGTTTTTTTTTCTTTCTATTCTTTCAAGTGCAACTATAAACTATAGTACCTACTGAATATTGTATAACAGCGATTTTATGAATAATATTTTCTTTAGAATATATCCACGGATGTGTGTCCCCTAAACTTCTCTATTCTATAGTTTTAGTTAGTTGAATCGTCGGATTTTCAATGTCCTTTAGTTAATAAGAATATACTTTACTACTTTTGTTTGTTGTTGTTGTACACGTGTATATGTGCGTATACATATTATTGCAAAGAAAGGAAACGATTTTACCAAAATTAATACAAGTACATAATAAACAACGAGATATTATAAAAATTACAGTCATTCACAGAAAAAGAACAGAATTGAACACTTTCCAGAGTCGACGAGAGAAAACACTGTTATATAATATTGCACTGTAAATCTCAACTATAATATATTTTTTTTTTTTTTTGTTTCTTTCGGGTTTACGTCAACTTCTTCTTGTGCGCTGGAACTTCACCTACAATTGTTCCCTTAAAGGTATATATTTCTGTGTAGCTCGACAAGAACAATTTGACGGACAAACTGGCAAACTGTTCTCATCTAGCTGTAGTCTCCTACATTTAACGAATCAGACATGATACAATATCATGATCAATGTTAAAATTTTGCTTTCGTAATATACGTGAATTCGTTAAAACTGTAGTTCAGAGTGAGAACAAAATTCATAGAAATTGTTCCTAAGCACTACTACGAGAAAAATGCGTTAAAAACGTCGTATGATCAATGTTACAGATAAACAAAATTTGAAACAGTTCTACATTGTGAAATACATATAAAAAGGTTGTTTTTTTTTTTTTTGTTGCATTTACAGTACTTCAGCTACTAGCCTTTTCTACCGTTGCTAGAAACTGTACAATAGCTAATCGAACTTAAAATACTTTTGGCAGTTACGATGTTCTTTGAGCAATGTATGTAATATTTCGTTAGATTATTCATGTATTCCTGTTACGTTACATTATTCGCACTTCATCTTCGCGTTTGTTCGTTACATCGACGAATTAAATAACGTTAATATCTGAATGGAATCCAACTGCATCGATCACATCGATGTCTGCACTTGAGAACGGAATATACATATATAATAGACAATGCTATTGGTACTGCAACCGCTTTAGCTGCCCAAAAATCTTAAACAATCAATGGAAATAGAATCGTAATATATTATATATCTTGTGTCCCTTGCTATTGCATATCTAAGAAATCTATCCGTATCCCGACTAGATGTGTAATCGTTGCAGTATCTAAATAGACAGAGGGTTAACCAAAACTATCCACCTGTTGTTAACAAAAAAAATAAAATAATAGAAAATAAACCGTGATACCTGGGAATAATGTGTTAAGTTAGTGGACGGTGAAGCATAGAGAGGAAATATTGCTAAACGGTTGTCTCCCGGTCCACATGGATATATTCCACGAAACCGGGTTGCTGTTGTCAGGATGCCACTCCCAGCAGTGTCTCCTCTGTCGGTGCTCGTCTCGGTCTATTGCTTTTCTTTGTACCCTTATAATGAACTCCTTTTGTACGTGATTTCGACCTGGGGATGCAATATCGCCGTTATACACAACACATCCCTCGGTTACACAAAGTCAATACACATACAGTGGACTCTAACTATATTGCCATGGTCGGGGCTGTAGGGGAGTAAAATGGCAATGACTTCAGAGCCCCCTCCATGCTAACTTTTATCATCATAACCTCGGCCTCAGCGCCTGCGCAAAAGCTAGAGTGGGAGAGCGAATTTGTTTACTCGAAAGTACGTGTGAAGAGGAAATGCCTAGCGTGGCAATATGTTAAGTGGCAATATAGGTAAGCCGCGTCTCCACTATATACCAAAACAGTGTTATACAACAAATAACTTGCTATATAACACGAAAAATGTTACGTAACATCACGTTATATAACATTTTTCTTTCAAGTTTTATAACTTTGTTATATAACATGTTATGTTACATAGTGTAGACGCAGTTTTAGAATCCGCTGTACATGTAAAATCCGATAATCCTACCTGCTGATCAGCACAGCGAAAAAGCACGCGAACGCGGTAATAATTCCAGCAACGCCGGCGAGTACAAGCCACATTTCCGACGGCAGTAATCCGAGTAATTTCGCCCCGTTGCCGCAGTTCGCCTCGTCATGGCCGGACGGGCAATGAGGTCTTCCGTCGCACCAAAGGCTCGCCGCTATACAAGCGCTCAACTCGGGGCATTTATGAGGACAATCGCCGTTGGATAGAGTTTCGTTCTCTATCCCCCTTTCCGGTAGACGTAACTGTCTACGCAAAGCAGCTCTGCTCTTCGATATCTCCAGCCAAGAGGCCGCTGCCTGACCAGGTTCTCGGGCGACAAAGTCCAAGAGAAGCGCCGGGGGTCGCGGTGGACCTGGCCATTTACCTTCACCGGCCCCGCCCAGCCACTCCTCCGAGAAAACATGAACCGTGAACTCCCTGGCGCCCGGTTCCGCGGGACAAACCACCTTCAACAGCTTCGGCGGCCAGCCGGAGTACAGGAGAATCCGATTTGTCGTCGGGCACTTCGGTTGCTGCTCGTTCATCTCCAACACCGGCGACGGTTCAAGCGGAAGGAACCAACCCCAGGTCAACACGAACAGAGATCTGTTCTCGCGGGCCTCGACCAACCAGGGAAGTCCGTCGCAATAAATGTCCGGTCGCGACAACGGCGGCGACACGAATCTCAACTCGCCCCCTTCAAGAAAGAGCACAGTTCAAATGATTTCTGTATGTACATTATTTAGCAAACTCGGCTTCCTATAAGGAAAAAAGTGGCATAAGAGTAAGGACCTACTACCATTTGGTAAATTTATTTCAAGTAAATAAAGGTTAAATTAAATATTAATTTAGCATAGGTTTTAGTAATTCCGGATACCAAGTGATAGGAGGCCTTTGCAGTACACAACTTTTTCTCCTAGCGGAAGCCTAGTTTGCTCGTGAGGGTGGATAGCACATGACGCCTTGAAGACGTCCATTTCACGGCTATTTTAGGTCTAAGGCGCTTTTAAGCCGTCTTCAAGGAGTCATTAAACGCGTGTATCGACAATTAATCGTACCTTCGCCGCGTACTCTTTGTTTCCTGGGACACTCAGGCGCCCGAACGAGCTCGAAACTGGCGTAGAAGAATAAGGTTTCGAAGTCTTCGTGCGGCGCTTGTTGATCGATCAGAAAGGTAATCTCCAGCGCTCGGCTCGACGAGATGTGTGTCAAGGGTAGATGCGACGTGTTGTCGCACAAACAAGCTCGCGGAAGCCTCACGTCCCGCCAGGGCGCCTCGTATAACACTAGACGAGCTTCCCTGGAGCCCGTTTCCTGTACGCAATGCGGTCGACCGCTGTGAGGATCCGGCTCACTGGTGCAAACGGTCGCCTCGCCCAGACTGACGTTGTACAACGTGAATCGCACCCTCTCGTCCGTGCCCGCCTCGATTCGATACCTGCAATCCAACCTGGTGGAACCACCTCTGCCGAACAGCCGTACGTCACGCGGCGACATCACTTCTCCGCTTCGAACCTTACGCCAGATCCTGCTGCAAACACCGTCGCCCCATGGCTCGCCGACTTGAACGGTCGAAATGAATTCGTATTGTGCCTGTGTAATGATATTTCGCGACATGATCGATAATATTGATTATAAACATATACAGTGTGTCCCAAAATAGCTTCGACTCCCGGAAATGATAGGTTCTTGAGATGATTTGAAATAGCATTTTCGCTAAGGACAAAATTGTTTCAAATCATCCCAGGAACAAATTTCCGGTAGTCGAAGCTACTTTGTTACACCCTGTATATATACAAGTGTATTTAACGATCTGCTTACATTGAAATTAACCGTATATCCTGGTGACATTTCTCAGAGCCGCATGTGCGCATAACTTTGGTGTGTCGTCGCAGAGCGTGGTCATCGGGAACCCGGTGTTCGGGGTACCGTCCCAAAAGATCAATCTCACCGCGCACGGCACGTCCGACTGCGAACTCGCGTTACTTTCCACGCTACCCGTTAGATCTCTCTGGGAGTAAGACGAAAAATAAATCCAGACTCTGTCGCCGGCGGCTCCTTTGATGTTCCACGTACAGCTGGAGTTGGGTGGTAGCGCGTGAAGCGGGGCGCGTAATATGCCGCTTCTTTTGCCGCTGGTACCATTTACAAAAAAGTGACAACCCTGAGGGCCTTTGGCGTAATCGAGCCCGTCCGAATCAACGTACACCACTTGTATCTCGAGCTCGATACGCAGAGCGGACGCGCCCAATGGAATAGCGATCGGGGAACTTCGAAATTCGACTTGCATCGTGGGTCCTCTGGCAGTGATACGCGGTAAAGGGCCGCCGCAGTAAATCAATAGAATCGGATCCTCCAGACGTACACCGTCGTGGAATATCAGCCGATCCTTGTCCGGCGGACAGTCCTGCCATATGCTCAGAGAACTGTTAGCTGTTGTTATACCAGCCGGACCGGTCGGCGTCGATTTCACGGAAATCATCGCGTGCTTGCAGGTCGGCACTTCTTTCTGTCTGATCGTAATTAAACAGCTCGCGTTCCTCGGATATTCCCCGGGATAATTCGGGCTTTGTAGCCTGCATTGCTTCAGATGGCATTCGTAGAAGTTTCGGGAGCAGTATGTGCCAGGGACCGGTGAGCCCCTTTCGATTGGAAGCTCCGGTTTTCCTAATCTGGCGACAGCCTCGTTCCGCGAGACAAATCTGTACCGCAAACGGAACTCAAATGGCACCGCGGAGGGCGCGTGAAATAATCGTATTGACGCTGTGACGGTGCTGGTCTCGCTGTAATAGGAAGCCTTTCCTTCGCCGACCCCGCACCACGAACCGCCGGTGAAATGTCGGCCGAGTTCTGCGAGCTGTAGGGAACCTTCTGGGCAGCTGGTGATAAAGCTATCGGTATTCGGATCCACTCGACCCACGCTGAACGCGTCCCACAAAAGCTGCACCAATTCACCGTACCCCTGACCAGCAGCGGTGAACGTTAAATGACAGAGAAACGGCAAACGTTCCTCCGCCGGTCTCGAAAGATCTAACTTGTATGTACGTCCTTCACGGCCGTGGTAAGTACGATTGCAGGGCGTGCACATCGCAGGCTCGTCGCTATTGTCCCCGCAATCATCTCGACCGTTACAATAAGCATCTATCGGTACGCAATGCCCGTCCCTGCAGGTCAATTCGGCCAGACCACAATCACCAGCTGACACGTGATCTATCCACCCAAACAGCAGCAACAGCAGCAACGGCGACAGAACCAGAATAGTTACCCGAATTCGCTTGTAGCCACCTCCAGCATCAGCTACCTCCTGGAAGGCAACAAATGAAAGTAAATATAATTTTGAAAGAAGAAATTAAAAACAAACGATAGAACTTGAATGAAACAGTTAATTGTTAAATGTAAAGAACACTGTCCATTCGCATAAATAAGAAACATGTCAATCGACTAATATTTCGGGAAGGTAATAAAACTGTGAAGTTGTCAATGTGTGTGTTGTATACGTGTGAGTGTCGGTCAACGATGTCCTCCAATTTGCAAGGTGGCACTCGATCATCTTTTTTCCATTGCATATTTCCACAATACAAAAGGTACTCCCGACGTGTCAAACTGTGCTTTCATTTTAATGGTCTCCACTTCTCGGTCGCTGTATACATGAATTTCAAAATGTTAAAAAAAAAACAAACAAACAGAGATATCATCGTGTACATGTATTCGTTCTCGAGTTGTTTGCGCTAAAGAACGAGTAGGTACTATGCAGAGTCAAATTGTACGTGAATGCACAACCGTCGAGATTACATCAAATCTAGATCGTGAAATTTGCATGCTTGTTCACATTTAGCGTATCTCGTACTTTGAGGTCAATCTTATCAGAAATTTTCTAACTGCAAAAGGACACTTGGGAGTCCATTTCCATTCCTTTTGTTGCAAAAAAGTACCACCAAAGAAACATCGTAGGAATACATCTCGACGAAACTAATTTAATACTCTAAAAGAAAAGAAAAATGTCCCATTAATTCGAGGCCGCCGTTACTCGCCGAAAATCACGACTAGCCGCAGTAGGGTACTGATCTTCAGTCAAGTATCCTTGAATGTATGTCAAAAAGTGTATGAATCTTTAATCATGCATATATTTCTACGAGGATAACTCTGAGAGATTTACCATAATCGTCTGTCATTGAATCGTACATCACAACAACAAGCCCGAGGACGTAATTAGAATTGATGACATCCACCGAACGCGACTACACACGAAAACCGTTACACCGCGATATTGGTCCGTCGAAATAATCGCCGCTGCTGGTGGTAACTACAGCCAACATGATCGAGACAGATCACCACAAACGGTAATTATCACCAATCCCCGTAAAACCTCAGAGAATCGAACACGAACATATCGTCGAATTGCTGCCAATAATCGTTCCTAAAAGTCGCGGTAAAAAGTTCGAGGGACCGATTTCGTACGGGGTCGAATGTCCGAACGACGACACGTAGGTCCACACTGTCGAGAGGTTGATGCGCAACTGCACAGTAAAGAGAAAAGCCCGGAGGGCTGCTTCGCTCGGCTGCAGGGCATACACCGGGGGTAAGGGTGGATGAAACGAAACGGGGCTGAGCTCAGGGCCTGGCGCCTCAATGCATCGATCGTTCTCGGCCCTCTCTCTCTCTCCCTCTCTTCTCCTCTCTCCGTTTCAACGCCCTAAACTATGCTACGTGTATACCGCAGTGACGTAACCACCGATCGCAACACCCAAATTCGTCCGTTCCCCCACGTAGACTCGCTGAATACCTGAGATGTTAATTATCTTTCATAGGTTAACCAATAAAATTGGGGTGGACCTAGATTTATCCTTCGACGAGACGGAACTCCTGTTTGTACGTACTCCATTGCACGGAGGATCGCGATTGAATATCTAGCCGTTCGATACTCATCAATCCATCGATATTTATCGATACGTTCGAGAAAAAAATATTCATTTTTCGAAAATGTATCGGAATTACGTGGTTATTTGTCGTTTATGACGTGTAGCTTGGAATCTAGTGGTGAAGGATTGTTAGTGTTACTGGAGTCGATTAATCTTGAAAGAATGAATGTTTTCGAAGCTATTTCGACTAGCCACGATTATGTGTGATCGACCGGTAGCATCGATGATTTTGAACTGTATTCGATATTGGAATTCGATCGATAGTCAGTTGGGTTTGTGCTGTCTGGCAGTTACTGGGTATTTCTACTTGCATCGATAGAAACGATGACAATGTTCACTGTTGGTAATTATTAAATTGTTTATGTTGTCCTGATACAATATTTAGTTCGTTCGAACCAGCCTCGAAGCTCTCTCGGTACCCTAGTTACACGTCTGAAGGTTAAACGAGGGTAATAACGTTACATGATACCCTCGATATGCTTCGGTACACGCGGATTATCGTGGCTCGTCGAAGCTTCAAGAGAAAAATTCAAACCGCAATGCTGCCGGCCGTTATTAGGGATGAAAGAGACACAAGCGAAGGTTGTAATACAATGAAATGAGATCGTGGTACTCGAGCAAAAAATTAATAAAATAACGCGTTGCAAACCCTCGAATGTTAAATTTTGAATTGTTGATTTTTTGACATTTTTTCTTCAGAAAAAAAAGAATAAAACAAAGTTATGGATTCCCATAAAAACAGTTACTTATATTACTTGTATAAAAACATTAGCTTGTTCAGGATTTAAAGCTATTATAATCGAAAATATAAAAATGAAATTGCGAACACAGAAAACATGTGAATATAAAAACTTCAAGTCACAGTACACTACTACGGAGGGTTAAAAATCGTTTACGAACTTCATTTTTAGCTCAGGAGTATTCATTCAACGAGTACAGTATACTTTGTTGACGTTATATTTATAATACTAATATAGGTCGATGAAACATTTTCTATTTTTTGTCTGAACTGTACATCGCAGTTTGTCAATAGCTTATTATTCTTAAAAAAGCATCGTAGTCGTGGAACCGTAACGAGGATAAAATGAAAATTGATAAGTAAAATAATCAAAACTGTCTGAAAACATTAAGGATAACATCTTGGATACGTAAACTTGTGTTGTCAAAAAACCGTGTATATTTATCAGTATTGCATCGCTTTGCAATTTTGTCGAAGAATAATATAGAATACAATGCAGGACATGAACGGAAACCGCGACAAAGATGTACAGATTTAATCTTACGCTATTTCAAAATCACAATTTGATCTAGAATATTAAAAAAAAACTACGCGACATCAAAGTTGCGTTGTAAAACTTTACATGTCCTACGCAATTTAAACGTACATTTCCTTATTATTAATAAACAACTTGTTAAACTTAAATTAGATTTTTCTCTCTACGATCACATTCAATACTAAACGAAGAAAACTAACTTCTTATTTAATACATAGGACGTGTGACATATATTTTCTATACAATTTCGTTTAGTCTTATATATTAAAAATATGTGCGTAATTTTTCTACAAAACCACCAGCTGAACCACTAACGTTTCGTAAAAAGATGAACGAAAAGTAAAAAGATGAAACAATGGGAACGGAATGCAGATTGAACGTGACTTGTTGAACTTGTAACAAGTCGATAAATAAATATGCTCGCAGTATTTTAAAAGGCGTAACGCGTACGAATATCCTCGAGCTTCTTCGACACTTCGGATGGCGTACGTTCGAGATCGCCTGATATACTTTTCTGTTTCGCGGGTTCAATCGAATTGAATTGCTCGCAGAGATCTCCGTCTATGACATTTTTTACAGGGTAATAATACGACCTAAAGGACAAATGATCCCTTCCGCAGAGCGGTGGATGTTCGGAGCGCATGTGCATCTCTAAATGTTGGAAGAAGTCGTGATCTTCGTGGCTCGTGAAGGGAACAAGGACTCCTACTGTGCCACTTAGCGTCGTATAAACTAAACTCTCCGAACCACCGGGAATCAGTGTCGCTTTCTGTAGAGACATAACTGTTTCACCGACATGGAAACACGCAACAGTATCCGCTTTCTGACTAGCGCCATTTAATAGACCTCTATCCCACAGAGCTTTATTCCCAGTAGGATCCTCGTCCACATCGTCGTTAATTCCACTTGCCAGACGTATCTGTTTAAAAGCATTAACAATTAGCCAATTCACAAAGTTCTCTAACCCATAACACATACTATAAATGATTACTAAACCGCCAATGTTCATGTATATCCTTAGTATAAAATAACTTTAACTACCACAATAGAACTTTGTTGTGAAAACCAATTTAATGAGAATACGAAACATCGTATAACACTTAGGAGTCTGTTAATTATAAAAAGAATAGGAAATACTCACGACAGCAATGTTTCCAAACTTATCAGCCGTGGCGACGGTATCATAATCAAGTACACAAGTCGTTGTGATCCATCTCGGATGTGTATCGTCCGCGAATACTATCAATTGATTCTCTTGTCGTTTGTATCTAACAGCATAAACCGATTCTTGAACGTCGCTCACGTAAATCCGTTGACCGATTGCATTTATAGAGACAACGGCATTGGGAATGTGCTTGTTCTCGCACTTGCGTAACAGTTTCTTCTTGCCCATATCGTACAAACGTAGCATTCTACCAACACCGACCAACACACGTCCCTGGTAGGGACATATAGCCAATGGTACTTCGTCCAGATTAGTTTTGTGAACTAATTCAAGGCTGGTACATTCAGCGTTCACCCTGAAGGGGAAAAAAAGTATTTTTAACAAAATCTTCTCCATTTCAAGAACTATACAAACAGTTTTACTTTAATTTTTCTATCAGTACTGCAGGAATATCATCAAATAATACAGTGATCGTGTGTTTTTGTCATCATATAGATTATCTTTTTGTTTTGGAAAATATTTCAAATATACTGCAACGGCCACTTACTTGTAAGTATACAGGAAACCGCCACTGCTGACTCTGGGATTCAACTGGAACTCCTTAGCGACGCCGACAATGAGAAACAGTTGATCGCCCTGGTTAGCAAATTTCACAAGGCACAAGCTGCAATATAAATTTCGAAACAGATTATATTCTTTCTCCAGCATCTCTCAAGAAATCCGTAGACATCTACGTTCATTCGGAAATCTTACCATAGAGCAGCTAAATTCTGTTCAAGCCTATGAATCTCGAACGTTTGTCCTGTTGTAGGTGCTATTATTCGTATCAGCGATGCCCACAAGCCTGGACCAGCTCTTGGCGCACCGAACACAGCTTCATTTGGCTCCTCGGATAAGAAGGCTTCAGCCAATTCTCGTGCCACTGCGGCTTCTTCCGCGCCCGCAGCTTCTTGCATTTCTTCCGCCATTTGCAGTCTTCTTTGCTGCTTCGTTTCCTCTGTATACGCATTGTGCTCCGTCTCGATGATGATCAAATGCGCCGAGTCCGAGTGGATAGCGAATTTCCTTGGCGTGTATTCCAAAGGGAAGCTGATCTGATTGAATACAGCGCCTAATTTTTCAAGGGCAAGAATCCTCAGTGTGTTTGTCGAGATGGCAACAATTCCTTCGGGACATTGCTCGGAACTGAAGCCCGATGCGAATTCCAGACTTTCGTAAGATAACGGCGTCAAGTGGAAACGGTTTTGGTAATAATAGCTCAACCACGATCTACTGCTCATTGCTAGCACTGCTTGGTTCCCTTGCATTTTTATGCGAAATAACTTAACCGGACGAGATCCTAAATATCGTGTACGTGTATCCGCGAGATCGCCCGAAATGGGATCTAATACTGTTCTCAATAATACCCCGTTTTGTAAACCTGAAAGTAATACGATACAGATTATGTACGGCTTTATATAAAACATGTATACTGAAGGATCAGCGTTGAAGGCAATTTCTCATCAGACTTGTGTATCCTATACGCTAAGATGTAATATAGAACGTCAATTGAATTTTTGTTTATTCATCTTCTTAGCTTGGAAATGCCTACAACTGCTGCCTGGTACATGTAACAGTTTACTTTAATACACATTTACCTATGTTTAAATATAAACTAGACTGCTGAGGTGACATATCCTCGGAACTATTTGCATCCTTAGCACCCATTTCAACGATACATAAACTCTCGGCCGCCGCTGGTAAAGCCTGCATACTTCTAGGCGCTAAACAATCGGATGGATCCAAGGAAATAATCCTTACGGTGTTGTCCTGCAGACCAACAGCCAAAAACCATGACCTCTGTTCTCCAATTGCTACGTTACCCAGAGCCATACACATTACTTCCGATGGCATTTTCTTTCGTTCCGTGTATTCGTTCAATTGCCCAGTCTAGGAAGTAAAGAAACAACGATTTTTAGCGAAATTGAACAATTCTACCGATTGAAAAATGTTCACTTTCCATCTAGTTTAGTTAAGCAAAAATAGACTCTACGCAAGATGAAAAAGTGTTATGCTCTGCGCATCTCTTACATCTCTGAGAATGGATGTCATCGCAGAGAGAACAATCGATGCAATATACAGATATAAAATTAAACTAAAAGGCAAACGAAAGCAACGGGAGGTTCACATACAGGGTCCATTTCGAAGTATACCAGTTCCCCGCCAGTCAATGCAATTACAACTTGACGTTGATTCACTGCACATTTCACTATGGTCTTCTTACCAGGCGCTTTCCATTCATTGACACGTTTATCCGCGCGAATGTGACGTATTCCATCGGGATATACCTAAAACAGAGTTAAACACGATTCCAAATTTACATACAAATAAGAGTTAAGGCGATAGGTAAGGCACTTTATTGCTAGAAATTTTTGTCGAGTCTTTAGTACCAGAACTATTTATAAATGAACCAAACAATTCAACGATGCGACGAACTCATTATGATCTAGCACTAACTACTGCGACCGTCACGTGGTGGACCAGGTGCCGGAGATACCGTAGTGCATTGATGCAAAAAAAAAAAAAAAACAAAAACAAAGAAAGTAACGTGATTAAGTAATTCTACCTGGACAAGCGCATCCTCACCCAAAGCTGAACAGCTCAATGTCGGAGTTGTACCAAGAAAACCAGAATCAGTCACTTCTTCTACAGTTTCTCCGATACTAAGCACAAGAGTTGCATTGACGAAGGACACTATGATGTAAGCATCATACTCCTCTGTAATCAAAATTACAAAGCTCACTCTGAATATCTAAGGAATATCAAGGACAAGATATATCGATAAAATAATAGATTGTCTTCGTGGCAGTCGTGCACGCTCTGTCATCCTAGACACAAAGAGCAGATCGACTCTGGGTGCAAATCAATTTCTCTTATCTCCGGGCAAATTCGAGAGTTCTTACCTTTTAGTCAGTCTGTGTTCTGTAGTTCAACCAATAGCATGCTGGTAGCCTGAAAGAGAGAACTGGTGTTTGATAAGAGTGTATCAAGCCACCAGATTCGTTAATATCATTTACAAAAACCAATTTCTTTCGCTTTTACAATTATATTTAAAAAATAATCATAGAGTTTTTATCATTGACACGTCAAGTATCCCCTGAAGCTTTACACGTTATCTTATTTACTTGTTACATATGTATATATAAAAAAAAAAAGAGAAACTGATGTATGACTGTAAAGTTAAACAATTAGGACTACTACGAAGAACTTTATGCTAAGTTAGATGGAATGTACGTAAAGGTGTACATGTAATATATTACAAATAGCAAGGAAGTATGTACCATCAATGCAGAAAAAAAGACTAACATTCTACATTGTCGATTAAGCATATAGTAATATAAAAACATGCAAACAACTACTGTGTAAGATGTTCTCAGACTAACCATCGATTCTTCTTTTAACAGTCCACACAGCATTTGGATTACCAGGCAATTCACTAACAGCCATTTCAGAAACTTCTAAACCATGCCGCAAAACCCGTAGAGTTGAACGCGGTCCTCTACCGCAAGTTATGTATAATTGAGGAGTATCTTCGTTCGCCAAATCGGCTACCTGCACGCATAATCGAGTATATAAATGTAAATTTTATACATATATATATATATATGCTTTAGGTTACTTTCATATTCTATGTGTTATTCTTAGGTTCAACTTCAGTTTGCAATAACAAACTGAATGCGACTAAGAATACTTTAGTCTTGCACCCTTCCACAGAAAAACTGAATATAAACATCAGTTTTCTACTTGAGAATGCACCGATACTTTGTCCTTAATACCAGACTAACAACTTCATAAGCTTAATGAAAACACATGGGTTTATAGGTTTCAAATCAAATTTACCTGGCACGTCATTATCGGTGACAAGCTGTCCATTTCATCTACCAATACTAAATTCCTGAGTGGTCTTGGCGCAAAGAAGAAGGTATCACCTTCCTCGAGGGGCATAGCTGAACTGAACTCAGGTTCATCGTCGTCATCTCCTAAATGTGCAATCTGATAAAGATAACTGGAAAGGAAACAAATCGTGTACAATTTCAAATCCAGCTAAAAGATAACACTGTTACAAGGTTTCACTTACTGGTTACCGAATTCTGATGCAACGAATAAGAATCCTGTTTTTAAGACGCACATGCTTGCTGCAACAGGTACTGTGTCGAAATATTTTAATTTAATCTCGGTCACCATATCTTCGTCAGTTTCGAGGGTGATTTTGAAAATGTCTCCTTGCTCTGTCTGAGCCAGAAAGAAGAACATGCTCTTAGTTTTATGCGTCGCAGAACAGACAAATATCATACCCCGTTCAGGGTCATCTAGGTCGTTACGTCGCCTAGGAATGGGACAACGGATATCATGTTGATCTCCTAAATTTTTGTAAGTTAAATAATTCTCTGAACAAATAAGTACACCACTGGGGCCATCGTTTCCTCCAGGAACAGATACAAGGAAGTTTGCATGTTCTTCTAGAGGTTCGCTATATTTGCGAACAACATGGTTCAGACCAAGGTCCAACTCATACAAGGTCAGTGTTTGTTGAGTTTTTACTGCGGCATCTCCTGTGGGATCACTATCTGCTTCCTATTAAAACAGCCAAATTATTTTTATGATAGAACGATATATATTATATTAATCAGACATTATTGGGATAATTTCAAATTATTACCTCGTAGTCAATTTCTAAGCAGGCAAACATAGGATTCTCAAAACCTACATCTACACCTACTGTATGATAGACTAATGTATTACTTTTATGAGCTTCCAAAGGTGAGGATATTGTAAGTCTAGCCTCTGGATCTCTATTTAAGATATATACAAGCTTCTGTTTTTCAATTGCACCTAAAATAATGTTTCTTTGATTAGTATGCATCAATAATTATAAAAACAGAGTTGACAGTAAATTTATTAAACTACACCATCATTCTGAATATTGTAATCACTGTCAATCAGTTGAAACACGGAACAATAAAATAATCATATGGTGTAAAGTATATTAAATTTATTTATAGACATTAATGTATGTAAAAGAAAATAACTCTGGCACCTATCATTACTGCTCTTCCTTTGGGATCTATAGCTAAGTACTGTCCAGGTACAATGCGTCTACAGCCACTTTTGCCAAATGTTTCCTGATGTACTTTCTCGAAAACATTCTTTGCAGGAATATATTCCAAAATTACAATACGTCCAGAATCCGATCCAACTACAATATAATCCTTGGTACCACCAGTTAGCCTGAAGGCCATTAAAGATCTTATAATCCCAAATACTTCTACAGTCAACAATGTATGGACTTTTCCAGTATTTGGATCTGGTCTTAGAAGTTCCAAGGACTTTCCTCGTGAAACCAGAATCTCTTGCATCTTACTGCCAGAGAAATTCCCATGCACTGCATGGGTAATACCCGTTGCACGTTGCAGTGTTAAGTTGTACAAATACATGGTTTTTTTTTTCTTATTCAGTCAATGAATAAAAAAAACTATTGATGTAAAGATTATACATCTATTCTGCAATAAATACCACAAATCAAATTATTTTATTTCAATTAATAGATTAAATTTTATATTATCGAATATTTCTTTACCGAAAAATTATCACATACGCCGTAATACGAACAGAAAAGAAAATATATTTTTACAGTGGCCACGTTATCGAAAAATCAAGTTGTCTACAGGAAAGAAAATGGAAGAGTTCGATATTCTTCATAATATGAACTTCATGAACAGCATTTATAAACTAATAGATCTCTTTACTTTTTAAACAAGATTTGTATTTTATTCACAGTAAAATAACGAAAGTTAACTATTAATACGCATAGCGTTATGATTCTAATGGAAACATGACGATAAAGATTAACCCCGTAAAATTTCGGGAAAACGCTTTGCATTTTCTTGCACAAATTGAAATAAAGATAAAAAATACTACTAATATTAAATGTATATAAATACGAAGACCATTATTTTACCTCATATTTAAGAGGACTTTCGTTCCCAACAACGATGCTCGTAGATATTTCGTTCCCCTCACCAATCGATCACCATTTGCAATGAACAATTCCGTTTCATTTCAGGCGGTTTATTTCTACAAAACTGAATAGTGTAGATGGAATGGCGACTACAATCTTTCATACATAACTAACTAAACGCCATCTAAAGGTAAAAAAGTGGAGTTGAAAGTGGAAAACGTGTAATTGTAAATGAAGCTTATTTTTCATCCATGTAAATAAATGTGAAAAAGTAGGAACACCGGTAACACTAAATACAAGTTTTTAAAGTATTTGGCAGTATTTTGACTACGATATATACATAACAGTGTTAATTATTAATGGATCAGATTATTGCGAATTCCATTTAACACTCGAGTAATGAGTTAAGACAGTTGGAAAAATAAACTAAATAAGATAAAGTTTGAAGAAAGAGAAAATTACTTTCAAAATGAATAACATTAAAACATTAACGTTTTACTTGTTAAGGACATATGCTACCAAATATCGTTCTGAATCTGCTGGTGTTCGAGGAAGAATTAAATTAGAAAAAATGACAGATAATGACTTCGAAGATGATGCTGAAGACTTCAATAATGATGATACAGATGTGTGTGAATCTGATTTTATGAATGTTGGAGAATCTTATACAATACACGAAAGGTAAACTTTCAAAAATCTTAAAAATAAGTTTTTATTATTCACTACGTTTAACTTATCTAATAACTTTTATTATTAAATGTGTATATGCTTTTAGGGAAATAAGAAAAAATAAGGAAATCTTAAAAAAGCGCATTGTTAGGAGTAAATATTTTAAAGAAGTAGAACCAAAGTTTCTTACATTCACGGAACAAGATCAAATACGAAAATTGCATGAAACTAATCCAAAAGAGTGGACACCAGAGAAATTGAGCGAAAGTTTTCCAGCTTTGGCGGGAACCATACAAAAAGTTTTAAAAGCAAATTGGGTACCTAAATCAGTAGACAGAATTATTCAATATGACAGTAAAGTCATTGAAAACTGGAAGGATTTTAAAGCTGGTAGATTAGTATTGAATCCCATCTTGCAAAATCATTTAACAAAATTCAGAAACAGAACTATTACTTTAACTGATAGGGAGGTATTGAGTGAAAAGTTCATACCTCCAAAGATGGAATTTCCAAAGCCAAACAGTTCAATATTTTCTGACATTGTAAAAAATTACATAGAAAAAGAACAGTCTGCTTGTGATAAAACATTAATGTCTTCCAAAACTGATGTAAACGGAAATCAAACAAAAACAGATGTCACAGACAGAAATGACATGAAACATTCAACAGTACAGAGAAACAAGTCTGACCATATAGAAAACAATGCACAGGAATTTATTAAAAGTGAAAATAAAACAACTTCCATTGACTGTATAAAACAAAAATTGAACGAATTGTATGCAACATCCCCAGAGAAAGGAATAACATTATTACAGACAAACAATTCTAGCCTTATAAAAAACAACGCACAAAAACTCAATAGAGATGGAAAGAAAATAACTTTCAATGAGTATATGAAACAAGAATTGAATGAATTGTACAAAACATCTCCAGAGGAAGGAATAACCTTATTACAGACATACAGAAAATACATAGAATCAACTAATTCAGAGGATGTAAAATCTAATGTATTAAAAAACACTACAAAACAAGAAAACAAAGAGAGTAATATAGCTCCAACAAGAACAATGTCGAATGAAAATACTCCAGTAGTTAGCAAACGTGAAACTCAATCTGAAGTAACAGTTCCAATAAACACAGTAAATAATAGTAACATAGACACTTTTATAAAAGAACGAAAGACAGACATAGATGTAAAATTTGAATATGTAAAACCCATAAGAATACCTAGAAATGTATGGAGACGAGGTATGACATATAGAATTAAAGATTGCTACTATGATGATGATGGACAATTTCTGTACAGAGTACCAGGACTGAGGAGTTAATTGTTATTTCGAAAATAAAATTCTTTATAATTATTAGTACATTATAATTGTTATTACTTATTACTAAAACATTTTGAACTTCTTCACATTTTGAACACGTGTATAAAGTGAGTTAATTTAATGAGGAAACAGACGAATACATCATTTCTTCACTTTATACGTGTATTGTATCGTGTAGCACCGGAAATAGAAATTCTTGTTTATTGTAAAAAATGAAAATTCCATTGAAAATCACGTTGTGTCTGTGTCCTAATTTTTGTCAACAGATGTCCTTCCTATAGTAGCAGCATATTTTATGAAGATTTTTGATGCTGTTACAGATAAATCAATCGCAAAATGGTAAATGATTTCGATTGCTAACTGAACATTCATTCGTTGTTTGTGCGATAAGGAAAATTGAACGCGTATCTACAATTTTTCGCTGTTTAAAAATGAATTCGGTATCCTTTCATTTGCAAGCCGGTCATTTTTTCAGGTCCTCTTCGAGGTTATAAATGTTCCGACAACTTTAAGAATACGACTTTCATGTCATTACATCATATAATTTAAACCTTTCGTAATCGTGGATTTATGTTCTATTCTTTCTGATTCTTTTATGAGATGTTAATGAATTAAACAACCACAAAAAGAATGTACCTTCATAAGGTAGTAATAATCATGTATTATTTATGCTGTGTATAAAAATTAATTTCTTTTCTGATCATTTTGGCAACAATATATTATTATGTACTCTATTAGAATAAGAATGTGTCATCTGTACATTCAATTATGCGAAGACATATGCTCACACGGTATTATTTTTTTCAGTTTCAGAATTTTGCAATGTGTAGGGCCAGCCTTATCAGTGCCACACGTTCTGCACAATATAACAAAAGGTTTTGGGATGGCTGTAGAGAGCATTCTGTCATATGTAGTAACAATGCGCTTAAACAATCACAGTTACCTGGAAGAGCAGATGTACAAGGTTTATCAGTGAGTTTAATTTTAGATTATCAATGAACAAGTGTGTATATATGATTAATGATCATTTGTTTAGGTTCGATTGTATTCAAATCCTGCAAGGAAACCTAGTTTCCTTTCTCAGTTTCTTGACAACATTAAACAAGAGATGCAAAAGAATAAGGAAATGAAGGAGTCTTTAAAGAAATTCAGAGAGGAGGCAGAAAAGCTAGAACAGTCAGAAGCATTAAAGTCTGCAAGACAAAAGTTTCATGCAGTTGAATCTGAGGCCAATAAAAGTTCAGAAGTTCTGAAAGAAAAATTAGATTCTTTGAAAGGGAAGGTATGAATTGAATTAATGTCATTTCACTGAAAAGAATTATTTAAGCATTATCTGAGATTGTAATTACAGGTGCAAGAAGTACTTGAAGAAGCAAGCAAGACAGAATTAGGCAAGAAAGCTGGACAATTAGGTGAAGAAATATCAAAATCTGCTAAAGGAGCGGCGGAAAGTATTTCTGAAAAAAGCCAGGCTCTAGGAAAAACAAGCGCATTCCAAACAATATCGCAGACAGCAGAAGCTGTAAGAGAAGAACTAGATCATCAAGGAATGCATGGTAAAATAATTTTAACAATCAAATATGTACAAACAGAGTAATGTGTTACTTTTATTTTAATGATATTTGTAGGAACAGTTTACGTTCCACCTAAAAAGTTAAGGAAAAGGAAAGATATAATAGAAAGTGAAAATGATAAATGTGTTACACCAAATGAAGAGGCTATGGGTGTTGAATTACATAAAGATTCAAAATTTTATCAGTCATGGCAAAATTTTAAGGTATGTATTTCATAGTAACAAGTATAAAGTAATGTAATAGTATTCATATTGGATAATTGTATTTTTTCAAGGATAAAAATCCGTATGTGAATAAAGTTTTGGATTGGAAGATGAAATATGAAGAATCAGATAATCCTGTAATTCGTGCTTCCAGACTATTGACAGACAAAGTTACAGATTTAATGGGTGGACTATTTCAAAAAACAGAACTTTCAGAAACATTAACAGAAATTTGTAAACTGGACCCTAACTTTGACAGAGTGCAATTCTTAAGGGATTGCGAGGCAGATATTATACCAAACATTCTCGAAGCTATGGTACAGGGAAATCTTGAAATTTTAAAAGATTGGTGTCATGAAGCTCCATATAATATAATAGCGCAACCATTAATGCAAGCGGAAAAATTAGGATATCATTTAGACAGTAAAGTACTAGGTATGTTTTATCTTATACAAATTTTTCATTCTTTCGTTTTTTTTTCGCCATTATTTGTACACATGAAATGATGTATGTTTAATTTCAGACATTAATAATGTAGATTTAATAATGGGTAAAGTAATGGAGCAAGGACCAGTTTTAATGATCAGCTTTCAGTGCCAACAAATTATGTGTGTGAGAGACACTAAGAACAAAGTTGTAGAAGGTGATCCTGAGAAAGTAATGCGTGTTAACTATATTTGGGTATTATGTCGTGATCCTACGGAACTTAATCCGAAAGCTGCGTGGCGTTTACTCGATCTTAGTGCCACCAGTTCCGAGCAGTTTGTATAGTGTGTAACATACAGTGTGGATCTAGTTAAAACTTTTAAACAATTACCATGAAAATGTGACTGGAGAATAAGTGATCATTGTCATTCTTCATTGATTTCGATGTAATTATAACGATCCTACTTAGGATTAACAATGTACGCATTAATCCATCGATGATGGATGTTAATTTCTACAATTTAACAAGAAGTACAAGAATTTCATAAAATCTGAAAATTATTTCGATCAGTGTATACAGACAGAAAATGAAAGTGAGTTATGTCATAGAAATGTAGTGAAAATGAATAGTTCACTGCTCGTCTAATGTATTTAAATAGTATCTTCGTTTGGAGTCATGTTACAAAATTCATATCGCAATTTACGCTTATTTTTTTCCAGGGTTCCGATAGCCCTAGTACATTGAAACAACTAATTCAGTAACAATGTAGTCTGTTATTTTACTACGCTCTACAGTCTTGTATATTTTATGTGGTCTAACGCGTACAAATACTGAAAATTTCAGTACAAACCGTTTTGTACATATTTTAATATTTACATTAAAATGTATGGGAAGAGAGTGTAGAACAATTTACATTGAACGCCAAATATTGCTTTCATCACGAATATTTTAAGTTAAGTCGTTGAGGGAATGAAACATGCAAAGGTTTTTAGGATGGAACAAATTTTTGTATTAAGCATTAAAAGTTAAATGACAAATTATATTATGTATAAGTGTACATATGTACAAGTTCATGTTATAACATTACACTGTGCAGTGCATAGCTTAACGAAATTATCAATCTATTTTTTAAAGATTGTAATATATAAATTAAATTCGCTCGTTTTCAAGTTACAATAAAGAATCTTAGTATAAAACTCTATATACCCAGAACATTGTGTTTTGCTTGTCCCTTTCCTTACAATTTATTCTTTCTATAAAAAATGATATGTTTAATTGAATATTTTAATTATTTCGAGAGATACATTACTCTACTGTTAATGTTTACGGAAGTTCATGATTTCAAATACTAATCTGTAAAAATGAAAATATCGAATTCGATTGTGTTATCAATAAATAATAACACGTAACTATAATTAAACTGCATTACAATGCTTTGCTGCATTTGAAAACTATTATTACTTTATTTTCATTTTTTAATATATTATGTTGTAACATTAATTTATTTAGATTCGAAGTAATTAACTATTCGGCCATTAAAAGGAATTAAATATTTAAACAACCCGGGTCACCGAGTCCGTTGGTCAGTGGACTTAAGTCCGCCATTGTAACGTCAAAGTCGCCATGATGCGTGTTCGCGACCCGTGATACTGCTACGCAAACAAGGGAACATCTGGGGCCATAACGTTTGTCACAAGCGCAAAGAATCGGTTAGATTCAGTGCAACGTATTCCAGAAGAATAATTTCATTTACGGACGATTAATTACGGGCGTTGATTGGTACATGGCAACGATACTCGTGCGAACGATAAATTTAAACGCATTTACGAATACTTGAACGACGAGTCCGGTTCGTTCGATTTCGTGAACACGTAACTGGTTGTTTCTACAGAAAACATGGCTGAATATCGTTTCGACGGTATGGTGAAATTGTGTGTACGGAATCATTAAAACGACATTCTGCTCATTTGAACACGTTCAGCCACCGGCAAAATGACGTCGATACATTTCGCTGTGCACCCGTTGCCCGGGACAGACGATCAGTTGCACGATAGGTAAGGGGGAACGCGTTCGTTATCAGTTTCTCATTAATGCATGTACCATTTCGATATGTCTGTCTCGTCTCTTAATCACTGATCTAAGCGATCGGTTTCGTTTGCAAATTTTACGGGCGATCTTGTTACGTTCGCCATACGCTTTCCTATTTCTAATTTATCGTTGCTAGACTCGTCGATGTCCGATGCGTATCTCTAACGATTGCTGCTTAATCATTTTCTATGCATCATTCCAGAATGTTAGGGGAAACGTTTGTTGTCACATTGTTACGGCTCGTTCGAATAACCTACGTATTATCGCCTACGAAATTCTATCTCGAACGTACGGAAATTCGATGTCACTGCTTAATTAAAATGAACATTTTTGTGGGCGCGTTTTCATTGGCCGAAAAGATATATATATTTTTCCTTCGTCTTTCTACTGTTCGTTGCAACCGGACAAGAAAAAAATTTGATTCTCGTCATCGGAACTTATACTCGTAGTGTCTGCTTGTTCGCGCGGCTAATACGTCGTGCAAGTTGAACTGTGATTCCGTATCTTAATGACTAAGGGGTTCCATCTTTTAATGACTAATGAGCTAATCTACTTTTTTTATTGCATAGTTTAATTTTTTTACGTTCGTACATTACGTACATACGAGTTATAATAGTGTATTGTAATTGTATGCCATCGATAAATACCTTGATTAGTATTAATTGTTAAATATATTATAAACATTTATTATATTATCGTAATTGTCACAATTTTATAACAGTTTCTAAAATAGTTTATATTTTTAGGTTAAAATTGTAATCAATTATTACAATTTTTATATTACTTTTAGATATAGTAAATGATCGATTGATACTTAGAACTCGGGACCGTTTTGAAACAGTTATCGTAGAGGGACACAGTTTCCGCGCCTCAAAAATTTCAAGCAGCTCGATTTCGTATTTTACCGGCGCCGACAAAGATCAGAAGTCCTCTGTGTATCGGTGAGGCAATTGTAACGATATGACCTTTTTATTTTTGGATCTTTGTTCATGAAAATGATCCAAATTATATCGTGTCCGATATTATTTTAATCAGAAAAGTCTCATCAGTATTTTAATAAAATGTTCGTGATGAAATAGTTAAAAACAAAAAAGTTTCATCGTTGCATTATGTTGTCTCATCGATATGCAGGCTTTTAATCTTTTTTTTTAGCCCTAAGCTGTCTACCATTGGCTCGTGAAAGCGAATTTGACTGGTTCCAAGGGGAAACCCCTCAGTAGTGGAGATGATGCAAAAGTATTTAACGTAGAGATCTTTTTGAACATTTATTGAGAATTTACTGTAATTGTGATACTACTAGACTCTCAGTTAAATTCATATGCACAGTGTTCTTGTTACATAATCTAATATGTAAAGTGTAATTCACAATTTATTGTAACACATAATTACTTTTATGCGTAATACTGATTTAACATTCATAAAAATTTTAACTTCATTATAAGTTTACTATATGTTTATCACCTTTTTAATATGATTTTTATGAAAAACAAAAACCACAAATCTTTTTTAGGTTAAAAGAAGTGGGAGAGAAGATCAATAGATATGGATTTGCAACATTACCAGCTTTCAGTGGGCTAAAGATTGCAGTAAAGCATATTGTTGTTGGACCAACACACATTGCTCTTCTTACAGAGGACTATAAAGTTTGCAGGGTTGCATTTACAGTATTGTCAGACAGATTAGACTTGCGCAAAAATGAACCAAATAGAAAGTAAGAAAGTAACAAATGAATCTGTTAAACAACAGGATTAAAGTAGAAGAGTTTTTTTTGTTTGTCATGGATCTATTGTTATTACAGCACAAATAAGAGTCATGTCGGGAGTTCAAATTCAGCACCAAGCGGTGGTGGAAGTAGTGGAAGCGGAGGTAGAGGATTATCCAGAACACGCGCAAGAATTATGCGTGGTAGTTCACGAGGTGGTAGCAGCGGTGGAAGCAGTAGCGGAGGTAGGATAGGCCCCCCAGGTGTAATAATGGGAGGAGGAAGCAGCAGTAGTTCGCGTCCTATTGCACCAGTACCTGCACCATTTGTGCCGGAAGACCTTATTTCGCAAGCCCAAGTGGTGTTACAGGGAAAAAGTCGCAATCTTATTATTAGAGAATTGCAGGTTCGTTTGAGTGAAGGTACAATAAAGGTTTATTCTATTAACATCGCGGTATAGGTCTAACTTCGAAACACGTCTATTACAGCGTTCAAATTTAGATGTAAACTTAGCAGTAAATAATTTACTATCACGGGATGACGAAGAAGGTGATGATGCAGAAGATGCAGCAGCAGACACCTATGTTCCAGAAGATCTCATATCTTTGTTGGATGGTGGATTTGGCAATGAACATTCTGTTATAATCGACGCAGATTCTATGTTCCCAGAAGACGTGTTCGGCTATACGGGAATAAGAAAGTAATCGCTTCTCATTTAGTCTCACACTGATTCGTATAGAAGGATGATGTTTATACTAAGTCTTTTCTAGCCGTGGAAGTTCTTCGCGTCGAATTGGCAATGACAGAGAAGGCGAACGTGCGTCAGAACGAGACAGAGATCGTGACAGTTTCAGTAGATGGAGGGATCGTCAATATAGCGGACCACGCCGTTGGTTAGAAACAGCACTTAGAGACTCGTGGGAAAAAGATTCTGGTAGAAACATTGCTAAATCGACACATTAAATATCAATAATATTTGTCGAGTTGTAGTTGCATTGATTGTATTTCTCTTTTCTTTTTTTTAAATTTAGATAATAAAAAGAAAGAATTGGCTTCTCAAAGTCCGTTATGGATATCAGAAGAGTTGGAATGGTGGCACGAACGTAGTACCGATCCTGCTCCACGTTTCGTACAGATTGCTTCACTTTACAGTGAATTAATCGCTGTGTCTGCCGGGGGTCAGTTATATCAGTGGAAATGGTCCGAACCGGAACCATACAAACATCCAGAGGTAGTTATGGAAACAACTGCGAACATTAATGTCTTCTTTTATATATAGCAACATAACGAAGGAACATCTGTTTTAGAATCCAAACATACATCATCCGAAAGCTCCATGGCTAGCTATAACTGTAGAAAAAATAGTTAATATATCCGCGACGGCAATTCGTTGTTCAGTTAGCACCGAAAGTGGCAAAGTAGCTACTTGGCTCGACGAACTTCTGGGACATGTTGCTTCTCGACTCGAACATCCAGCTCAGAGATTCACTGAATTTACACTGGACAAAATAGTGTCACTCCACACTTGTGCTTTGTACACTGTTGCTAAACTGGAAAGCGGTACATTATATTGGTGGTCAGTTGAAATATTAATCATATAACGAGGATATGTCTGTATCGATACAGAATTATATTAATTGTACATTGATTCTTTGCAGGGGTGTGCTACCATTCACACAGCGCAAAAAGTTATGGGAAAAGTACAAGGCTAAGTCGCGTAAAAACAGACCGTCGACGACATCGTCGAATGATATTAGTTATGGCACGCATGTTTGCATGAAAAATAGCCCTATATATCAACCTGGAGCAATAGGTGAGGAATAAGAAAAAGTTCAAGTACACTCGTTGAATTATGAGATACTAATTGTGTACGTTTTTCAGGATTCACAATTGCTAATGGAGTTCCAAAAGTGGGGCAATTATTGGTTGCTGCTTGGAATTTAGATTCAACATGCAGATTCAAAGTATTACCGGCTGGATCTCATTTGCCGAACGCTAACGTGGACAAACGAGAAACAAGTGGAAACAGCGGAACGGGTACTATTAATAAGACAAATCATAAAGAGACTGCTGATCGTCTTGACATGCCTCCACCACCTTCACCAGCTTCAAGCACATGTAGTGATACTGGTAGCATTACAACAAGTCACAGTAAGAAATTTTCAGAATTTATTTTCTATTGATTTGCTTACGGTTCATTTATTGTCTTAATAATTGAGACTTTAATTACAAAGGAAAACAATTTTATTTCAAGTGCTTAGTAGTAGAATATTACGAAACATTTTTGAGTCACTTCGAGTAGATTGATTGTAATGATGTAAACTTTTCTGATTCTGTAGAGAGACAGAAAAGAGTTGCGCCTCGAAGCGAAGGGGAATCTGAACGAAAAGATGAGGAGGAATGGCAATTGAAGGATGTTGTTTTTGTAGAGGATGTGAAGACTGTCCCTATTGGTATGTTGTATTAAATGAGCAAATAATATAAAATTCCTTATATTCTATCATTTCTTTCTGTGTACAGGTAAAGTTATAAAAGTTGACGGTTACTATGTTGCCGTGAAATTCTTCTCGAAGGATTCGAAGGAGAAAGAGAAAGAAATTAAGGAAAAAGACTTCAACACATCAGACTTCAAAGATCTAACAGCGGAAGAGTCGATCAAATTATTGGCTGATTGCAGATTGTTAAGGAAAGACGAGCTACAGGTAAGTTGAATGTACAGTCCTAAAAATAATAGTAAGTTGCGAATTAAAGTCAACATCCGTAACTATCACGCACCTAGGCGATCAAGTCATCCATGAATCCAAGGGCTCCAGATTGTTTCCAAAGAACTCCTAGACGAGTAAATATTGCTGAGGGATCTAACGACAGTATCTTAACAATTGCCATGGATGGTCAAGGTAAAATTTTAAGAGCGAATACAAGTTGCGGTTATTTATTCATAATGTTTTCTAATAATTGATCGTTCATAGGTATACATGCAATAGTGAAAACTGGAAACAAGTTAAGTTACGTGGTATATAATTTGAGTACTGGAAGGCACGTACAGGATTGCTATATTCCATCAGATATATCATCGTTTTTGGGTTTACAACCTCAGAACATCAGCCTTATAAGTGCGGGAGAGGTACATATTCATGATTTTTGCATTAAAAACATTTTTTTGATTCTCGATTGCAAGGAAAACTATAGTAGAATTTTTTGTTACAGAACATCGAATGTTCTATGATTCTTAGAGATGGGAATAATACGATCTATCCGTTGGTAAAAGATTGTGCTGGTGCTATCCGTGATCCACAATGGTTAGATTTAACTCCAGTAGTTTGTATCGGCGCTTCGACCATTCCTATACCAAACTGTTCGTCCTCGAATAATATGAAAAATCAGGTGGCAGTTATCGCATTAGCGTTCGATAACCAATTGCTTATGCCACGTATACTGAGGTGCGATTATGACAGCGTGAAACAGGTGTTCTGTAACCTGGAACAAGATCTCAGTAAGTATCGCTATGTTTTTATGTAGTTCAATAAATGCTATTTCCATTATATGACAATATCTTACATTTCTCTTTTTTCTTTTTTCTTTTTTCTTAAGAAAATAATCCGGGCCAAATTCAGGCAATATTAACCGAACGTTGCGACGGTAATCGCAATATTTTGCACGCATGTATCAGTATGTGTTCACCGACTTCTAATAAAGAGAACGATCAAGGTATGGTAACTTATCATTTCGTTATAGAATATACTATGATATTCTGAGTTGTATTTTTCTTTAAAAGGAATAGAACGTGAACTTGTTACAAATGCTGTCGATGGTGCATCCGCACCAATCGAGGAACCTATACCAACCTTGAGTTGGCCACCGGAAGCATTTGACAACACGTCAGGGGAAGAAGACAGTTTACTTAGTATCGGTGCTGCCAGTATCTCCATGATGAATAAATCAGGTAAAAGTGTATTTATTGCCTCTTTGTCCCGTTGCCGATTGTTAAATCGTATTATGAGTTATTAAATGAATATGTTTTTACACATAGGTGTTGGAGCTGCGTCTAATAACACTTACATCGTCGACTCCGTTGAAAGAAGGAACAACGCATTGCTTATATTAAAGTATATGTGCGAGAGTAACGTGTTACTCCCTCATCTAAAAGAATTGCTTACTGCAAAGTAATTATCTCGAAAGATACAATCATTTATTATATACATATTATAGCAAACATGATTAAATTTCAATGTTTACGTTGACAGAGACGCGCAGGGTCAGACGCCATTGATGCTCGCCGTGTCGGTGCGCGCGTATCACGCGGCTCTTATCGTATTGGATACCATTCAACGAGTTGGCAGAGACCAGAAAGAATGCTCGGCCATGATACTACCTGCGGACGCGAATCCTGACTTGTCACCTTTGTTCGTTACTTGCTGCAATGACACCTGCAGTTTCACTTGGACTGGAACTCAGCACATTGATCAGGTACTAGATTGTTCCTTACGTTTGAGCAGTTGTGTTCTACCGGGTGTAACAAAAATCTTGCAGGTCACTGAAATGGGACACTCGTAAGACGATTTTAAACATGTTTTTCTCCTTAGCAAAAATGTTATCCGAAGCTTTGTTAACGAGATTTACATTTTTTTTTGTTTTAGAATATTTATGAGTGCAGAACCTGCGGTTTAACTGGATCGTTGTGCTGCTGCACAGAATGTGCCCGTGTTTGCCACCGAGGACACGATTGCAAAATAAAAATCACGTCGCCCACGGCTTATTGCGATTGTTGGGAGAAATGTAAATGCCGCGCTCTAATCGCCGGCCATCAAGGCGCTCGTTACCAACTATTGTGTCGCCTTGTAGTGAATACCGATCTCGCGGTAAAAATAAACTCACGGTAAAGAAACAAGTAACGAATTAAAACTAATGGAAGCTTTAATGTTTGGATCTTATTGGTCGTCTCCTTTACATCATATAACTTGTCGTTTACGTACAATTATTAAGCAGTAATATGTAGGTCAAACTTTTCAGCTTCCATTGATAGAAATCGATGAGATCAGATAAAAATAACAAATCATGTTTCTGACCCCCCGTAGAGGAGAGAGCATCTTGCTGTTCTTAGTTCAGACTGTGGGCAGACAAGTTATGGAACAGAGACAATGTCGTTCAGCTCTACGACAGCGATCGACGTCTGCTAATCGCAAAGGAACTTCTTCCGACGGTAATTTTTCTAACTGACCTTAACATAAACAAGATGTTTAACGATACTTACGAGTATATTGTATTGTTTATGTAGGAGTGGACGCAGATTTGGATATGCCAGATCATGACCTAGAGCCACCCCGTTTTAGCCGAAAAGCTTTAGAGAGATTATTGAACCACTGGCCAGCAATCCAGTGTATGATCATGTCAGGTGTTACTCCGAATGGGAACGATCAGTTATTTGGTGATCAAGGACAGACTTGTCGTCAGAGTGGCACCGCATTGCTCGACAAATTCACTCATTCGATCGTGGTCAAGTGTAGTGGAGAGGTAGGACGAAAGATTTTTCTGGTTTCCGTAAAGATTGAACAAATATTTTTGTAATACTGAATTTTTTTTAGATGCTAGACATTCTGCTTACGACCATAGTACGGGAACTGCTAAACGATTCTGTTCCGGGACGACAGGAAGAAGCGAACATCGTGGCGCGGCGGTTTGTGCGATCTGTAGCTCGAATATTTGTTATTTTCACAATAGAAATGGCACCGGTGACAAAGAAAAGGAAGTACGTACGAAACTTAATACAGTAAATCCTGGATGGGTGTTGGAAGACTCCTGGGCACGGAATATGAAATTTCATAGACTAATGGTCATATGCGATTGAAACAGATGTCATTGGCTTCAGAATTTCCAGCTCTGTCACTGCCATGATATTTGTTTTAGTCGCATATGGCCATTAGTTTATGAAATATTTAATGTTCAGTGCCGAGAGACCTCCGAGTACTTTCTTCTCCTAAATTACAACGTTTTCAATATACATTTTCAGCACGACCCCGGTTTCACAACCTTTGGTGAAATGCCGCAAAGTGTTCGCATCGCTGATCAAAATGGCGGTCGAAGAATTATGCGAGACTGCTGATTCTCTGATAGCACCCGTAAGATTGGGCGTCGCTCGACCTACGGCACCTTTCACGCTGACTTATTCGGCGATCGAGGTGATCAACGGCTCGGAGGAGCTGTTCTCTATAGAACCGTTAATACCTCACAGCGGTGTCAATTCGCAGGCTCACGATCCGACTTTGCAAACGCAACAAGGGAACAACAATATAACCATCGCTAGAAATGTTGCCGCTATGGATGAAACCGAAGGTGGTGAAGGTGCGCTGAGTGCATTAATATATTAAATTATGTAAACGTCACTAACTAGGAGAATTTACGGGTCAGCTACTAATCGCTTGATTTTTAATTGATATTTTTTGATTCTTATTTATTTGGTACAAAATTTAAAAAGTTAGAGAACCCCTGCTTTACGTAAATGAAACTAGATGCGTACAAAACTTTAAACCAGGATATCTAAAACGAAGGCCCATTCTAAAACCAATGAGGGTTTTATAACACTGTATGTATACTACAACTTGTACATAGTATCATTCCACAAGCGATTAGCAGACCCGTAAGTTCCCCTTATAAGTAGATTTTAATCTAAAATAAATAATATCTTTGTTCTTCTTTTCAATGCCAGAAGGTCCTATGGATGTAGATGGTGATATAAGTGAACATGAAGAATCTGGGGTTTCCGGAACCGTGGCCGGACAGCCATTGGGTGAAATGGACAATAATGCTGGAGGTGTGGGCGAAGAACAAGCGGGTGATGGTGAATCGGATACGGAACTCGATCTTCTCGCGGAAGCAGAAACAGAGTCGGATTCGGACGATAACCATAGTAACCAGGATGCAGCGTCCGCGCAACGCAGCGTGCAAACCGGCGCTACAGCTGGCTCCGACGGCGGGATGGGTTCAATTTTGTTGTTCCCTGAGGACGAGTCCGGTGAATCGAGCCAGCAGGAAGACGACGAAAGCGAGGCGGGAGAGACCGATGAACAAGATAACGAAGACTTTCAGATTGGCGACGAACAACTGGAGCGGCGAAGGTAAAACATTTTATCTAACAATTCACTACATATAATCTATGCATTGTTCATAGAAAGTATCATGTAATAATTATTGACACTTTATATTCCAGTGGTTCGACTGGTCATTTACACCGCAACAATCTCGCGCCCGTTTCTATGCAATGGGCGATACGCAATCGCGAGACAAGCACGCGTGCATCGGGACTACGGGTAACAGGTGGCAGTAGTCTGGTTTTTATTGATTCTGCATCTTTAAGACGCACTACCGCAACGTCTGCTGTTGCAGCCACCCAAGAACCCATTACTATGGGTACTACTACCATTTGTTTGGCACGTGCATTTGGGCTTGTTATTCGACAGATAGCCGATCTTTTAGTTATGATGCAAGACTATCAGAAGCAGGCGCCATTTTTGCCACGGCAGTTGGAAGTCACCTACCAGGATTCGTTGAATTTACAGGTATTGCAATTGGCAACATTACGTTTTGCAACAGTATCCCTCGTTGTGGTTAAACTCTGACTGTTTTTAATTTTTAACTTTTTCTTTTAAATGTCATCGTTGCAGGTTTATCTCGAAACGCATTTAAAGCCAACATGGGATTGGTTGTTGACGGTGATGGACGCCACGGAAGCACAGCTTAGATTCGGCGTATCCCTGACACGTAGTGCGGACCCTACGCACCCTGAACACCCGTTAAACAATGCCCCGTCGCTTTCCGGTGGCAATTTTACCGGGTTACTGAACACCGCCGCTTTGTCGTTGACATTACAGTCTAATACAGGTCGGACTCAACGCAGCGGTATCGCTACCAGCACCAATATCTCGACACCGCAAGCTTCTACAAGACTCACCGTTGGTTTTGCAGGCGTTGGTGAACCTTCACGTAATAGTAGAGAGTGCGAAGGTACGCGTTTCCTCTCGTAAATCACCAGACACTGTTTAAGAGCATAGGGTGAATCAGGGGAGAAATAAAAATACTCCGCCGTTGGGATGAACAGAACTTTAACTTTAACCGACGCGTAAAAACGCACACCTCGAACAAAGGGGGACGATTGACCAATGTATTTCATGGGCAAAGTATTTCTATTCTCTCCCCAAGTCACTCTGTAGTACAGTTTTGGTAGAACTAAAACTGAACAGTTTTATTAGAAACGTTTTCCTTATAACATCGTCAGAACATTTGAGTGACTTCTGGTTGTTATATTGTACCCGTCAAAATTTTCTCCTGTACTAACGAACTGTCATTTCAGGTAGCGACGTACACCTGGCCCGACGTGAATTTTTATCTTATTGTTTGTCTTTGATGCGTGCCCACAATGCGGAGCACAGAGACAGCCTGCCTGTATTAGATGTTTCATCGTTGAAACACGTAGCTTACGTATTCGACGCTTTAGTATATTACATGCGTTCGATTTTGGAACCTATGCCAGCCCGTGGTGAAACGCCAAAAGAGTCGTCCAGTTACTCCGGTTGGAACGACCAGGTTCGTAGCAGTCTTTCCTGTCACATAGCGGAAGACAATTCAAGTTAATTTTATATACCTCCCGTGTGCTTCTATATTGACCACTAGACTGCGGATTTTATGTATTTATAACCTATAGGGCTCTAAAAAATACAGTAACAGACAAAATTTTCATTAGATGCAACTCGTTTCCTATTTTATTCTTAGTTCCATACCACAAGGGAATAATGAAATTCCTATTTTTCTTGTTTTTACAAATTACCTTACAAAACGTTAGTTTGCACGAAAATCCGCAGTGTATTAATCACTATCGATAGGTTGTTAAGGATCGATTTTCCAGCGTGTTGTACGTTTCAGGACGAGAATGACAACGACGAAGGCGAAGAATATAATTCTCCCGTGCCTACAGCTATGGAGACAGATTCCGTCGACTATCCGGATTTACTTCAGGTTCCCGTTTGCGGGTCTGGAAACAATAAAGACAGTACGCCGAAAGGTCGGAAACACCCATTCTTGCAAAGATCCGATTCTACTCTGTGCCTCGGTTGTCCGCCTCTTGATCCATTCGACACGGTGATGAGCGAGGCGTTGCCACTGGCCGATCAGCCGCATTTATTGCAACCTCACTCGAGGCGCGAGGATTTATTTGGTATACCAAGGCAACCGGCGACGAATGCGAATTCTAGTCAGAATCCTTTAGCAGGATTGCCCACGAGGCTCGGTTTGTCCGCGCGTGGCACCGATAAACAGAATACAGTTATGCCCACGCTCAGTCAGATTATCCAAGGACCTGCCTTGTTCGCACCGACGGATGCTAGACGTAGTTCTGTTTCAGTTGGAGGAGACTCGTCGTCGTCCTCGTCGTCGTCGTCGACATCATCGTCCTCCACAAAATACACGGTAATTGTTATATATACATATAACAAAAGATATTTCTTTTTTCTTTTAATTTACATTGTTCAGAATTGAGATTTCCTTGCATTCTATATATGCTGCATATGTTTTAACTTCTTTATATCTTGTGCTTTTTTTTCTTCAAATGAATTTTTATTTGGTGAAACAATAAAATATGTGGATCTACTTTACACGTTATAGGAGAAGGGAAAATCGTTAACGAGCGATAATCATTCGCTTGTCGCGGAACAAATCGATCGAGCCCCGATTATAGTTTCTACTAATAATCAAAACGATCCATCAGGAAGTACCAAAAATAATAAGGAACTATGTAAAACGAGTAGAAGCGTTATTGTTAGAGCTGGAACTGTCTCGGTAAATATGTAATTCAACTGGTTTTCTTAAGATATTAAACAAATAAACAAAAACAGAGAGAAAAGGAGTGAAGACGAAAAGAAAAGAAACATTTAACAGAATTTCTACGAAACTATTTTTTAATACTTGCACTCTAATTTCAATAGACAAGTATGCCAGACAATTGATCGTTTGTTTGTTCTCTTTAAAGGAACCGAATGCGAATAAACCAGGCGCACCGGAAGTCCTGGTTGTGTCCACCGTTGAAACGCAAAACGTGTCGGAGGATGTCGATCCGGCTGGTTCGAGTCAGGAAATATCGGCTCACGAAACGGTCGAGACGAGTCCGGTGGAAAACGCCCGGACGGTTTCGTCCATTGGATCGAATATATCCCATAATATTTTACTGGGACGTTGGAGATTGTCACTCGACTTATTCGGTAGTGTTTTCATGGAGGACGTTGGATTAGAACCCGGCTCGGTTGTGCCTGAATTGGGTGGGTTTCCCGTCAAGGAAGCGAAATTTCGCAGAGATATGGAGAAACTCCGTAATTCACAACAAAGAGACATAACTATGTTCAAAGTAATTATTCTGCATTTTATTATGAATCGTGTTTCGAAGAATAAGAGCTTCTTTTGTCTGTTCTCTAAATGTGTTTCTTCTGATTCAGCTCGAGCAAGACAGAACGCAGTTACTGGTGCAAACAATGAAAGAATTAAACACACAGTATAATTTATATAATAGACGTGCCACTAGTACGCCACCATTGGCAGTGCATCGCGTCAAAGTGACGTTCAAAGATGAACCTGGTGAAGGTACAGGAGTTACCAGAGTTTTTTATACTGCGATCGCGGAGGTTTGTGATATAAGAAACAGAATTCTACTTATTCTATTTTCTTTTTTTGTTTCCTTTATTGAACGATATTTACATTGGGTGGGAACTAATGTAAAATATCGAATGTTTAAGAACAGTGTCGTGAAAAGTGGGAAACTGCTGGCGTAGTACCGATAATTTTTGTTCTAATAATTCTTAAATCACGGTTAGTAACTTGTTTCTAGCCATAAATTTACAATGTTTACGACTTTACGTCCATAACAAGGTCAACTAGCCACACACGATCGGTTCTAGTTACTTTGTTTAACCGAGTGCGCGAGGCCTAGTTTTAAAAAATATTTCTATGTTGTGTACCGCGTCAAGCACGGTTCCTGCTTTTTTCCGGAACTAACACGGAACGTAATAATCTCTGTTCAGGCGTTGCTCGCTAATGAAAAACTGCCGAACCTCGAAGCAGCACAAGTGGGATCAAAATACACGCAATACAACGTTCTTCAAAAGCTAAAAAGTCGCGATCGTGATCGTGACATAAGACGACAAGTAAGAACCAACGTTTTGCAAGAAAGAACAAAACACACATTTCATTATATTATTTTCGCTCATGGTTTGTACTTTTTTTCCAGAATCCTCGATCCTCTGGAAAATGCCGTGAAATACGTAGACCGTTATCCTTCGAGGCTCGTTCTTTCCATCCATCCGGTTCCGTCGAAGGGAGCAGTAATGCTGGACCTGGTAGCTCATCCTCCAGTTCCCACCCGTTACCCGTCAGTCATCCAATAAATGACCACTTGACCATGCATCAACAACAACTCGGGGAGAGACTGTATCCAAAAGTAATTAATTACACGACCGCTAATCGGCTACGAATGTATCTGTATAATACTACAGTAAGTTTTGGATGTGTGTTCGAAGGCTCCTCGGCATTAAACATTAAATATTTCATAAATTAATGGCCATATGCGGCTGAAACAAATATCATCAGCTTCAAAATTCCAAGCTTTATCACTGTGCTAAACCTCATTAAAAATTCAGCGTTACACCTGGAGATCTCTCCTTGTCAGTTCCAAACAGCCTTCGAACATTAATCGAGGATTTACTGTAAGTGAACGTCGTTGTCAAGGTGTTTTCCATTCTAAATCCTGTTGTCTTGTAACAGGTTTACGCATTGCGGCCCGCGTTAGCTGAAAAAATCACTGGTATGCTCCTGGAACTAACCCCAGCGCAATTGTTGATGCTACTGGCATCGGAGGACACTCTCCGGCAGAAAGTGGAAGAAGCATTTGAATTGATCCACAGCCATAGCCAGGATTTAGCGAGCGAGGCGCTGTTGGATCTGGATGTGTTCAGTTTAACCGCACGCTGCGGAGCGAACAAGAAAAAGATCGAGAACAGTATTCTGGACGACACGGAGGACAATGCTCCTCTGTTCTATTCGCCGGGAAAACGTGGCTTCTACACGCCGCGACAAGGAAAGGCCAGCTACGAACGACTGAACGCGTTCAGGAATGTGGGCAGGTTCGTATCACGGTTAAAGCATGCGACAACTGATACGTAATTCGTGCAGCAACATTCAGTGATGAAATTATATACCTCTTCTTCTTGTTTAGACTCATAGGATTGTGTCTTTTGCAAAACGAGCTGTGCCCTATATTTCTGAATCGTCACGTGATAAAATATATTTTGGGACGGCCGATACGTTTCCACGACCTTGCGTTCTTTGACTCTGTAATTTATGAAAGTCTACGACAACTTGTTATTGACTCTGAGACCAAGGACAGCAACAGTCTATTCTCTGCGCTTGATCTTACGTTCAGGTAACGTAATATAGTTAAATGTTTGATTTTTTTCTTTTTTCTATTACATAATAAATTCGATAATTGATACCATTCCGCGTACTCGTTTCTATTTTTAGTATTGATTTGTGTCCCGAAGAAGGAGGGGGGTCGATTGAACTTATACCAAACGGCCGTGATATAGAAGTAACAGCAAGCAACGTTTATGATTATGTACGAAAGTACGCTGAAGTTCGCATGATTAAGGTACAGGAGAAAGCATTGCACGCGATGAGGGAAGGGGTGTTCGATGTGCTTCCGGAAGGGGCACTCGACGGCTTAACATCCGAAGATCTGAGACTTCTTTTAAACGGAGTTGGTGATATCAACGTTTCCGTTCTGATATCCTATACCTCGTTCAATGACGAATCAAGAGAGTCTGTGGACAGGTTAGCAAAGTTCAAACGATGGTGGTGGTCTACCATTGAAAAAATGTCGAACACAGAACGCCAGGATCTGGTAAGGATTGTGTCAATCCTGTTTCTCATTCATCTTTAGAAAATATTAAATTTATACATTATTTAATAATGTAGTGATAGACATAAGGATGTGAAGGTCATTCTTCGCGATGTTACAACAGGTGAAAAATAATCGAATTGTGTTTATTACTTTTTTGTTTTGTTTTTAGGTGTATTTTTGGACAGGATCTTCAGCATTACCTGCAAGTGAAGACGGTTTCCAACCAATGCCAAGTGTAACACTACGGCCAGCAGATGATGCTCATCTACCAACTGCAAATACATGTATTTCTCGACTATACGTTCCATTGTACAGCTCTCGTCACGTATTAAGACATAAACTACTACTTGCTATCAAGGCAAAGAACTTCGGATTTGTATGAATATATATATGATATATATATTATGTGACCATGTTTTGTGCGCAATAGTTCTAAAAAGAAGTCACACTACTGATAATGATATAAGAAAAGAAGTTTTATGTTGTTACTTTTTTCCTTTCTAGAATGAAATTTATAAGATTTATAAATTTGTAAGGTGTAATTATGATTTTGATTTCTTTGATTCAAAAAGCGGTTTTCATCATGACAAGATTTTATTGTAAAGTGTCATCATTAGTCTTTATAGCGATTGAATAAAACTTTCTCAAAAATCATAATCAAACGAATCGATTAATTAGAAACCACCACAGTAAAATCAGAGAGCAACGCTTCCAGACTGTCGTAACGAAAAGTAGTAAATTTGAGTTTTTATTAGGAATTTCAACATAGTATATTATACAATTAAAAATTTCTTTTATTAGGCGTGTTTACGATGTAACATAAAATGTTGACAGGAAATAGTAAATTTTTTTTTCAATGCACACCAGTAGTAGTAACTGTTTTCCTGGATATCAGCATGTTGTCGATTATAATACGTATCACTTTAAAAATCAGACTACAACACGAGTACAGATTACAAAACACAAGGTTCGGTGTTTAATAATAGTGAAAATTACATAGTTTCATGTAAAGACTCCTTCTGTGACTGAGAATGATGATAAAATATCAACATAAAATCACATTTAATCTAAAAATATACAAATATTGTTTCAATGTTAAATCCTCAATTGAATTGCCAATTTTTGTGATAGAATTTGCGAATGAACTCGGCCAAATGCGATGGTAATAAGAAAAATAATCTAGGAATGTCTAGCTGCCTATTTCGTATTGTTATATACTTTCTTTTAACATGTTCAAAATCTTGAATCTATCGTAAAACAATATCAACTCCGTTACTTATGCTGCTTAGTCTTGGCATGCACTCATATATGTCCTTGTTTCTGTCTAGGATTGTAACAATACATATTTCCAAAATGATTATCATTTTGAAAAAAAAAAGAATTGAATTTACAGATTTAAATTATTATTTATATTTCCTAAACAGTAAACTGAAATAGTAAAAAATAATCTATTATCTTTAATTTACTTAAAAAAAAAATTACTAACGCTAATATGTATAATATAATAAATCTCATTGTTTATAAATTTCTAAAAATCGTAAAGTTATATACAATAATTATATTATCCATTATGTACTTGACAAAGTATTAATAGAAACTTATGTACAATGGTTACCTATTGACCACTTCCTGAACTGTTTTGGGGTAATTTTGCAGCTGATTGGCTCAATTGAGCTAATGTTTCTGGAGTCGCGTGTGCTTTTAGAATTGAATTTTCAGCTTCCAATTGATTGATGCGATCCATAAGCTCTGCTATTTTTTCCTTGAGTACTTCAACCTCTTCTCGTACAGCAAACATCAAATGACTTTTAACAAGATCCTACAAAAAAAAACGATCTCCCGTTAAATCGCTATTATCATCCATTATCTTGACTTAACAATTGTCTCTTTGGCAGACAGTATTTACCATGGCCTGCTCAATCTTATTATCAATTGCTACAGCGCTAGTCCCCGACATGCTATAAGAAAAATAAGAATATTACAATACTTATTTTCCAGAGAATATCCAGAGTTCTACTTAAATCAGTTATACACAATATACCTTTCATTATCTTCGAGGGTGTGATGTTCGTCACTGCCTTGAGTAACTTCAGTTAAAGATTCTAAAAGCGCTGTATCAGCAGACTGAGTTGTGGATGCAGCTACTATGCCTGAAATGGAGTCCTGCTCCGGGTCCGATTGATGAAATGTCATGTTTCCTTGTTGCATACCACCTACAACATTTTGGCAACTAGCCGATACTTGCGCCATTTGCACTTGAGCATTGCTACCGGATGTCTGGGGTTGCATTTGAGATGGAGGTATGACTTGAGATTGTACTGGTGCTCCAGGAGCATGTATAGTCGAGGAAGTTTGCTGTGCACCTGTCTGAGGAACTTTGTGAATATTCTGGATGCCTTGCATTCCTTGTATGGCAGTCAAAGGTTCAGAGATTTGCGTGATCGGTTTCTGGGTTTGAAGCGATTGTTGAGGCTGTTGTTGCTGCTGCTGTTGGGATTGTTGTTGCGGTTGAGTTGGTGGATGTTGTTGCTGCTGTTGCTGAGAAGGAGGAGCATGCTGCTGCTGTTGTGTAACTAGAATATTCGGCGCCTGCGATGTTGGAACAGGCGGTTGTTGAACAGATGGCTGACAAACAGTTTGAACTGGCAACGACTGATTCTGCGTACTCACTGTCACATATGTATCTTCTTTAGAATGAGGTATACTTTGTTGGGCTGTCACATTGCTATTACCAGTCTGTGTTATAATAGGAATAGAACCTTGGGGCATACTTTGGGGTTGGGTCAAATTGTTTGGGTGAGCAGGCTGCAGATTAGAAGGTAATGTAGATCCTTGTGTACCTTGCTGTTGCGGTTGAGAAGTTAACTGTTGGGTGGAAGATTGGAAATAGGGGGGAATTTGCGAAGGTGCTTGCACCTTCTGCTGAGTTTGAACTTGCGTTGGATTATGCTGTGCATTTGGAGGAATTGAATTGCCTACTGCGTAATTAGCACTTGAAACAGTTGCTGTGTTGCTCGGTACACCGATTGATGAATGCACATCAGGATGAGCGGATACTTGTCCATTTGTATCTATACCTATACCTTTATCCTCAGATACAACAGATTGCTTGGACGCGTCTGGTATGACTATTCCACTATCTGTCACCCCATACGATATGCACACCTCGTTTGGATCCGACACTTTTGGAGTACTAATTGCGGTTGGCTGATTGACTGACGTATGATCCAAGTAATCCATGCAAGTCCACCTACCCCTTTTAAATGGCTCGGTACTTTCAATTTTAACCACTTTAAAACGCTCGTTCCTACCGTGCGAATGTACCTCGCGTAGGTCTGCATCTTGTTTCACGTTGCTCGACAGTAAATTAATAATATTGTTGTCGGTGACGGATGTGATATCGAGAGTATTGATATTGCTGTCGTTTACCGAATTAATAACGTTGTTTCCTTCCGAGGGTACGATCGCCAAACCGTATTGGGAACTGGTAGGAATCACCGGAGCCGTGCTGAGGGCAGCATTACTGGTATTGAAGAATACATCCTCCTTGGAGAAAGTGTCTTCCGAGTAACTCGGTGTTTCGATGTCGATGTCGGTGATACGCGAATGCTCGACGGAATTGTCCTCCGTGTGGGACTCGTCCAGATCGTCGTTCGAGTCTTCGCCGGCATCGTTGCTCATACGACAACCGACGGTAACACTTGTTATTTGGAAGGACGATGTCTTTTTACGACACTGATTACTGGCCGTCACGTTGCTGGAGCTAGTCAGACTAACCGGCTGGTACAACTTCTCGGGCTCGCCTAACCGAATCGTCTCGGTGGTCGTACGGTGCACTGGATTCGACGTTTTTCTACTACTACCATCCGACAGTTTATGCGATTTTCTGTGTACATTATCTGCCATTATTATAGGAACTTAACATTCGAGAGCCACGATCTTTGCATTCGTTGTTCTCTTGCATGTTAACATCGACATCGCTCTTAGCCGGGGCCTTTCGGCTTCGAACTGTTCAACCGTCCCGAGGATAGACACAATTACCCTTCAAACCAGCTGATCGTTACTCTTCACCGTAATTCGAATCGTATTCATATTCTCATTTTGCAGAGGTGTTGACAGTTCACCATTTCCATCAGTATCACGGGGAATAAGTGCATTCGCTCGAGTACCGTCCACTCGAAACGAATCACCCAAAACACACGCACGCACACCGATTAAAAACTCGTCTTTTACCTCATCTAATCGAAACCGAGATCACGCTACATTCAATCTCTTATTCTTCTACATATTATCATTCCCCGATCTGTTCTCTTATTATCCATATCCCTTTTCTACTTTATTATAGTAAGCGAGCAGTTTAAAAATGGCTGCCAATTCACTAGCAAAATTGCCACGAATTACATATCTAGAATCTCTGTGTGTAATTTCACGATTGAATATCTATTTTCATCGTCAGGACGGTAGGTGCGTCGCGAGAAATAACCGCAAACTATCTCTCCGTTGACCCCTTTTCTTTATCTAGACACAAAGCATTCTGATTAGAATACGTATACGTATTAATGAAAGGAATTTCTGTCTTCAAATGTTAAATCCAGTATTACAGTTTTTTCATTTAAACAGATAAAATATATAGAATTCTGTGATTACTCAAAAACAAATGTATTCTCTGTGCAATCGTTTTTCTTCTTCATTAGTGACAATATAAATGAAATTTCATAATACAAAATCTGAAGTAAATGTACATTCATTCAGAATCGCATATATACGTATAACAAAGTAGAAACTACTTAATATTATAGTTATATTGACATTTACCTATGATCTTGTTTTATATACATTTTATTGTACGATGTATTCAGTGTAAGAACGTTCCATTTCTTGTTACTAAAAAATCTCGGTTATTATTTATATTTCGCGCCTTCGACTTTTGTCATTGAATACCGAGTGTTGTAGATAGAATAAAATCCTCAGTTTGCAACAGAAGGAAGAAACATGTGGTTCTATCTACGAGCACACGCTCAAGCTATTAGCCAATTATTCCCACTGTTTGCCGCGAGATGTCTTTACGCCATTTGTAAGCCTATTTCATTAAGTCAATTAAATATTAATGAAAACTGTAACGTACCGCAGTTATTATACAATAATATTTTAATAGGAGACTTTAGAGAATAATCATATGTTAATGGAGTACGTATTTAGTGTGTACTTTTTATGTACTTAAGATTTAATTGTTAAGCAGATACGTCATCTACCGATGAAAATGTGGTACTAATTAATTAGCAACTTGGGACTTTTATCGTAGATGGTGCTACATGTGTTTTTTTTTATCATTTCTATCAAACGTATGTATGCAAGAATTAAACATTAATTAAAGACGCCAACCCCTACAGCTGTTAGTGAACAAATGTATGAGAATATAGCGAACAATCACACAATAAGAGAGAATTCTCTTAATATAGGGCTGAAGACTTTTGAGTTACCTTATTTATAGGGATGAATGTATATATAACTACAGTAAGCTTCCGATAACAAATCTTACAATTAGTTTTCGATAACCAAACCGATAAGAAATCTTACAGTTAGTCTGCTTATTAGTCATCATCGTAGCAAGTGATACGTTTCAGAGCTCCCTTCAGTTTTAGATAATGTTACACGATGATGACATACGACGACACAAACGCAGTCCGAACCACGGAATGTACCAAATGAACGCGTATCGTGTAACTGTACTTTCTCTTTCGTGCTTGTGTCAAGATAAAAAGAGACAGAAAACGTGGAGGGAATAACCCGAATAACTACGACAAACCGTGCTGTTATCGAGACTCTGCTACACGTTCAACGATGTACTACACTTTCAAATTAACATGAGGTATTTTCGTAATCGTCGAGCGATGCGTATATCAGGCTAGTAGGCGTGATTTCGATGCGAACTACTGTTACTATAGTCAATTAAAGTTAATAGGTGGTACGGTGCTTGCTAGTTGAGTCTTGTGAAAAAGGACAGATAGACAGAAGGCACATTGTTCTGTAAAATGATAGCGAACTACGCGACACGGTTAAAATTCACATGAATGGAAGGCGTTACTGTCATGTAGTGCGTACATACAATGACGTATAGACGTCAAGTGCACACCAAGTACTTATTTTTTTTTCGCTGTTATCATGGGTTCCAGATTGAGGCAAGTGAATTTTTCATTCATCACAGAGTTTTTTTTTTTCTTATGCAAATGTTATTTCGTGGGTATCTCTGCCCTTCATTCAGTGGTATTCCTGTTCCTATCCTGAAATATGTTTTCTGTTTGTACAACAAATAAAGTAAGTGAAAGTACGTTCGTCTCTATGGCATGCTACTGTTGCCCAAGTATCTTGCTCAATCAGTGTTTAATACATACCAATTAATAGATTCAGCCGTTTATTTGTCAGAAATTGAGAGGTTGTTACAGTCTGATAAGCGAATGTTCATGATATAAATCTCTGTTTACTACATGTATAATACTATGCAGAGCATGTGTACTCTATTGTTTGAACATAGGAATTAAAAAGAGTTTATTACAAACACACATTATGTTGTAGTTGCAGTAAAAGAGATAACAATATTACTAAGATAATTACATGCTTTATCTTTCAATTTAAGATGTATTAATGAGTTATCTAAATGATTTCAATTGGCACATGTAAATCATATGTACTTATGTACAATAGTATGTATGATTTTGACATATTTGATGTATAATATTTAAATGAAGATTTACAAAAATGTATTAATATTTCCAGGGACAATGTGCAACATCTTTTTGAATGTTTCTGTGAGGTAGCTGCACCGTTAGGGGAAAAACCACCTTGGATACTCCAAAAGTACCCTAGCCCCTTCTCAGATGAGGAAATACTTAAATCGGTCCCTAAATTTGCATACCCTTGTGAAATAGAAAAGTAAGATTTAAGTAATCATTATTAGTATCAAATAAGGGATAATATCTTCTAGCACAGAAAGAGTAATATTATAACTAAGATTAAGTGTGATAACATAATGAAAACAACAGAGTGTATTCCACAGAAAATAAAAAAATTCTTAAAATTTGTTAATACTATTATACGACTATTTATTATTTCAGCTTACTAGTGCAGCACTTTTCGTTTGTACTCACTAGTATAGACTCAAAATGGACATTTGGTTTCTGTCGGCATGATCCTAAGACAGACACAGGTCTAGTAATTCTAAGTGCATTACCATGGCATGAAATATTTTACAAGTTAGTATATTACCCAGTATTTCTAAAGACAAATTTTATACAATGTAGATTATATTTGGGTATAAGTAAAGCATGGGTATTTTGCATATATATATATAGGCTTTTAAACAAGATTGCAACATTACTTCAAAGCACTGGCACTGCAGAAGATCTTTGGAAATTTCTCGAAACTGTATACAACAGTACAGTTCCAATTCCTGGTAGTTCCATATCCATTCCTGTACCAAACTCTAAAGTGGTATGTAACCTGGTAGACCAAATTCATATTTAATACATTTAGTTACATGTTTATTAATTTTCAGAATTTTGTTTATCAAAGTCCAAAGCAATTTCAACTACCAAGTATACCAGAAAATGTAAGGAATTATAAATCCATATATTGCACTTTCAAATAAAGTATTTCGTGCATAAATGCTTAATTGTTTCAGAGAAATCTGACTGAATATTACAGTGCCGTTGATGCTCAGAATATGATGATAGTATTTGCCTCCATGTTATATGAACGACGAATTATTTTCACTTCGAAACGGCTTTCGAGATTGAGCGCTTGTGTTCAGGCATGCAACGCTTTGATTTATCCAATGATTTGGCAACATATATATATTCCAGTGTTACCGTTATCGTTAATTGACTATTTATTAGCGCCAATGCCGTTTTTAATCGGAGTACCAATCCCAACGCTTCAGGTACTTATAAATAATCTGCGTGGATTATTGTTTAAAAATATAAATTCGCTGATAGATATTTTATCTTACTTTCAGAGAGTGCGGAAGAGTGATTTGGGTGAAGTAGTCATTTTGGATGCAGACAATAATACCATAGAAACTCCGTTCCAAGATTTGGAATCTTTACCTCAGGACGTAGTTCGTATAAATACATAATTTTACTTCCGGAGAAACGAATTTATTCTTAAGAATTCAAACACATCTTAAATAATAAAATAAAAAGTTTCTTTGTCCCAGGTAACCAATTTGAAGAAGGCATTACGCAATAGAGCTGCATTACTCGGAGATGGGGTATCCAGGGCATTTTTACGAGCATTGGTACAGCTAACTGCTGGATACAGGGATGCATTAACTTTAGAGCAAGGACAGAGTATTACCTTTAATCAGAATGCGTTTGTGGAAAGCAGACCATCTTCCATGCAACCTTTTTTACGAAAAATGCTGGAGTTACAGATATTTCAGCAGGTACGAAAAAAGGAATTTCTTATACGAGTTTATACCAATTTAGATATGCAACTTTCTAATTCATCGTTATATAAATTTATTTATATTTTAGTTTATAGAGGAAAGACTGAACATGCTTAATTCCGGACTGGGCTTTTCGGATGAATTCGAAATGGAAGCTTGCAGCTATTCCGCGAAATCTAGTAGTAAATTTATGCAACAATATCGAGAATGGACATACGCCATGCGAAAAGAAAGTTCTGCGTTTTTCCGCAGTGTGAAGGACAAGGTGAATTGATTTTCATTCTCTTACGAACGTACTCCACGCATCGGTTTCGAGTTGAATTTTTGTATTTGTGATTGCCTTCGATTTCAGGCCAATCCAGCCGTAAAATATGCAGTTAAATCAGTAAGTTTAGAGTGATATATGTACGAAGCTCGCCGTGTTTTCATAGATTGTGTTATTAACACTAATACCTTTTACTAATCACGTATTTACCAGCTTTTATCTTCACTATTAATTGCACTAATTTTGAAGTCTTTGATTTCAAACATAACATATTTACTCTGTGTATATAAACTGTGTAAATTTATTTTGATCCGAATACGTATGCAAAGGATCAGTCAAAAACAGCCAGGCTTAATCTTGTATCGTTCAGTCAAGATCAATATTGATTTACATTTATTTCCACGGAGTTCACTTGGATATTGTGTACATTTTTTTGCACCATATGTTCGCAGGTTAAAGACAAAGGAAAGGATATGAAAACAGCGTACAAAGGACTAAAATGGAAAGGTAGGTGTTTCGTTTGTTTAGAATTTCTTAAAATATCCTAGTATATTTTGTTTATTTTTTCAGGACGATCGAACAGAACTGAAACAAGTATGAGATTCCACCAACCAAGATCTGCACCCAGTTCACCCACATCGGATAGAAGGCCGATTGATTTCACATCACCACCGAAATCTCCAAATGGCTTTACCGCAACCACCAGTTACAGGAAAGATCTTCGGTTACGTAACAATAATTTCACTGATTCAAAGTACATTTGCATTTCTCGATTGTGCAGTTATATTGTATTGTATGTTTTATTCGTATAATTGAACTTACAGTAGGAAACAATATTCGCCATTGAGTCCCAGTTCTCCAGAGGAACCTGATTCTCCGCCGGAACGGGTCAACATCGATCTTATGCAAGAACTTCGCCATGTGATATTTCCAAATACACCTCCTGTTGATCGAACAGTAAGTTTATCACTGTTTTTAAATCACATAGTATATACGTTGACCGTGTAATCTCAAACTGTATAAGAACCAACAGTCTGTGGAAACGTCAGTGTTTGTTATTTACATGTATATATTGCTTATTACAATGCGTAACGTTGTAGCCAACATCGGTAGCATGATTACAAAGGTTAGGTTACATAACCAGGGTGGGCCAGGGCGGGTGGTATAATGTTAATACTTTGTTTTGCATATAGAATAACCTCCTGGCCGACCCTGTATCTACAATGAAAATTATCTGTTTAAAATCGAAGCCTATGCATGCACTATTTCTAAATGTTTTCATTCCAATAATCTTAGGTCCTATTCAGACACGACGGTATCAATCACACGGAAAAGAATGATTTCGATGAGTGCGACGTACTCGGGTCCACTTTAAAGCATTCGTGGCAAGGCGGAAAAGTTTTCAGGCCCTTATAAATTAGTTTTCTGCCCGAAGTCGAGCCTCCACTTAGCTTCTGTTTTGATTGATTCCACAGGGGGACGCCCCCAGCGGTGGGAATAACGCCGTTGCTCCTGTCGCATTCATCGAGGAATCACTGTACTTGAGTAATCTAAAGAAAAGATACTCGAGACTGCACACTGATGCCGTGCTTTTCCCACTTGCTTCAACAAAACTAACGACTGTAAGATCAACACCGCCGTGTCTGAATGGGGCCTTATAGGAGCAGTTTCGTTAGTTTGGCATTATTTCGAATGCAAGAATGAAATGTATGTCAGTGAAGTATCGTATTACGTGTATACATTCGTAATTATTCTAATTCTGTCCATGAAATAATTGTACTCGATAAATGTAAGAACGTGTCATGCATCAATTTCAGTTGAAGCCAGTGCGCAGCTTAGACAGCTTGAGACCTGCATGGAGTGGGCACATACGGCACGGCCCCCCGCCTAGTACAGTTGTCGCGAATCCAATCAATGCCTCCCCAACACAAACTCTCTCCTGTCACGCTCCAAATTTTACCTTAATAAGTTCGGTCGATCACTCGAATATATCGTTAAATACCAACGATGTGTTAACCAATAATACTCAGATCGGTGTAAGTAAATCATCATTGCCATTGAATTCATCGGCCGTGAAATCGGATAAAACGGGCGAGAATAAGACCGACAAAATGTTACCTGTGACTGTTTTGCAAAAACCCGTCGGCAACGTGTTGTCCAATAATCATTTACACGACTCTATGAAGCATAATTCTAATACATATTCGCAACCGCAGAAGACTGACGCGAACCAATATCGGAATGACGTCGAAAGTTTCCCAAATAATGTTAAATATTACGCAGATGACGTTCTCATCAGTTACGATCCAGACACGGAAAATAAACCCTTCGATACGTGTTTAAGAACCTTAAACTCCGATTCCTATCCGAATGACAGTGACCCTTTCGATACAAGTAAAGTGTTCACACCCTCCTACTTGCAACCATCAATTTTTCAAGCCGCAAACGCATCATTGTCTGTTAATTCGAACGTTCCATCCCATGTATTCAATAGTACATCCTGTTCTGCACATCCAAAGGTAAACGTCATCATTTGTTATTGACAATATATAATTTGTTTGTGACTCGATACAGGGATTGTGATTGCTAATCAATATAATAATAAAACCTGGGTGTTAACGGGGACCGTTGAATCGTTAATCCACATCATTAAATGAATCTTTGATCACAATTAGAATTCCTGAATCGGTAATCGCTTCTGAACAACCATTGTACAATCATTAAACATATATTTATAACTTTTCATTGGCTGATGTGTTGAGTAACGTTTGGTTTCACTGTTAAATCAACAATTGTCATTAATATTTTTATCCCGGTTATTTCTAGGATTCTCCCGAAGTGCCAGATTTGATTAGATTAGATTCAACGACGAGCAGTGATGATTTCGACCCGCTGCTCTCCAAGTCCATGGAACTGATGGGTTCGAAACCGATGACGCAGTCGTTACATGCACCGGAAATGGGCGAAGGTCTGAGTAATCCATTGTACCCGTACTTTCAACCGTTACACACGAGTAGAGATAAACAGCCGAAATCGTCCGACAACATTGGTGATTTGGATCTGTTGCAAGCCTACGGGCTGGACTTTAACAAGTTTAGTATAAGTAACGGCGATTCATCGACGAATAGTACCGCGGCATGCAACACATCCGAGAGCAGTATTAGCAATACCGATAACACGTTCAGTTTAACCTTGAACGCGCCCACTATTAAGTCGCAGAACAATTGGACGAAATTCGAGTAAGCGTTAGCGAATCAAATTAAAACACGTTCACATATCACAATTGTAAATACATAATAATTAGTATTCCTTTCTTTCTTCCGTTTTTTTTTTCTTTCTCTCTTTTCTGTTGATATCATTGTAAACATAAGCATCGTCGAACGCCTGTAGTAAATTAGTTGTAATATAAAAGTTAACGAGCAGGAAACAGTAACGTTTTAAATAACCAGCAAAACCGTATATAACAGTTTTGCATTGTAGCACAATTTGTAACAGTATGTCCTCGTACGTTTATTATTGTTTTTTTTTTCCTTTTTTCATGAAAGAAAAAACAACTGACCCGACACGTTTGAACGTCCATTCGGTCCGCGCAATTTGGAAATCTCACATTGTATGTGTATGCCCTTAGAAAATTTCGAGTGTCGCGTACGGAGTTTGTTTCTATCGATGCTTTTGAATACCAAGTATCGGGAACGGGAAGCACAAGTCGAAAACTGAAAGAAATACTGAAAAGTATTGAAAATATACTCTTTAATACTATTTCGATAAGTTCTTGAAATGCCTGATATACGTGTGTACATTAAAAACATAAGAAAAAAAATGGAAATAATCGTACAAAAATATATTGACACAATTAGGTAATACTGATAACGGAAAACCTTACATCGGTAACTTATATAATTCAATACTTTATCACGATGCGTAACACGACTGCTCCCATGTGTTATCTCCCGAAGAAGTCAAATTGATAGTATCTTTATTAAAAGTGATCAGTAGCCGGAGGAAATGATCGATCGAAACAAATTAAGCACGATTATTGAAATTATTAGTTCGTCCTTGTTAGGTTTTAACTATATTAATTTTAACGATTGTTGCACATTCATTGATAACGCTTTATAATAAACGAATATGAAATGTAAGTCTCTTTTACAATCCGTGTGATTATCTATATTACCTACCTCGTTTTCATGTAAATAAAAAAAAATCATCGGGTAATTTTAAAAATCGACTCAACGCGTTTTATCAAAAAATTCATTTAATATCATGACCTATTAAAAGACAAGACTATCGATCATTTTTCGTGATATGGAATCAAATAAATAAGGGACTGTTGTGGACATAAAATTGAAGTATCTAAGAGTTACATTGTTCGTAAAGCAGCTATTGCATCGATAATTCGTTGTAATTCCCTTTCGCTGTTTGTTAACTTCTCTTTGTTACTGTTTTGTACATCTAATGGTACTTTGACATTATAATCGGAAGCTTCCATAGCCTGCTTTGTTTTCTGTACAATATCCGCTAGCTGTTCTTCCTTTTTACTAAGTTTCTCTAACTCCTTCTTTGGATCGATTAAACCCTGTAATATTATTAGAAGATTTAGTGAATGGATGTCTAAATTGTTTCGAAGAGTAGTATTGTTACCTTCAGCAGCAGATGCACTTGAACTTTGTCAGTCACAGTAATTATAGCACACCCTGATGGAGGTTCATTTGTACTAATTATAGAATAGGCAAGCGTCTCTATTAATAATTGATAATCCATGAGTTTTGCTTGCAAGTTATCGTCGGAACATACGAGGAACGCTTCGGTTTTGGTTTTATTTGGTAAATTATAGGTAGCACGCGCCGACCTGACGTTCTTTACGATTTTGTTGGCAAAATCAACATCCTTCTCTACTTCCAGATTCCTCCATGGGCACTGTGTAATCATTCGACAATTACATGGAAAATATATTTATGAAATCAACGTGACAACGTAACAGAAGGAATGTTTTAATACCTCTGAAAGTTCTGGATACGGACTAACACAAATACTGGGATAAATTAGTTCTTTACGAGGCAATCGTTGATAAAGTTCTTCCGTTATGAATGGCATGAACGGAGCCAACAATCTTAATCCAACATCCAATGTCTTTAACAAAGTCCTTCTTGCAGCAGATTTCTTCTCGTTATCGTTCCCTTGAAATACTGGTTTTAAATACTCCTGAAATAATCACGGACATTAATATTATAAATCGGACATTCCTAATTGTCGATCAATTATTATACCAACCAGGTAAATATCACATAAATCGTACAACCAAAGATTGTAACAGGCGGTCGTCGCTGTTGTGAAATCATATTGCGCCATTGCTTCGTCACACGTCTTCGCCGCGTGACTCACGCGAGAAAGCATCCACAGATCGACATTTGTTTCGGTAGAAAATGACTAAGCGATAAAAAGAACATAAATATCTTTATGTACATTCATAAAACCGATTTCTATTCTCGCTAAAACGCAGCATTACCTTTTTATTACTGTTACGGTTACTGTGAACTTTGCAAGCACACTGTGGTAAGATTTTACCTTGTTCCGCACGGAACACAGATTGTTCTTCTTGACTGTACGACGCGATGTGTGTGTACCAACGATGCAAGTGCGAATAGCTGGAAATGTTCACATTCAATTCGACGAATGCCTGGTAAACATTTGCATCGATCTGCGATGGAGTGTATCCATCTAGATAAGGATAATCACTTAAATAATTATTCAAGGCTTCCTGCACGCACGTTTCCTTCAAGGTGCATTGGTACCATTCATTGTCACCTACCATACTAGTGCTATTCAGCGCATTGTGGTTCGTCTGTAAATAGAAACATCAATTTTATACTAAATTAAGTTATATAGAATGTCCTGTAACTGCTGGTAATCGGTCAGAATGCAATGTCAATCTTTCATTCCGTGCTTTCTATATTTATGTATTTTGATTTAGTTACGAGACACCCTGTATACAGAAATATACTCCAATTTAGAAAGAAACATGTTCTTGACCTTACCAATTGGACATCGTTGTTGTCCAAATCACAATTAAGATACGTAAGACCAAATTTTGTTGCGTTCCATATCTTATTACAGAAAAATCTGTATCCTTGGACACGAAGAATGTCGAGATTGATATCACGACCTTGGGTCGTGTAAGCGCACAAAGCGAATCTTAATGCATCCGTACCGCACTCAGGTATTCCTTGTGGATAATCGCGTTTTTGTCCTTCTATCGCGCGCTTTAGCTCCTTCGGATCCAAATTGGTATCTAATAATTGTTTATGAAGATCCTAAACAGTGTTTATAATTAAAGTTATTTCACTTCTACCAATGAAAATAGTGTATTTCTCGTGAAATATACCTCCAACGATATTCCGTTAATTACATCCATTGGGTCTATGACATTTCCTAGGGATTTGCTCATCTTCCTTCCATGTGCATCTCGTACCATCGCATGCAAATATACCTCTCTGATAAAATATTATTAGTCAACCTATGTTTTTCATTATATTGATACATAACTTAAATACATGTACATACTTAAATGGTAATTTTCCCATTAACTTCTGACCAAGAAATACCATTCTTGCCACCCAGAAGAATAATATATCATGCCCAGTTTCTAATAATGTACCAGGATAAAATGCATCGAGCTCTTCAGTCTGGAAAATTGTAACATTAACATTCAATGACATGCTCGAGATTCTATAGATAAATGTTTCTGTACCTTATCTGGCCATCCAAATACCGAAAACGGAAATAGACCAGACGAAAACCATGTGTCTAGCACATCAGGATCTTGTTCGACAATTATATTATCCACGGTTATGCCCAATTTTCTGGCTGCTTTTTCTTTAGCTTCGCTTTCGGAATGTCCACACACCCAGATATCATCATCTGTCTATGTAAAACTGATTTGTGTACCAAACAGTAGTAATTACAATATGCAATTCTCCTTAAAATTACCTTTATACTTGCGTTGGTACCGATTACTTTCACCGAATAAGCGGGTATACGATGACCCCACCATAATTGACGAGAAATGCACCAATCCCTAATGTTCTCCATCCAGTGGTACCAGATTTTCTTATACTGTTCTGGAATAATTTTTAACTCGCCACTCTGGACCACTTCCATTGCTTTCGCTGCCATATCATTAGATCTTACATACCTGTGAACGAGGAAATACATGTGTAATTCTAATGTGCTTTCACATTTGTCATTTTTTTCCGCCGATATAATACTTGATTACCATTGTGGTTTCATCAATGGTTCAACAACATCTTTGGATCTACTGCATATCGGCACCACCATGGGATTGTCTTTGATTTCAACAAATAAATTTCTTACTGTTAATTCTTGGATTATAGCGACTCTGGCATGAAATCGTTTCATTCCCTATTCAATGAAATTGAAACATTAAATACGGAATTTTCCTTCTAACGTTTACGCAGTTTAAGTGAAAATATAAACACCGTAAATTGTCCGCAATCACCGACTACGTTCCCATTGTCATCGAAAATGGTAATAAATGGTAAATTGTGTCTTTTTCCCACTTCATAATCATTGGGATCATGAGCCGGTGTAATTTTTACAGCGCCTACAAAAGTTTATACATTTAAGTTAACATACTGTTTTTACGAAGAGGTTTCACGCAATTATAGTACTCACCTGTCCCAAATTCTCTTTCAACAAATTCGTCGGTGATGATAGGTATTTTCCTATTGCAAAACGGGTGCTGCACAGATTTCCCTATAAATTGAGTGTATCTACTATCCTGTGGATGCACAGCAATGGCTGTATCTCCTAGCATCGTCTCGATACGAGTGGTAGCTACTATTATTCTTTCCTTAGTATCAATTACTTCGTAAGCAAAAAATACCAACACACCAAATTCTACTTTTTCTTCGTATCCAGGAATCGAGAGTAACGTGCGTCCTGATAATTCAACTTTATCGACCTGAAACGTACATACGTTAAATACTGAACGTACGTAATTTATTCACTTGAGCATTCTCACTTCTATATCAGAGATAGCACTCTTTAGAGTGCAAGACCAGTTGACTAGACGATTGCTCCTGTAAATTACACCTTCGTCGTGTAATTTTATAAACGCTTCTGTAACGGCGCGACATAACTTTGGATCCATAGTAAAACAAGCACGATCCCAATCAAAGGAACCGCCTAATTTGCGTAACTGTAAATAGATTCTATTTCCTTTCCTGAAATAGATTTATATTATGCATAAATATGTCATTATTTTTTTTTTTACAAATACAGTCTATTTATACTCACTCTTCTTTCCACTTCCAAACTTTTTCTATAAAGTTTTCTCGCCCTATATCATGACGAGTTTTCTGCTCCTCCTTCCACAGTTTCTTTTCAACAACAACTTGAGTAGCAATACCTGCATGATCACAACCTGGATTCCATAAAGTTGTACGCCCTTTCATACGATTCCTTAGAAATTAGACAAAACATCTCTATACAAAATTATATTTTATGTATTATAGTTTCAAATCATACTATTTTACAAATACTGCTCACCATCTTGTAATAGCATCTTCTACAGCGTTTGTTAAAGCATGCCCAAGATGAAGAAAACCAGTCACATTAGGGGGTGGTATGACCATAATGAATTTGCCCTTCTGATTTGACTCTGATATGGATTTTCTCTACAATCGATAATAAAGATAAAATTAATAGAACAGTGTCTATAAAGTTAATACGGTGGTAACAAAGTAATCCAATTACTTTTCCAATTACTTTTTAAATGAACAAGTAATCCAATTACTTACACCATATTCAGGTTTAAAGAAACCTTGTTTTTCCCACCATGCATACCATGCAGCTTCAACATATTTCGGACTATATGTATCAGGCATACCACAGGTAACATTTTTTTTTTCTCCAGGAGGTGTATCGATCGTGTATACAGCGGATTCCTTGGATTCTTTTTTCTTTTCATTTTTCTAGAGAGACAAAATGAGATAACATGCAGTTTCATTGTCTCCATGGCATTATTCAAAATACAAATGATCAAATAAATATTTAATCGAGCAAGAATATTACACTTAATTTAATTATGTAACATTATATACAGAAATTAATCTGATTTATTCAATTAGAATCTGTCTCATGCTATATGTGTTCTGTCACATGGAGAATTTTTCAATTGTGATTTCAACGTTCAGAATACGAATCAGTCACGAAATTAACAATCATTCGTCTTTTTCGCGGTGAAAACAATTTCAAAAGATTACTGTATCATCATACGTGACAATAAGGACCATATGGACATAAAAGATTTCGACAATAATGAAGAAAAACAATGGGAATACTGTTGAAAAATTATTCAATCATTCTTACTTCAATTTTTTCTTTCACTTTTGTTATTTTATCGCTGCTCCCTTTTTTCTCCTGTTTCTGCTTAAACTTCTCGAGTTTCGCAGACTTCTTCGCCTCTTTCTGCAACTGTTTTGCGCTCTTTTGCGGGGCTTCGGCCTCACCGTTGATTTCTTCGTTTTTCATATCCACCATTCTACTAATAATCACCGTTTTCCAACGATTAATCAATTCTACAAACACGACACGAACTGACGACACAATTTAAAAAATTGCAACGTCAACCATGTGTTTCACTCTATGTCTCTACCGTTCAACCACGTTCAACTGCGTTCAACTAAATTACATGTGTTTTCGCCGATAAGTAGATCGGAAGGAGAGAAGAAACGTGTCTTCCAAACGTGCCACATTCTAGTACATTTCTTTCGATTAAATGCAAGGTGGCATGGATTAAGAAATTCATCGAATAAGTGCAGGGAACAATAGTCGCTCGTTTCTTTATAAATTTATATATATTTACTACAGAAGAGAGTCTAAAAACTCGTTGTTGAGAAAAGTAAGTTATTTACTAGACTATTTTTGTTTCGATTGTTTAAAATGTAACAGTTATATTTACATTTACCCTTTAGAAACAAGCCTGCATGTTATAATTCGTATACAGTTCAATATATCTTTCGTCGTTCATGCCAAGCACATGTAACCGATGTAACCGTTTTACCGGTGCGTGTGATAGAGGAACCTAACCGAAGATGTTTGTAATCTGAGAAAAGGAAAAAACTCGTTGAATATACTATAAAATATTCAGTTTTAAAAGTGTCCGTTTGTACACTGTTGCTTCCGTCTGTTTAATGTAGTGCATTAAGTCTCCAAATGAACGGAATGGATCGCACAAGTATAGGAAACTCCTATGGAAGGAGTTTGACATCTCCGAAGAAACGTATGTCAATAGTGCAGTCTTTGAAAAAAAACAATTCGTAAGTTCGCTATGAATATCGACGATAATGTTGAATCGAGACTTAGAGTCATTCTTTCGAAGAATTAATCATGGTTTGTTTTTTCCCAGAACTATCAGTATATCCGGACGTTCGAATCAATCCGTTCAGATAATATGCAAAACACACAATCATGTGGCAGAAAGTTTTGGATCTTCATTGCCTGTTCTCGTCACAGAGGCTTTAACATTCATCGATGTAAACACTTCTGTCAGTGTGAACATTTCAACGGATGGTTGGGCTTGGCTTGTGTGTGGTCGCAGAATCTTTGTATGGCAGTGCAAAACTACCATTCACGATCCAAAGCAAAGAAAAACATTTAAAAGTCAATGCCGTGAATTACTGTTACCCCAGAGTGATTTAGCTCATAAAGCAGACTGTATAGCTGTGTGGTTACCTCCGGGCCATCAGGTTACCGAAGCTTATTATTATTTTGTTGTGCATTGCTTATTTTGTTTTTTTAGTTTTAATAAATTTTTTTTTTAATTTAAAGGTTCCTAGTTGTATGGCTGTTTCGCCTGAAGGTATAGTACGTTATTGGGCCAGTGTTGCACATGAAGAATCCTCAGTAGAAACGAGTGCGGAACTTGCTGGACAAGAAGTGAACTGTCTTACTTATGTTCCTGGGCATGGTTGCATTTTGGCCACAACCACGTGTACAGTGGCGTTATTGCAACCTCAGTTTGCGAATGGAAAAAATAGTATTTTGTGCCAAGTCCTTAGGTCCAGTCAAGGCTGGTTAGGAGGCATAGGACGTAGAATGACTTCTCTTATTTTCGGAGCTATACCTCAATCCCCAGTTGTAGAATCTGTGAGTTCTTCTATTAAAACTTTCCTGTTTATTATGCAATTAATCGAACATTCATTTGTTTTATTTCCCTTTTTTAGAAATTAGTGAAGGTTGTCTGCACAGGATTGGGGGACAGAGATTCTAGAGTTTTCATTTTGGCTGGCTCATCCTTACAGTACTGGTCGTTTCCTCATAACGAACAAGAAAAGATGGAGTTTGATGAAGATATAGGGAACATTGTTTCTCAAGCATTTCAAAAAAAAATTCCAGTGCGTATAAAATTTGATTTACATTCAGAAAGAGATTATGTACTTGTATTCATTATTTTAGAAACTGAGCACATGTAATCTACAAAGTATAAATACGTGGTTGATCGATATGCAACCTTGCGACGAAGGGATAGTATTTTTAATGGCAGCGCAGCTGGGCAGCGAGATACTAATTGAAACACACTTTGCTATTGGTAATATCGTTTTACAATTATAGAAAGTAATTTCATTACAATTTCTGGTATGTAGAACAATTCCATTGTATTGCAGGTTTAATACAGCTGTCTTCTACAACATTGGCAAATACATTTAAATGGTTTATACCGATTAAAATGAATGTCCTTTTTTGTCCTCAGTACACTGAATCACTTTTGGTTTATTACCGTTTCATATTATGCGGCTGTGAAGCTATAATATATGATAATGAGAATGTAATTGTCGTGAACTGTAAGATTTTACTTTTACGAGCAAAAACCATATTGCAGCTGTTTTCGTATTTCTTACTATTCATTGTTATAGGTATGTCTGAGTATGAACAAGATCAAATAAATTTAATACGAAAAGAGGACCAGATACTTGGTGGTGCATTGTGTTCAGGAACTCCAGTATTATTTACGAAACTGCTGGGATTGGTTTCAATTATGCCAACAGATTTTGCATCGCACGAGTTTAATGGGTTCGTATTATATGGGTCCACAAGAGTTTTGTACATATATTTTAAAAGGATATATATTTTATTTACCGATAGTATTTTTGCAGGAGTTCCACAGACACAAGCATAAACGCGGATTATTCTATTAGCTACCGAGCTAATTCTGTAGCACAGACTTTCACTAGTCTTATAAGCAACGATGAAATTCAGGACATGTTCTACAGTTCTGACGGTGCGACGCAATTGCGAGCTGCGTTTCTTCTTAGTCTACGTCAGAATAAGGTTGGTTTATTTAACAACTCGTCGTACAGAACCGAAATGCTTAAGATATTTCATTTCAGGCGCAATGCGAGGAGATTCTATCGCAACTGTTCCCCTTGCAAGAAGAACCAATAATGGATATAGATGCTAGCCTGGACACTCTAATCGTGAAAGTCGCGCAGGATTTGATAGACGATTATCCAGCAAATGATCCACGTTGGTCTAACCACAGGGATTTGTGTAATTAATCTTCACATGCTAGTATACAAAACGTTAACAAATAAACATTAATCTATTTGCATATTGTTTACAGCTATGACAATAAATGCAGTTACATCTATGCAAATACCTCATCAATTAGAGGGGAAACAGAAAGCATTGGATCTATTTATAGCGTTTCTAAAGGAGCATAATTTATGGAGCAGAGTAAGTTACTTCATTTTTATAGATAGTTGATCTTTGAAATGTTATAGCGTGATCGTAAGGTCATCCTTGTGCTGGTTAGTGCTCCTAGCACTTCAAAATGACAGTTCTGGTGGTTAATATAAGTTACAGTCGAAAAAATCAGTACAATATTGTAACTTAATATTTCTCCATTTAGTTGTGCGCCGTTAGTTATCGGGGAATAATAATGTCTACATCGCATGTTCTTGGGGAATACGCGGAGAAAATAGTTGCAGCGTTAACTATATATAATCTTCACAACAAGTAATTACTTTCATACTATTTGTTCATATATAGTTTATATCTTGGCGATATAATCATATCGTTACGAACTATTTCAAGATATCCAGACATTGTGGACAATGTGATTGAACAAACATTGAGTCCCGAATCTTATGTATCCGACGAGCTAACATCACGTGATGTATTTTACCGTGAAGTGAGTACGGTACATCAGTTCCTTCCCACCTTGGTAAATAATGCGAACGAAGTGACACAGTCTGAAAGACCTATCCAACAAGTGGCGCATTACATTATGCAAGTGAATGGAATATTGGTGGTAAGTGTGAATTTTAAGAATCGTTTATGGAACAAAGTAAAATTAAAATCACTTAAATGAACCTTATTGATAGGGTGTACTGCACGAGGTACTTAAATATAGGCAATACAATGCCGAACGATTCACTTCTACAAGGTGTTCAAATGGTGTAACGGAATACCTTCCATGGACTGCTGCGATTGGAAAACACTCACTGAGAAATTGTCTCACCACAATGGTTGGTTGTTTTACTTAAAACAAAACAAAAAACGGTAAACGATAATTACATAAATTTGTAATGTATCTATTTCTTCCTTGCAGTATAATTTAACTCTTAAGCACGGTATTACTGGAACTAACGATTCGGCGGTGAGGAGCGAATTGTACGAGCAATTAGTAAGCTTTATAGATTTAATATTAGACGGTCGAAAATGTCATTTAGAAAGCGTCCGAGACACAGAGAAGTTTGAGATACTTTTGAAGCAATACGAGACAGATCGAACGAATTTAATTCAACCTTTGAGTATGTATTTCTTGAACGATCCGAATAATCTATCTACATAGGAACGTTTATTCATTTTTAAATGATTTACAGTAAAGGAAGAACAGTACGACAGCGCCGCGATGCTGGCTGAGAAGTATTGCGACTTCGCGTCTCTTATACAGATATGCGAATTGACTAACAATAAAAACCGATTAGACGGGTATATGGAAAAATTCTCGGATCAAGACTTTGTCGGTTACTTATTTTCATGGTGAGTAATTTTCTTCTTTGTGCACGCAGAAGTTGGACCAATGTTCATATTGAAATTACATCGGCAATCATAGGTACGTAAAAGATGGCCGGCAGGGTCAGTTAGTCGAAAAATGTAGACGGGGTGGTACTGCAGAATTGGCAGGAAAATTAGCGGAACATCCAACTTTATCGTGGGTGCAATCTGCGCTGACCGATGACTTAAAATTCGCTGCCAGTACGCTTTATTCTTTAGCGATCGAAGAAAATGAATTGGTGACTCGCAAAAAGGTGAGATATTGAATGCTTATTCTCTTCCTTATTCCAACATAAGTACTCATTAATGCATTGATTATTCCATCGAATAAACTTTAATTGTACACTTGTATTTTGAAGTCTTCGGAGGATGAAGACGTTATGCAACATATTTGTGAAAATTGAGTTTTCTTAATAAATGCAGGTGATATGCGATGTTCTTTCGCATACAGTAACTTATTTCACTTTGTTCTGTCACAGATTTAATGTTTATAACACTTTCATTCTCTGAAGCCTTGAACTGTCTAACCCCAGAAACCGTGAAAGTGTCAAGTCTTTATATAATACTTCTTCGCAGACCATGCTTTCTTTAGCAAAATTGGCTCTCCTCGCTTCAGATATAGAGAAATTACGAGTATTCACGCCGACAGAGTTAATCACGGTATGAACCTTTATTTTCATAATGTATCTTTCTTTTTTTTTGTGAATTTTTATTTGTAAATTTTGTTTGTGTAGCTTTACACGTCCGAAGAGAACGTGGATGCGAACGAGTACGATTTCAAGAAAGCTCTCGATTTACTGGAGTACGTGGAACAGAAAGATGAGAAGAAGTCGTTGAAATTACGTATTTGGGCACGAGCCGCGAAGCGGGAAGAATGGAACACTATAGAGAAAAATCCGGAACAACAGGTGCAAGAAACAGTGTTCTTTAAGTTAATGGACCTTGTACATTTCATGGGTACGTTATTATTTGATCACTAGGAAACTGTAATATAAATTGTGCAAATGATTTTTTTTGTATGAAACGTTCTGAACACTTTTGTCGATAAGAATGAACACATTCTATATTTTTTTTTTATGTAATACAGGTGGAAGAGCAGAAGAGTTTCTCCCGCCAGTCGATACACTTTTGGTAGAGCCTGAATTGGGAAGCCTTGCCGCTTCAAGTAACTTTCAATTTCTGATAAAGTTCGTGTACGAGTACGCATATCACAATTATTAAACTAGCTAATCGATTGTAAGTAAGAACGAAATTTGTATTTTTTTAATGTAATAAAGTTTTATCGTATCCAAACCGTCAGTGTTTGGCTTACACGCTGCAATCCCGTGGTAGAATGCGTAAAATTTGAGAAATTGTATTACTTTATTTGATTATTTTTGTGGTAAAAAAGGGAAACTTCGTATAAATATTTATGATACGTTGAACAGAGTCTGAATCATGCTGAAGTTTACGTAGACATATAATATATAAATAAAGGGAAGAAGCTTAATAAGACTCGACATTTCATTACTATTGGCAGAATTTTTGACATTTTTTATCCTCACGATAAATCTCACTTGATCCGGTGTTCGGCATTCTATTTCTGTAACAAAAAGCTTGCAATATTTAAAATCATTTATATGTGATTTACAGTTGAATGCGTTCTGTGCTGTAATTGATATGTACCTGCACATTTGAACGATGATGTTACATTTTGTACACGAAAATATAGGGTAGGGCAAGGAGGATTATCAGTACATTTAAAATCATCAAATAAAGTAACATCTTTGTGACCAGCTAAATCTATACAGTGTAAATTTTCTTTTTCAGTGGGCTTGAATTCTATCCACGAGCACACACTCATTGTACCGTAACCAAAAGTGTGTATCTAAAAAAAAAAAACCAGTAATTCAACAACAATGGTGTAAAAAAATACGGTTCATAAATGCGGAAAATACTAACTGAAATTGGTACATGTTTGATCTTTCGTTTCCAGTGTGCGTTCAATTTATATGCAATAGAATTCGAAGGGCTTATATAATCTTCGAACCAAGGAGTGATATTCCTTAAATTGTTCGAATCCAGACACGTTGCAGGTCTTATTGTTCGTGGTACTGAAAATCAGCAGAAAAATTATTATAGACTGCATCTGTATATGTATGAAACTCGTGGCTATGACATTAATAGGATTAATTAAATAAACCATCAACAACATACTCGTCGACAGATGCCTAGTAATAGCATCGATGTTGGAATTCCTTATTAAATGATCTTCAGGCGACAAAATAAACGACTTAAACAAATTGGTATTGTACCGGGATGTATAATACACGAAATGAACATCTGTAAATGCAAAGTCCTTTGAAATTCGTTGTTTTCAATCGTAAATTGAAATTTCGAAAGTCATACCTGGATGGTTGTATTTGATTTGTTGTAACATGGTTATTACAGACTGTTTATCGTTGTTGGACATGTAGCCCAGAGGAATCAATAGCACGACCACTTGACCAAAATGTCCAATTGTACACTTTCTTTGATTATTTTCCCAAGTTTTATTCAAGTGATCGGAAATTACCTCTAGAACACGAGTATAGTTCAACTGCGTGGGCCCTGTAAAACATTATATATCGAACGTTTCAGTGGTAAATATGAACAGTATTGGACGGTGAAACTTACAGTTAGCGTTTGTAAAATTATTCAGCGCTTCGAACGCAAGCGATGGACTGTTTGTAACGTTCAACAGCCACTCTCCTGACGTGCCATGCATTATGCCGATTTTCGATCCGTACATTGATACGTCCAAGTCTTGTATCAGAACTCTAATGGAATGCAACTGATTAAAAACAATGGTGTACTAGATAAAATCTTGAATTGGTAGGCGCTACCACTTACGCCAAGAAATCCCTTGTATACTCTGTAGACCATGCACCATCGAATACAATTAATGCCTCGACCTGCGGTTGATTTACTCGTTCACAGGACAATTCTGGGAACAGGTGTTTCTCTGCATACTCATAAAATTTCTTGGTGGCATAATCAACCATCCGTTGCAGTGCTTCAGGGGACATGTATGCTACACTCTTTTGGTAGGCTAAAATTTGAGCAGCTGCATAGGTCTGTTAAAAATAATGTCCACAGATTAGGATTAAATTTCGATACTTCTAATAACATTGTATTCTTATTGTAAGTCACACCTGTTCATTTAGAATGGTACTCGATACAGCATGCAGGAAGTTCTGTGCTCGACTGCATGCTCTGATGTTTGTGTTGAATGGAATACCATCGTATGAATAATACATGTCCAAAATTTGACTGAGTCGAAGACTGTAGAAGTCTTGAATCCACGTTTGTAAATTACTTGCAATAATCAAACCTACGGATTTGCGTAAATAACGCGTGACAATAATGGATACTTTTAATGATTTCAGATATATTCCATTGAGTTACCATCGATGCCTCCTAATAGTTCAGCTCGAGTCGCATCAAAGTTTGTATGTGAACTGGTGAGATAATAAATAGCCGGCCGCATTGTATTATTCCAAAATCCTGTCGCGCCTAGGGTCATATTAGAACCCACAAAAGGTCCCTGGTACACAGCCATTTCCGCCAAATCACCTGAACAAAAAATATCTTTTACACATTAACGTTCTATAAGAAAAATATTAACAAATTGTAAATTTGATTTATATGTTGTACCCGCAATTGTAGCCAACCATACGTTATCTAGTTTCACAGAGGAAGTCATTAAACTATGATACCACATAGACGGTTCATGTACCATTTGACTTTTCGGTAGGACGAAGTCGACTTCGTCCTCATTGTACTTTAGGTTCTGTATTGTAGTGAAATTCATCTCTGCAATAAAAGGGAAACATTGTTATCTGGTATGATATTGCTGTAGCATCTGTGTTGAATTGATACCTAAAGAAGGTGTTTCTAAGCTAGCAATTAATTGATTTACTGGAACATTTTGATGTTGCAGGGTTGCAGCAACAGCTCCGATAATTGCTCCAGGAGTGACGGTACCGTACGGTGTTAAAATTATTCCTTGCTGTCTTGGACAATTCCTCGTGTCAGTAAGCACAAATTTGCCTGCAGAAATGTCCATTTATGTATATTGTTTCAAATGATTTTGCATTCTATTGAATATACCTGATAGTTTTTCCGTTTCAGTAGCTTCGTTGCAAGATTTATTTCCGCTTTGGGTATCGTACCGCAGAATTGTATTGGAGATCGTTTGATGAAGTATACAACGTTCCAAGGATGATAGTATATGAACTGGTAATAGTTCGGCATCGCCTGGAATGAGTTCCTCCAGCAATTTTTGTTTAACACGTTGCAGTCCAGTCGCACTGAACGGAAGTATACCGTCTGTGATTTGTATATTCTTCTGATATTCAATCCCATCGAGCTTGAATCTGTAATTTATATAGCGTTATTGGTACTCATTTAACAGAATATCGAGGTTTAAATACAATTCCGTTATTGTCAACCACCTGTGGAGCAATGACGATGACAGCACTCTCATATCCATTGTTGTGTACGAATGTTTTTCTAATTTCTGTATGATATCTATCACTACACGTAAATTCAACGGAAGCTGAGGATTTAACGTAGCGTTGCCTCTGTAACATTCTTTGAGCCGCTCTGGTATAACTGTTTGAGACCACACTAACTGCAACCCTATATAACAAAAGAAACGAAACTTAAAATAATTTTATTAGCAAACGTTACAGTAATCATTATATTTTATTACTTCACAATTAATTGTTTGAATGAGAATTGATCACAACTTAGTAGCAATTTACCGCAGTGCATGATCAGCAAAGCAATCTTGATAATTGCCATATTTGTATTATTGAAAATCCATCTTGTATGTTACCGGAGATCGACTACAAACGTTGTACTTCTGCTATCTACCTGACTCTCTCCAATGACTCACAATCGTAGAAGGATGAAAAAGATTATGTCCTATTTTAAACACGATAAGATAACTGTCAATAATGAAACTTAACTTTTTTTTAATAAAGCAAAACATTAGACCACATGTGTCTTTGTTTCCATAATGAATTAAATATTGTTTTCTTTATGAACTCGAGCTTGGTATTTTCAACATACGATTTCTATTTTACATAATGTTTCTTCTACAAGTAATTTCTTGATGCATATAATTAAGATAAAATACGAAATAGTAAATAGAAATAGCTGATTCCTGTTATTTTCTTATATTGTCTACAAGCTTATCAAATAATTATTGGCCTACAGCGATACCCGTTTTAATAAAGATGCCTGTAATAAGGTGGGGTACCCTATTACTCACGATGTTACATATTATCTTATCAGTTTAGTGATGATAGGTATCACTATATCTCCAGGTAGGTGTGGTGTTGCTCTGTGTTGTATAGAACTGAAGGGATATCATTCACTCTGTTCTAAAGGTATCCATCAATAAAATATTGTGAGTATTTCATTCTTTCAAGTACAATTTAATTGATCACTCTTAATCATCGTGCGTAATAATTAATTATTTATAGTATAAGACATATTTTCGTTAGTTTCCATGATAACTCGTGGCGAAAATTATCTTTCAATTTCCTATTGCTTTCAGGTCCGATAAAATGACTAAGTTATTGCCTCTCTACTTTTTGAGCACCATTCTATTATGCGAGTATATTTTAATTACACAAAAATTACGTGAATATATTCTTCGTAAAGAATCTAATATGTAATCTCACTGTTAATTTCGATCGTATTTACTTTAGCTATCTACGGGCAAGAGAATGCAGTGCGAAACCTTTCACCGTCTCTTCGGGAGTGCTACGAAAATAAATTTCTTCTGCAAAGGGATAACAGATTACCGCACACATTAAACACATTCATTTCAATCCTACGGAAAATCGAAAATACAGAAGGTCTTAATATGGATCTGAGGACTCTGTCTGTTGCTCTACTACATCGGTAATATATTTTCAATCGTGATTCTACCGAATAAAAGATACGATTCAACATAAATTTCATTACAATTTCAAATTTCCAGCTTCCGTCAAGATGGAATCGTACCGAATCCCCTGGTACCCGTTCAAGATGGAGTGACGCCTTATGCCCCAAATGCGTTTCAATTCTCTCGTCACGCTCAAACACTTCGTATCATACCAGGAAATGCTCTTCAGTTTCCTAACAATAGTATTACAGACGTCGAGAGGGTACATATTACATTTCAAACCCTTTGTTTTTTTTTTTTTTTTTTTATTATTCAAACCCTTTGTATATTCACACGTTCACTCTTAACATTTAATTACGTTCCATTTTATGTTCCAGTGTACCTTGCACTTCATGATATCCAGTAGTATAGAAATTTTCCAAAGAGGAGACGAGGCAAAGGTGTGCAGATACGCGAATGCGTACAGATACGCAAGAAGCGCGGATGGTAACGACGAAGTAACGAACGAAACTACCAATAACGACGTGGAAACATTAACGTCCGATGAAATGTAAGCGAACAATTTCACGATCCAATAATATTAATAGATACGCTTAAAGCGACAATGTAATATATCGGTGCAATCATTTCGCAGAAAAACTATGACTAATCGGAAGGATGGAGGCGCTAAAGTTACGGTTGATCCAAATTCATACTATCCAGAGCTACCGCCCAATCATCCGGACGTAGCACGAATGATTGCGCTACCACCTCAAAGCAAATGCCCTGTAGAGAATGGTGTCATAAAGACTCCGTATGTTTCAGTTTTCCGTTAAAACAATGGTACAATACCTGGATAGCACATTACGCCTTGAATTTTACGGCTATTTTAGGCCTAAGGCGCCTTGAACACGTCCATTTTACGGCTATTTTAGGTCTAAGGCTCCTTTAAACCGTCTTCAAGGCGTCAGTGGGCGTAATGTGGTATCTGGGTAAAGATTATATTCGACTAATCACTTCATATTAAACATATCACAGATGGGGTGCTAGTTCTCCTGGTCTGGTTCTTTCGGCGATAGCAGCCGCAACGCAACCTGAAACATTTCCGCTCCAGGAAGTGCAGCCTGATTTGTCAGAGAAAAGTAACGCAAATCTGTCTGGGTTGACTGTGGACAATAAGTGGTTCTCCACTTTAGCCGGTATTATTTATCCCATGTGAATATAAATTGCTCATCTATTGTTTCTCCGTACTAATATAGAGTTTGTTGTTAACAGGAGACTTGGCGGAGGTTGCTTTGATATTAGGGCCAACGGCAGAGAAAATCGGTGTCGGTGTAACCGGCAATTGGAACTCCACTGCGTTGCCGCGTTGGCGTTTCTTGAACTCGAATGACAAATTACAAATGACAACAGCTGAAATCAGAGGCGATTTGGACGGGCTAATTTTGGCGAATGAAATTAACAAATGGTACTCGAAGATACCCGGTTTAAAGCTTTCGCAAATATTCGACATGTATTACAGCGCGCAAGGATTCTTCGATTCCTCGATCAGAGCATGCAATCGAAGAACATTGTTCACATCTGTCGCTCCTAACGACACAATGACTGCACAGGTGATATATCTGTGAATTTTCGAGAATTCTTTATTAATGGATATTCAAAGACTTTTTCCTTGATAGACGTATCTTTCGGTCTTATTATAGACGTACAGTGCTGCTTTGCTGTTATCTCCTGATCTAGCAAAGGTGACGCTCGATTCAGCAAGAATAAAAAAATTCTCGGTAGAAGCGGTAAATGAGCTAGCGGTATATATTCGTGAGTACTGATTCTTTAATCTAATCGAAATAATCCCGATTCTTGAGAATGTCTTATTTCATCTTTATAACTTTATAGCCACGTCAATGAATAAGGATCTTTCATGCACGGATACTGATAGATTAAACGATTTCCATAAAATGGCTGTTGATTTGACCATCATTCTGGATACAAATTGGGCATTCTCCGCGATACAACCGATTCTTGCGTAAGTTTCCATACAATTTACCGTACTAGACATTTGTAAGGATGCTTATCAAGTGAAGAATTATATCTTTCAGAACGTTATTAGAAAACATCGAATTAAATCAATTCAACAGCAACTTTACGTTAATAAATGGCCAAGATGGAACTGAAATTATAAACAGTACACATAGTATTCTAGATTTCTATGCTTATAATTCGACACATTACGACAACAGTATGTATTAAGAACAAAATTTGATATTACATAAAACGAGGAAAGAAGTTACAGGGTTTTAAACAAGGAATATTATTTTCAGTGACTCATGGCTTTGATTTGGCGAAGTCGCTCGATAAATTAAAGCAACGTTTGATGGATAAATTAGACAACGAACGTAATCAAGGTGTTGGCATTGCGAGATCCGATATTGTTTTAATTATTCCATATATGTCGACCATTAGTAACGGTGACAAAGAGTACTCCTTGCAAAATATATTACAAATGCGGGAACAAATACCAGGTAAGTGTGTTGAGTCATATTTGTTAAAACATTCGTATCTAGATACATATATATATATATATATATCTGTACTTAGATATGACCAATCGTAGAGTCAACCTAGATATTAATTTTATTTACCATTGATGATTTCACTTTAGACACAACGGTACTCATTATGGCGTATGGATCGAAAGACACGTGGTCCGATTTGGTGCAGAATTCGGCAACCGATTTATTCTCCATCAGTATCGGTGACACGGAAGAAGCTTTGTCGCCGCTAACCGGCTTGGTTACCAGAATGAAGCAAGGTAAAATAACTTCGTATAACCACTTTTGAATTTCGTGTTAATGAAAATTATTATTACAGTTCCTAAGCGTTTGATTAACACGCAATGTGGTTCAAATTATGCCACGACTGGATTTTCAAATGCGTATAACGATTATATCGCACCGAATGGTACACAATTTTACAAATTGCATCCAAATTATTTCTTCCAACACGAAGGTTCTGCCACTGTAAAGGTAAAGCTTCGCATACTTGTAAGAAATAGTAACTTACAGTGTGTACGTGATGTGTAAATCCTCTTTTTTTAGATTCAAGGCGCTAATTCAGACAGCTTGAGTATATGTTCAGCGCGCGAACCATTGCATAGTAATCCGATGGAAAGGGAATCACTTAAATCATGCGTGTCCGTAACTGGTGAAGCGCATAGTATTACAGTTTCTTGTGCAGATGCTACTTACATTCACCAGTGTCCTCCACTATACATTTCCGTCACCGCAAACTCCACAAGTGCTTCATCGCTGTGCACAGGTGATCACGATTATTCAATATATATGAAAATCAAATGAAATTCATGTAATCTGTAACGGTAATCTTGATTCATTTCTCTTCTTTTAGATCGACATCTGTGCAGATATCCGAATTCAATAAAATATACAATATCCTACGAAAATCTAGTATGTGTCAGTTCCGCGCATAAGATCGCATTCAATTCGTTTATTTTAATTGTACTTTTAACGTTCATTAATTTATAACAAAAAAAACCACGAACAAATAGTAATTTAGAATTATTTTGTATCGAATGTGTTCGTGTTCATATAACATGTGCAGCAAATTGCAGACTTCCATTTGTACATTTATTACGTATCTATTAAATTTAATTTACTATTGTAAATTTTATACTTAAAAAATTATTATTCGATTGTATACAGAGTATTTTCGTAACACAGTAAGAAAGGAAATGAATTTGTACATACATTTTTTTTTACAAATGATGTACTGCCTCATGTAACAAACGAAATATAATATTTGTGCTTTAAATAAAGGGTTTACAGAGACTAACTGTATGATCTACTCCACAAGCAACTTTTTTTACTTGAGCCCCAACAGTTACCTATAAAATTATATCATCAATTACGCATCTAACAATAGTACAGTTTTTCTTCTTATTTTACGTGTAATCAATTTACCTTTAATGGAAAATACTGATGGTTCAAGTGTCCTAGTCCTAGAGATCCGAACTTGTTACAACCCCACATGTACAAATCGCCTGTATTAGTTAAAGCTGCAAGGTGACTCAAGCCACAAAATATTTTAATTACCTGCAAAGGCATGTGTAATTAACTCATATACTTCTATAGATTCAACGATCTCTCACTTACTTTCGAATTTTTTTCATATGCATTTTTACCAAATAGAATGGATGGGATTTGTGTTGGCTGTAGAACACTTTTAACTTCTGGACCAAAACCAAGAATACCATACCCCCAAATGTAAACATCTCCCTCATCTACAAAACACGTTCAAATCATGATATTAATAAAATTATTGTCTTTATTTTATCACAAATCGAAAAAGAAAGAATGATGAGAAAGATTAGATGGCAGCAGAAAGTAATGATATTAATACATACTATTCAAAATCATACAAAAACAACCACCGCTTGCGATATCACTGATGTGACCCAATTCTTTCAATTGATTTAATTCCGTCGCAATATTTACTTGATGATTCTCCTTGGCTGTGAGTAACTGTCCATACTCTGAGTTACCCCAACCAAATACTTTTCCTTTATCTACAATTGTACAGTAATTTCAATTAATCGATCATACAGTAGACTGTTATTAAACGTTCCGAAGCATCATAAAATTATGCAATTCATCATAGTATCAATACATGAATATTGGCGATACCGCTGAGTGCTAATACACAGTCTGCTACGCAGGCAACTTTTATAATATGTTGTCCAGCCAGATCTCCTTTCACTAAGCTTGGCCTGTGTTCATTGTGATAGTGTGCTAAGCCGGTCTGTCCATCTGCTCCCCAACCAAAAGTGTAGACTTCACCGGATTCTGTCAAGAGTATGCTATCATATAGCAATAAGGGAGGACATTCAAATTCAACAGTTAAACCATTTGTGTCACGTTTAAAGAATCTCATACCTGTGGTCCTGACCAGCTGTAACGGCTTTTATCTTTTTACCCTTGATATCCGCTATATGATGAACCACTTCACTTTTGCTATAATTCTCATTCTCTATTACAGGTCGACCACACTGTCCATATGCATTGTTCCCTAATGTAAATAAGCCTTCATTGGTTAAAACCAACAAGTGTGCTCTACCAGCAGCAATATCTATGACTTTGGTTGAAGACTCCTTAGTTGGCAAAGTAATAGGCCTTGGCTCGATTATTAAGTCACTAGGAAATTTTTTGTCCATTTCATTAAAACCTGTTTTAAAAACAAAAAAATTATACTTCTTAATCTACCATTGCTGGTTTCTAGGGATAGTCTCGTAATATCACATCAATCGCGATTACATTAATTACCGACTATAGTCACATTCTCACCTAGCTGGGAGTCTGTATTTATTCCACTTCCATAGAGAATATTTTTATCTTTAGAATGTACAGCAAAGGCAGTGAAACCATAGCCACACGTTATATCTGTGATACGATGCCTTTCCCCAAAAGACAATCGTTTTGGTCTTGGCATATAAGCAACTCCTTCCATATGAAAGGTTTGTTTCAATGTTCCAAGCGCACCATGCTCTGCCATACCCCAAACATATATCCTATGGTCTTTTGCATCACTTACTGGATACTGAAAAACTACATAAACATCATACATTAACTGCACCGACATTTCCCAAATGGTTTTCATATTCTAAAGGATACTTTTTGAAATTCGGTACCTGGCAGGGTTTTCAGTTCAGGCTTTTTCTTTTCTGTTGACTTGTTCAATCGAACGTTTTTACTTCGTTTCCGTGCGTCTGTTCTTAAACACGTTCTTACCGCATTTAACATGATTAACGTTACTTCGGAGCGAATCTGTCATGTACAAAAGAATTTACGTTTTCAGGGTAGATTATTTATACTGATGAATTATCGTTTCGTAATCAGTAGCTCCATAACATGAGTTCATAACAGTTCATAATTTCCAGCAACTATGCTGAACTATGCAACTATACACTTTCAAGCACACCATGAACGAGTAGAAGCATGTTAACCGACCCACAAAATAATTTGATTATTAGAATCGTCAGCCAAAATGGGGAGACTTCTTGTATGCGATTGGATTCTATGACATATCAAGCATGTAGCAAATGCTGAAAGATCGCGTAAACTGCGATTAAAAGTTCTTTAAAACTGTTTCGAACGATGTCAGAATTTCTGTGGAATCCTTCTGAATCGAGAGTTTGTCAGCAATCGTTGAATATTGCGTTTTTAATATTCAGTATTATAATTCATATGTAATATTTGAAAAAACATGGTTACACAGACCCGTCGCACTATCTATGTAAAAATACTCAAACTAATAGCCGATTAGTATCACCATATTTCTTTAGATGACTCTACTGTGTTATGTAAGCGTCCGACCTAAACAATTAAATACTAATTAAAGAATGCACATTAGTTTGAATGATTAAATTGAATTTTTTATATAAACAAATTTCTAATAAATTTAAGTCGTTTTTAAGACGTATTTTAGGCGACTTCCTTCAGAGCATAGATGTTTATTAATAGCAAAATAATTCGAATATTTTTTAGAGGAAAGTGACTGGAACGAATGACGTTTGGTGCACGATTTCATTTCTTCCGTTAGGTGTGGGATTTATGTACGCTATGTACTAATACGTTTTAGCTGACCACGAACGATACGTACAAATTTGTCGTGGATAAACAAGCCAAATTGTTGTTTTATCAGACTAAAAACGGTGACACTGTGATGAGAATGAGCTCGAAGGACAATTGGGATATAGAAACACACAAAACGGAGCACGAGTGCGACGAACACTGGGAATTAAGACGTAAATTTTTATTAGCTCACAAAGAAAAGTTTCCAGAAGATGAACTTGTTTGCTTAGCCCAAGTGTTTTCAAATGTTGAATTGCTCGGTTGCAGGTGAGAAATTATGTATTTTTGTCTACCTGGTCGTACCATGCGTTTCAGAATATTCTATGGAAATTCTGATAATTTCTTATGCTTTTAGGTATCCAGAAGAAACAATGCAGCTGATAGCAGACTTAGGTCGAGATATTGTCGGTCAATACAGGGAAAAACAAAAAAATAAATTACAAAGAACATTTGTCAAAGCTTCTGATGCAGCTAGTTCAAAGGTTAAAGGTACATTCTAGGATTGTGAGTTCGTATATTCATTGAAGAACTTTATACGAAACTTAAGAACACTTCTGTTTTATATATTGTCTTTTGAAATGAGATTGTATGAGACAGGACACACTGCTCCAACATCTGCCCATAAAGTACAAACAGAAATAAAAACTGCAAGATCATCTGCAGATTTACAAGCTGATAAAGTATCTGTTAAACGAAGAAAATTACAGGACCTACCATTCGGTGATATTGTGTTAATAGAAAGACCAGGTGATATACCGCAAAATATTCTTGCTTCTGCATTAAATAAATCAGGTGGAGATTTAGAATGGAAATTTGATAGAGTAAATAATTCTTGGTAGGTATTATCTTTTTTTATATTTAAATTGATTATTATGTTTAAATCGATGACCAAATTGTGTTTTCTTCCTTGTAGCAAATGCAGTATTTTCGTTAATTCAAAGTTATTAGCAGAAGCTATGGGTCTTACTCAAAAGTTGGCAAAAAAAGATGCATCTGTAATTGGTTTACAAAAGCTACAGAAATATTACTATACAATTAAGGTTTACATGAGTATTGATTTTCTTATTTACCATGTGTCAGTGTTTTTGCTGTAACTTTACCTTATTGTTTTTATTTTAAAGATTAAGCAGAATATACATGGGGGTGCAAATGTGACTACTACAACAATGTTAAATGACACATCCAAAGAGGATTCAATTTCCGATGATAATATTGGAAGAAAGTTAATGAAGTTAATGGGGTGGACTGGAGGTGGTCTTGGGAAATCACAACAGGGAATCGTTGAACCAGTCACGTACGTATAATGATTTTATTTCGCGAATAATGCATTAAATGATAATTCTATCATTATTTTAGTATCAAGCAGCAAATTAGCAGAAAAGGATTAGGTTTGAAATCAAGTTCCTGCACGACGAACGATTTGAAAAATAAATCGAAAGATATAATGCGGAAGTATCTTGCAGGCGACATGAAAGATGATCTTATATTCTCCGCTGATTTCACTAATGACGAAAGAGCGATAATTCATCAGTAAGTATAATTATTGAAATCGTTAGTTGAATTTCGTTTATTAAATTAATACCAATCTATTCTAGAGTTGCAAGACAAATGGGCTTAAAGTCAAACAGTTATGGTCCTAAGAAAGAACGAACGTTGGTGGTTTCTCGTAAAATAGACATACGAGATTTAGTTGAAGAATTGAAAAGCCTCGGAGGAGTCACTAGTAAATACGAATTGATCGAACCGACCGAACTGTAAATGAAAAAGTATATTTTTCGATACATAATGCAAGTTTAATGCAGAAGCATATAAAGATATATCAACACATAAATGTTTAGAATACAATCCAAGAGATGAAATACACGTGTGGTTCTTAGCGTAATATTTGTCTCAACGTTATTAACATCACTTTTTACCGTATGTTACATGTAAGATCACCATTGTTCCATTCAATAAGAAAACGTCACATGTTCAAAAGTGTTATTCATTATTGCACAATCCTATAAACTTCCAACCATGACACTAACTTTGAGCCACAATATTTGATCATTCTCTATCTCCAAATAGGAAACAGTGTTTCAAATATGTAGTTTGAAAAGAAAAAATTCTATTATGATCCCGCAGGAAAGAGAAAATACATTGCTAATGATTAAAAGGTATGTGTGCGTGGTCAGGTACAATTTCAATTCCGCTGGAATAAAACTGAAGAAATGATTACTTTATTTAATGATCAATCGCGCGCTAAACTTATCTTTTAAGACAATTGTATTTTTTGTTCAATTAATAGAAGTACAAAAACTTTAAGAAGCAAGATTCACTTACAAGAGTATGGTACGTCGCAGTTGCCGTATAAGAATTGCTTTGGCAGTAGAACAATTAGAAGTCGAGAACGTAACGTAGACACGGAACGGCGTGATTGTATTTTTTTTCCATTACATTATCACATTCTTGAAATATTCTGATTAACTAAGATGGTCAATGCATTTTTGTACGTATACGTATGGGAGCGCAGAGTAAACATTATACTCCATTATCCGATATGCTTGATTCATGCTACCAAAGACTAATACACATTCTGTCAGAGATAGATGGAAAAGCTCGTTCTTGCCTTGGTCTTTTCAAACTGAATTCATCCGAAATTTTCGTCCCAAGAACGCTACATATTTCTGGTAAAGTTCCTTTCACTGAAATCGATTCTGTTATGGACGGATCATCGTGTAGACGTTTATTTCTGTTCTATCCGCTTGTATATACCATCTAATAACTAACAAAAGCAAAGGGCGCAATACTAAATTTTAGTTATTCGATTCATTATTGTTTAATAATAGAAGTTCTCGTAATAATATTACCTTCACGTTGAAAATTTCGACAAGTACAGTGATGTCTCGATAAGTGCGACGTACTCGGAGTATTCGTGGCAAGGCGTAAAGGTTTTCAGCCCCTCATAAATTTGTTGAATTGTATCAATTGGGGAGGCCTTTAATGGTGGGAATAACGCCGTTGGTTCGTGTCGCATTCATCGAGGAATCACTGTATTTTGTAGAAACTGAAACAGAAGGACTTCTATCATACCATCCAAGTATCAGACCCCTCTCCCCTCTACTAAACTACTGGCACTTACACGATAAGAGCAAGAACGAGCTTTCCACACGGCACAGTCAGGATTGTGCCGTTTGTTCTAAGAAAGGTACATATATATATATAAAGTCATGAAATCTAACGAAAAATTGGCTCGACAACAAATATTTTAATAGTCGTACGAAAAGTACTGTTAACTTATACGTTATAAAACGGGGCGTGTACAAGCAATCAAGCGTATGGAAATATACTTGCGCACATCGCGGATCTGAGTTCGTAGTTTTTAATTACCATTAGGAGTGTTCTCTTAAATATAACGTCGAAATGGGGGAGGAGGGGCGACAGGAAGGGAGGGGGAGGGGGGTGTGTTGGTGGTGATCAGGAAGAGGGACAAGAAGGTTCAAGGTGCTCGTGAGCGGAGATTCGGAGCGCCTTGATCCCCTTGGAAAACTTTTGTTCCTATATCCTTACAACAGTTTCCCTCGGTATCTGTCCTCGGTCCAGGCCCTACTTTGGACCGTAATTGACATCTGGAGGGAACATTTTGTGGTATCATTCTTTATATATATATATATATATATATATATTTTTTTTTTGTCACTTTTTTCATTCCTTTTTTATTTATATACCAAAATATTATATCTACTATCTGATAAAAGAGATTCTCTGTCAATATATATATATATATACGTGTGTGTGTGTAATTATGTCTATATAATTATATTTAATTAGAAGATACGTCATTTGGTTGACTAGAAGATTACGCTTAATAGGTAGAGATATGTACGTTTTTCCATCGAAGGTTAATGTTTCTCGAGGATGCCTGGCCATCTATAACCGTTCCCCATACGCACGTACAGCAGTATGTCCCTGGCTTAATCTGTAAACGCTTATATTTCAGAAAGTATATACATTGAATCGCTAACTGCTTCTTGTATAGAATTGCATAGAGTTCGAGGGGGGGATATCACTAAAAATTTTCTAGCTGAATGGATCGAAGGTCTTTTCAAAGTCACAGTGTTTTAAGTCGCATACAGTTAATTTTGTGTTATTTTCTAGAAGACGACTGATACTTGTACAGTTAACTGACTAGCCAGAAAAATTTTATCTACGTATCGTAACGTGTTCCTCGATCCTCCCCTAACTCCACAAAAGTTCTGCCCATTCAACGTGTCCTCCGAAATCTATCGATTTACAAATACCAAACGGAGTCAGACAAAATGCAGAGACTAAAAATCACGACATTTTGTTTTTGTTTTTGCGTATGGGGATCCTCGAGAATTCGGCTAACCATCAGCGAACTCGGCACTCGTTAAAATTACTGATATGTATCTATACTGATATGTGTTGCGTTACCGTAATGAAAATATTAATACAATTATATAGCATTGTATACTTGCTTTTCTTCTTTTTTCATTTTTTTTTTCTTTTTTTTTTTTTTCGTTTTCCTCTGTTCAATTACGTGTAAGAAGCGCGTTATACCCTGAAGAAACGCGATACGATGCTCGATTTGTACCTGGCTTCTCGCTTCTCGATCTTAAAATACAAATTTACGTGTGCACGTATCCACGGATTGTACAGGACGATCCAAGTCGAAGAATCGAACAATAGATACCTCGCAGCTAGTGCGCAGGAAAAATGAAAACGGAGCATTGGTGTGAACGTGGGCTCTGTAGGGTTGCGTTCCTCTCGATTTCACCGGCACCCATACAACTAAATACCATGATTCTTTTTTTTTTAGATCACCCTGTGAAGAGGCAGACTGTTAAAAGAAAGAATCAATACCTACTAGAGCTGACTCACGTTAATTAATCCTTCTTTACTCGGTTTAGCGAGTGCTATTCACCCTAAAGTATTGACCCCTTAAACACCCAGCGTGCGTGCTTGTATGTGTAGACACGTGTATGTGTGTGTACATAAGTTAATCGTGTATGTATATTCGATTAAAGATCGATTTGGTTGCACGATTCTATGAGACCACTTTCCACAACCAGCCTTTATGAACGGTTTTCAATTCTCGATACACCAAGAAACGGAAATCCTCTGTAAAAGGATCATCATACGGTGTACTGTACCAGCAGTAATCATCGATTCGTAAGCATGTATGGTGCAATTAATAAAACATACTCCAAAATATGCGATGCAATCGAAGTGAAAAAAGAAATGGTCAAAAAGATACGCAGGGTTTTCAGTTGTTTCTTCTTTTCGACTTATTTTCTTTCAGAAAGATCATTTTCACCTGGATAGTACCGCATGTTTTGGAGCACCTTCGTACACGAGGTATCCCGTAAAACACGTGCAGCTTTCTACGATGTCGAGCGATTCTTCCCGAATATAACCGATCAACGTGCAGTCGAACGAGAAGAATCATTCGAGCGTAGGTCTTTCGTTTTTTTCTTTCTTTCTTTTGATATAGAATTGGCTCGCAAGTGCACCAATGAAATATAACGATTAGTCCCGAAGCACAGCTTCGTCAACGAGTAGATTGCAGATGTCTATGTACTTGTAATGTGTACAGAAATACGTGAAACAATTCTTTTTTTTAACATAGAATGTCATTCCTTTACACGTTTATTAATTTCAAACCCCTTTTTCATTAATATTTCTTGTTTCTTCTACTAAATGCCAGTGTATGCATATTTGATATATATTTCTTATTAAATCCTAACTGTTTGTACGTTGATTTAAAAACAACTGTGAATCGACATCTGCAATCTCCTAATAATAAACGAGAGAAGAACGCATGGGAGCCCGATGGAAACATCGAATTCGATCGAGAATCAAGTTCAAGCTGATCAATCTGTGCGGTCGACTGTATTTTCTAAACTGCACTTATATTCGAATAACAGTCGATCACCTGACCCGTATTTAATGCGTAGAAACCGTCGAAATTCATTTTCCAATTCTATGTTACACGAATCCGTTATCAAGCGTTCTAAAACTGACCAGACAACGCGTTACCGATCTCGATTGCATGTTACAAAACCATACCAGCCACGGGAACGACCGACGTTAATTAATATCGATCGTATGCTGCGTGCCAGCTTGAATAGATAGTCTACCGACGAACCCAGGCGAAATATAATTAATCGAGCTGGTAATTACTAAGCTCTTATACTCGAACATTCATAGATTACACCCTACCGGCCAAAAATATGGAACCACTTCGGTTATTATCTTTTGTCATGCCGGAACACCGTTCGTCGCGACTGCTGTTCCTTAGTCAGAAAATGGTACCGGTCTCGTGTCTCGAAACATTACAGATAATCTTTTCTGTACAGGATACACAACAATTACGATACATCAGAACATTTATAACGGAACAAGAAAGCCTACTTTGATCATTAACTCGATTAACTTTGATCATTTTTCGACGAGTGGTTTCGTTCTCGATAATAATCAGACACAGGGCCGCCATATTTCTGACCGATAACGCATTCGTCTGGTCCCTCGACTCTCGTGTTACTCGTTTCTATCTCTTTCGGATTCGACACTCGCAATAGGGGGAAGGGATAACATAAAGCGTCGCGACACAACTGAGGCCTACTGTCCACTAAGGCGTCTCGTCATAGACACGTCAGCGTAGCGTACAACATGATGATTACGCTACGCTTGAGTTTCTGTCCACTTGAGCGTAGTGAAAGCGTAAAGAAAGCGTACAGAAAGCTTCATTTTCCTCATTCGCAAAGATGTCGAACGACGAAGAGGATGTTATCGCCTTATATAATTATATTCGACGGCGTTAAAGTCGGAAAAGATATTAGTTACATCCTTACATAGAAAAGAATATAAATTGTAGACTATTTGTTGCTGCGCTAGGATTAGCGGAAGATGATCATGTATTTCATTCTTTCTATAGAATGAATAAAAATACGTGCAAGAATTTAGTGCGTTTGGTACCTCCGCTAATCCAAAAACAAGACACTAAAATGCGATGTTGTGTTAGCCATGTACAAATATGGCTATATTTCTGTTTTTTATATTTTATGGGTAAATTTTCAACAATCTGTACGAATTTCACGGCCGACATATTTTACACTCAAAGACAAATGATAATTTTGCGTCTTTCTATACGCCCAGCGACACATGCAGCGACGAAAACGCGACGTTGAAGCGTGTGTGGACACACGTCCATTGTTTTACATTGGTCGTTACATGGAAGCGTCCTGCGACGAGACGCTTTAGTGGACAGTAGGCCTAAGAGGAAACAGCGAGGCGAGACGCGTCGATAAAGCCGCGCGCGTACAGATATACAAAGAGCTCGCCGACCCTTGACATTTCGCCGAGGAAAGTTTAAACGTTCAGCACTCCCGTGCCCTCTCGGCGACAACGAACAAGTACAATATATCTTCCGGGACTTATAAGATCTCGGTGCTTATCGGTGTGTTCGTTGGAAAAAGCAAGAGAATAGAGAAGAGAAGACATCGAAAGGAAGCGAGAGAAAAGGAAACGAGCGCGGTGGGATAATTGATGGCCGAGAGGTAGAAAGGTATAGTAGATGGCGGCGATCGTTTCGCCAAGCTGATGATCCGTCGTCAAGGAACCGGAACACGAAGCAACAGAACAGTGCGATTGTAATACGATACAGCCAACGTGTGATAATGCCGACGCGGTGTAATCCTGGACGGATGACCGTTCAGTCAAGGAATCCAGTTTTCACTAGCTTCTCCAGGAAGAATTTCACGTCCCCTAGTTCCGAGTCCTTGATCCCGATGGACTTCAACATACCCAGATCACCGTTCTCCACCGCCATGAATACCGAACGCAGATGTTCCAGATCGGCCCGCATCAGGTGCAATGCTGCGCCGAAGTCCTCGATCGTCTGTGATTCTACAAGCATAAATCAAACGACGATGATTGAATACGGTCGAACCGGCGATGAATTATCGATAAAGAACACCATTAAATATGTACTACTTTTCATGTACATTCAGGCCAATTCTGATGCTAATGTCGATACAACATCCCTGCATCATTTGTGATGTTAACAGGACAATAAACCGAGCATCTCTAAATGCTTGTACCATTGGGATTTATTAGGGACGTGAGTCCCGATTAGAGTTGTGACTTCATAAGATATCGATGTATATATGAGACAGACGAAAATTTCTAGAAAAGTAAAAACTCTAGTCCTGATAGCAATATGAATCATTGAGAGGCATCGTGACAGTGATGTGATTCCTTGTCATTCGACCATAAAGCTACGTCTACACTATATAGCATAACGAGTTATACAGCAAAGTTGTAAAACTTGTTAGACGAACAGAAAGAAAAATGTTACATAACATTTTTCGTGTTACATTAATAATGAGATGCGAAATTTTATACAAACTTGTCCAACAGATACACTTTGGTAACAAGTATAGAAAATGTTACATAACATTTTTCGTGTTACATAGCAAGTTACATGTTATCCGTCAAGTGTAACGCCGTTATTAATAATGAGATGCGAAATTTTATACAAACTTGTCCAACAGATACACTTTGGTAACAAGTATAACAAAGTTCTATAACAATTTGTTATATAACACTCTTTTGTTATATAGTGTAAATGCAGCTTAAGTATTCTCAGCTTATAGCGACAAAGTGTTCAATTTTCTCTAATACGCCATCGATTTTCTTCATCTGGGCTTTCAAGTTTATCGTACCTGCGAACGTTTTTTGTTTTGATTTAGAATTATTGGAACTTGTAAGTACATAAACAGAGGTTCACTTACCGGATAGTGCTATAGCCACCTTGTTCACTCCGCCGAGAGGTTTCAACGTGTCCCGCGCTTTGGTCCCGAACAATTTCTCCAGATAATTAGGACCGTGGCTCGCTAAGAGCGACTGTAGGAAACTCGCGGTCTCCTCGACCGGCGGTCTTTTCGCTGAAACGTGTAAAAACAAAACGACCCGTTCCAAACTTTCAATCCGTTGAAATTTCTTATTCTACGTAAACGTAAGTAACGATTCTATTCAATAATGCAACGTCCGTCGTCGTTTTTTTCAATAATCAAAATTCCTACAAGGCTATTACGGACGTCACGAGACAATTTTTCAATTTCCAAGCCCGAAAATCGATGCTCGTGACCACGACCGATAGTTTGACCCACTGATTCGAGAGCCTTGGGAGCGGACAGAGTCGACAGTAGTAGCGGACGAGCATAAATCAGCCATCGACAATACATACTCCAAGCTCAATATCCTCGTGTCAACGTGAAAACTTCCTTGTAACTTTGTGCCTATTCTCTCGTTACGCGTTATTACACATCTTTTCTAGACTGCTCTCTGATGGTCACTCGGTGCATCATCATCATTCTTACAGAAGGAAGCAACAGGCGGAACATTACTCTCTTACGTATAAAATGATCGATTTGCAATTACAAAAAAAAAACAAAATCGTTTACCGTGTAATAACTATATCACAACGGAAAATTACCGGCTGTGCAGAGTCGCGAGTCCTCGTCATATCCATCTTGGCAATCCGGAGCTCCGTCGCAGAGGTATTGAATGGAGATACATATATTATCGCCTGGACACTTGAACGGTTCGTAGGGGCGACAAGGATCTCCTATAATACACGGAGTATACAGTGTATAACATGTAAAAACAAACAAAAATGTAAAAACATTAATGGCGAAATTAATCATTTAGTGTGCGGTGCGTTTATGATGCTTGAAGGTCACAATACAGTAAGGTAGTATAGCCAACAAAAGTCGGACTCAAACAAATCTTTGGTACCAATAAAATAAAAAAACTTCAGAATTGGTCAAAAAAGAAACCTAATTTAAAAGGAGAATACTTTATAGACTGCAATTGTCGGGAAATCAGTTTCTTATACTTTCATGATAACATAACCTTTGTTGATCCCCGGACTGTTCTCTCTTTAAAGTTCCGAGTTTACCTTAAAATATATCCATGTAATTGTTCTATGCGCGTACATGATCCATGCGTGGTTCATAATTGCCTAACATATTGTATTCGTACATGTATGTGCGTTACATATTTATACATGTTTATAGATAGGTATTATATTTCGTGTCTGGTGTGCGTGCACGACTCTAAGCGTGATGCGTGAATAAGGTGAGCTTACGTGACGCGTGTATATGCATACATGTGTGGTAAGTGGCAATGCCCAAGTTAGCATACATAGACGGCGATTATTAGTGGTCGGCAACGTGGCTGATATTGACCGAGCAATATTAAAGGGGGAGAGCACGATCTTTTACACGCGACATTGGTGCCGTGTTTTCCTACGACTATCATCTAATCAACAGTAATTTAATTGCCGGGCTGGCTCCTGTTCGCGGCTTCTATACCAATTAATTCACAAATTAAATCAAAGAAACGGCCGAGCCCAGTCGACAAAGAAACCGATTCGAATTTTACTCGTTACACGGAACGGCTGTTTATTGCTTCAAGGAATTTACCCTTTAAGTGACGTTTATTGGTTAAAAGCGATCCAATTCCGTCGCACACCGACGAAACGGACAACGTTCTGCTCGTCACGACGAATAAACTACGAAACAGCCTATCACGAAGACGAACCGTGACATACTGAGTAAACCACGTGTGGATAGAAATTGCCACTTAAACAACGCTGCTACCATCGGCACGATAAATTTTATAAAGATTACAATGTATATACAACATTTTACGGTTTGCACATCTCGCTGTTGCGCCCGTGTCCTTCTAACTGGATCCTCGAAATTCGAAAGGGCGCACACGATCGAGATTCAATTCCGTCTAACGTGTAATCGTTTTAAATCGATTATTCGAACCAATGTTATCGATTTACAGAAACCATCGAAAATTCAAATTGACCGACTATCGGAAATCTTGTCATGAAAAGAATTCGAGCAACGATTCATCGTTCTACGACGGAATGTCGAGGTCGAACTCGATTCGTTCGAATTTCGATTTTCGAACCAATGTTATCGATCTACAGAAACTATCGAAAATTCAAATTGACCAACTATCGGAAATCTTGTCATGAAAAGAATTCGAGCAAGGATTCATCGTTCCACGACGGAGAGTCGAGGTCGAACTCGATTCGTTCGAATTTCGATTTTCCGATTATACTGTCGAATCAGCCGTGATCACTTACCTGTTCGCTTCGAGTTGAAATGACCGTAAAATCGGCTCAAGTCGATCGCCATGACAGCACGCGGAAAAACAACGCAGGCACTCAGGGCGAGGCTAAGCGCAGCCACGCTGGTGCAGAACCTCTGGACCATTCTCAGCCGGCGAACAGTTGACTACTCTCTCGAGGATCGAGTTAACGTGTTTATTGGGACGGTAAGGATGTCTGTTCGCGAACTACCCTCTACCAGACAGCACCGAGCGATCACCACGAGCCTTGACGTTCCTCGGGGAGATACGGTCTTGAATGGTTATCGAGGCGATCCTCGTGCTCGAACTTCGACCCCCTTCGAGGATAATACGACTAGGACCGTTCGCCACCACACTTTCTTTAGCTTTCTCTCGTTTCACAGCCACCGAGTGGCTGACGCGTGACAGGGTGCACAGGCACTGCGAACACATCTGCGTACATACGTGTCGTACCTGCCATGCTAAGTATGTATTGCGATCCCCACTCTCGGGGACAGCACGACCATGGGATGGCGGGGACGCGCGTAGGAACACCGTCCGCCAATCGGATCGTAGGTCTCGCTGGATACGACCAATCGCCACCACCGAGATTAAATCTTCTGCCCTGGAACACCCACGCAACCCTTCTCTGACTGAAGTATCATCGATTTCAACCCTCCTGTTACTCGTGCGTAACTTTTGTTTATCGTAATGTTCCGTTTACGCCGCGACAGGAATACGCGGGCAGAATATCCTGGCGTGTGGTACCCTTGGGACACGGGATGACGGGTACCTTTTTGGAATTTCGAGGAATTCGCGTTTAATCGAATTGACCAGCGACCTTGAGCCCCTAGAAATTATACCTCGACTGTTCCTTCGTTTCTCGACTTGTACAATGGAAATTCTGCCCTTTTTTTCATTTTTGATGGAGTCTGCGACTAAGGCAATGTAGTAATATTTACATAATAAATTATATTAATGTACTACACATAGTAAAGTGATACTTTTGTAATTTTATCGTTTACTTAAACTGTACGAATATTTGTCATAGATATATTTGTTTAAATATCTCTCAATTTTTTAGTGAATTAGAACTGATTTGAACGATCAAAAGAATTTTGGAATTTATAAATTTGAATGCCCATCGTTAGTTACAAATGGATACTGTGTCGTACACGGTGTCATGCATTTTTATGCATTATTCATGCACATCGATAACTCGAAATATTGAACGTGACTCGTAGAGACCAATCTGGCTGCAAACATTACATTCTTTTTTTAAACGACGACTGATCTATACGCACTGTCGATCGGCTTTGATCGACAGATTGCTCAATACCGACCGCTACAATATTACGTAATGACGAAATGAGCAGCCCTTGATTGCGAGAAGGTAAAAAAAAAGAGTCATAGTTAATTTTGAAGCCTGAAGAAACTTTACAGGTACGAGGGGAATATAAACGAACAGTTATTGTTTGCATCTGTTTCGTGTAGTTTTTAGTCGAGGCTCCAAATTTCTTAAGATCAGTCAAGAAATTCATCTATAATAAAAATTTAACGTTTTCATGCCCTATGTTTTACAAACATTCATTTTTCATTATTGCAACATTTTGAACTCGCCATTAACTGGCTGAAAAAGTTTTTAATGAATCTATAATACCTGGATGTACATATCGTAATAATTTTTTGCTTGCCCCTGATGAAATAAAATTCGTCAAAATACGCTCGTCTTGCGTTGTAACTTAATTACATATTCGAAATAATGGTATTATCTTTATTGTTCTCTTATGCAATTCACAATCATGAATACAGATGATATTACCGTTTACAGTAAAATCTGAGAAACCGATGTATTGATACGAACCTGAACTTCCGCGGTAACTTCATATCGTGCATAACCTGAGAAAAATATTTATATACATATGCATTTAAAGTGGGTTTAAAAGAAATTTGGCCAAGCTCGAAAATGAAGTTAATGAAATAATTAGAAGAAACTAATGCTGATGTTGTTACTATGACATTTTCATTGACAGATACGTCAAGAAATCGAGTAAACAGATAAAAATGTATATGTCAGAGTGTTGAAGCAACCAACAGTATGGAGGATCTAAAATTTAAATTCCTTGGCCTCATTAATAAACAGGTGAATAGATACCGTGTCGATATTTTTACGATTAAATTTTCCTAATTATTCTATGGAGTCGTAAATGCAATTCTTCGAATTTTGCTTTGCTTTTTCACTTCAGGTTATGTTTCATTGGTTAACTCTTTGTAGCTTTAACACAAAAGCTTGACAAATTACTTCTGCGGAATCTATGACACTTAGGTGTACATCTTTTTCTTTATTGTTGCACAGAATGTAGCCAAAGTCCCAATTATGGGATTACATTTGGACCTGCTTAATCCTCCAGACTCACAGAAAACAGAAGACATACAATCAAAAGCTGACCACTCAACGGAAAGTGAACCCATCACCGACGAAGACATATTAAAATCTATAGAAGAAATTTATTTTAACACCGATCACAATTTCGATTCTTGTAGGCACGAACTAGAAAAATTGCCAAAAGTGTTACACTCCAAAGAGATAGAAAAAAGTTATAAAAAGCTCAAACAACAACATCAGGTTGTATCGAATAAGGTTTTACAACTGATTTTAAAAAAACAGAATGCTTGTAAGAAGGAGTTTGAGAAGATATTATTGATACAAGAACAGCTGCAAGATGTATTAGAGATATGCAGAATGGGAAGGGCAGACTTAAAATTAGCTGAGAAACAATTTACAACAGCCAGCTTAGGAATTCTAGCGAATTATCAAAAGAGACAAATTGTGGAAGAATTATTGAATAACTTGAACACTATTAAAACATTGGTTAGTTATTTCTTGTTGAAATGAACTTATCAACTTGATAAACATTGTAACTAATGTACGTAATATTTTACAGCAACGTATAGGAGATCGATTGCAGGAACTTCTAAATGAGAAAAATTACCCTAGAGCAATCTCATTGCTTTTGGAGTGCCAGAGTGCTGCACAGACATATAAACATTTTCATTGTATTACTGCTTTAACTGGAAAATTGCAAGATATATTGGAACAAGCAGAGGAAGCACTGGATGTTACACTTTCAAAGATGTGTACAGAGTTCAACGTAGAAACATATACGTCTGTACAAGAAGCTTATTCTCTATTAGGAAAAACTCAATCCGCAATGGACCAGTTGCATATGCATTTTACAGCGGCGATTCACAATACTGCTTTTGCAGCTGTTCATTCGTACGCGGGAGGAGACACGAAAAGACAGTATAAACAGCTTTGTCAATCAGTTCCTCGCGAAAGTTGTATTGCATGTCTAACAGAACTGTGCAAATCACTGTGGACGATACTAAGCTCCTACTACTTGGTGGTAAATTGGCATAACACACGAGAGAGTAAAATTAAGTTCGACCCCGCTACTAAAGACTTAGAGGAGACTTTTAGTAAAGAGTACGTGAAACGTAAATTAGGAAACAGTATGATTCGAATATGGCACGACGTTGAAATGAAAATATCAATATTTTTAATGAATGCCGATTTAACGTACATTAAGTTTGAACAGTTTGTTCAAGTTCTAGGCATAGTTAACAGGTAAAGATCGGTATGAATTTCACTCCGAATCGAACGTAAACTGTATCGATAAACATCTGTTCACAGATTAATGGAGATCGGAGAGGAATTATGTGGCTTTAAGTCAGAAAACTTACAAGAATCCATAAGGAAACAATCGTTATCGTATTTCTCCCACTATCATGCATCCAGGCTAGATGAACTCAGAATATTTTTAGAAAACGACGGATGGGAATTATGTCCTGTCAAGTCGAACTTTGTAGCGACGCAATTACAGGAGTTTAAAAGTTTAAACCCGTCGCTTAGTATTTGTAAAGTGTGGAATAACTTGGACAACTCAAATGTTAGTGAGAATGATAATTTGTTGGGGATTGAATGGGTACAGAAATATTTGGAAGGAGGTGTGTCTCCATTTTCCATAGGTTTAGATGATACTATGGACGAGGATATCTTAGTGAACAATGAGGTATGATCTTTCATGAAGTTAATGTAAAACGATTATGGCGTACGACAATTGAAAAGATAAGACAGTATGTTTCTCTAATAATACTTAGGAAAATCCAGGGGCGTACTTTTCCGATGAGTCTGACGATGATATCCCAGATGAATTAAAACACGAGTACGTCGACGATTCCGATCATATTAGGACGAATAAAAAGAAATGCAAACTGAAACAATCTGGACCCATGGTTACGAACACTACGTTAAGTATATTACGTATCTGCGGAAAGTATTTACAGATGTCTCGCCTCTTACGTTCGATCGCAGTCACCGTTATACAAAGTATGATACAGTTTTATGAGCTGTGTTTCTACACGGTACATTTATTCTTTACTGCAGACCTTGTAAGTTCATGGAATGATATACGAGTGTAAACATATTACAGTAAATCCTCGACGAGTGTTCATAGGCTTCTCGGCACTTAACATTAAATATTTCATAAACTAATGGCTATATGCGGTTGAAACAAATATCATTGGCTGCAGAATTCCAAACTCTATCACTGCGCTAAACCTCATTAAAAGGTCAGCATTACACCTGGGGACATCTCATTATCAGTGCCGAGGAGCCTTCGAACACTCATCGAAGATTTACTGTAAGTACGAGGAACCGTATAATAAATAGATATTCATTTACTTCAGATGATAAATAGCGATTCGTTGTACAGTCCGAAGCTGAAATTGTCATTGGCAAGAATTAAGGAAAATTTAATCGTTTATGAAAACAGTACCGAGGATACCGTTAAATTAAATTCTAATAAAGTCCGACAGCCGCAACTCTCTTCCATCGTAAACTTAACACAACCAGAACAACTGCATGGTTTGACCGAGCGTATAGTAGCAGTAGAATCTCTGATATTTTTAGGACGACAATACGAAGGCTTAAAGCCATATTTAGAGCACCTTATAGCATCCAGCCCGCAACGAGGATTTCTTCATCAGTTTTATATGCAAACAATTGCGTCGACCATAGACTTGAGAAAACCTGTATACATGGCGGTTGCGTCACAGGCGCTCGACGTTGCGAATATTTTAAACTTAATGAACAAAGTTAATTGGGAAGTAACGGATGTGATGTCTCAACATAGCGGTTATATCGATGCGTTACTTCAGGTATATTTACAGGATGATTATATGTACTCAGGTAGAAGGGAATTCCAAACTATTCGGCGACAGTCTGCATGTTTATAAATAAAAAATACCAGTTCCACTGACATCTTTATATTGCGAAATCTTTCAACTTACAGGAAATATACATTTTAAACGAAAGGCTGCAAAATATCGGAACTTCTCTTCCTTTGTCAAACGATGTGTGTAATGCTGTTTGGGAAAACGTTGCACACCTCATAACCCACACTATGGTAGAAGGGTATGCGATTTTTCCGTACATCGTTCACTTCCATAAACTTCCATTTACCATTATCACGCTTACGTTTACCATAGATTCGCTGACGCCAAAAAGTGTTCGAACGGAGGCAGAGCATTGATGCAGCTCGACTTCACGCAACTGAAATCAAAGTTTGAGACGTTAACATCCCTGAGACCAATGCCGCACAGAGAATACGTCGAGATATACATTAAGGCGTACTATCTACCAGAGAATAGTTTAGAAGAGTGGATAAAAGAGCATAAGGTAGTTCACAGACTTGTGTAAACATTATATCGATTCGTTAAGTCAGGCGTGTGTATCACTTGGGGTGTTTCACTTATAGGAATATTCCGTGAAGCATTTAATCGGATTAATTTCATCGGCGTGTCAAAATAATAAGAAAACACGACAGCGATTGGTAGCTGTAATAGAAGAACAACGATCTGGCAGATAGCATCAAGTTATCCATTACAGTATATATCAAGATCACGTCGAAATAGGAACTGCTTGAACGCCCAATTCTTTACTAGGAAAGCTTACGATCGAAATGAGCCTTTTTTTGGATTAAATCTGGTACAAAATGTGACCACTAAGATCTGTCTATATTCGTTATTATCTACATGTAGCATCAGGTTTCTTAAAAAACAAATTTCCATGTAAATAATCGAGAATAAGGAAAAGTATCGTTATATCAACAAGCAGTCTGAGTTAGTGTCTCTCTAATTTTCATAACAATTACTTTTGTTCAGTGCACGAAAACTAGGGTTCATTGATAGCAAACTGTATTAGATCTGACGAATGAGATTGTAATACAAAATCAAGAGTCTGGTATCATGAAAATACATAATGTTAACGTGTAAGTGAAATTAGTGTAATTAAACCGAATCTCATATGGGAATTTATAACTGTAATTGGATTTGTACGATACCGTTATGCAACAATATAATAATACAGGCATGTATTTTTCAATTCTGTATAATAGGAGTGGTATACACTTTATCACAGTATTAACATGACTACTAGGTTTAAACTTGAAAATGAAATATTTAACAAAACTTCTGTATGAAAATCATTTTATACGTGACTTATGCGTTTTTTCATTTTAGTCGTCAAAGAAGCAAACGATATTAAGTAATTTTATTTTGTATACATTTTACTTTTATAGATGTTGTAAAATATACATAATAATTTGAGAATACACGGGAATACTTGGGAGAATAATATTTTTCAATTGGTAGAATTACTGTTCAAAGCATTGCCCGCGTATTTATGAGTCCCATTGTGTATAATATACTAATTTTTTTTTTTTTGTAAACACTACGACTCCGATGTATTTGAAAGGATGATGATTTACTACTCTTCTCTCGTAGTTGAAATTTGTAGATCAAAGAAAAACTACAATCTGTTATTCCTATACCTATACGATCGTCTTCGTTTCAAGTGCAATGTATAGTAGTTGGATAACGGCGACGAATTTGTAGTATATTTTTAAAAAAGATTTATAAATATCAGGTGCAATTACAAATATTTTGTTCGAATACATTGTGTTCCGCTGTTTTTGGCGAAAACGCTCTTATAATTTAAAGGTGTCTTTATTATACAAATAATGATAATAGTAATAATAATAATATACAAGTACATATCTTTTTTTCCAGGTTTATGAGTTTCTAATTTTGTAAAAATTATCGTTATTTGTCTATGTCATATATTTACTGTAGTATTACGCTTATCATACGTTATTTGTACTAGAAACCAAAAAATTCTATTGCACCTCTAATAGCTACTCACAAAAATATTTTAATGTTCATCGCGTGGTGAGTGACACGTTGTTTTTCTTTTTAGTCAACAATTTTACACGTGGAAAATTTATATAAAATAATGGTATATACGATATACATTGTATGAACGTGCGTAATTGTCTTTCATTCGGAAAAATCAATTTCTTCTTTTTCTATATTAAACGAGACTTTGTGACTATATGCAGAATGTTTTCTATTTACTTCTTTTGAATGTAGGTGCATGGAGAATTCTCTGGCTAATAGTAGATGTCAGCGTTTCTCAGTATTCAACTTTGTGGATCGTCACTGTTAATGAAGTGAAATTATATTGTTGATGAAAATGTGCTTATGCTTCCTGAGCCCACGCTGTTTGCTTTCTCTTAATGATTTAATTATGTATATGACAGAAGTTAAATATCGTTGAGTCTACCAATTTTTTTTTGTTGATAAAATGAGGAACGATCCATTGAGTAATTGTTAAGAAACGCTGGCAATTTATTCGAAACAGCTGATTTTCTTCCTTACTCCAAAGCGTTTTATATTGAGCCCTGCAGTCTGAATGGCCCCTATTTAAATAAGCTGTTAGAAAATATGGAGGATGACAATGAAGAACATGACGATACCAAATGCTTACTTTGACAATAACTCCGTTCGCCAATATTACATATTAATACTATGTTAAGTTGTATGTTGTAATAACAATTATGAAATTTGCATACGTCTACTAATTTTGTTTAGCACATTTAACAGTTTGACTATAAATGCTTTTGTTATTTCATATCGAAGAGAATGAATAAATATATTGCTATTAGATCAAACTCGCCTTCTCGTTCAGAAGAAAATGATTAAAATAATCGTTATGAATAAATAATTCTTTTTTTTTTGCTCGCAGGATTCATAAGATCTCAGGCTTTGGGGATTTGTTAGTGCAATGTGTACTCTATGGTTACGAGAAATTTCTTACAAAAATTATGCCTGCACGAAAACTGTTCCATCGTAAAATGAAAATCAATTACTCGAAACACACAATGCAAATAATAATCTGTTTTCCATTAATTATAATTTAGTAATTGTTGATAACAACTATATCGAATTACAAAGACGTGTCTTCCACGATAAAACAACGTGTAATTACGATTACACTATTATATTAATAACAGAAAATTCTATCTATTGAAAATTACGTTGGACGTACTTCACATTTAATTCCTTTAACTTTAAATTTCCATCGATTATAAGTTATCTCTCGTTCATTCAGATGAAGTTTATTGCTAAACTTAGCCAACCATTTCGTACCAATGAAACACGTGCTGTTTAACAACAACTAATCTCCAACAAAAGCTATTCTTGCTACACATATATCTCGTTCATTTTGCTTACAACTAAACGAAGGAAAACAAAAATGACACAATACATATTTCGTATGAACACAAAACTGATGGTAATGACACAGTATAAAAATGTATAGCCATAGAGCACTGTTCAATACTAACAAACACGCCTAGAAGTAGTACGTCATTCCTTTTTCCAAAGCCTGTTCCATGGCCATAAATATCAGCTAATTACTTTGCACATTACTTTTCATTAATTATAAGCCTTAATCTCGTCCAGCAAATGCTAGGTCATACTGACCCACTGGTTTCTGACAGTTGCTCCTTTCAGAACTCGGTTTTTTATCACTGTCCCATAAACAATGATGCATCTACACTGTCGTAGTTAAATGACATCTTGTTTAATAAATGAATGCTTCGGGTCTTTTACCCTGAGTCAGAATGACCTGCACTCATCAGCTGAAATCGTATTCGAGCATCCAACATTATAGAATTAAATGTTAGTTGACTCAGATGCCGAGAAAAAGAATCTAACAAACTTATATATGTAAAGCATTACTGATATTTCGTATAAAGTAATACAATCTGTTAAAATCCTAATACCTTAATGTAATCGTGGAATGCAAATTAAAACGTTGATGTAGCGATTCATTTTAAGGGTAACATACCATTATTAGTCTGTTCTCAATTGTGTTCTGTTATGTAAGTATGAAGCTCGTAAAAATGGAACTTGAACGTCGATGAAGTTCTTTTCGTTTCTGTTGAAGTAATATCGAATATAGATAAATACAGTTATCGTTCTTATTCTACAGAATATTATTCTTCAAAAACATGAGACTCACAGTAAACATGTTCTGACTCTTTTCCTTGCGATCTAATCCTAATTCTGCATTATTTAATTACTTAACTGTTAAAATATTGGCAAATTTAATGCTGTTACGTAATTAGTAACATTGTTCTTACTTTTCCGTTCCTTTTTCGGTATTTTAATTTGAGCTCGTAAAAATTAACAGATTAGAACTGTTGTACTGTATTAAATCCTGTGGCTCAATAATTGTGCGTATGAAACAACCCCATCACTCTGTATGTGTATGCGTGTATATAAATGCACTATAATGCAACTTAATCGAACCCCAATTAGATACACACAGAAAGATGTAAATGATTTGACAATGAAAGCCATTTGATATGCGTTAATAAGACACGACTGAATTGGAAGACACTCACAAAATCGAAATACAAACGCAACCTTGGAAATACTTTTAAATGTGTGGTTCAAAAAACAGTTTATCAATGAATAATATTCTATTGTTATATCAAGCCATTAATGTACGTCCCTTTGAACATTTAATCATATATATCGATGAGATTATATATACGAATATTACGCGATACATATTTATGTAGCATCAACGACAACCAATGAAGTATCAATTTCATGTTTGCATCTCAGGCTATAACTTAATGCATCTCAGACGACTTAAGCTATCAAGCCAAAGTCAATTATTGATTAATGGTCATTACAAGTTGCAAAGGTATTTCTGTTTTCTCTTAATACATCCCTTAATACCATAAATGGCTCATTATAATTCTTTTTTTTTTATACTTCCTTACAATTAGTATCCCATAATGTGATACGCACGCGCACATACATATACATATATATAAATTATGGTAAAATGATGAACATGTTAATCTAATATTGTAATTAACTATTTTCATGGACTTCAGTAAACAGTTAGTAACAAAGTCTATATCTTTTGGTACTTTGATAAATTTCTATTTATATAGTATTAATATTACTGAAACGCACCATTCGATATTAATGGTTGTCCTACATTTGCCACTGTACGTTTAAAGTGATCTTTTTTTTTCCCTTTATGGTTCTCAGTGATCATTGTCAGTTGCATTACAGAGCCTCTACATGATAAATAAAAAATGAAAGAACAAAGCAAACGTACATTGTTGGTATGCGGCTAATCGATGAAAAATAAATATTTGCTCATAATTTATGATTACTGGTTAGCCATGTAAGACCTTCGTAAAGCCCGTCCCCTGTTGTGGCACACGACGGTTGGACATACCAATTCCTGTCTCGTATCCTAGTTAAACCCAACTTTTCTTGTATTTCGTGTGGTTTCATTGCTAGAAACAATAACATAATTTTCGTAATGTTCATAACTAAAGCCTTGAAATATTTTTCTCAAAAATCCTGATGCTCACCATCAGGAAGATCTTGCTTGTTTGCAAATATTAAAATTATAGCATCGCGCATTTCTCTGTCGTTTATAATTCGATGAAGTTCTTGACGAGCTTCATCAATTCGATCTCTATCAGCACAGTCAACTACAAAAATAAGTCCCTGTGTTCCTGTATAATAATGACGCCATAACGGACGTATTTTATCTTGTCCACCAACGTCCTAAAAGAATGTTAATTCCTTATGAGACCAAATAATTGAAAGATATTTGTAGCATCTGAAGTAAATTCCACGTGTGGCTTACCCAAACATTGAACTTAACATTCTTATAGGTAACTGTTTCTACATTGAATCCTACAGTTGGTATAGTTGTTACAGACTGTCCTAATTTAAGTTTATACAATATTGCTGATACATAATTAAGAAAATATTACTGATACAAAATGTAATACAGCATTATAAATTGCTGTTTCTTCTTTGGAAAACCCTATGCAAACAAAAGAATACATGTAAAGGATACTAGTTTTCCCAGCAGCATCCAATCCTAACATAAGAATTCTCATTTCCTTGTTGCCAAAGATTTTTGACAACAATTTGCCCATTTTGCTAGGCACCTGGCACCTGAATCATATAAATTTTCACATTAAATAAAATACATCACAGGGTTTGACATTAGTCAGAAAAATGTTAACAGTATTATGATCTTATTAGAAGCATACAGAGGTAGAAGGAAGCACTCGTTTATCGTTGTCCTTAACTTTGAATAAACAACGCTATATTTACAATGATGCTATGTTAATAAAATGATTTACATCCAACTATATTAGGAACTGAGTGCCCATGGTATGATTTGCTTCGAATAACTTCTACCTTTCTGTTACAGTGGAAATAAAATTAAGAATTGAAGGCAATAGTCAATGGTGTATGAATACTTCCTTTTCCTACTGTAAAATAAAACTACCAAACAAAAAACTTGCAACGATCTCTAACCTCTATCTCAGTTTTGTTATCTCAAGATAAGAACAACATTTCAGTGTGCAGGTTTTAAATATCCCAGAAATTCAAGGACGTATTTCCTAACCTATACTGACCGCGTACACAATTCAAATAGATAAATATCAAACGAAATAATAGGACACTGATAAATAGGTGACATATAATCGGAGCGTAGGCAGATCTGCCGTTAAAGATTTCGTTAATTTGTAAGAGAGGAAGGAATGGTTCGCGGAACGAGACCGAACAGACTTCACGATAAATACATCGATCGGTCGTGCAACTTGCATGACAATTGATGACGAATTTTTTTTTTAAAGAAATCCTACGAGTCAGCAATACATTCAGGGGTGTGTAACACGAATAAGCCGTAAATATAACTTACCGAAATACATTTACAACGGGCGAGTACTTTATCACGAACGCGTAAACATATCACATCGCCCTGCTTAACTTGTCGTTACAGCCGTAATATTTGCCGCGGCATTGTAAGAGAAATGTTATTTGGCCACGTACAACATGATGTCTCTTCGTAAGTCACAGGCAAACACGCGTGTAACTTAAACGAAATGTTGAGATCACGTCTGTGTTGCATTGAATTGTAACAGGAGAATTTCAAGCGCCACCGTATGTCGCGATCTATTACTAAAGTCAAACGCGCATTGGCGAATTGAATTCGCGCGTCAATTTAGTCGTTGACCGTACTTAACGTTGTAATTCGAAAAAATAAAACGAGTATAGCAAGAAAACGGTTGTTTGTATGTTGTGTTGCTGATGGATGCGTGTCCATATAAAATAGAAGATTTTTACGAAACGTCTAAACAGTCACGCAACTTAATGCTGCTAGTCTGTGTCTAGTTTGTCTTGATTGGTGATACATTTTTAAATTTTATATCATGTGTCGACCCATTACCGTACATTTTTTCTTCCGATGAAGCTGTATTAAAAGGAATCGTGATACTACTTCAACGCATTGCGTTTGTATAGAATATGAACAAGATGAAAAATTCTATACCGTTAATTCTCTTTTTACGCTCTGTATTTAGAAACACGAGTAGTATTATAAAATAATCAACTGTCTCCAGTAATTTCGTGTAATTCAATTATGTATATATATATATATATGTACTTTTTAATGTTACCTTTCAATAACATATATAAATAGCTTATTAAACATTTATTAAAGTTTTCGCTATATGTATATATTCATATGTATACTGTAAATGCCTAAAATCCGCAGTCTAATTATGAGTAAATAGCCAAAGTAGTTCAAGTTCCTTGGATGGAAATTGTCACATTATTGGCATAAATGTCACGCTCCGAAATATTTTAGCGTAACATGGTTGGAATGCAAGACCGTCCTGCCTCGCCTTACAACCTTTCACTTTTCACTCCCAACCGTTATCAATGAAACGTAGAAATTGTCCTTGCATTATTCTCGTAAAAATACAGAATTATTTATGATAATTTTGATTCGATGCGTTTTATCGACAGACGGTTACAGAAGCCAGCGATGACAAGCGTCTGAGTGGAAAGTTTACAGTCACGACGTCTCCGATCAAAACACGGAGAAATGAACGAGAACATGGTTTTTCACGATCGACAAGACGCGTTCGTAGACGCGAAATGTACTGGAAAAGAAAAGGAGAATCGGTTGAGAGGCTGGAAGGGCGAGAGGGGCCGATAAGAGAAATCGAATCGGACGTGCTACGTGGAATCGTGAAAGTGAAGGTACACCCCGCTCTGCCTATGAGCCGGGCTAGGTTACCAGCTCCGACGGGATACCTGTTGCTCGACACGTATTAAATACATTCTCACCGATGCTCCTTTACAAACTCGACGCAGACACGTGCCACGAAGAACGCTTATAACGTTCATGATAAAGGCAGCGTTACGATAAACGGATAGCAGCTGGAACCGCAGTCCCGATTGTCAAACGGCCGCAAACATGGAAGCTCTGAGGAGGGATCTTGCCACCTGCAAACAGGAACATCTGTTAAGATTCTGGGACCAATTGTCCGCGAAAGAGAGAGAAGAACTTCGCCAGGACATAACAGAGTTGAATCTTAACGAGGTGATATCCTACTATGAGAGAAGTATACAGACATCCTCTTCTATGCATGAAAGAATGTTAGATGACAAGGTGTCACCTATACCGGAAGACAGTATTGCGTCTGTCAAAACGACAGATGAAGAACAGTTGAAGATGTATAAAAAACTGGGATTAGAAGAGATAGCTAATGGTAAGGTAGCTGTAGTGCTACTGGCTGGGGGTCAAGGTACCAGGCTAGGTGTATCTTATCCTAAGGGCATGTACAATGTTCGATTGCCATCTGGTAAAACCCTCTTTCAATTCCAAGCAGAAAGAATACTTCGTTTGCAAAATATGGCGGAAGAAGAATGTGGAAAAAGAGGAGAAATTACTTGGTATGTATACATGTTGGACCAATATCAGTCTTGATCCGATGTTATTGACATTAAAATAGGAGAAAATTTTGTAGGAAATAATTTGTTTAGCAGTTGTATCATTTCCATTATTTTCAATGGCCTTCTATTATATATTATTATTCCATCATTATCAGAAAAGAATGTTATTTGAATGAAAATACTTTTGCATGCTTTAGTATAATATAAATATATTCTGGATTAACTGATGATCATTGTCTTTTATTAGGTACATATTGACCAGCAAAGCCACCCATGGTACCACTCTGGATTTCCTCCGTGATAATGATTATTTCAATTTAAAAGATGAAAATGTTAAAGCATTCGAGCAAGGTATGCTACCATGTTTCACCCTTGAAGGGAAAATCGTTTTGGATGAGAAGCATAGAATTTCTAAAGCGCCAGATGGTAATGGAGGATTGTATCGAGCTTTAAAAGTGCAAGGAATATTGGACCACATGATACAACGTGGAATTCGTAGCGTTCATGTTCATTCGGTCGATAACATTTTGATAAAAGTAGCCGATCCGATTTTCCTAGGATACTGTTTGTCGACGTCAACGGATTGTGGCGTTAAGGTGATCGAAAAATCATCACCGGCCGAACCAGTGGGAGTTGTGTGCAAAGTATATCTATTAATAATTGCAGTCGTTTATAAATTATCGTTTGGAAGTATATGTTCTTACGTTATTGTCATTATTCTAGGTCGAGAATAGTTATCGGGTCGTCGAATATAGTGAAATTTCAAAAGAAACGGCTGAATTGCGTTCTGACAATGGACGGTTGGTTTATAACGCTGCGAATATATGCGATCATTATTTCACCGTGGATTTCCTATGCGCGGTTGGTAATCAGCATGAAAAGGAAATGGAACTGCACGCCGCCAAGAAGAAAATTCCATATATAGATGTGGATGGGCAGAAACAAATTCCTACATCTCCGAATGGTATTAAAATAGAAAAATTTGTATTCGATGTGTTCAAATTTGCGAAACGATTGGCTGTCTGGGAGGGAATTCGCGAGGAAGATTTTAGTCCTCTTAAAAACTCCGATACCGCTGGTCAGTATTGCCCAAGTACTGCGCGCAACGATGTACTTAAGCTCCATAAAAAATGGTTACTAAATGCAGGAGCAACAAGTGTTACGAATGACGTAGAAGTATCTCCTTTATTATCGTACGCGGGAGAAAACTTGAATCACGTACAAGGCCAATCATTCGAAGGCCCCTACGTATTGAATTAATGGGACTAGATACAATTCGCCTTTTTTATAGCAATGAGATTACAGTCTATATCTTTCTACTTGATAACAAATCTATGATTAATCGCGTGGATATATGCTTTATTTTTCTGTGATTTAATACTACTATCTAGATTGTAAGAATTTGTAAAAGTTCTAAAGAAATTTTTATACCGGTCGTGTAGAGAAAAACGCATCAGGGACCGATGTGTTGTCGTACGTACATACACGTATATAAAATTGTAAGATAAATAAGATAAGAATTGAAAGGATAGATAGATTTATAAGAAGTCTTAGTAACTGTTGAGTATAAGAAAAGTTGATTACGATGCTCTTAACTACATGATAAAATATCTAATACTTATACATGAATATGACACAATTATGTCAATATTCAGATTTTGACAAATGCATTTACATAAATTTTGTGAACATGAAAATTCAATAAAAGTTAGAGAAAACTACGTGAATTACGACCAAATATTTCTGTTAACAATGTTAAATTATCTGTTGAATTTCCCTAAACTGATGATATCGTTGTTCGACTGGTATTTTTTAAATTTTCTAGTTATTGTAGTAATACGAGTTTGCTATAAGTAGATGGCGTTAGGAAATATTTTTGACACGTGTTACATCTTATGAAATGAAATATTAAGTACAAATGTCACACAATTATTGATTCACAATATGAATTCAAAGAAATTCTACAAATAATATTGAACTATTGGAATAAAGTCTTAATCGCAATTTGTGTACTGTATTTTCACAATGTATTCTATTCGTTAGAACATTATTTTGAAGCGCCATCTGGACTTTCAATATTTTCATCAATTAGCAAATAAAAATTTTTATTTTCGCGTAACAAGTATATTAAATTTTATATTTTTAAAAGCGTGGTATAATTTTTTAACCGCAGAACGTTTCTAAGTATACGATTAAGCGTTTTCGGTTTTTAAAAAAAAGGGGGCCATTTCCTAACTTAACCTGAGTCATTAGGTTGGTATTCGTACCATAATAGGGTCAGTTTCAATTTGAATCTTTCAAGATAACAGTTACCGTACAATTGACATTGTGAAGTACAAAACAAAATAAGATTAGAATTATGTGAAAAGTGAAATATTACATAATAATATGGATGAAATTCTTCAAATACTTCATGAGTGTCATTTCAGTAATGACAAGCTTGAAGAATTGTCAAACGTTACTGGGGACGATTCGTTGGAAAATGTAAAAAGTGATGCTGAAAGATTGCTCTTGAATGCAAGATGCGACGTAGGAAACGTCGAATACTCGAATTTAAATAAAATGCTAGCAATCTGTTACTTAAAGGTACATATTTTTGACGCATTAACATAATATTGTTGATAAATTATTATGTATTTTTTACAGATGGGTAACGAACTCGAAGCTATATGTCATTTAATTGAATCGCATGCAGTGATACTTCGTCAACAAATATTACACAGATGCTTGAAAACAAAGCTGAGAGAGACAGTACTGAATACAGAACAGGTCTGTGGACTGAAATCTTCGTATGTTGAGTTCAATGTAAACAATGTAAATAATGTTAAGAATTTAAAGGCAAAACTCTTTGATCTGCCCAAAGGTAAAATATGTAATATGAATATGTGTGGTGTAATGGGTCTTAGTTATGTTTATTACTATAATACTTTTATTTTGTATACAGAATGGTACATGATTCAAGTGACTGGTCAATATAATCCTTCATGTATCACCGAATATCAAAAGTCTATGTCAAATACTATGCATGAGATACACATTACTGTATTACCACCAGGGACAGAAGAGATAGAACCTTTGTGTATAACACTACCAAAGCCAGAATTGCATTCCTCTTACGATGTTTGTCTGGAGATTCAGAGGATACTTTCTACCAATAGATCAGAACTTGCGGCTACTTATGCGAACAATGAATTATATTGGAAAATGCGTGGTCGACAAAATACTAATATGAAGGTATTTAGAACAACGATGATTTGATTGTCATTTCATGATTTCTGTGTATATATACACACACAGGTACATATGTAATATACATTAATGTATGTGCATATATTTAAGACAGCAATACAAGCTTTAGAATACAAATGGTTAAGAGAGTGGAGAATCCTATTTATGGCAGACCCTATAGACAAAGATGATTTAGTAACAAACATTGTTCAAATGATTGATAAATTGATATTAGACAACAAAAAACGGTGAGTAAAATTTTTTATTTATATACATTTCAATGACCAGTATATTTGATTACCTTGCATTCCACAGTAAGAATATATCAATGCGACGCAAGTGGTTATTAAAAAAGGTAGCACTGTCTGCTTGTTTTCTTACACGAGAAGAAATAGCACGTGCGGTAAAGTATGTGCTTTCCGGTTACGAAAAACTGGCAGATAATGTTATATTGTCTATATATGGAAAATTGTCATCTATTCAGGAAATGAAGGATGCAGTTAGGAAAACATTAGTTTTAATTGTCGATGAAGTAAGTTTACCAGATTGTTCCACATAAGACATAACACATGGCACGAATTATCTAGAATTCCTATAATAGTTGAATATCTTTTTAGCATATGGATTACATACCCTTTGAATCAATGGAAATTATAAAATGTCATCCTGTTACGCGTTTTCCGTCGTTTCATATTGCGTACGCTTTATTCAAAGAACACGAGAGTTCGATGGAGAATGGTTGTAAGATAATTAAAGTTAGAAAGGACATGGGTACGTGTATAGTTAATCCGTCTGGTAATTTAGCTAAAATGGAGAAACGCATGAAACTTTTTATTGATTACTGGTTACCAAATTGGAGAAGTTGGTACAGCGTCAAACCAGACGAAGAAGTATTCGAAGATGCTTTAGTTAATCACGACATACTAATGTATAATGGTCATGGCAATGGAATACAGTACTTACCTGGTGAACAAATTGAAAGACTCCGGGTAAAATCAATTGTTTTACTGTTTGGTTGTAGTAGCGTAAAACTACTTACGGTAGGAGGACGTTATCCACCATACGGTGTTTCGAATCAGTATTTAATAGCTAGCAGGTAGTAAATTATAAGCTGGAACAGTTGTTGCATTCAATATGAAGTATGAAAAAAATCAGAAGTATTTGGTATTTTATTTTCAGTCCTTGCGTACTTGGTATGTTGTGGGAAGTCACTGACGCTGACATTGATAAGATGACTGCCAATTTCATTAGTAACTGGATACCATCGCAATTGAACAGATCATGGGCCGACGTTGACATTAATATGTGGTGCGCGGGAACTCTCAGTTAGTATAACAAATTGTCTAGATTTTATTTATAATTCTCTGATTAATTTCAATAAAATTTCTCACCATTAGAGTTTCTGAGAAATAGAGAAGAGTGCACAGAAAACGTGCCCGTAGAACCAGAAATGTTGAGAGCGGTAGCAAAGTCGAAAGATGTCTGTTCTCAATATATGACCGCGGCTGCAATAGTGGTACGAGGACTACCGATAAAGTTAATTTAAATTGTAAATGTAAAAACATTACGAATTAATATAAATATTGAATGCTAATTGACATACAATGTAAAAAGCTGATAAAAAATGTTCTCTTTAGAGATCGCACTGTTTGGTCAGTTATCGTGTTCCGCGGTGAAAGTACTTCGAAGTATTGTTTTTGATCACATGATTATTTGCGGTTCTGGCACAGAGTTGGAAATACTCTTGTGAGGTAACACTTGGCCTCCGTTGATGTATAATTCATCTTTAACGATTACATCTTCACCAAGTACCGTTGTACCTTCCATTCGTACCCAACGGCCTACGACGCTTCTCCAGCCAACGATACATCTAGCACAGTATATCAGAACAACGTTACAAGCATGGAGCCTACACTAATGGCACCATAATGTGGATGATAAAACTTACCCGTCCAGCCATGCGTGCTCTTTTATTATGGCCGATTTAAGAATGGTGCTACGTTTAATGCAGCATCCGTCGGATAATATAACACCAGGACCGATTGTGACGTTAGGTCCTATCCTACAGTCTTTGCCAATCTTTGCTGTTTCATCTATTAATACATTGCCCACAACACCTGGACCAGAGTATAACTTCTCTGGAGATTTTTGTCTCAAAGATGTTAGATACATACTCATTCCTGCATAAACCATAGATAAAGGAGATGAAGTACAAACACATTATTTGCATGTGAAACAATGATGTCATCGAAGTGCATACCTTTAAGGAAATCTTTTGGTTGCCCTACATCCATCCAAAATCCTGTTAATTCCATGGCAAACAATTCTCCATCATGAGCCATTAATGGAAAGACTTCTTTTTCTATACTAGTAGGTTTTAGTTCTATTCTTTTCAACACACTTGGATTGAATATATACATGCCTAAAAGATCTTAGTACAATTACAGGTACGTAACCTCATTGGAAAAGATGTAGCAAATTTCTTACAGTTTCTATGGTTCTGCTATATCTTTTCCAACAAGAATATCTAGTAATTATATTAATTTTGTGACTCAATGATAAAGAGACAACACCTGCATTAATTTTATTGGAGATGAATTCCTGTGGTTTTTCCACAAAACTTTTTATTTTACCATCATCTGCATAAACAACTACACCATACTTTGATGGTTCTTCCACTTTAGTCACAATTATTGTCCCTTCTGTACCATGATTTTTATGGAAATCAAGAAGTTGTTTAAATGGAAATTCACAAATAATATCAGAATTTAGAACAAAAAATGGCTCATCCCCTGAAGACAATAGGTCATGTACAAGTGCAAGTGGTCCTGCAGTACCAAGGGGTTCTGGTTCATGGGAAAAAATTAAACGTACACCTAATTTCTTTGCCTCTTCACCCAAATGTGTTTCCATTTCTTCTGCACGATATGATACAGCTAATATTACCTCTGTCACACCTGTTTCTACCTGAGGTACAAAATTATAATCATTAATTCTTAGAACATATAAGTATTATGTAAAAACATAATAACGTACCAAAGCCTCTATTTGATGCAAAAGCATTGGTTTATTAGCAAACTCTACCAAAGGTTTAGGTCTACTTAATGTAAGTGGTCTTAATCTAGTTCCATATCCACCAACAAGAATTAATGCCCTCATTGTGCTTAATTTTTTCCGCTTCTGTTGCATTACTCTTTACTGTTTTAATCAAAATGTGTTTATAAGAACACAGATTCACAATTAGCTTTACTCTGCAAAATGAGGAGGATAGATGTTACAAACAATGTCAACTAGCATGATGGCTCGTTAGTTCAACAATACAATTTGTAATTTTTTTAATACTATCACTGCATTGCCATGTACCTATACAGGCTATAACGTTAACAAATAATTGAAAATTTTACATAAAATTACTGGACACCTTTAAAAATATACGATTACAGTTAGTTTTTCGTAAAAAACGTATTAAAAAAATATAAGTATTATAAGCGGAAGAATTAATTCAATTACATGGTTTAATTGTCACATATTCATTTTTTATAAGAAACGCCTACCTGTTATCTACATATCGACTCGAAAGATTAAAGTTATAAAACAATTACTCCTGTTTTGCCACGTAGGATTGAAATGCCGCGTAGACAAATGTACATTTCACAAACCAAGTAAAGTCTACCCCACTCCAGCTTTTCAGGAGGCATTACGAAAAGAGCATTCCCGTCTATCCTACGATGTTCTGTGACACGGATTGTAGAGCAATCATATTCTGCCAGTAACGCTCTATTTCAAAATTTCAATCTGCACAAATTTCTTTGACGTTTATAACAGAACAGTTTTATTGTTCTGTTAAAATTCAAAACATAGAAAGTGCATTGAATGTTTCTTAATTAACTTTCGAACTTGAATAACAGTAAAGTATTTTTAGAATTTTCCGCGCTGTGTTTTACACCGCGGAACAGCGTAGCATAGATAGGAAGAAGCTGGAGTGACGTGGAAATGGACGATTATTTTGTTCAACAGTGTATGACAGTGTATATACGGACACGCGGAGTATCGATACTAATCAGTCGTATTAATCGCTGCATACTCTGAATACATGATATTACTGTACATTTCTACGTTTCTCTGTTTTTCCTATTTTTATTTGTATTATAAAAAAAGTGGTTTAGAAGATTTCTTTTTTTGGCACGATTAATGTACAAAGTAGTATGATTAACGTAATTATTATAGGTAAACAAAGGTTGTTTATATACAGAATTTCATTTTTGAATACAATATTGTGAAAAGCGGAATTGAAAAAAACTTTACTTCACTAATTTAGGCTTGTTCGAGTTTGTTCAGTTAAAAATAGATCAAAAACTTTGTTTGTCCTTGCGTAAAACTTTTGCTTCACTATGTTTTACGCAATTGCATATTCTATAAATGCGTAAAAACGGCAGTCTAATCAAAGAAATGTCGATCTTCAATTATTTTTAGGTTCACTGAGTATTCTAATGTATTTTCATTGTTTTCAATATTCCAATTATTCAATATGAAATATTGTACAGTCTAGAAAGTACACGAATACCGTGTAACTCTGTGCATAATTATTGTTAATGTAAAAAACAGAGATACACATTGTAGAGGAACGTTATTCTAGCTGAACTTCTTATACCATTACATATTACCCTGTGCGCCTGCGCTAGACTGAATAGTTTATGCATGGGATCACAAAACAAAAAGGGACATAATCGTGTTACAAGCAATTTTCTTCGTTCTTTGTCCAAATTTCACAAATATGACAAGGAAAAATGAACGCGTAAGTGATTTTACATAGTATTATCATTAGTTAACATTCTTTAGGACCTATTATTTTTCTACTCTCCTATACCGTCTTTTTTTTTTAGAAACAAGAAGCGATCACGCGATATACAACGATCAATTTATTCGGCTTAAGGTGCATTTAACTATACCAATATTTTTATAAGATTTTCAAATAATAGAGAACAATACGGTAATTGAGTATATAAAACGATGAAATACTGTTCACTCTATATATTGGATATTATAAGACATCGGTGAATTTTCATAAATGAAACACTGTGTTGCGGATTGCTCATTATCAGATTCGATGGAATCGCGATCGAAAGCACACGTCGCCCCGTTGTAAACAATGGTTTAAAGAGTGGGATGGTTGACGGTACAGCCGCGAGATGGCGTAATAAGTGCGACGCTGCTTTTGACGTTCGCGTATGACTTTTTTTTTGGTTCCTTCTACTTTGAAAACGGCAGGAAGCGAAAATTGTTGGTACGGTGCTTAGTGGTTGCTGGTCTGACTGAGGATGTGGTGGAAAGTGTTGGGTACGATAGGAGAGGTTCAACCGGAAAGGATTTCGATCTCAAGCACATAGTACGCGAGACACACGAGGTCCCGCGATTGGCCAGTTTATGAGACGACGATGGCTCCGTGAGGAGAGGAGAACATGGCTGCGACGCAAGCCGAGAGCCAACAAAACGATGTGAAGCTGAATGAGTCCGTGAAATGCGCACAGAAACGTCCGCAAGTCAGTGGGAATAGTGCGAGTGTAAACGCGAAGCAGCAGCTGGATCCAGAGCCGGGTGATAAGGTGCCCCGGGGCGCGGCCCAGCTGCTTAAATATGTGAATCGCGGCGGGGACACGGGTTTCGAGATGAGTCAATACCGCGAGGACATTGGTGGACACACTGCCGGTGAGGTAAAATCACCCAGAGAGGCTGGCCAGGCGCCCCAAGAAAGTATCGGCAAACAGGAGCCCCTCGACGCGCCCGGTCATCCGAACCATCCCGGACATCCGTTCACGCCGAACGTAATACGTGATTACTCGGACGAGTATACTAACAAATCGAACGAGTTTCCCTCCAAGTCGTTGACCGATTATCCGGCCAAGCAGATACCAGAATACGTGGGAAAACATGGAGATTTTCCAGGAAAACAATTGGAATACCATGGTAAACACTTAATACATGAAAGTGAAAGAGTCCATCGTGCAGACATGGAAGAGCATTATGTAGCTTCCAAGATTGAATCACGATTGGCATATGTAGGAGGTACGCCGAGCAGCTTTCCAGGCCAGCCAAGGTTTCTGTCTGGACAAAGTATATCACAGACCACTGGTCCGACTCCGACATTAAATCAGTTACTTCAGGCGTCCACACCGGTGCATCGGTTTCATGGAAACTATCCTGGCATGGGACCAGAGCCTTATCAACAACCATGGCCTATTCAGAGGCCACCGGTTGTCCCTCCAGTTTATCCACAACCTGGTCAACGACCTCCACAGACGGTAACTTTTCATAAATTTTTATATATATGTATCTATGCTAAGTATGTTGAAATGAAATTGAAGATTCATTAAGTTTTTTAGGTTGCTCGACGTAATGTCCTATTTTACTGTTAGGTGTAATATTTGTTTCGTTGAATATCTCACCCATATATATGTTCTATGATAAATAGGGATCACCAAGATTACACACAGGGCCTGGAGGACCAAGTTCTCCAACTCCTATGCCATATCAACAATATACACAACGTTATTCCTCTCCTGCAAGACCACATGCACCATATAGTCACCATCAGGTAGGTAGCATATTTATAAGCAGTTATAAATATGTGATAACAATTGACCAATTTCTCAATGATGGGATAATTAATAGTAATTCGTATTTTTTTCAGATAAATTCATACACTACACAAACAAGTCATCCTTCCAGTCTATATACTGAACAAAGGGGATGGAACCAAGGTGGACCACCAAATCCACCACCACCTCCATCTAATCAAGCTAATCCTTCCAGTCAGTCGCCACAACGTGCTCTTTCTCAATCTCCAGCACCACCACCTTCTGCATCTCCACAACCCCAAACAACTGGCCAATCACAGGTAAACAACACCCATAAGAAGTATATATCTTATGCATTGTCACAGAACATTTTGATTTTGCACATTTTAAAATATGATCAAAGTGTTGTGTACAAACTTTTTCTAAAAAGTATGTAGTAAATCAAATTGTCATTAATGACATGCAGAAAAAAACGTGTGTACATAATTTTGAATAGACCAGAAAGTTCAGCAAGATATTATTAGTCATAATATGGCTATGTAGAAGATAGAAAAGACAAGACGTTCGGATTTATAAAAGAACAATTATATTTAATATATTTGTAAGGTTGCATGTATAAATCATTTCAAAGAATTTGTTAGACAAGTCGAAGTTCACAAGAGGACTATCTTTATGCTTACAGAGTTTCCACAATCTCCAGCAGAGATCCACAACACCAAATACTCAAGGAATCGATTCAGGGGTGAGTATAAATTCACTGTACTAGCTGACACAAATATCAAAATATTCTATAGTAAATTTCATCGAAATAATAGCATGCTTGTGAATACTCCAAGATTGTGTTGTACATGTATACCTGTGTGTTTGTATACCTGTAACATGCTACGATGGCCATTCACGAGAAAAACACCTTAGTACTTCTTTAAAATCTGAAAACACGCATGTCGAAACTTGAGGGGTGGCTTTGGATCTTAATTATAGAGCACATGCGCGCGAATGCACGTGTATACACGTGTTACTGTTATTTTGTCTTTTTGTGTCGGGCACGATCGGGACGCAAGTTAATCGAAAATACGGTAAGAAAGAAAAGTAATTGTGTCCTATGTGGGACACGATATATTGCCGGCATTGCGGGGCAATTCTAATTTCACGTTGCATAAAGTGCCATTTGATCTTGGATACAGTGGACGGAGGTACTTGAATACTTCCCTCGTGAAAAGAGCAAGCATGAGTGAGCGAAAGGGAGATCTCTCGAGTATGGCTTGACTACGGGAGGAGGGGCAGGGTGTGGGAAGTGGGGATGGAGAATAAGCGACTTGTAGAGTTCGATTAGGGCGCGAGTTGCGCGGCCGCTGGAGCCCCAGATATTAGCGACGTCCCCTTCTCTCTCTCTCCCGCTCTCTGTTTCCCCTTCTCTCTCGAAACCTATCTCTATCTCTATCCTGTGTAAGCGTCTCCCTTTCGGACGCATACATTCACACGCGTGCGTGTTGGATCCCGTATCCCCTCCCTTCTATATTCGATCTCTCGCTTCTTCCAATATAGATGGGCGGGTAGTGAGAGGCCGATGTGCAACATAGGTTACACGGAGCATAGGAGCGAGCAAGAGCGTACGCGTGTGATTCGCTCGAACTTGCTGGTGGGGAGAAAACAGAATATTTGAGGCAGTTCACCCCCCACTAGTTCTGACGTTTTATATCGTTCAGCTATATTCGGTTCGTTAGATCATGCAACTGTCACTCTGCGACATGCTATCTAACTTCTCGTATTCCCATGACGCGGCTGAAAAGTGTCAAATATATTTTAAACGCTTCGCAAACTGGTATGACGGAAAGACGTTAAAATCCTAGCTATTGAGTTCGCGTATAAATGGTTGTAGTTTCTACGCGTTGATATTAGACGTATCTGTTGTCGATCTAGGGATTATTCACTTGATTCGTTTCGATCTACCATGCAAATGAAGGAACAAGAATTGGATCGCTAATATGACATTTTGCTTTCTGTCCCCCTTCAAACGTCACAGCCACAAAGTATGTAATTAGTTTATGTGCTGATAAACTCGTATGTTCTACTGTCATGCCTTTTATGGCATGCAGAGAGTAGGCACATCTCTCGGGACTGGGTACGATTTTGGAAAAATAGTATGTACTTTAACTTAGGAACGTTAGTGTCGTGCCATTGAATCCGTTTTGGAGCGATAACGATATTACAACATTACCAGATAAAAATATTATTATATAATATCCTCGGTGCAGTTGCGCAGCAACATAAATTTACAAACGTTTATCTACATATGTCGCTACGTATAGTTCACCTTATATAGGACAAAATGAAAGTAGCATGGTTGATTTTTTTATTTCTTTTCTATTCATCGTTCGGAATGTTTAATTGGCGGATAAACATTTTCCTCGTCCGTGATGTAAAATTCTTTATATCAAAAGTTTTCAAGTATTCCAAATTTCTGATAACCTTTACGAAAGGAGAATAAAAACTAATCGGAACATAACGATAGTTTAATTAGGTCGACGAATTAAACGAATTTCGACGAATAGACTTTACAAAAAAAAAGTCCACCCTCGTAATGTTTGGACTTTGGAGTAGTTTTCTCTCTATCCGCGTACTCTCTCGGTGTTTTTGGAGCACACGGGTGCTTTTACTCGGGAAACGGCGAGGATGGCCGACAGTTACCGAACGCTTGCCGCGCCATGAAAGAACGCCCTCCAACGAGCATCTAGACGCGAAATCTGTAAACCGAAGTCACGGAACATTCTATTGAAAAGAATCACGTTTTTAAGTTGGTTTTGGCCACGTACACGTACGTAGACGATCAACGCTCCGAATTCTAACCTTTTGCATATCGCGCGAGCCCCGATACGATCGATCGTGGACTGTTTCATGATCGAAAATATCGGAGGGTTGTTCCTTGCGATACGAAACCGCCTCACCAGTGGGACTTATTGACACAACATGCGATGGTCGAACGAAGCACACGGTGAACCAGTAGGCAGTTCTATAACGTACTGACGAAATAATGCCCGTTCTCGTGTGGTTCCGTCGAATCACCGACCCTTTCGACCGCACCTGATACGAACATGGTGCGTTGTTCTTACACCGGATTCCCGTAAAACATGTGAAAATCGCACGGAGGGGACATACGAGTCGTCCACGGTCGGTTTTGTCGTAGTGCGCGCGGGGTAACGCCTCTCCTTCGATTCTCGCGTCATGCCGAGAGTCCTTGTGTCCGACACTATCTCTACTATACGTTCCGTGATACATCCGAGGAAGTCTGTAATCGTCTTCTCTACGGATGAACTGTCCACTGTCTGGTAGGTGTAATGATGTGCTCCTTTCTTTTTCTTTCTCTCTCTCTCTTCGTTTACCCGTTTCCCTCCTTACCTCTCGCTTTCTCTCTCTCGCGCGCGCGGTGTTGTCTTCCTCTCTCTCACTGACTACGTTCGCCTCCTGTCTTTATCTATTTATCTGTCCATCTTTTGCCCATCTATCTTTCTTTCTCTTACAGTGTACTACTCACACGGTCCTCGTCTTCTCTCTTGCTCTTGCTCTTTTCATCTTTTCCCCTCTATATCTTTCGCTCGCTCTCGACCGTCCCTCTCCTTTTTTCTAGTACGCTTTCTCTCTCTCTCTCACTTACACATTCACTCACTCAATGTATCATTGTAATGACTTGTGCGAAGTATGTGTGTGTGTGTGTGTGTTCTGTGTATACATACACGAATGTGCACATGCAAAGGAATAAATATCATTGAGGCATGTGCGCGTGTATATGACGTGTTATGTTGCACCGTACGATTAGTATAGCGAGTGCCGCGTGTAGTGTGTAACTCCGATTTTCTCGTGATCAAAATATGACAGCAAATACAGCATGCTACGTATAGAATAAATGCGGATATCAACGTACCTTGAAAAGTGGACATTCTTCGAGGAGACTTTTCTTTCTGGTTCTTTTTTATTCATTGGTTCACTAATGTTTTTTTCCATTATGTCTCTGGGATATGAGCACTCGAATAAATTGATTAAAAAATAATATCAGACATAAAGCGTTGTACGTTCGCTCGACAGTGACTTCTATGCACATAACCCTTAAACATATACTTTCGTTTATGAATAACGCCTTTTGATTCTTTCTATTTATGTTAGATAACATTTGAAAATAAATAGAAACATTGTGCTAATTTTTAGGTACAATATACAATACCATTATAATTCGTATTCTGTCTTTGTTATTATGTATCTAATTAACCTTAATTCTTATAATAAGCTATTCCAATCTGTTGTAGGAATTGTCTGGCCAAAATAGTAACGATAGTTCGAATGGACCAGCTTGTCCAGGAACACCAAATTCACAGGGGATGAGACCAACCCCTTCACCGACAGGATCCACAGGTTCTCGCTCGATGTCCCCTGCTGTTGGTTTGTGCATTTTAATTTCTTATCTAACTCTCGGGAGAGGAGGCATTAAATAATTATGTAACAAACAAGTTGATTCTCCTTTTTTGCTGTCTTAAACTGTATATGGATTGAATTTAAACAGTTTCTTGATATTTTAAATGTGTGTCATGTATTTAAAGGCCAACAAAACGTTCAGATGCCTCCACGACCGTCAAGTAGCCAGTCAGATGGTAGTGGACCAGCACGAATGAGTCATTCTCCTATGACAACTCAAGGTAAATAAAAAAATATAATGGTCTAAGTAATTATGATTTTATACAGAGTAGGGGACTTCCTTTGCAAGAAGTATTTACAATGGAAACTTTTGTCTTTCTAGGAGCATACCAGCAGCCATTGGGTCCTTCACCACATATGCATAGCTATAAAATTAATAACACTGGGCCTGGTGTTGTGCAGCCAGGACCAGGTGCAACAAATCTTGGTGGAATAAACCCAATGGGTGGTGGAATGGGATATGCAGCTGGTGGAACGGCTGCAGGTCAGCCTGGGGGTTATCATGCGCAAAGTACCTATCCTCCTCCACGTCCACATGTACAATTTCCGCAAGGATATCCATCTCCAGCCAATTCACAACCACCACCTAATAATCAATATCAGGCTCCTAACAGACCCAACAATTTGGTGCAATATCCTCCTTATACGGTAAGCTTTATACAGTAACTACAAGTAATGACAGAATTAATTATAATTACCTTTTGAATATGTGCACTGAATATTTAATTAAAATATAATTTTCTTGGTTTAGCATAAAATGGGATTTAATAGCGTACCACCAGGTATGCCACCCAGCCCTGGACCTCCTCAAGTTTACGGAAGTAGTAGTACAACAGGTATGGTACCACCAGGTACACCCGGTGTGGCTGTGATTGGCAACATGGGACCTCCAGCAAGTTCCATGGGTCCTCCACCACCGTCGCCTAATCATGTTAGCAGTCAGCCACCCCCGACAAGCTCGGCTGTACCGCATTTACACCCTCCAGCAGCCACACCCCCTCTGAATCACGAAGGAAGTCCAATGCCTCCACCAAGTACCACTCCTAATTCGCATCCTACTTCGACACCAACACCAACCAGTCATAGTTCTTCAGACCTTGCTACAGAAGCCTCGAATGACAGTGGTATAACCACTACAGCTTCAGGTATTTGTACTTTCTATCGATAGATTTTCTGTTTCGTTCGTTTCATTGCTACGTATTCGAGTGAAAATTATTCTGTTCTCGTAGGAACGTCATCAATTAACGTGACATCCACCTCAAGTGGTACTGTTACGTCTGTAATAACGACTGGTCCCGATGGCACATCCTTGGACGAAGGCTCTCAACAGTCTACATTGTCGAATGCATCAGCCGGTTAGTAAAGAGTTTTCGGAATATATTAAACGTTTTTTTACGGGACAGTGTATATAACTTTATTGAAATACAGCTTCTGGGGAAGATCCAGCATTTACACCGAAAGTGCGAAAAGAAATGATGGGTGGGTATCATAGTCACCCAACCACACCACAAAGTACAGTTCCATCGCCTGGCGCCGCGAGTATCAATTCGATCCATGAAGAATATCCCGACATGAACAGTCCTGGTTGGTCACGCCCACCTGCTAGTCCTGTATGTATACTTTTGTCGTATGGTTCTTTAAAAAACAAGAACTTTGCCATAACATTTACTATATACATATATATATGTGTGTATATTTGTACTTTTATACGCATGTTCAATGTCTTTGCAATGAAAATTGTAAGAAAGATACATGATCAGGGTATATGTTTATATATCGCAGTCTTCTAGATTTTTCAATATTTTATATATTTTACAGGTTTTTAACAGTCATGTGCCTCAAGACCCATACAGATCTAAGGTTACTGTTTTTTCACTATAAGTATTTTTATTATACTGTTGCTAAAAATATTATTTACACTGAATGCTTCGAGCTTTATTTAATCACGATAAGTCCTTCGTACTTGCTTTGCAACGATCTTTGTATATCATCTTAACGTTCCTCCCTTTTTAATTTCATACTTTAATAGAGACATATATTTATGTGTATCATCCTTTCGTTTGTGTCATAAAAGTAACAACATGTTTCTCATATTATTGACATATTCATTATGTAGTTATCGAGAGGTTGTTGGATAGTGGTGACATTGTTCGGCACACACCTGTGTATATATATGTAACATTCCTCCCTATTTATCTTCGACCAGCACAAAAATCGAGGAACCCACCAGTTATATATGTTTTTTTCTTTTTTGATCATCAAGAGAACCTTTTTCATATTACTTCGCTTCCCATATCTGCATGATACATCCACAACTTGTCTCTTATGTTCACTTATCTTCCAAGATAGACGTTTCAGGAAACAGCACTCACTGCATGAAAACTTTGGGCTATAGCAGCACTCAACTAAGTTAAACAAAACAAAAAATATTAATATAGTCTCTCACGTTTGTAACACATGATAATATGAAAATGTACGTGTAACATACATTGTTAGAAATAGCGCTTCAGAAATTAAAGAAATATGACGATTAAGGGTTAAGTGGTGGCTAATAGTTGCAATAATGACTATTCCAGAAACCGGATAGCTTGGCGAAACTGTACGAAATGGACGACTCGATGGAACGGCGAACTTGGCTCGACAAATTAGTTAACTTCATGGAAGAACGAAGAACACCAATTACAAGCTGTCCTACCATCTCCAAGAACCCCCTCGACCTATTTCGGCTATACCTCTACGTGAAAGAGAGGGGGGGCTTCATGGAGGTATGCAAGGTGCAGTGTAGTTCCATCTAGCCCTCGGTGTCTTTACGTAGTTTTTTTGAAATTGTCTCTATGTGTTCACATTTTCTTTTTGTCGAATGTCGTGTATTCACATCGAGAGATGCCAAGTGCTGAAAAACTCGAGTGAAGTCACATATGAGTTTATTCTTCTTGGTTCTTATCTTCTCTTTTTTCTTTTTTTTTTTTTTTTTGCATTTAAAAGTATTGACAGTTGTTGAAAAATCACTGAACACGCTTCTTTCTGTTTGTGCTGAACTGTGCATGATCACGTTGTATCTTCTTTTATTTTTTTATTTTTGCTATTAGTGTTTCCATTCTCCTTTTTTCTTGTGTATAAAACGAAAGAGAGAAACAAAAGAAGCTTAACATATGTTTTCTTGAAGTTAGTCGTTCGACGTGTGTGGAATACACATCCTCATCTACAAACCTTGGTGCTATATGGAATTATTCTAATATACAGTGAAGATAAACTTTTAATATCAATATAATAACGGTAATTCGTTTCGATTGTACTTTTGTCTGTTTCACTTTTACACACTTTTCTGCATGGTCAGAAAGAAAAAAATACAACAAAATATTAAATCCGTTCGAATTGCAACAAGGCAGAGCTGGTTATTTACGCCGAGCCGATTTTTTTTTCTTCTCGTTTTTCTTAGAGTAGTACTTTGTAACGATGTTCGTTTCTCGTGTATTTTGTTTTTCAATTTTACGTTCTCGAGATGCAGATTTTTTTTGCTGTTTGGATTTTGCATTGGTAAATTGTACACGGCATCCAAATGGGGAACAATCATGTTACTTTTCCATAGGTAACGAAGAACAAAACGTGGAAAGACATAGCTGGTTCACTTGGTATCGGAGCCAGCAGTAGCGCAGCGTATACGTTGCGAAAACATTACACGAAACATTTACTGGCGTACGAGTGTCATTTTGATCGCGGTGGCGTGGATCCTCAGCCAATTATAAATCAGGTTGAGGCTGGCTCGAAAAAGAAAGGATCAAAGGGAACTGCTTCTGTACCCTCGCCAGGTAACTGTCCATGATATTACTCTAAATTAGGGGTCTGCAAACTAAGAATAGATTTTACAATTTCAAATTTTAAAAAATTTCAAAGTACGCGCTATAACGCTCTTAGTAGCTAAAATATTTACTGAGTGCTTAGCTATAACGCTCTTAGTAGCTAAAATATTTACTATTTGGCTCTTTACAAGAAGAGTTTGTCGACTCCTGCTTTAAAGCGATGCAGCTAGGTAGTGATTAGTATCGAAAGAAGTGCCTTTAATAAATAAACATTAAAATCTTTTAGGGTCTTCCAATTCACAAGATTCCTTCCCAGCTGCTGGATCGAGTAATGCTTCCATGGACGGTTATGGAAGTTATCAGAGTGGTTATACCGGTGGTACGCCTGGTGGACCTTCATCGGAGTACACCCCTCCTCCTCCTAGACCACCCAGTCAAAGTAGCGCTCCTTCTCCTCATCAAGGTAGAGTTCATACTTTGTCCTATTACTGCTGTTAGATACAATGTTATTAGATTGGTGTATATGCGCGACAGCGACACCAACCTAATAGTTCTGAAACCGTGTGAAAGGAATAGCGGTTGAGAGAATGATGTTCCGGCAGGTGGTTCGAACCAGGGCGGGCAGAATAGCGCGAAATCGTTCGACAACAGTGTGGGACGCTCTGCTCGCAAGTCGAACGCGGCGCCCTACCCTGGTCCACTGCGAACCCCAGGTACTTCTCTCTTCCTAGTCTCCTTTCACGGCTTAGGATGATGTAAATGTTCCCCTTAAGCACATCCTTTGTACAGTGTTAATTGTGCGCGATTACCTTTCCTCTAATTGTTACTCATAAAAGCATGTTGTCACGCGACATTGTCCGATTATTTGGAACGAACTTGCTTTGCGTTTAAGGTATACAACAAAGCAGTTATCAAAACACAGGTTCCTACCAAAATTACCCTCAAGATCAGTACATTCGCCCCCAAGGAAGCACACTGTCGCAACAAGGAGAATTCAATCAACCTTACTCGCCACGGTCGCATTATTCACCTTATGTACCAGACGTGGACAGGTTAGGTTTCACGTGATAAAATATAATTGTCTGAAGGAACGTGTAAAAGACGAAACGTAATTGTGGAAACATTTATAGGGGATATCCTGGCGGGAACATGCCACCGAACAACGCCAGCGGGCAGGATATATATAATAGATATAGTAGTAACCAACAACCTGCGAGCTATCCGACGGGGACACCGCCAAACGCAAGGAATAGCAGCTACCCATCTGCGCCGCAGGCACATCCGGCTACTGTACCGCCACAAACAGCTACCAGTCAACCTTCTTCACCTTCCCAGCCTTCTGCTGCTTCGTCCTATTCTTGCCCGCAAGATTATTATCGACAGGAACAGGTATCGTTATTTCTTATACCTTATACGTTGGTTCTGAAATTTGTTTAAATACTTTCTGTTACTTATAATTTACTACATCCTTTTGCTAAATGGTTCATTTTCTACGAAAGGGTGGATATGGAGCTCCCGCAGCGTCACAGATATACTCGGGTGGTGCAAGCGCGAACAAAAATATGCCGCCGCCACCGCCAGGTCCAAATCCACCCAGGCGTCACCCAGATTTTGCCAAAGACCAACAGTACCCTCAGTATAATCAGCAACGACCAGCGTATCCTGGTAAATCTATTATTCTATTACGTACTCTCGCGAGCAAACTCGGTTTCCGCTAGGGGAATAGAAGAAAAGTCTCCTGCCACTTAGGAAATTTATTTCAAGTACTGAAATAAATGTTACACCGAATGGTAATTTCGCATAAATTTCAGTAGCTCCAAAAACTAAATGGTAGGAGGCCCTTCACCTACCTCACTTTTCCCCCTAGTGGAAGATGAGTTTGCTCGTCGGTGTACTAGTAGTAATTGTTTTTTTTTTTTTTTCTTTTATATTCTGTAATGCTAATATTGTAACAACAGGATGGCCAAATACAACCAATCAATACAACAGTAGCAGTGGGAGCAGTAGGGTTCAATATCCATCTCAGCAACCACAGGCGCAATCACAACCCCCACAGCCACCCGCGCCACAACCAACGCCACCAGTTGGTCCTGTACCTTCTACACCTCCAACTGGAGGAATTGCTAGTAGTCAACAGTGGGTTAGTCAACAGCCAAATCGAACCTCTTCGCAGCAAACATTGAACGCTATAGCACATGCTCCTCCTCCTCCGTGGGATCATCGTTATACGAATCAACCGTCCCCTCTTTATCCAACACCTGGAAATCATCAGGTATTTAATTGATTTAAATGGTACCTTTAATTTCAAGTAGAGACGATGAACAGCGTGTCTGTTATTCTGTGTTTTATATTTGTAGAATCAGCTCGGGATAAATCCTATGATCAGCCAGCAACCTACATCAAAGAGAGAAATGACATTCCCTCCCGATAGCGTGGAAGCAGTAACACCGCTTCTTTACAAGCGGCGGAAACTGACGCGTGCTGACGTTGCACCGGTAGAGGCTTGGCGCATTATGATGGCTTTACGATCAGGTCTATTGGCTGAAAGTTGTTGGGCCCTTGACGTACTAAACATATTATTATTTGACGATTCATCGGTAATATCATTAATCTTTTGATTATGCTTAACCTCTCGATAATTAAGAGTCCTGAAAATACTATCCGATAAACCGTTTTGCAGGTAAGTTATTTTGGGTTGACGCATTTGCCTGGGCTGCTCGATGTTCTCCTGGAACATTTCTCCCGTTCTTTATCGGACATGTTCGAATCGCCTGTAAATGAGGACGATCGTAACTGGAACCAATCGGCGGATGGGCCGGAAGTGGATCTTGGCGCTGTGACGCGTCCCATCGACCCCGAGGATCGAACCAAATTACTATCATCGTCGAATTACACATTTCTATCGAGGAGGGGTCGTCCAGTGAAAATCGTGCCAAGGGACGACGATTTGTTCGTTCTGGATACACGAAGGACTTGGGATCATCAGGAATGCGAATCTGAAACTGAGCCTTGGCAAGTCGACAGTAATACCACCAAATACATAGTGACCTGCTTTCAGACTGAAATCGGATCGGTACCGTTCGCGCGTCTTCTCCGAGACGAGAAGCCGCCGTTGCTGCAGAAGGAGGTCGAGTGCACCGACTCGAAGGACGAAGCTAAAGCGGACTCCGGTATGCTCGAGGCATCGGAATTCTCACAAAAATCCACCGAACTTGGCGATAAGCCAAAAGAGGCGAACGAACGAAAGCAATTGGATAAAAAGAAAAAGACGAAAACGTTAAGCGACGTTTTATCCAGGATCAAGAAAGAGCCGGTCGAGATGAACGATCTAACGAGGGAGCTGTTTGAGAAGAAGAACGACGGTTTCAAGAAGGAGTGCGAGACCGACGCGAAAGTAAACAATAACATGGGCGAGCACTTCACGGACGTGCAGAAAACAGACGAGGAACTGGTTCCGACGCAGAACGGGCTGAACGACACGACGGGCAATGTCGAGCTGGAGAAAATCGAGATCAAGGTGGAGATCGAGGAGCAGCAAGAGTCGATACCGAAGGAGGACGATAATAACGAGGGACCAAGATTAAAAATAAGAGATCCAGCGGGTACATTGAAGAGGAGACGGATAAGCGACTACGAGGACGAGAGTTATTCGAGGGACGAGGCTAGTTTATACCTCGTCACCGAGACACAGGATAACCTGGCTCGACGTTGCGTCTGTTTGTCGACAATTCTAAGGAATCTCACATTCATACCGGGCAACGAGACCGAGTTCGCCAAGAACATGACGTTCCTGAGCCTTCTCGGGAAGCTGTTGTTGCTCCACCACGAGCATCCGGCCAGAACGCAAAAGACGCGCAACTACGACCGGGAGGAGGACGCGGATTTTGCGGATTCTTGCAGCAGCTTGCAAGGCGAGAGCGAATGGTGGTGGGATTTTCTGCATCATATAAGAGAAAACGTGCTGGTAATGGCGGCGAATATAGCCGGCCACTTGGATCTAAGTCAACATCCAGAGGAGATATCCCGGCCGGTGTTGGACGGTCTTCTACATTGGGCGGTGTGTCCAGCGGCTCACGGCCAGGATCCTTTCCCCACGGTCGGGCCAAACTCGTCTCTGTCGCCGCAGAGATTAGCGCTGGAGGCATTGTGCAAGCTATGCGTCACGGAATGCAACGTGGACCTGGTCGTCGCGACGCCACCGTACTCGAGACTCCAGAGACTCTGCTCCGTATTGACCAGGCTACTTTGTCGAAGCGAGGAACAGGTTTTACGGGAGTTTGGCGTGAATCTGCTTCACTTTCTGTCCGCGGCGGACAGCGGTGTGGCCCGCACAATCGCCCTGCAAACGCCTTGCGTTGCGTTGTTGGTAGCATTCATCGAACAAGCGGAATCGACCGCGCTCGGTGTCGCGAATCAGCACGGATTGGCCACGTTACGTGACAATCCGGAATTGATGGGCACCAGTCTGGATATGCTGAGACGAGCGGCCGGTACCCTGTTGAACCTCGCCAGGCATCCGGACAACAGAACTCTACTGTTACAGCACGAGTCCCGGCTGCTTGCACTGGTGATGAGTCAGATACTGGATCAGCAGGTGGCCGCGATCGTTGCTCGTGTGTTGTTCCAGTGCTCCAGGGGCGCGTAACTCTTTTGTTGACAGAGACACGGTATTCTCCTTTTTCTTTTTTGGGACACGCGGGTGTGTTGATATCCGTGGTTGTTTAGCCTCCTTCCTTGTGTAAAATGATAATGGATTTTTTTTCCAAGGTGACAGAAAGAGACAGCTATATATATACATAGTGGCTGCTATTCTATATAGATAATACGGAAGCGAGAAAGAGATAATAGAGCGTGTATGTGTGCGTGTACGTGTGCGAGATAGGAAGTGCGAGAAAGACAACAAAAAAACCGTAGAAAGGTGTAGAAAAGAGTGCGAGTAGGAAGATGATAGTTCACAGTAAGGGAGAGAAAGCGAGAATGTGTGTGAGAGAGGAGGAGGAAGTACGTTATACAGAGTACCGAGAGAATAATGGAAAGAAAAAAAAAATAAACGCGGGATTTTGGTTATACACACAGAGGTTATGTAGCATGGAATAAAGTGTCGATATACAAACGCCACGGCATCGTGTGGTTGTTGTGTAGTTTTATATCGAGTAAACACGGGGAAGAAATAAGAAAGTGAATTTATCGGTGTTAGTTGCGCGAGTACACAGGTATGCTACGGATGGCGAACGCCACCGCGCGTGTCTGGTATATCTTTTCCCCCCTTCGTGAATTGGAATAATATCGATATAGTGTAAGATATTTACATAGTTAATGAAAGGAGAGAACAAAAAAAAATGGAGAAAGGATTGACGTGGAGAAACAGAACGGGGTCGAAACTACGAGTGAAATCGTGTGGAGATTGATGGGATATTAACTGTCGAGGGAGAGAAATGAAAGGAAACACTACTAAAGGATGTCTGGGGACGCGGAGATGAAAAAAATAAATAATAGTAGGGGACAGACAAAGACGGAGAGAGACACGGTGAGAGTGAGAAAGGAAGATGTGTGGAGGGGGTGGGACGGAACGACGGAGAGACGAGGAAGAAACAAACGATTATTAGCAGTATAATAATATATAAATGAATTAACTGAGAGAAAGAGAGAGAGAGAGAGAGAGAGAGAGAGAGAGAGAGAGAGAGAGAGAGAGAGAACTGATCGAGACAAAACTATCCGACGACGAGAAATCTGTTTGACGAACCTTAAAATGGTGCGATGCGGAACGATAATATTGGGGTGACGATTATATATATAAATATTAACGATAATATAATGCAAATTTTTATATTTGCATGTTTTGTGCTGTAATTAGCGAGTAATTAAGATATTTTGTAGATAACACATAATACACACACGACACACACGAAGAAGAAGAAAGAAAAAAAAGGAACACACACACTTCCATTGAATCTTATTTGAGCTGCGCCGCGCGTGACAAGTAACAAAACAATTTAAAGAAAAAAAAATGATTGAGAGAGAGAGAGAGAGAGAGAGAGAGAGAAACAAGGAAAATAGAAATACACAAATATGGCGTGAAGACGCCCACACGGTGGTCTCCCTTGCAAAGAGAAATAAAAAAAGAATGTACGAGGTAAAAGCAGTAGACCACCGAGAGTCTCGACTTTAGAAGCACAGGCAGAACTAGAACTGAAGAAAGACATTGTTGGAAGAGTGAACGATCGAGAGAATATTTGCTGTGTGTGTGTGTCGATTGAACGAATGATCATCATGAACGGGAAACGAAAGAATTTAAGGGTGAAAGAACGAGCGACAGGGAGGAATGGTAAAAGGAAGAAACGGAAGGCGTGAAGGGACGACAATTCGATGGAGAATCGTTGGATCGTTTCACCGAGAAAAGAGGGAATCGTGTCCACGAACGAGAAGCATGAACGGGGGAAAAAAAAAAACTTGTGTGCGTGTGAACAAATGGAACAGAGCCGGGAAACGAAATAATTAACAAAACAAAGATAGCCGAAGGGACAAACGTAGGCAGTTATAAAGTGAAAAGAAAAATAATTCAGGTGGAGGACAAACTTGTGTATTCGTGGCGTTAACATGTATGCTCGTTGCACAAGAGATGGTGACTGTTCATAGAATGAATGATTAGTTGGAACAGCGGGGGAGGGGAGGGCGAAAGGTACGCACGAAAAGAGCATCAGTATGCACGCACGTGCGTGCCCAACTTGTCCAAGTGTGTTCGTGAATGCTTGCGGTGTGTGTGTGGTGTGTGGATGAATTTCTGCGTATTAACGAGAGAGGGATTATGAACGTACGAATGTATCTCGGTTGTACGCACGACGGATGGGGTTGCTGGTAGAAAAAGGGGGTGGGGAATAGTGTCTGTGAAATAATTTGCTAGTAATTACTAACGTGTACACACGAGCTTACGAGGGAATCGAGAGTGAACGAGAGAGGGAGAGAAAGGAAGAGATTGGCTCGAAGGGAAAAACGTAGGCGATGTCGACACAAACAAAAAGGGAATGGCCTTGGAGTAACGAGCGAGATCATGCTTAAGTTTCAAATTAAAACGAATACATTTTCACGTAATTATATATATATTTTTTTTTTGGTGGATTTCCGATTATCTTTTTTTTTTTATTATTAACATTCTTAATTTCTTCTTTTTTTTTCGTCATTCTCCGGGCGGTGGAGTTGTTTTTTTTTTTTTTTTAAATAGGCGATTCATTTAACTGCAAAGTTTTTGCTCGTCGGAATGTAAAATGTATTCGTGAATGCAATTGAAAATGCCGTTGTGAAATTCGGACTTGTAATGTGGACTGCTTTAAAAGAGGATGGGGATCGATGAGAGAAATTTGTGATCATTAGCGACACACCGAAGAACGAAAAGTATAACAAATTGCAGAGGAGAGGGAACGAGATAGAAAGTCATTGAATGTGATTTTCGGTGGTGTAACGCGAATGAAAAAGATACAGGGACGGATAAAAACATGGAATTTTTCAATCATAGGCTCTTGATCGTGCCATTAATCAATTCTTAATGGGATGTATTTAATAATCTCAAGACTTTATGCTTTTTCAAAGCGCATATGTTATCGTAAAGGAACAAAAAAAAATGAAACTAACAAGTACTATCCCCCCCCATTGTCAGCTTTTGCACATATTTCGACGATTCTTACGTATACATTTATCTAATGTAACTGAAAGGAACGAAAAAAGAGATGAAAATCACCCTCTCTTTTGAAGGGTCCGTTGGAACAAAGTCATATTTGTATTCGCACACACACACACACACACACACACCTTCCACGCCGTACGTACTTCCTTTTTCATTTCGGTAGAAGCAGATGTCACGAGCGAATGGTGTTTAAGTTTTTTTTCTTTTTTTTTTTCAAGAGGGTAGTATATGTAAAGAAAAAACGAACCACGAAACAAGAAAAGAAAGGGTAAACACGCTATCCCGATTTGACCTTGTTTGAGAATAATTAGGTGAACAAAAAAAAACAGGACGAGGGATACTATAAAAGAACCAGGTGGACGAGGTAAATAAGTTAAACAGAACACTTTCCCTGATCCCAGCTTCTCCCTGACCCCAAAGTATCCTACTCTATAGATATCTAAATACGTGTAGTTCTTAAATTATTTACTTTAGTTCGAGTGGAGATGCCTGTAAGTGTAATTTACTAAGACTTTTTGTAAATAAATTATGAAATAAACTAGACGTACTTTATCCAAATGACTATAAATGATATGCGGACACGTGTCTGATGGCTCTCTTGATATGGTAACGCGTAACAGCGAGACTCTTTTTAACGCGAGAGAGGGAGAGAGAGAGAGAGAGAGAGAACTATTACGAGAGAGTATAGAGAAAAACGACGGTACTCTTTACAACTTGTGATGATGCGTAGAGGATATTTAAACTATACGAAAGTTGAGAATTAAATACACGATTGTACTTGTAGGAAAGAAATGTTGCTTCGTAGTCATAGGTTTTCAATATAGACGGAAAAAAAGTGTTGCGTTCATTGGAGAATTTATTGTGCCTGATTAATTTAAATATACAATGATCTTTCTTTTATAGTTTTGGGTTCCAGTTACACAACTTGGTTTGAACATATACCGTTCTCCATGTTCAAGATCATGGCTATATTTATTTTCTGGCACAGCCACTCCAGAATATCCGTTGCCTCGCTCTCCAAGTACCAGTCCACCATGGGCGATAAACTGTCTTCATTCTACAGGTGAGAGCAATATTTAATATCACTTTAATATTCGGTATAAAATACCTAAAAACTCCTATTACTAAAACATTACAAAGAAAATACCTTGTTCACATGTAAGATAAGTTTATTATTAACCACAGTCGGAGGTGATAGCATTTGTTGAGTTTCTAGAGTCCATTTTACGTTCAGGGATCCCCATACGCATCCTTTTTCAATGAAGTATAATCGCCTGAACAGAAATTTGGTTATGTTAAACAGGCAAAACTATATTTAATCGCGTTTTGAATACACTTACTGCAATGAAACGAGAGCTATGTGTTTCCCGTCATTGGACAGAGCAGCGTGGGCCCAATATGTGTCTGCGTCCGCACAAGGATTCTTATTTATCACGGTCAGCATATGCATCCCTTTCGCCTTATGCACTGAGAATATCTCGACACCCTAATTTAAAGAAAAGTTACTTCGATAGTTCACACTTTTTTTCTTTGGGACGAACTTGAATTCGTTTTACCTTGTATGGATTCACGTAACGTGGTAAGCGTATTCGAGATATAAACTTATGACCTATTTCTTGTGCCCTGTAAAATAATACGAGTATAAAACGTGTTTAATTTTTATATTGAATTTAACCCGGGGTACCTTTTTATGATATCTGCTATCACTTTCGAATAAGCTTTTAGGGAGGAACTTTCAGTATTAAAAAATATTGATGTTTTCTTTCCTAAGGTTCTGAAGAAATACTTTAACTCTTCTTGATGAATACCTGCAAAATTTCCAAATATAACACCTTACTTATGTTTCAATCAAACAGGTTATACTCACTATTTATAAACGCAGTCACTAGGCTGCATGTTTCTAGTTCGATCTCTGTAGAAAATGAGGTACGGATCAGAGGATTCAAAGGGGGTACATCCTTGTTCTGAAAGCACGGCTCTTTCGTCTGTAAATCAAACTTTCATTTACGTCAAACATTAGCCAAGTATTCTTTCTTTTTTTTTTTTTTTTACTTTAGTCCTTACCTTGGATGAAACCACGGGAAGTTCAAAATTAAAATTAAACACAGACGACTGTATAGAGTCTACTGTGGCATAGCCCAATTGACATGCTACTTCGTGGCTCAGTTTCTCGGCTACTTCGTCTCCGCACAGAATCAACTGCAAAATATTTCACAGTGAATAAGGCTTGAAAATAACCGTAAACGTTCGACTTTTTCTTACTCACCGCGTTCGATTCGTAAAAGTTCTCCCCTGGGGACTTGAAGTTGTAGCCGTATTGGTTTCCTAAAACGGTGGTCGAGCGAATTAACACCTGAAATTGTTGCATAGCCTGAGCCTCGCAAGACCGTAGAAGATCAACCAGAAGTTCCGTGTCGTTAACAGTGATAAAGTTTCTTTGATAACAAGGAAGTCTGAAATTTCGAAGAACAGCATTAGCATAATTGCAAGCCCCTGTTATTCATTAATATTCGATGGTACAAAACCTGAATTCAGCATGCTTCTCGGAGCTTCCATTCTCGGAGTATTCAAAAATAAATCTAACAATATTTTTGTAATCTGCGATATCGCTAATATTATAAATAGTCGGTCTCTCTGTGTCCGCCAACAATATTAAACGTATTAGGATCGGCGAAATATACATGTGCTCTATTAAATTTCTCTTTTTAACAACTGAATTCTGTAAATCAAGAACAATTCTTATTAATACGCGAATAGTTTTTAACGGTTTCGTTAGGAGATCAAGTAACGATCACGAGAGAACGTACATTGTTACTTTTGTCGGAAGGCAAAATACGAACACTCGAAACGTCCTTTCGCAGTTTCACGGCAATTGAATACTTAGTCACCGGTCTCTTCGGTATCAGATCGATTAACGAAACAAGGAAGCCTTCCTGTAGATTCAAGTCGAATTCTCGGACTATAACACAGATACCTCTGCAAGAAAATTCAACAATCGTGAGAGGCAACACTTAGGAATATTGATCTAAATGTACGCACGAATTAGTATGTACCCACTTGTAAATATTATAATTTAGTTTTCTTTGCTTCAAACAGTTAAACTCTATGCAATGCTTTAACTTGTGGTTCCCCGCGTAATTGATAACACTCTTCTGTAAATTCGAGTACAAAACCACAGGGAACGTCGTATTACGGATTTGATTGTCAACCTGAAATTATACGCAAGTATCCCATTAGAGTTCGAAGCAGCAAATTAAATTACGTTTTTACCTGTATTCTATGCACATAGCCTTGTAAGTGGGTCAACGTCACCGATTTCCTGCAGTGTAACCAAATTCCTGGGGAATAGGTCCTCCTCAGCTTGCCAAAGAACGGCTTGGTCATGTGCATTTTTACAAGGTCGACCTAAAACAGTTCACATGACACGTTTATCTTTTAGTACTTCTTGAGTACTCGAGACTTTTTGATTTCTTGCATCATTGAGCGAGACTTACGTCAATTAAATTGTCTAACTGGGCCTTTTTACACGAATTTACATACTTGTTCTCTATCCAAGCACTCAATTCTAAGGACAAACTTTTCCATTTTTTACCAAAGTAAAGTTCCCAATGAGCCGCAGAGTTCGTCACGTTCGCATGTACTAACTCTTTCAAAACTTCATTTGATTTTGTTACCTGTATTTAAATCAATCATATGATAAAAGGAAAATCTTTTTATGTTTCGAATACTTTCATAAAAAGAACTTACAATACTGATACCAATGCCAGCAATGGAGAAGAATATTTCTTGTTTGCTCGGCTCGGGGTCGATAATACTCTTTGCTTTCAAAAATACCGCCTCGTGCTGGGTGAACAATAGAACCCTTTGATTGCCCTCCATGTAGCTCACCCAGTAAACAATAGTGTTTTCTGTCTGTGGACCTTTCAACGTTGGTGATTTCACGTCCTCCTCGCAGACGTTGCTCTCGCTACCGCTGAAACTCGCGGATTTATTCTCCAGCCATGTAGATTTATTGTTGTGTTTAAACGAACAAATGGACGACGATACACTGTTGCATGGGTCCACAATTACAAGAGGTACAACTTCTTGACCGTATCCATCCTTGAAACGAGAAAAGAAATAGTATTCAAGTAGCCATAAGTAATGAGTAGACTGCAGATTTTTATGCAAAATAACATTTTCTAAAGTAATTTATAAACACAGGAGCAAATGTAGAAATTTATTTTTCCTCTTAAGTATCTTATTAGGTTCAGACCAAAACAGAAAAATCATTGGAACCGATGAAAGTTTGGCTTTTTATTGTATTTCACAGAGCCCTATGAGCTATGAATGCAGAATCATGTGAAATATAGCAAAGAATAAAAATTTGATAAATTTTTTATTTTATTTTTATCACAATGGAATCTCCGAGAAAGGAAAGAAGTTTTTATTTTTACTTCTTTATAAATCATTTCATAAAATGATATTTTACATAAAAATCCGCAGTCTAGTAATAAGCTACGTGTGCACTTACCTTCTGGAACTGAGCATTATATCCGGTTTTCTTATTGTTGTAAACATTCCACATAAGTTCTCTAGGCTCTGTAGGATCATCCCAGGTGTACAACAGGCTTTGAAAGGGATTTACTAGTGCCACCTGTCCCAGTTTGTGTTGACTGACTTTTAAAAATAGATCATTACAGAAATTGTCTATCCTCACCGGTATGTCACCGGGTACGCATTTTTGGAATGTAACATTATAAGGAGAGTTGATACCGCCGTCGATTTCCACACTGATGGCTGACTGTAACCGTTCAATTTGTTTGTAATTATATACTCGACTGTTTATAGAGAAATACTCGAGTATAGCGTTTAATTTGAAGAGTTAGCCATAAACCTGACCGACGTTTATGGTATATATCTTTGAAGCAGCTATACTTACGCCATTATCCATTCTTAATACTGTCTTTCCTATATACGTAATACTAAAATGTTGAGACACCAATTGACTGTTCCTCCATTTTATCCTCATCGTCATTGACTCTGTGACCGGCCAGAATGGCATTGTTTGCCCAGGTAGAAGGTCGTTCCACAAGTCAGCTTGATCGTTCTCTTCCATGAATCGAAGAGTTCTCTTTGTTTTGTTATTAATACAGAAATACGGCAGAAACGTTATGATTTTTGTGAAATTGGATAAACGAGAGCTTTCGATTTCTGTTAATATTCTGTATTTTCTGCCTCGCTCCGTGTCCTTGCACACGATCAGAGACATTGAAGTGATTCCGTCGAGACCAAACGGCAGCGACCATTCAGACTGATGGGCCCTCAATCTGACTGTGCCTTTCTTGTTATTTTTCTGGGAAAATACTATCAGTTCTTCCTCAGGAATCTCGTTGATTATGTGAGAATGACACTCCTAAAAATATCAAGACATCAAATGTAGGTGCATTGTAATCACGAGCGAAAAATTTAGTTAATTACCTGAATATACAAAGGCAATCCAGACTTATTTATGATCCAGTATTGCGATTGAATAACAATGTGCCAACTCGTGATCTTGCATAGTTCGATACTCAACAGAAATGGTTTGGTTAACTCGGATTCGCTGTCTGCTGTCATTAAAATAAATTTCCTTTCTAAGTTAGTGTTCAGTTTCGCTGTACCGGTCCAGTATCCGCCCAAATAGTTCTGAATCTGTGAATCAGTTAACGAAAAAATAAAAACAAAACTTAATTCCACGGGCATTGATTTCGATAAACAAAACGCACCTTAAATACAAATTGGATATCGTTGTTACAATTCAGGGAATGCATATTGATCTTCTCGCCCGGTTCTATCTTCACTTCGTAATTAATAGATGGTATGGTGACATCTATAACGAACGGTAGTTGATTGTTGAAAATAAGAGGTGAGTGAATGCTTATCAAGTAATTTGGCACTTGACAACTCGGTCTTGTGATCAACGGGACTTCGTTGCAAGACACTTTGACACAGAACACAGAATCACTTTCATCTTCCTTCATCTTGCAATAAACATCCTTGGCCACGTTCATCGATACGCTCAGTTCTTTCCAATAAATTCCCTCTTCGCTGACATGATACTTCCTGCAACGAATTATAATTCTAACATATCGTAAGAACAGCTAGTCTATTTTGTGTTACGCAGTATAGTAATGTCTCGATGAGTGTAATAAAAAATATAATCCATAAATTTGTTTTTTACATGGAATGAAGTTTAGATTCGCACTTACTCTAAATAAGCGGGCAGTATATGTACAGGAAAATGATAGGCTATGTATAATGGAATATTGTATGTGGAGTCAGGTTCGATGATTGTCATTCGAATGTTGTCGTCAAAGGGGTTCGTGGGTTCGCCGACGCAAGTCAATCCGAATTTGTCCATCAGTGATTTCTTGTAATACAGACTCAACGCGTAGGACGTTTCATTTCTGAACTGCAATTTGAAATACATTAAGATGCTATCGAGAATGTGACGGAATTGCAATTGAATATCATTACCTGTAACGGCGATCGGACGGTGATCGTGCGATGTAAATAATTGTCGATTGTAGCATCGATCACCAGATGATAGCGAACCTCGTGTCTGACGGGTCGCAGTGGGATCAAATTACAGCCCTGTCTCGTGGGACAGTACACCAATACATCGTCGAATCCTGAACAACGATAAAAAAGAATTTCAAAAAATCGATTTCTCCGTTTTATCGATAAATCGGATACTTTATTGGAGCACCATTTAGGATTTTGTTGAAATTTGGATATGTTGAAAATGATGCTCCAAAAAGTGCCCGATTCTGAAAAAGATCCGACTCTGAATTTGTACCTTGAAAAGTAACACGCAATATTTCCCCTGTGATCGTCTTGTATATTCTGATGGAAGAATCATCTTGGAATATTTCGTCGATCGGTGTCGTGTGACTCTGCATGTTTTTGTTCGGATCCGCGAAGTCCATTTCATTCTCTACCCATCGGGAATTATCAGGGCCCGATTGGTGTTCTATTTCTGGGCTGCTCGGAGCACTCACTGGTGAATTTATGTTATGATATTCTTGACTCGCTATAACTCGAGTTCCATTTTTATTATTCCCCTGTGATAAAAGAAACGAATTAATCGGATTAAAAAGGAGAGTTTTGGTAACCGTTTAGCGGAGTGTATACGAACATCGTCCGAAACAAGCAGTTCTATGCGACTCTCGTGACCGATATCATTGTGGAGATTCAGTTTCTTCACACTAGACGGTATTATTGGTATCCCGCTAGTGGCCTGGTGAAAAGCATTCATAATGATATCCGTGACAGCGATCAGGTTCGGTGTGACTATGAGATTCAGTTTGTCCTCTGCTGACACGGTGATGTACACTGCCAAGTCATTCGATTTAATCGATTCACGGCCAAGCGGTCCAACTGTAATTGAATAAATGTGTTTAATCTTTTTTTCTTGTTAACAGTAACGCATTTAAAAGGAAATTTCGATCGTAAAGTTTGCTCACACGAATCAGCGTTACATTCCGGTGTTAATTCCAATCCTTCGTCCTCGTTTGTGCTCGAGTCACCGCTATCACTGTCATCCTCTCCGCTGCTGTTACTGTTAAACAAATAGTTGGATGTTCGCAATAATTTCTTCTGACCCTCGTCGTCGTCAGTGTCCGAATCCTCCTCGTATCTTGAATACAATTCAGCTTCTGAAAGGTTCACAGTAGCTTTATTTTATGTGTGGAGCTTAAATTACTCGGGTCCAAACGGGCCCCGTCACCGTATTATAAGGTTTAACTAAAAAAAAAAAATTAAAGTATCTCATGTACCGCTCGGTTTCGGCGCGGTCAAGTGATCTGGAGTTATGAAAACCATGTCCGTGAAGTCCTGATCGATACTCTTCAGACTCTTCTTTTTCGATTTCAATGAATCCTGTTTTATATACTGATACGGGTGGGTCCAACTGGAATTGATCATGAAAGCTTCGCCATGACGCATCTACGTACATAATAAAGTGTAACAGTATAATGAACAGTTGGATAACAAGGAACACTCTATTGTTTTTCTTTTTTTTACAATAAATTAGTACTCGCTTTTATCATTAATTCCCATGATCTGTAGTTAGTATCGTCGTCCGAGCACAAGTCGATTAACGGTTCCCAGCTTTTCCAATCGGCGTTGTAACAGAACGCATGGAGCTTAATGCCGGACTCAAAATTGAAGTCGTTGAACCAATCGTTGATCGAGACCGTTACAATACTCTCGAACTTTATAACCGGCAGCCTTTCTGTCGAGTATTCGATCTCCAGCAACAGACACACCGTCAGCGGTTTCAGAGTGACGGTGACCACTCTGTCGTTGTACTCGGAGAACAGATTCAAGTCATCTGTGAACGTCAGACTTTGAAAGTAATGCTTGGCCATTTATCAATGGTTAGTTTAGTTACATTCGAAACTCTTACAATCGTTCGATTTCTTGTACGGTACATTCAATATCCTCTTCGGTGTCCATAAGTTGAAGTGTACGTTGAAGTCTTGATTAAAAGATTTACCCTCCGTTTTTATATTCATACCGTCCAGAAAACTGGTCGCTTCGTTCAATATCTGTAAAGGATTGTACACTGTACAGCTGAAACATACGTTGAATCGTCGCTGAATACTTACATCGATGAACGTGTGTATAATTTCGGCCGAGAGATGTATATCGATCGCATTGACAGTGACCGTGTAGTTGACATCGAATTCTGGCGCTTTTTCTTTCCTGCAGATCTCTATGTCGCAAGGACAGAGTAACCAATAGGGGGTCTGTTTCGAGTAATTCCCTTGTTTCTTCGATTTAGCACGGACATCCGTGAACGTGCAGACAATAGACGAGGAGCAACTGTGCCTGCTACTCTCGATAGTCACTTCCGCTTGCAGCAGAATCAGGTGCGCATTGCTTGCCTTCAGGTCGCCGAAGAGCAAGATCTCAGGCTTGTGTATTCTCACAGACACGGAGGCAGCTGGATATATAAAAAATATGACATTCTTCAATCCGATTGGAACCGATCTACCGATAATCACAAGGGTACAGAACGCCACGGTGTACATGCAGAATTACAGCGAAACGATATATATACATATATATATATAAACTGTTCGTTTCACGATTCCTCTAACCGAGATACAAACTGGTACACAGACGGTAAAAAAGTTGAAAAGTGGGATAACGGCAAAAGCAACGGCGTGAAACACATGTGTGTAAATACCTGGTTCCTCCTTAAAATATTGTGCATATCTTAATCTATCTGTTTCTGCGCTGGTAACATCCCTGTTCTTGATTTCAAACAATCACGTGAAGAGAAAAACATTTTCACCGTTACCAATTAAAACACCCTTGGAACGCTCAAAATGGTTCCAGGGAAAATATGGTTAAATAAGAGGAATGAATTTCCCCTTAAAGAAACTGCACCATGACACTTACTACTCTTTGACTGTTGCTCTCGTATCCGTGGTTAATGATCCCTTCGTCGGGCTGATCACCTGGAAGCGAGTCCATTATGTACCGTGTCAGATGCATCACGAATGGTACCGACAGATTTATTCGAATATCTTGAACCAGCGCGTCGAAACACTTCTCGCCGGCGGGAGCGCAAGTGTACGCGATGTCGACGATCGGCGACATTGAGACGGATATACAGGACTCTGCGCCTATTAACCTCGCTGGCGATTGGATTATCCTGCGATAAACAAGAGAATGTTTAATAGATGTTAATGAAATCACAATATGATCAGAATAATGATTTCACGGCTACAGACTTCCTGACGACTTGAGTGTCCCTCCTGGTGTCTTGGAGAATGCAACTTTGAAGAGACAGCTTCATTTTCATACTCTTGTCGCTGTAGAACGCGTGAGTGTTAATTATCTCGCCGAATGTTAGTCTGCAGAGGCCGTGATTCAAGTCGCGAACCGGTGAACTCAATACCTATAACAATGCAGGACCATCCCTGATATGCGGTTGTGTACAAATTTGGAGGAAATTGCCAGCAATAAATGACAAAAGTTGTATAAAAAAAACAACAACGTTAAAGTGAATATCTGTGTACCTCTTCCGAGTCTAAGAACAAATTCAACTGCAGCCCTTCCAAGGTTAGTTTCATATTAACTTCGCACACGCTGTTCTCGTTGTGGGTAAGAAAATCTTCTAGTTTCTTCACCATCATATCCTCCTGATTGAGATTCGACAACTGGTCTTCCACGGCGGAACGTGTCTCGTTCTCGTGTGCATCTTTAAATAGTATAATCCTCGAGATGTTGTCCTTCCACACCAGCACACTGGACTTGAGATCTTTCTGGCTAAGATTAATGTACACAAAGTCCATCGTGCCCTGTACGTTGAACAGTCCGTACGTTTGGAACTCCATCGCGCTACGATACTCGGTTTTTCGTTTAATGTCGAAGTGAATGTGCACGGGCTCCACGATCGGTTCCTACAAATCGACAATCCATTCGAATTATTATCCTCGAACTGAACTCGGGGTATCGTGTGCGAATCGATAAAAAAGTATTCAAATTTTACTTGTATTTCCAGATCTCTGCTGAGCGTCATGATCGCTCTGGATATAGTCATATTCTTCAGCTTCACCAAGATATTGTCGATTATTAAATGATTCCCATCATGGCCGGAGATCTTGCTGTTTTGAACAGATTGATCGATCTTCTTGAAAAAATTTTCCACCGATAAAACACCTACAAAATATCGCGTTATTTTGTGTGTTTTTTTTTTAACGGTTATTAATCTCACGTAATTGATATTGAGTACATACCTGTATTTAATACTAAAAGACTGGGACTGTCTTTCCTTTGGGGCAGTAAAAATATAGGGCCCTGTATGTCGATAAAAATATGCAGTTTCGTGGCGCTCCTTTTAAACTCTTTGACACCTGTTATGATTCTATTAATTAAATAATCTTTCGAATGGACGTAGCACGTTAAAGTGAACGGCGCCAAAAAATGCTGCGAAGTTAATGAAATTTTTTAACATCTTCATGAGTATTTCAGAAATATTTTACAAGTACCGGAGAATCTGTTACCTTTAGATCGTGCAATATTTTAGAAATAAGGACACAGTTGATTCGTCCAATGGATAGTTTAAACGTCCCATCTGACATCACGTCGTCCTGTTTAGTGTCGATGTCGGGACACGCGTACAATCTTGGCGTGTGTCTGACATATTTCAGGTCAAATACTTTATCCTCGTCCGTGGTTAAAAGCTTCGAACAGAATGCCTCAAATTTAACACGCACAAAAGTATAACTCGCGTAAACACGTCGACGTGAAACCAAAGACTTACCTTCGAATACAGCGTATCCTGGTTCATGTCTTCGACAAGTAACTGTCTGAGATGTGCACGTAAAACCATCCTTTCGTTCGCATTGTAAATGCAATGGTTCTCCAATCCAAGTATTTGAATTTCCAACAAATCCAAGTCTTTGTCACAGAATCGGAGAACGAGTGCGCTGAGTCTTGCAGAATAATTCAATTTAATGGCACCTAGAGAAGGGTAAAATGTATAAAATTTATGAATTAACTTGTGATACCTTTACGTTATACCTGGAGGGATAGGTGGATCGTTTTCTTTCGGTTTCCACTGTACTATATTGTGGAATAGTCTCTCTGCAAAACCGATGAGATTGTTCTCTTCGAAAGTGCTGAAAGTAGCAGTGTTTATTACCATTGAAATAAGATCACTTTTCGTAGATAGCAAGTATTTATTGTACTTACTTTGTCAAATTATACCAATATTCTTTGAGCTTTAATAGCGCGGGCCTATGAAGATTTATGTTTACGTTGAGAATATTTATGACGAGTGATCGTTCGATGCTTTTGAAGTGAGATTTAAAATCAGGACAGTTTGACTTCACCTGTGTAAATATATGCTTAGAACAGGATGGATAAGTGAATTATAGTTGCAAGTCGCTGGGGGAATGTACCTTACGATATGACAGAAGAAGAACTTCGTGAGGTTCTTCTGTGGATATTAGCTCCAAATATGATCCTGTTACTCCTGCGTTAGTTTTGTCCACTAAAAGTACAGATCCTATCCCAAATTGAATAGCAGGACCGTATTCCATTAAGGCTGTTTCAAGATACAATCCGTGCAATCTCAAATTTAAATAGGGCTCTTCTCTTCCGTGATTCAAGCTTACCAAGTGAACTGATAACTGAAAATTCATAAATGTTATTAGAAAGCTTATGTTACAGTAACTAAAAAGAAATTAATGTGAATACCTCTCCAATGGCGAATCTCAGTAAGAAATTGATGTGATTGCACGGGGACACATTGTCATCGAAGCCAGATAAATTGATAGTCTTGGATAGTAATTCCAAATCTTCTTCGCTGACTTCCGAGGACACCACACTCCTGGAATATGAAGCATCTTTTATCTACTATTTGTTTATCATTGGGTTCAACACTCAACGATTCAGCGAACTATTAAAGAAATTTATTTTATACATTAATATTAAGTCTTACTTCGTTACCTATCAAGTTTCTGCTTTTGCACATTATTAGTCAAAAGTTCTTTGGTAACGTGATTCAGTTTATTTTGTAACGTCCCAATTGATAGCATACACACACTGCGTTGCACATTTTTCAATTTTTTAATCGACACAAGGACCTCATCCGGACTCTTCTCGGAGGTGCATGGCTTCCAATTGTCGTCGCATTTGTCGACATTTTGTTGATAGGCCAACAACAATAAATTTAAAAAGTGTACAATCATTTGTATCTTGTTTTCCGACAAGTTGAACTTGATGCTTGAAATTGAAACGTTCACCTTGGTCCTATAATATCGTAAATGAATTAGGATAGAACTTGTTATTGTTGTGTAGGCAAAACGCAAAACACACCTTGGTAACTGATAATATTCCGGTTTTATACTGTACGAAATAGTTGTGTTTGTTTGTATTTTCGGTATAAAGTGATACTCAGAGTCCTTCTTTTTTCTGGCTGATCTCCAATCATCACCTATAATACATCGAAATATTAAGGCCTACAAGACAATTTCACAGGAAAAGTAAAGCATACCTGAGTGACAAAATAACACTTGTTCGCCAGAAAATACAAAGTGTATCCTGTCATAAAGCAATTCCTCCAGTTCCATGAGCGTCGCGTCTTCGAGTTGCAGATTGGTTGCTTGAAGTTCGTTGGAGACCGTCATATTACCAAAATCCACGACAAGAATGTGCCCACCTCTGAAATTGCGTCGTGTTACATACAGGCAACAAACATAATTACGCGTTTAATAATGTCTTGTGTCGTTACGCACTTTTGTATCGATCCGTGTTCAGGGAACACTACGTACGGTCCTTTAATGTCAATCTTGAAACTAATTCGAAGTGTCTGCGACACGATACTGTCCACCAGGACCAAAAAGTTCCCTTTAATGTATTCGTACAGCTTACACATCCACAGAATCGTGGTCCGAATATTTGCATCATTCAGCTTGAAGAACTGTATAATTTCTATCATGGAATGCTAGAAAAAAAAACGGATTACAATAAAAGTGCATTTTTAATAAGCCAGCAGGCTATATTATCATTACATGGTAATAAGTGACTTCAAGGGGTTCCAGCTTTAATGACAGATCAAAAGTTGGATCCACGTTTTCTCCATTCTTCTCAAAGTCTATCGCCAGGAAGTTCGATGATACATTGCCTGCACAGACAGATCATTGGATGTATTTAAGTTGAACAAACAATATATCGGCCATTTTGGTACCTGTTAGAACACTGTCCACGGTAATCAAAGGAACTAGATCACCTTCCATAGAAACACCTTCGACTAAAAAACTCTCAGCACGAGCAGATATTTTGAAAGCAGACACAGTTGGTTGTACTTCGATACTTGAAAGAAATTGCGTCACTGTTATGACAAGAATTTCTCTGTCATTATTGTTTAGGAGACTTAGACAAGCATTTGCCAAAGTGAAATTGAATTTATAATCTGTAATGAAGAATTATTCCTATTGTTACTAGTGTACCCATTTTATTGACCCATAAATATTTAAGATTATACGTGCCAATAGGTTGCGGTAGTTTCTCCAAGTTAAATTTTCTTCCTACTCCGATGCTGATACAATGATGAGATACTTTCTTCATTTCTTCTTGCGTTTCATTACTTTCTGCGCTTAAAACCTGCTCTTCTCCGGACGAGGATATACTTTTCATGACCTTTTGAATCGAATTACCAATACTCGCATCGTGAGATTTGTCTTCCATAGTTTTATTTTGCAATTCCTGTCTAGCATGCTCTCTAGCAATTACTATATTCAATATTGTCAAGCAGTCTTCATACTTTTGTAAATCCAATTTTAATTCCGTGTCATTCGGTCGAAGTAAACTCTGCAGACATGTTTCTTTATACTTCCTATAGTTCTTTCTATGCTCAACGATCCTTGCCCAGATGTAGGGTCTTATATTGTGCTCTAAAATCGAATTGTAGGCGTACTTCCACCAACCTGATGGATTTTTTAGTGCAGTTTCATCTGGACGATACTTAATATAAGGTCTGAAATATTACTCCGTTAACAAAAATATATTTGAATTTGAAATGAAATTATACGCAACGATTTACATTATATGTCACGTACTTATTAATCATTGCACGCTGTAGCGAATCATATAGATGACAAAAAGTAGCGTACTGCGTCTCAGTAACTTGCATCGCAACGTCTTGAAGAACAATGTCAACCAGCACACGAGATGTTTGAGCCTCGTTCCCCTTGTGTATGATTACCTTTAGTTTTACGGTGAAAGGCTTCAAAACTGTGGTACAGTTAATGGTCATTAGTTTCTTCGTGTAGTTAGCTATTTCATATCTGAATTAAAATTACGTTTATAAACGTACGAAATTGGAATAACTTGTTTCCCACGCCGAACATTTGTAGAGACCTGTGCATTGTGTCTTTCCATTCTAGAAAACTGGACATATCCCATCCATTCCTATTGTTCGTTAGACAGGACTCAGTGTCATGATCCATGTACACACTCAGGGATTTTGCTCGCAATAATTGATAGATCGTGTTCGTATTATTCCCACAAATGCCTGGTTTCCATTTGCTAGAATTTATTTCATCGTGACAACAACACCTGGTACATAACATTAGCAAATAGATAAAGGAAATAATTACCTATTTGTGGTCATTACAGATATACTTTGAATACAGATACCACAAGCACATAGAGACCCATTTAACTTCTCCTCATATCTAATATGTACATTATGTATAGTAATTTGAAAATTTTTTGTAACTGCTGCCAATAAGGTGTCAAACCATTCTAGAAGCGATTACATGTATTAGCAAACATTCCAGTCATCAAACTAATTTCATATATATGTATAGATTACCTTCTCTAGATGCTTCATCTTCCTTCAGATCTTCTAATATTTTTCGCTTTTCTGCCCTTATCAATTTCTTTTGTACTTCTGCATCATAAGCACCATTAGCAGCAGGTACAGCTATTATATACACATCCTTAAAAGCACAAATTAAAATGATAAATGTAAACTTCAGCAACAATAAGAGTCCGTAACCATTGACAGTGATGAATGAGAAAAATAAAATTCTACCTCAATACAAAGGACAATGGGTTGAGAAAACAGTCCAGACCATGGTATCTTTAAAATGATTTTTCCTATAACTCCAACTTCTACCCTGATAGGTAGACCAAGCTGGTACTGCAAATGATGAATCATTGGAATGAATTTTACAGTCTTTATAAATGGGTGCTTTGAATAGGGAGAAGTGCATCTTACCAAAGCCTCGGATTTCAATTTAAGATCGGTCAGACAGGTGTCACCGGAAAAAATACCAATGTTGAATTGCTCAGTGTCCAAATCCTCAACGTACTTGCCCAGAAGCCGATTCAGGAACGCCGCTATGGCACCTTCGAACATTTTTCCGCATTTACGTGAATCAATCACGTTGTTTACTTGTCGCGTTCCGTATGACCACTGTTTTCTAGCATAAGGTTCCTTTCATAACCTTAAGAAAATCGTAAAATAAATTCCGTCATGCGCGAAACTACAAGGATGTTATTGATCCCATTTTCCTCTCGCCTCGGGATTTCCCTGGTAATCTATTAAACGCTCAGCTCGCTCAGCTGTCTCCGCCTACAAGGAAGAAGACTTTCGTTGAACATCACATTCTCCATTGAATGACACTATTAACAAATAAACATAAAATTGTTCGATGTAATGTACATTTGTTAATGGAATTATTTATGTTCGTAACGGAAGTTTAATAACGGTTTCAGAAGTCCATTAACAAAACACCAGTCTATAATAGCACTTGTTTATTATCCATATCGTACAAGATTGATGGTATTAAGTCTTGTATTTACAATAACGTTAAACCTAACGAAGTTAATTAATTCAACGAAATAAGGCGTGTCGACCTGTGTATTTACGACATGTTCAATTTCAAAACGAGCTAATAATACAATGACTATGATCGGTGCTCGCTTGTAATCGCAATAGCGGCATTTGATCTTGTTTTTAACAAAACATCGTCTCTGTACATGTCACAGTGATAAGAATCAAGTTACAGTCGTTCCTATGCGAAGTAATTTCATTAGAATTAACATAATCGTACCGCGAACGGGTACCAAACTTCTCACATTTTCGTGCATAGCCTACTATTTGAAATGTTAACAATATTTTAAATGATTCTAATTCGATTCAATGCAAGATCTAAAAATGTATATAAACGCTTAAAATGCGTTGTACAAGGACATTTAATATTATATACAGGAATATGTATGTTACACGATATTACTTTTTAAACGGTCAAATGTTTTGTCTCTCCGGTATTAGGATCCACTATAACTTTTTCCTTACAGTTGTTTACGGTAGAAGTGCTACCAAACGAGTTAGTGTCATTAAGAGGAAAGAATCTTCCATCCTGATATTCTTTGAACAATAATTCCGCAGTCTTTTGTTTTTCTTCCTTCCCGTTATTAGCTATCTTCTTCATTGTCAGGGTTAAGAGCTCTATGATGAGATAGGATTCAGGCTTGTACAGCCTCGTGAAATGTAGCCTGATGTGTTCACCGATGTTCTCATCTTTCCTCGGTATATAGTCGCAATGGGGACAGGACGGTGTCATTCTCTCGATACCGTGTCGACGTTTATGGGAGTCCAAAGCGTCCTTGTCAGAGGTTGAGAACGGACAGCTTTGGCAGCGTAATGTCTCCGTCTCCTCGATAGGTGGTAAAAGTAATCCTTTCCTTTGCAATAATATCATAGACTGTTTATCCTGATTGGAAGCTTGCATACCACCATAATTTAGCATCGACGTCCCGTTCATGGATAACATGGCCATGCCGCTGTTGGACGACTTCAAAGTTTTTCCTGAACGGGATAAAGGTATACTATCGCTGATGGTGTCGCTGTCGATAGTAATCGTATCATCCTCAAATTGTCTACGTGAGGCTTGGGCTTCTGCGTTCGCCTGATGCTTCTTCAAGTGTTGAACATAGTTGGCGTAGTACTTGACAGAGTAATCGCAGGTGTCGCAGCGATATCTTTGTTTCGCCCCGTGTAACGTCAGATGAACTTTGTACTGTTCCCGTTTCTCGAAAGCAGACGGACATTTGTGACATTTGTACCGTTTCTCTTTCAATCTGCCATTTCTCAAGTAGCCAGGATAAACGAAGTTAGGGTTACCACGCATGTAGAGCCCGAACTGAGGATCAGAAGTTGTCGACAAATTCGTGATGATCTCGCTGGTTTCGGTCTGTCGTCGGTGAACCACCTGATGCTTTACCAGATTCTGGGCGGTTTTCGACGAGTAATCGCACTCCGTGCACTTGAATCTGTTATTCGACCCGTGCAGAGTCATATGATACTCCAAAGCATCTAACTTAAAGTAACGCGCCGGGCATTTGGCACAGGTGAACACTTGGTTTCCGGTTCGTTGATTGGAATTATTATAATTACTACTCGACGGTTCAGAGACTTCCACGACGATCCATGCAACCGTGGTAGACGTTGAATTACTTGAATCTTGAGTACCCGCCTCGACGCAAGCGGTAGTAGGAGGTGGATATCGTTGAGAGTAACCATACAAGGACAATAAATACTTGGTACGTTCTTGGTATTCCGTGGAGTGTGCCTTCTGATGGGCCAACAGATGAGCCGGTTGACGTGCGGCGTACGAACACCATTGGCACGAATAGGCTAATTCCGTGGAATGATATCGCAAGTGAATTCTCAACTCTTTTTCGCAGAGAAACCGTGCTGGACATTTGCTGCAGCAATGCACTAGTCTAGAATCTCGTAGATCAGGCTCCGAGCCTAGAACAGGCGAATGTGTAAAGCCAAGAAGCGTGGCCAGATCGCTTAATTGTTGAGAATCAGGCCTGGTATCGTCCACTAAACAATGCACGGTGCCCAGCGACCCAGAATGCATGTCTGTGTGGGCGACCATAATCTCTCGTCGGGTACAAGTGAAGCTACAATCGGTGCAGGCAATAACGGGCCCCTGACTGGGTGAATCGAGGTGCATGGTCTCGTGGTCCCGTACCTCGGCACGTCGAGAAGACACGAACGGGCAGTGACGACATTTTAACATTTTCGCGAGGGTACCGTCCAACTTGGACACCCAGACCAACGGGGCCTCGGGCAATGCTCGAGTATCAAGAAGCAATGGCGGTGGTGCGTTCGAATTTTTTAAGGCGTTCGAGACACAGGTCACGTTGTTCTGCGTGGTTATGTGGATCACTTGTTCGACAGACTTCTCCTGTTTCGAACGACCGGTATCTGAAATGAGAAATAACGAATGACACTCGGCGACATGCACTAAAGAATTTTGTCGAACTCACTGTTAGTGGCATTAGCTTGTTGTGTTTTATATTTAACAGGTGAAAAATTATAATCCGTACTCTGTTGATGAACAACTGCAAGCTCTTCTCCGTGAAGCCTAACGTGATCCAATAGCTCCCTGGAATGATAAAATGAATATTATGTACGGGAATGCCGGTTTGATAATGTAAATATAGCCAATTGTGATGGTACTCAAATACGTACGCCTTTGTGCTGACGTAATAGGGGCACAGGTAACATTTGAAGATGGCTTCCAGGTTAGGTCGGTGATGGACTCTATGCATGGATAATGTTGCAGCATCTGGGGCGGAAAATGGACAATCTCCACAGCCAAATGGATTCTGTGCGCAAAGTATATGTCGGATTAAAGAAACAGAGTAGCAGAATTCTTTGAAAAATCAAGGAACAAATGGTACATTCGAAAGGGTTTACTTTTTCGTCGTCGTGGTGTTGCTCCGATTCATTGTGGGATTTAACATGCAACGATACGGTCTCTCTGTTTGAATGCCTGAAATTACAACGCTTGCATTTCCACATAGTACGTTTATTGTCCTCGATCAACGTGGCAGAAGCAGAACTGCTTTGTCCTTGCGGGGATATCAAGTTATTTTTTAGTAAGGATTGACCACGATTTCTAGAGGCAGCTTTTAACGGAGGCGGCGGTCTTAGACCGATGTTAATAGTATTAACGTTATTCCCTTCGCTCGTGGATACAATTGAAACCGGAGTCGACGTAAATTCCGGTGATTGCATATACTCATTGCTGTTCATGATTAAGAGCTTAGTCGGTGGTTCGTCGGAATTACTTTCCTCCACGCTACGCTCCTCCATATTTTGCTCATCCCATGATTGTTGTTCCACCTACGAAAGATTACAGACAGTTTACGTTCGATGCTCGATAGTTTCTACGAAGGAGCGCGCGCGACAAATTATTGCTGCGCGGTAGAATAAGATAAACTCGTAAATTTGGCAGAAAAAAAATCACTAATCGGCACACTGAGAATTTCTTTTGAAAACTAAGAAGTCACTTTCGAAGCATTGAAACGTTTAAGATTATCGTACCCGTGTCGGTTTCAATTACTAAGAATATGCTTGTAATTGCGATACAATTTTGAGATCATAACACCAATCAAGTGTCCAAGCGCTCCGATAGAGATAAATTTGAAGTTTTATTTTTCTTATGGATTAAGGATCATCACTGGTGCTTGTCATTGAAAAGAGGAAAAAAAGTAAAACAATCAAGATCAGTGCGCCTATTAAAAAAAAAAAAATGATAGAAAAAAGGACAAGCACTGTTCGGTTAATAAACGTAGGCGTAGTTTGCTTAATATAAGTGAACGTTGTGCTTTCACCTGTGCAAGATACTTGTTATACTTGGAATAATTCCGTCGACCGGTTTCATCCGTCATAAGTACCCTGGCAGTCAGATGAACTGGGTCTTTAGCTGCTTTAAGTTTAATATGTTTTGTGATGTCCCACCGCCAGTTAGAGCGATACGCGCACAGGGAACACTCGAATGGCTTCCGATTTAAATGACCGACAATATGAACGTGAAAGCGACTTGCGGTTGATGCCCAAAATGGGCAATGCGGGCATTTGAATACCCGTCGGCCACTTGGATGCGTCGAGGTGCCTTCAACCTAACAAAAGATTTTACTGCCTTTATCAAAATAAACCGTTAACTGCGCTCGAAACACAATCGACTACGGTCTCGATTATCAAAGGGAACATTTAAAGCACATTCTTAATAATAAAAAGATACATATGTACAAAAACAAATAGAAGAAAGAAAATATGAAACATAATGGTAATAATTTATCAAAATAGCATTGCATACGTGAAATAAATGACCATGGCTTGAAAATTGAACGAAAAACATACTATCTAGTACGAGGTGTACTACCTAACATTATCAACTCAATTATATTCTGTACCTTTAGTATTTCCAAAAAAAAGTACCACATAGAAGGTAAATCTATTGAAATACTGAAACTAAAGAAGATACTTCAGGTGATATATTCGATGGAGCATTTTCTATGCTGTATACTACACAAATGGCCGTACTGGATGCTTGCAATCGAAACACTTAATATGAAATTTTAACGTGTAGAAAATGTGTATATATGTAGTCAGATCTGTTGACTCTCGTATTGCAATTTTTCTATTCATTCGTGTGCGTGTGTTCATTTCATTATTCATGTGCACGCGTAAAGGTCAGGTATATGTATATATGTAATATATATATATGTAAGTATATTACTTCTATAGAAACATCATACCGATGATCCAGAAGAATTCAGTCCACTGAGATTTACGTCCCAATCCGTTTGCCCTGGGAATGCATATTCACCGCGATACGAGGTCACACGTAGTTCTGAACAATTCGATAATTTTTCTAAGCTACTGTCTATGGACGCATCGTTACTTGTCGATCGACAACACTGCATATGCGCTTGTAGATCAGTCGAGCTTTTGCAACGTCTTCTGCACTTTGGGCAACGCGTCGTGCCCACAGATACACTGAGAGCAGTGTGGTGTGTTTGTTTATGACAAGCCAGCTCTTCCATGCTACTAGCTTTAAAAGTACACCAGCATTTCAAATCGTTCGTAGTACTTACTGCTACCTCCGGCACCCCGTTATTTATTGACGCCGATGTAGTAAGCTTTTCCTTTAGTTTATCAAAGAAGGACGCATTTTTTTTTTCAAACAAATCTGCCGCGTTATTCGCATCCTTCTTTAAGTTGTTGACCTGCTGAAAGAACACTGATATCACGAACAAAGAAATGGAACGACGAATTTGTATCAATGGATTATACAAAGAATATACAACTAACTTCTTTATTCCCATACAAACGAGCCAATTCTGTGTCCCTTGCGATTTGAGCGAGTTCCGGCCTTACTCTTACACGTGGAACTTTCAACAGTGTCGTCGAAGACCCACTGGTGCTATTGGGTTTAGTGGGACTTAAAGGAATTAACATTGGCAATGGTTTCCTAGACTTATTCGGTGTAACAGGTGCATGACACTCTGCCAAGTGTCTCTGCATCTCTGAATCCCATGCTGTGATAAACTGGCAGCCTTTTTCCTCACATTTCAATGCAATGCATTCAGCATTGGCTATCGCACTCCTCTTATCTTCCATAGAATTCATTGACTGATCGGACATGAACGAATCACCAGGGCTGAGGGATACTGTTGTATTTCCTGATATGTGAAGTGTGTCCCGAAAGTCGCTTGCACCCACCTGGAGAGCCATAATATTGTACAGATTTTGAATACACATCAAAACATAAAATATTCATCGATCAAACTATTATATTGTACCTGATTGTAACGCTTAGGACTATTTCTTGGCTTACGCTCAAAGGGTGCATTAGATTTACGATTTGTTTGTCCCACAGGAGGCTCATGATGGTTAGTCTCGTGTACCGTTAAGCTCTGCCTGATATCGGCCGTGAAATTGCAAGCACGACATTGAAAAGCTCCTCCTCCACCATGATTCCGAGTGTGTCTGTCCAAATTCCACTGCAAAGATACAATTATTGTTGAACCACTCGACCGAGGATAAACTATTTACCACATTTTATGAAAGTTGCATTAACCTTGTATGGTGTACGAAAATCACAGGCATCGCATTTGATCATTGGCATAGAATGATACTTCACATGTTTCGTGTAACGAGCACGCACATGTGTTACATAAGAGCATTTAGCACATCTAAAAAACCTCCTTTTTAAATGATGGACTCTTTGATGTGTTTCAAGGTCCCTTGAATTTAATGCAACATAGGAACACATTGAACATCGATTTGCAGCATCGCGTACATATTTCCCCTAAAAACCATGAGATGCTCTTTGTCACTTTTCTAGCATTGTAATAAGGTGATCTTGACAAAAACCCCTTGTCAATCTTATAAGGAAAGAAAAAGAAAGGACCTATTAAATTGTTACTATTGTAATTGTTAACTGTCTATTTCTTAAGGGTAAATCGTTAAATTATGTAAAAATGAACTTGCATCAACTGTAATTGCACTGAATTTGTTACATAATTTCTTTTTTATTTCGTAAAAATTAAAAGACGATTATTAAGTCCCAGGTAAAATTCAACTTCCCCTCGTTTAAATGAAAAATAATAACAATAATATACCTTTTGTTTGTGTTCTTTTTTTAGATGATCAAGGTATGCCTTGAGACTCGGCAAAGGTTTCGGTGGTTTACAAGTTTTACACTCGTAGCCCTGCGAGTCGACGAGACCGTCGTGATCGTCCTTTGAACTATCCTTTGCAGAATCATCGTCGTCTTTATCGTCCAACGAGACCTCCTCGGAGTCGGATCGCGACTCTTGTTCCGTCATCGTGACTTCCTGTCGGTCCTCTTTAAGGTTACCTTCCTTTTGCGACTCGATCTTGGTCTGCTGGGGTCGCGGACGAAGTGCACGCAAACGGGGCAGCCTTCCTGACATCTTGGACGAGGCTCGTTCTGTTCCACGCACGTCCTCCCGTGTTCCTGTCGTGCATAAAGATACCCCTTTAATTCCCCCTCAACCTCCTCACGGCCCAGCGTATCTCCCGACAGGGTAAAAAAAAAAAGGAGAACGGCATTCACTTCTCAATCGGTCTACACAGTTTTCTCCTTCTCGATGACATTAACGTATCGAGCCATTACATTACGATCGCATACGCACATCTCCTTCTCTCTCTCCTTCTCTCACTGTTCACCTTAAAACGATTCTACCAGCAGTTTACACATCTTCGAGGAAAATACGGTTATATCTCGATCGTACACCTGAGAATGAACGCTTCCTCGAGGTCACAGCTTATCGAACAGTGACGAGGACATTGTTGTACAGCGTTACGGAAACACAAGTACGAAGTACTCGGTGGTCGCACAATCTAAACGCTACTGGCCGCCATTTTTTTTCTTCCCAGTGAAACTGGTGATGGAAGAAGACGTGTCGGAATTATACCGCGAGGGAACAATGCTTTTCATTAAAATACCCGTCCGTATAAATATTCGGAACGAACGAATTTAATTTTGTATTCCATTGTTCCGCCATTGATTTTCTTGATACCAATGAGATACCATCGGTGACGTTAGTACATACTTCGTCTGGGCATCGATCACTGGAGACTAGCTCTTGTGTTTATAAGATCGTTTCGGTGGTTACTTATAAAATTAATTTTTGTTAAACAATGGAAATTTCAGGTCTGTACCACACATTGTGCGTCAGGATTCGGGTAAATGACAATTAAAACAGAGAACCATGAATCAAAGTAAGATTTGAAACCTCCATTTACAATAGTGTGACGTAAACTAAAAGGAAATTGATATAAACTTTTCAAATTTATGGAAAACAATATAACTCTTATTTTTCCACCGTGACAATCAATCATTCTGAGGTTCTCAGTAAGATTATAGTCAATGGTTTGGCTTTCATACTCATAACATCCGGTTTATGTACATTCGTTCATGATACGGCGGCCGATTATAGTAGGTCAACAAGATGTCGCCGGAACATCAATCATATCTTTCTACAAGAATTTCCATTCTTTCCCGCCATAGCTTGATAATCTATCGAACATATTTCTGTACGGTACTCTATATAATCTACGAGTAATCTTTCACGATGGAATCAGTTTCGGTTCCACGGATAGAAACGCGTGAGTAACAAAGAAAGAAGAAGATCCAGTTTCCCGGCACGCGTGTACGATTTCCGTTTCTCCGAACGATTTCCGGTTTACGGTCGAACGGCCGCTTCTGACAAGCAGACGGCACAGTGTGCGCATTCAGCATGTACACGCGTGTGTGCGTGTCCCCCGCGGGCGAGTCAACAGAAACGTCGAGGAAAGAATCAATCCCGAATTCGATGATAGAAAACAAACCTCGAACGGAGTTAATTCAGTCGGAGTGGTAGGTTATTTTCCAATTGAACGACAGTCGGAAATAGGTACGCCACATCGACAAATTCCGACGGTATGCAGAGCCAACCAAAAGGAGCACCGGATTACCATCGCGACATCTTACGATTTCCGACGCCGCGCCGGAGAAAATCGGATACGCTGCACGGACCCTCGGTTCCCTCCCTTCTTCCTCTTCTATCTCGTTTCTCCCTTCCTGACACGGCGTCGCTCGTTCTTCTTATTATCTTGATACTCGTGATTTATTCGTCGGAACACCTCTTTGTCATCGGCGTTAATACTTGGTAGCCAACGGACCGGAGGATGAATCGTACAAAGACTACGAAGACCGAGCGAACCAGTAGCCCCTCCCTCCTCTTTAACCGACTCGGACAGGAACGACGGTGAAGCCAAAGTGGCGCAGGTCAGGCGCCATCTGCAATTCCAATTCTGATTCTGGTATCCACGCACAGTCCTCGTACGCCCCCACTTCCTCTGGTTGCTCTTGTCCTGCAGCCCTCGACACGAACCAGCAGGAGTAAATCGAGCCACCCAAACTATTCGTAATAAAGAAAGCAAGAACATCACTATTTACCATATAATAATTTCATCGTTTTACATCTTTGGCCATCTTCCAGCCATCTTTCAACCAAAGCATTCGTATTGGTAAACACAATTTCTTTCTTGTAATAATCGTTCGAACAATGCTTTCTTTACGTCAGAATTATTTCGAGAAACAAGTTCTTCACTATGGTTGACGTTCACGCCGATGGTTAACTTATTAAGAACGAGTTACATGATCAGGCAAGGTCCTGTGTTTCTTTTATTCCTAGTGTACCGTTTAAGGGGGTATTCTTATTTGCAGTACCAAGAACGTTAATGGTTATATTACTTTTTACTTTCAACACTGAAAGTTTTAGCAGCAGGACACAATGTTTCAAATGTAGATATACCCTCACAGGGCTTTGTATTTGTTTCAAACATCTGAGAAGAAAAAAGGGACAGATTTCTCATTTATTCGTTATTTTTATGTTTTCCGCAGAAAGTATCGAGAAATTCTTCAACAATCTCTTCGAATAAATTCTTTACCCTGAAAATCATTCGTGAATTGTGTATTCGCGTAAAACCCGTTGTTTTATTCTAATAGAAACTTTTGTATTGTGGTTTCATGGACGATAACGTATAGTTGTAGTTAACTTCTTGTTAAAGATGAAAATTTCAGTGTTATCGTCGCCTTCCAAGGTGTTTTGCTTTGGTAAATTAAACGATACATTTTTCCAAGTTTATTGCGCACTATCAAATAGCAACTTCTACCTTTATAATTTATTTTATTCCGAAATATTTTGATGAATAATTATTGTTATACCCGGATGTAAAAATTAACAAAAAGACTATTGTTAATTCGAGTAAACTTTGACCATATTTCCTTCCGTCAGTCATCACATTGGCGTAGCCTTCACGTGTAGATCACACGTGTATGATGCATCATGGTTAATCCCTAATTTACCCTCCAATGTTTAAATAGTGTCAGATAAAATGTGTAAAAATAGTTATCGAGAACTTTTGTAGGTACATACATCCTTGTAATAGAGTATAACGGTGTGTAATATTTATCTGATTGACAAGTCGTGAAAAAACGGTAAATATCTAAAGTCATGGTAAGCTGCACGGAGAAAACAAAAGAGAAACAGAATGTATACACACAAAGTAGACATCAGCAGAGACATTTTGGACGGGACACTACGCTTGTAATGGCGATTTCTTTTTCATAATCGATAGTTAGGTAACCATTATGGTTGTTTAATGGTTATTATAACAAATGATTAACCTAAAAAGATACATATTTATAATCAAAGAAATATAATGATTGTTCTTATTATTTCATTGTCATCGTGGGATTAATTGTTACCCAAAATTATTCGTTAAATACGTTTTGTATTTTGCGGTACATAAATAGTATGGTTTTTTGTGGCATATGCCCATTTTTCGTAGAGTACTCTCGCAATATGATAAAACAGCTCCATAGAACTTAGCTGTACGGCCTTTTGGTATTGACTGATCAGTAAATAAGTTAAGGATTTCTTGGTAATTTTTGTTTTATATTGACAGAGAGGCAATCTTTACGTGTTATACTAATCTAAAAAAATGTGTAAAAGCTAATACGAAATAATATAAAAGTTACACTATCTGGCTTTCTAGAACATTCTCTTTTTACAATCTACAATGCCATATCTTGCACAAGAGCTATATCTCAAATTTAAACGACGTCGACCAAAAAAGTATTAAAAATGGTGTTCTACTTTAATGTATCATGTTAGTTTTCGAAATGATCATAAATTTTTACGATGAAATTGTCGATAAAATTAAGCAAACAAATGAAAATTGTGTAATTCCCAGTTTGTCACGTTGTATGTAATGATAACTTAAATTATTTAAAAAGATTTTCTGAGTAATTTTTTTACGAAAGATAGGGAAGAAAATGTACACGAGCTACTTACATAACTTCATTTATAATTAACGATTTCTTAAAAAACTTCGTTGAGAAAAATTTAGTTCTACACAGTGTAAAAATCAAGTATCGCCGATATATAATTTCAATACTGCAATTACAAATATATTAATCTCAATTTTTTATATATTACCGTTTGTACATACATTATGCTTTGCGCTAGTTTTTACAACTACAAATTAAATGCAATCTCTTCCCCCACAACCAGTGATATATACTGCACTCCATAAGTATCTTTAATACTTTGATAGTACATCAGTAAAATCGCCTCCTAGTCACTTGAGCTGCTTCTTCAAGTTATCTGCCAATTTATCCAGAAATTCAAATGTTTCCAGGTAATCAGATCTAGTGACATTCTTCATGCCTTTAATACAAATTGCAAGATCCTTAGTCATGAAGCCCGATTCGATAGTATCGATGCAGACAGCCTCTAGAGCCTCTGCAAATTTTTTCAAAGATTCATTGTTATCCAATTTTGCCCGGTGAAGCAATCCTTTAGTCCATGCAAAGATCGAAGCAATTGGATTAGTCGAAGTCTCCTTTCCTTGCTGATATTGACGATAATGTCTGGTGACTGTACCATGGGCAGCTTCTGCTTCCACAGTACGTCCATCTGGACAAAGTAAGACTGAAGTCATCAGACCCAAAGATCCATATCCTTGTGCTACAGAGTCAGATTGGACATCTCCGTCATAGTTCTTACAAGACCACACAAAACCACCCTCTGATTTCATTGCATATGCTACCATATCATCGATTAAACGGTGCTCATACCAGAGTTTCTTAGCTTCAAATTGTGCTTTGTATTCTTTGTCATATATTTCCTGGAAAATATCTTTGAATCTACCATCATACTTCTTAAGAATCGTATTCTTTGTTGAAAGATACAAAGGATAGTTCCTTGACAAAGCATACTGTAAAGAGCTGTGAGCAAAAGCACGAATGCTCTCATCTGTATTATACTGAGCTTGTGCAATTCCAGGTCCCTTGAAAGAATGAACTGTGTGTTGAATTTTTTCTCCATTGTCCCCAGTCCATGTGATTTCAAGTTTGCCTGGTCCAGGTACTACGAAGTCTGTTGCTTTGTACTGATCAGCATGGGCATGTCTACCAATAATAATTGGTTGAGTCCAACTGGTTACCAGACGAGGAATATTTTTACAGATAATGGCCTCACGAAAAACTGTGCCACCTAGAATATTTCTAATAGTACCGTTAGGACTCTTCCACATTTCTTTTAAATTAAATTCTTCTACTCTCTTCTCATCAGGTGTAATAGTAGCACATTTGATTCCTACATTGTATTTCTTAATAGCTTCTGCACATTCTACAGTTACTTTGTCATCAGTTTTATCTCGATTCTCAATGCCTAAATCATAAGTATGCAATTCAATATCTAAGTAAGGTAAAATCAGTTTTTCTTTAATAGAATCCCAAATGATCCGGGTCATTTCATCTCCCAAGATGTCAACAACAGGTCCTGCCTAAAATAAATTATTATAAGAATTAAAGATAAAATAAATTTACATAAAATAAATCAACGAAGAATTCGTTTTGCATTATAATCAAGACATATACCGCCCATATATGCATTAGAGAAAGTGTAATGTCTATATGTAAATATGTTCACAAGTGTCAATGACATAGCAGTACTTGAAGCTTACCTTTATTTTTGCCATTGTTACGACGGAAGCACTGAATGTTCTCTCGAATGTTCTTAACGACTGATCACAAGAAAAACGAACTTTAAACGACAATAATCGGGACGAAGCAGCGCTGTTACTAGCCGATTCAATATTAGCTACACTCCTTATGAAATGCAAATTCGCTCGAACGAGACGGTGGGGCGAAAACATGGCAGCCTTAACGACGTTGCCTACTTTTCACTTTCCGCTGTTCTCGAAATCTACGTGCCGTAAGGTCACATAAAATCTTTATCTATTATCTTCTTAACGATGTTATTCAATTGCGTTCGAGATCACACTTATCTTACGTACTTATTGCTACTTCAAGATTTTCTTAAAACGTTCATTACATGTACAAAACTTTCACAATTTCTGTGAATGCCCCTTTTTAATTTCCTGTAAATTCCCAAACGATTGTATTTTGTATCAGCGATGAATACATATGCAAGATTAATCAAACTAGCAAATTAGAAAACTATAATATACTTCTTCTTATCTATTAAAAAAATTCCTTGTAATCTCTGGAGTTTGAACCGCGATGAGTCAACAGTATTTGCGTGCGAAAATTCAAATGTAACCGTCTAGCTTTGAAACAAGCATATTTTCGATACATGCTTGTGCATAAACGCGAACAAAATTTGTGTTTCTATTATCGAGTTCGCTAAAGTATCATGGATATATGAATTTTGAAATTATTTCCAACAAATGTGATCTTGTATCTGATTTTCAACTTTCCTTCCATCATTGCACGAAACGAAAATATATGAAACTAGATTAATGCAAGGTCACTGAAAAATTCGATTGGTTACTTTGAAAGCCATTTCCCAAAATCGTATTTTCAGATAGTTATCGACTTATTTCTTTTATATGGAGTGACATTAAAGTCTACTTTTGTGGTAACCTTACCCCAATGACCTTTTGAAGTAGCAACACCTTTATGTAAACATATTTTCAAGTATTTCATTCTAGCAGATGTTAACTTATTACCATTACATCTATTAAAGACAAACAAATTATTTATTTTTAATGTTAGTAGTCCAAATTATTAATGTTTATAGTTTGTAGTGGTATTGTGAATAATTATTTCATATTGAATGGATAATACAAGATAAACATTATTAGTATAGTAAACACTCTATGTCCTATGTGCATGGGAATCAATACGACAGTATATAATTGTGAGTGAACAATTATTGATTTTAGCGCTTTTAACTAGTATCATAAACAAATTATAATATAAGGATAACCTCACTGTGTTAATATTCAATTTTTTAGATGTCATGTATATTAGAAAAGTAAAAAAAACCATAGCGCCATCTACAGTAGAAGGCTCAAGCTACTAGACAAATTAGTTCACATTTTCGCCGTTAGATTGTGCCACGGACTAAATACATGGACATATTGCCACGAGATAAAAATAATTTCTTCTTTCTCGACGACGAACTTCAGAAGGGAGGTTTTTATAATGAATAATACTTCAGGAATGATACAATTTTTTCAATAACTATTTCCAAAAATGTGGTGCATTAAATTAACAAGTGAACTAAACTATTTACAATAAACATCACTTTATCACTTTCAGTGATACGAATTATGTAATCAAAGCCGTGGATCCCATCTCTTTGAACACAGGAAACGAAGAATAAATTTTTTACGCCTGTTAAAACAAATGCCGACAAAACAGAGGTGGTGCGGTTTTTATATTTGGCGCGGAATTTATGTACCTATTGAAAACTGAAAATTGACTTTTCAACGAGACGGAAACGGAAGTTGGTGGCGCCACATGTACAGTACTTGATAACGCCATCTAGGGACACGAAAGTCGTATTAATTAACCTGTAGCTCAGACGTTCACCGTAGATGGAGTGGCTAGTCCATGATCATTTTTCAGTACGTAAAAAATTAAATATTAGTTGAAAACGGTGACACGGATAATTGTTAATGCCCAATTCAACAATTTCGTGAATTTTTGTGTGTGAATATGTGAAGTGAAGTGGATAATTATAGTGACTATCGATGTAAGAAGAAAACAATTTACAATGACGTTTCGCTTTTAGCTGGCGCTTAATATCGAATTTCTATTGGCTGTTAAATTTTCGGTACCCAACGAATCGTTGTCAACCTATACAAGTAAATATAGCGGTATTCTTCAGGTTCATGAAAATCCGAAAAGTCGCCAATCTAACTCACGTTTAATTTCAAGCGTTTTCAAAACTTATCCAAAAACCAAGTCAAAATTAATCGTTAAATTTTCATTGGCAATTTCAACAAATAATTCGACATGTGATCGTAATATTCGGAGGGAAATAACTCGTTTGGTTCGGCCTCGCGATATAATGAAACTCGTAACAGGCATGCTATAATTGCAGCAGTGTTCGTGATTCATGCGCGTGGAACGTGTCGTTGTGACTGATACACAAATCGTCTTTCGAAAATCGTAACCGTGTAGGATGGAAGTTCGCGTTTTCACGATCTAAATCGCATTATGCCTCGAGAGACATGATGGAAACGCATCGACGATTACGTTAACGTGTTTAACGACCGCCAACATTTAAGTGTGTTACTTCTTTTCTTTCTCGGAATTGTGACATAGAATTCGTGTTTGTTGACAGGTGTGTGCGTATATCTTTAATTCCTTTCTGTTAATCTATCTAGTTTCGTCTTTGTTCGATCTTGCCACCCATTTGCCCTATTACCGTCACCTTTCAACCCTAAGCGACTTATCCTCCATTTTCATACGCCGGGTAAAAAAGAGTGTACCTCTTTACCCTCTACATTCCCCACCACCCTTTGCTCCCTTGGGTTAGTCTGTCTCTCTCCCTCCCCCTCTCTTTGTCTCTTTCTCCGAGCCTCTCATTTTCTCCCCCTCTTTCAGGACATCGTTGATTTTTCTTTCTTTTATTAAATGTGCACGATAACAAGACAATTTTTGGCTCCCTTGCACACGGTGAATGTGAATGAGTGATCGTTGGTTTCGCGCGGTGGCCGATCATCATCGGCTGATCTGCCTCTGAAAAGCGGATGAACGTGAATGCTTCCTACGTTTAACTGGTGTCAATGTGCACACAGTGTAACGTTATCGTAGCATCGGCCGTCAGCAAACATTTTTAAAAGGGATCCCCGTGTCCGGAAAGGAAAATTCGACATGATGAAGGGCAGCTCTATGCTCAAGAAAGAGAGCAAAATGCGCATACGTGCTTTCCCGGTGAGTACACTCTATTCCTTCGGGATTCACCTTCGTTTCACGTAGCCTTGTTTCCTTGATTCCATCCGCTACCGAAAATATATTTTCTTCTCATCTCCCTTCCCCGTTTCTCTCTTTCTTTTTCGTTACCCTGCTTCACGAATATGTTTTTTACTACGTCAATGTACGTATCCATACACGTACACACGCAGTTATTGTTATAACCTGTTCTTTTGAATTACACGTCAGGTTGGAAACAATGACCTGTTTATAAAGGAAAATGTCTGTTTACGTTAATGACTCGTGTGACTGTATTATTCTTGTTGTCTGTTTTTCTATTGTAAATTTGAATTTCATTCCATACTTGTACATACATATATGGGTACATGGTTGGTAGAGTATTTACAGTTAGTCCTTTTTGGGTTTGCTTTCAAACGTACGAGCAACGAGCATATTAGTTGGTATCTGTCTAATAAAAGACAGTTGCTATAGGGTCATGAAGGAGGAGTATTGAAACAGAAAAGTTGCAATGTTATCTTGTTCAATGGCCAATTTCAATTAATCCTGTCAGTTAAGTTTGGTACCTAACACACAATTAGCCACTAAATTCATAATTATGAAATTATTTCATTCAAGGCCTGTTGTCAACAATAATATAATATTACAAGATTAATTTCAAAGTTTTGAATGTTTAAAGTACCATAAAAAACCTTTGTGCATCCCTTTGTGGTCATGTTTTACATAACCGTACGTAAATTGTTAGAGCGTTCATTGTTTTCTTATAATATATATTATGAATTTGAGTTTCATAATTTCTATAACTTGATACAAACTGTTAATCTGTGAAACACTGGAACAATGTTAGGTAAATGAAAGTACTTAAATGTCTTCATTAATTTATTATACCTCTCTTAAATGAAAAGAAGCAACATAGAAACAAAGAAGAAAGGAATTATGCCAAACAATCAGACTCTGAAAAATATTAGGAAAGAAAGCAGCAGAATTAATGTGAATAGCTCTTATGATCTACATTACCTTCAGGGTTAACACTTATGTACAATATATCCCTTAGTAACTACAGATGTATACTCATAATAAAACTATCTATTTCCATGATATTTCTGATGATTTTGTTGTCAATTCGAGTTATAAAATTCATAGTTTTCCAAAGTTGAGTATTCTTGTTTGGAATAACAAAATTAACATTGTTTGCTTTTTTTTTTTTAGATGACTATGGATGAAAAGTATGTAGAAAGTATCTGGTCCCTATTAAAAAATGCGATTCAGGAGATTCAAAAGAAAAACAACTCTGGGCTCAGTTTTGAAGAACTTTATCGCAATGCTTATACTATGGTACTTCACAAATATGGGGACCGCTTATATACGGGTCTAAAGGAAGTAGTAACACATCACCTTGAAAACAAAGTACGGGAAGATGTATTAAGGTCTCTACATAATAATTTTCTTCAAACGTTAAATCAAGCTTGGAACGACCACCAAACATCAATGGTGATGATTAGAGATATTTTGATGTATATGGATAGAGTGTATGTGCAACAGAATGACGTAGATAATGTGTATAATTTGGGACTTATCATATTTAGAGATCAGGTAATTCGTTTGATTGAATAACAATAATGGATATAACAAGGATTCCTAGAACTATAAGCATTCATATACTTCATTATTTTCAGGTGGTCCGATATGGATGTGTTAGAGATCATTTAAGAGAAACTTTACTAGATATGGTAGGAAGAGAAAGGAGGGGAGAAGTAGTAGATCGCATCGCGATAAAAAATGCCTGCCAAATGTTAATGTTACTCGGCATTAACAGTCGTCAAGTTTACGAAGAAGATTTTGAAAGACCCTTTTTACAACAGAGTGCTGAATTTTATAGAGTAAGATATCTTTCCATGTATAATATAAAGAACTCTCTGTTCATCATTGTTAATGACCTTTGATCGTATATCCCCTTCAGATGGAATCTCAGAAATTCTTGGCAGAAAATAGTGCGTCGGTATATATAAAAAAAGTCGAGGCTAGAATCTGCGAAGAATCAGAAAGAGCGAAGCATTATTTAGACGAATCTACTGAGCCACGAATAGTAGAAGTTTTAGAAGAAGAATTAATTAAAATTCATATGAAGACTATTGTTGAGGTATACCACAGTGGATATAGTATTCTATGCATCCATCGTCGTTACTTTAAACTATGTTTATTAGATCTTTTTTATATTATCTATAGATGGAAAACAGTGGTGTAGTTCACATGCTTAAAAACCAAAAAACTGAAGATCTTGGTTGCATGTACAAATTAGTTTCCAGAGTTTCGGACGGGCTGCGTACAGTGTGCGATTGCGTTTCACAATTTCTCAAAGAGCAAGGACGTGCCATGGTTCAGGAAGAACACGAGTCGACAACGAACGCTGTTCTTTTCATTCAGAATTTGTTGGATTTGAAAGACCGTTTCGATCATTTCCTTCACTACTCGTTCAATAATGATAAGAACTATAAGCAAATGATTGCGTCCGACTTCGAATATTTCCTGAATTTAAATACAAAGAGTCCAGAGTACCTCTCACTCTTCATCGACGACAAGCTGAAGAAGGGTGTTAAAGGGGTTAGTTCTGTTTGAAATTTGACCAAATCTCCTCTAAACGATACACAGAACTGTTGTATATTTGGAAACGAAAGCTTTATCAGTTACAATAGTCGCGACACCCTTGACCCGAGCAATTAAGTGTGTTGTGCGTATATCAAATATATATTTCAGATGACAGAACAGGAAATTGAAGGTATTCTGGACAAAACTATGGTTCTATTCCGGTTTCTTCAAGAGAAAGACGTGTTTGAACGGTACTATAAGCAACACTTAGCGAAACGCCTTCTGTTAAATAAGTCTGTGTCCGATGACAGTGAAAAGAACATGATATCTAAACTTAAGGTAACAGCTTTTGTTATTGATAATTAATTGTCTGAAAGTTTGACCGATTAACATTAAACTGACTTAATCATTTACCATGTAGACTGAATGTGGATGCCAGTTCACGTCCAAATTAGAGGGAATGTTCAAAGACATAACAGTCAGTAACACTATTATGGATGAATTTAAGGATCACGTTCTTACATCTAACGTAAGTTTTTCTGTTTAACATGCGTATAATAGATAAGGATTGTTGACTAACACCCTCCATATTACAGACAAACTTACATGGTGTCGACATAAGTGTTAGGGTCTTGACGACCGGTTTCTGGCCAACGCAATCCGCAACTCCGAAATGCAGTATGCCGTCTGCACCGCGAGATGCTTTCGATGCCTTCCGACGTTTCTATCTCGCGAAACACAGTGGTCGACAGTTGACATTACAGCCACAATTAGGTCAGTCAAATTACGTGGTATCCTTGCTGTACATGCTGAATAACAGGATGTAACACATGACTTTGTTCTCATAGGATCAGCAGATTTGAATGCCATATTTCATGGGCCACGAAGAGAAGAGAGTAGTTGCGTTGGTCTCGACACTCCGTCGTCCTCCAGTTCGATTGGTAACGGAAGTGGTAGTGCTAACGGTAGTTTGTTAAGCCAGCGCAGCAGCAGTTGCGGAAACACGAGGAAACACATAATACAAGTGTCGACTTATCAAATGTGTGTCTTAATGCTCTTTAACAAAAGAGATAAATTAACATATGAGGTTAGTCGAAACGTAAAAAAAGAAGCTTACAATTAAATGATTCTCATTAATCTATGTCTTATTCGTTTGTCGATGCTTTATGGTAAAATATATGAAACGTTGCGTAGGAAATTCAAGGTGAAACCGATATTCCAGAAAGAGACTTGGTTAGAGCATTGCAGAGTCTCGCGATGGGTAAAGCTACGCAAAGAGTGTTACTGAAGCATCCTCGTACAAAGGAAATAGAACCTACGCATTATTTCTGCGTGAATGACAGTTTTACCAGTAAACTGCACAGGTACCTGAGAGCATATATAATAGTTACCAAATCAGAACGAAATTATTCTTCATCGTAATGAAATTGATCTGAAACTGTTCAATAATATATCCGTATATTCGTGTATGATTTTCTAAAGAGTGAAGATACAAACAGTGGCGGCGAAAGGTGAATCAGAACCAGAGAGAAGGGAGACACGTAACAAAGTCGATGAAGACAGGAAACATGAGATAGAAGCGGCTATCGTTCGTATTATGAAAGACCGGAAACGCATGCCTGTATGTAACAATAGCATTCACTTTAATTCACTATGTGGAGTGTATACTTGGAGGCAATGATAAAACGAGGTAGTAAACTCTGAGGAATTAGAATTTTCGAGCTCAGGACCTACAAATATTCTCCAATGTTTGCACTCTCGGTGTTTATTTATTTGCAACATTATTGCCTTTAATATATCTGCACTCTTTTGTGATTATATACTTGTACAATTAAGTTATCACATTTTTTGTTGTTTTAGCATAACATACTTGTAACAGAAGTAACAGAGCAACTAAGAGGACGATTCTTGCCTTCGCCCGTAATTATTAAAAAACGTATAGAAGGTTTAATTGAACGTGAATATTTGGCACGCACGCCAGAAGATAGGTACGTGTTAACTGTTACTTTAAATAATATTTCTAATTGGAATTATTGTAATACGAGGTAACATGAATTTCAATTACAGAAAGGTATATACGTACGTTGCTTAATGCTCGAACTCAAATGTTGGATCTGTACAAACATGTAAGTAATTTGTAATAATACATATTTCTATACACGTATTATCAATATCTCATTATATAATGTCGATTACTTTGTATCGTTGCATCATCAGTTTTTCATTGATTCAAAGAACTTGTCGCCTTTATTATCATTTTATGAGTATGGATTAAGATCGTCGGCAGTTGAGGCATTCCACATCAATCGGACGTATACAACTTGGAATAATTGTCAATCCAACATTCCATTTACACTCGATAAACTTTTTATAGTAATAAACTTCTATATCTTATATTTTAGGTTTTGATAAAGTATCGCTTTGTTTCGTCTCGAAGTAAAAATTGTTACGTCTATCAAATTTCTTGCTTACAATTAATTGTATAAGGAATTCAGTTCAGAACCTAAAGTTTAGAATAGGAAATTCGCACGGAAGTAAAGATTGACAATGACATAAGAACGACTCGGTGTTTCATTGATGTCGATTGCCTCGAAATTTCAAAAGAACTGTTTAGTCATGTTTCATAATTGACCAGTTTGGTGGAAAAGGTTGACGTGTGTATTCGGGAGACCTAGACTTTATACTCTTACGATTAGAACAGAGGTTTAACGAATACGTTTTTGTAACATTCATGGGGCGCGCGCACCCACCCCCGCCCTTTTCCCCGATAGTCTAATTTCATTTTATTGTATACCAGTTCTAAGCAGTTAAATTAACGGAGACTCGTGGACATACCAACTATAATAAAGTACATTGCGATTTTTAAATTCAATAGCGTTTAATTAAAACAGATGTTTCTTAATGATAAATGAGAACTATTAGCTACGATTGCTGGACATGATTTACGCATCGGTCTTGTTACGATTAAGGAGTTTTTCTACACTTGTAAAACTGTGATTGTCTATGGTCGTATACAAACTACTCTGGATATACCATGAACGTCGCTAAAATATTGATGTTACACCATGATTTTATTTATATTTGTGGTTATCTATAATGTGTGTACATAAGCAGTGTGAATGTATATCTAAGAATATATTTGCCTCATTTTCAATCTTTGATTACTTTATTTCAAACATTCTCAATTGTGCGCCCTTTCAATTTTGTTCATCTCTATATAAGAATCTAACTCAATGGAATTTCGTTTACCTTTAGCAATTTGATTATATGAATCATGATAAATAAACAGTACTAATCGAAAAAAAGCTGTTTGTGCATTCTTCGTAACTTCCACCTCTTCCACCTAGCTCATCAATTATTTTTTTTTGCTGTCCCGCTGTTGAATCAATTGTTTGTTAAATCGCAGAATATTTATTGTAGTATGCCAAAAGTGGAATCTACGAATCTGTAACAGATGCGGAGTTTATTGGTGGATTAAAAAAAATGAAAGAGAAATCAGTATAAAGATGAAGAACTTAATAAAGGAATAAAAAATGTTATAATTGAAAACCATACTAATAATATTAATCACGAATGATGATGATCACATGAAACGCATCGTATTTTTCATTTATATTTATCAATATTGACTTTTAATATTAAAATGGGAAGGTTTTACTCTTCCTTACAGAAATTAAATGAAAAATAGAACCTTGTAAAAGCAGTTCTTAGTTGAACACGTTTGAAATACAGAATACCATGTTAATTCTGCCTGATCCTTTCCTGTTCCATTTTAGAATGATTATTTTGTATAAAACATATTTTTTTACTATATATACATACCAGCACTTTTTATTAACAGAGTTTGAATGTAAATTTAATAATTTCATTACAGGACTAAATTAAAAAAAAAGAATATTTATGTGTTTACTATTTCAGACCATTAATTTACTATTAATTATAAATGGAAAAATGTGCGTGTTATTGTTCAGATAGTAACGAATTCAGTCGGTGTCAAAATAATGGAAATATTACTTGAAGTTCTTAATATTTAATGTATTAACATTACATCAAAATTAATGAATTACATGTACACAAAGTAGTACCATTAACTGTAATTACATAGGAGATTACCGAGTTACAAATTAACGTTTTACGCTAAAAGATAGAATTAAATTTTCAAAACAACGCTAAAGAGTTATACGATCGCCAATGTTAGACATCGAAATGCGTTTACAGTGTCAGCATAAATCTTCAATAATAATACAAATTTATGTACATTCACGACGATTGTTTTACGTTCACAGACTCAATTGAGACAAGCTCAAAGTTGTCTGTAAATTGGAAAGTTAAAGTTACGGTAATATAGTACGTTGACAGTAAATGCATCGTTCGAAAACGTTAAGTCCGCGAACAATAAATTCTAAATCGTTTTAACGAAAACTGAAACAAAAGGTAAACATTCTTCAAGCCGTTTAAAAATCGTAGGAAACGCGGTCACGTAACGATTTCCAATACACTTTGTATACAATATCATACAGTTAGTTTATTATAATTTACTTTGCTCTGAAAAGTTCGTTAATCCATTTTATAAACATTACAATTTCCATATATCCGTATCATAGTCGGTAATCAACCGATACTGTACACATGTATTCTCAACTTGTTTTTCATGTAACAGATAAGTCTATATTGGCTTGAATTAAATTAGCTGACGGTCGGCAGGCATCGTGGTGAGTACGTCTAGTCATTCGTGGTTATTCGTTAGAAGAGGACGACTCCCGCCTTTTTTCTGCATGCTTCTTTGTGAATTCCTCTGCATTTTTTAAAAACTTTTTCCTATCCTTCAGAAACTCTTCTGCAAGATCTGCCCTCAACGGATGTTCTGGTTCTGGATCGTTCACTAATGCTATCAAAGCTTGTACAACTGTAAACAAAAATCTAGCAGTTTGTCCATATTTCTTTGCTCTGGCCATAGTGCAAACTTAAAAATACAATTTTACCTTGGTCTGTCCTTGTAGCTGGTTTCCAATTTTCGCCACTTATAATCGGTAAGCAGACTTGCCCCTTTTCATCTACATTAGGATGATATATTTTTGTTTTGAAATTTATTCTCGGAGGCTTAAAAGGATACTCTGCGGGAAAATTGATTTCAATGCGAAATGCTCCTTTATTGTATGGAGGATTATCCTAAAACATTTGAGACCGCTACAATCTCCTAATCATTTTTCACAGGAAGTTTATACTAAATATATTGACAATTTGTGCCAAGATGTACTATCAACGGTCCAGAGTTACTTCTACAAGAGTTTTTAATACTTTCAAAATGAAAATAGTATGATACGACATTCTACTATGGAATACAAATAACTGTAGTTGTCTGTCCTCGCAGACATATCGCGTGATCATAAGTTAATCGAGCAGCGGCACTAATTGATACCACGGCACACAGGTCTGTGTTCTGCATTCTGTTGTAGAGTTCTGTACAATAAATGAACGACGTTTTATGACTAACGGTATTTTGTTTACAAGTAGAAAACCTACAAATATTAATTAGTGTTTAGAAAATGTTTGAAAAATATTTGGAATTTTTGTTTTAGTAATGTTGTATAATATATTAAAGGGCCGTTCTTCGTACAGCTTTGACCGAGGATTCGGATCATTATGTCCTCATATTTCTGACAATTCGCGTATCACGACACACGAAACGTGTTAACTGTACCACCCCCGACTAATTTTACAACCACGTTATATCTCTGTGACGACTGTACGAGCAAGATAAAGTTAGGTTATGCTTCCAGACTCGAATGATTACTCTGAAACGTACCGGTAGTATGAGTCCCTGCCAAGTGAGAATATTCGATTCATCTACTTGGATATTTGTAAAATTTTTCATAGCCGATGCCCTTAAGTCACCGAGTTCCTGGAATGAAAAAAAATGCGATAATCATGCGAATGTGGCGTGAAAAAAACTGAACATTAACCGGGAACAGTTTCGAACGTAATAACAGAACATTCGTCGATAATTTCGGAAGAAAGATGAGTACCTACGATACGAACTGAAATCGTAAAACGTTCATACATAAATAGTAGCAAATATTAACATTGTAGGATCCGAATCGAAAAGCTCGGTGTCATGGGATAGTAGTGATTCCATGAAAATTCGGTTAATCGGTCTACACAGACAAACATGCCATAACTTCGGAGGACACTCTAGAACATTTTCCGTGCATTTTATTCTACACGCAACCGCTCCAATTGACTGAAATTTCGAATTACCTTTTGCAATCTTCTCGTAGCTGCCATTTTGAAAATAAATTCCACTAAAAAACTAGCAAAACTTGTCAAGCACCTCACCGATGACTTCACAACTATACGTGATTCTGCCCTCGAAAATTCCCCAGCGTATCTGGATGGAAAATGTTTCAAGCAGAATTCTCCGCGAAATTTTCGCTAATCACATATCCTTTTCGCGACGACCATTCGCATCCATGCGAGTGTAGATATAAATTTACAGTTGATTATGTGAATATGAATTGCTATCCGTTTATCCGTTTTGTTGTGAGCGAGAAAGCGCGCGTGCGCGTGCAACTCACACTGCTCTGTATATGCACAGATTAAAGTTTCATCAAAAGTGTAAGAAACACGAACCATAAGTGTTCAATTAGAAATTTAGATTTACAATTGTTCAACTGTTTTGAGCGTTTCGAAGTAAAACTTTCGTACTTCAAAATTGTTAGGGAAATAGTGGATTTATAGCTCATTTCGCGTCAAATTACGTAAAGGATCGTCATTAATAAATAGATTACTTAGCTTCATTACAATTGTACTCAGTATCGTAACATTTTATGTATTTTATTAGTTTATAAAGAATACTTATAACAGAAAACTACAATTCGCATTAGAGCCAAACAAGGCTGGCAATTGTACAACAATAATTATGAATACCTAAGCTACCTTCATATGGTATATAAAGTAGTACAGGACGAACTGCAACAGTATATGAAAACCTTACCCTAATTTGTTCAGCTGTCAATTTCTCGCGGTTAATGAATGTAAGAAAGCATTAATTTTCAGTGATAACAGCTAGACGATTGTATAAGAAAATAAAAATTTGCGACCATGTCGACGGATAATATTAATTTACCAAAAGCTCCAAAGGATCTATGTTTTACAGAGTTAGATTTCATCCAGGTGAGTCGCTATTGTTGTAAGTATTATGTAGTTGACGATTTCTTAAATTCGCTATTCTACAATTTTAGGAAAACTTCAATGTCGATACATTCCTTCAAGAACACAAAAAGAATTCAAAATTGGAAACAATGCGCGACGATCTTGGCATATATTTGAAATTATTGCGATCCGCTATGATCGATTTAATTAATAGGGATTACATTGATTTTGTACATTTATCAAGTAATTTAATCGGCCTAGATAAAGCCATCAACGATCTGCAAGCACCACTAGGTCAATTAAGAGAAGAAGTGATGGTAAAACAAAAAACCATTTTAATTGTCAAATATTTCTATCTATTCTATTGATACTAATTATTGCTTTTTGGAACAGCAAGTGCAGCAGACGTTGGACAATGAGATTAGTGTAATTTCTGCTAATATTAATGAAAATAAGATGATCAAAGAATACAAGCAGAGTCTGTTTAGTTTACAACACATTTGTAAATCGTTAAAGAAGCTCTCATCTATATTGTCATTGAATACATTCTTAGAAAGTCCTGCTAAAATAGACATTTTAGAGCAAGCTGCAACAGAGTTCAGTCAATTACAATTTCACGTATCCAGGTGTAAACTAGATATTATCAAAGATAAACAAAAGGTATGCGTTTAACAAATAAATTCAGAGTGTAGTCATTTTCTTTTATTAATTGAAGAGGAATAAATGTCTCTAGGAAAGTGAACAACTGGAACAATCTTACATGACTCATCTCAATGAGTTTTTCTTAGCATGCGTTCAAGAAAAAAATTCTGTCCTATTAATTCGTTGCTTAAGAATACATGTCATGCTTGACAAAGTAAAGGATGCAGAGAATTTAGTGAAGAAAGAAGTTGTTAGTCCATTGGTTGATAGTGTGGTCAGTATGGAAAATTTGCAAGCAGACTCACTGGGCTTACAAAGTATATACAATAGACTGTTGAACATTTTGAGTGTAGAACTAAAGCAACTTTTGGATATTACACTGCACCCTGATAGGTATGCATTGCATATTTCTTTGGGGAGATGTTGTATTTCTTTCTAAAGGTATCTTTTAATCATTATTTCAGATGTTCTGTGAAAGGCTTCAATTTCCTTGTAAATAGTTTTTGGATCGACGTTGAAGAGAAAATTGAACAACACATAAAATGTATTTTTGCTCCAGGAGATCCCGTACTATTTCACTCTGTAAGTGCATCTATGACGTAAGTTTCCCATTTTCGCGATAACATGCTATGTTTTAATATTTCACAATTCTAGAGATATGTGGCAACATTAGAATTTCTAGAGAAATTGGAAGTTGAATGCGTTACGTCCGATTCCTTAGTCGCATTAAAGGGAAATGCACAGTATAAGGACTTCCTGAGGAAATGGAGTTTGCCAGTATACTTTCAAATACGATTTCAAGAAATAGCCAGTACTGTTGAAACTGTTTTATCAGAGTCCATATCACCGGCATCTGTAAAAGGAACTTTAGAGATTCTTACACAAAATGAATTTTCCTTGCATGCAACACGCATTGTGTGGGAAAGTTTACAAAGAATTTGGGCTAATGATGTGTACCTTTATCAGCTGTTTCATAGGTAAATTATAAAATTCATCGAGAAAACTTATTGCAAGAATTCTAATAATAACTTTGTGGTTTCTTGTGTTTAGATTCTGGAAATTCAGTTTACAGATCTGTGCCAGATACCAAACATGGTCCCTGGCAGCACTTAAAGAAGTATGATATTCAGTCGTTTCTTAAATAATCTAATACATTTAAGTGGGTGACACTAAAATTCACCTTTGATATATAGGTATGGCCTATAGAAAATGAAGTAGAAACCCTAAGCAAAGCAAAGGATTCCACGAAACTCAATTTCCTAATATGTTTGTATAAGGACCTAGAGAAACTTATAAAAATACTTCCATCTCTTCTAGACATAGTCCAGTCGCAACTTAAACAGCACACTCCAACAGTATTAAAATTATTAGAAGGTAATGATATTAAACGTTGATACCATTATTATTTAAGTATATTCTTGTTATTCTATAGATTCTCTCAACGAAGCTACAAAGAATTTAGAAACCGTCTTGTCAAAAGTCACAGAACAAATTGTGTTCGAACTTTTGAAACACTGTGTAACACATTTAAAGCAAGTTAGCGATATACCACGGTTGTTTAGACGAACGAAAAGGGATGTGCCAACGAAACCGTGCGCTTATGTAAAGAATGCACTTACATTTCTTATAAATTTCCATGCGGATTACAAGAGATTGATCCCAGATAATGTTAATTACTGGTTGGAATTGACACTTTCATCGCTGACTGAATAGTAAATATTGAGTATTATGGCATGTATTAACACATTCGGGACGACGTATAGTACAAGTCTGTCCGCAGAAACCGACAATGTTTACGTACAGTCTGTACGTGACTCACGTGTTAAGTCATCGGCTACATGTATGAATAGTGCATGACTTACACAATGGGGTCATCGATCTCGAATGTGTTTACCTTGAACACTAGTTTGTAATAAATTTATTTCTGTAGTTATTTGGCTTCGGTAACGGACGTTTTAACGTCGGTACAGAAGACAGAGGAAAGTCTTAGAAGGTTGAAAAAAATACGCGATAAATCTATGGGTTCTCTTTCGTCTGAAAGTCAAGGAATTAGCGATGATGAAAAAATACGTATTCAACTGCAAGTTGATGTACGAGCCTATACTAATATGGTAAGATTGAGTACGAAGATCTAGCTTTCGTATATTTATTTTCTAGCTTTCGTATTGCTTATATTTTAGATCACTGACATCGAGATTGTAACTGCAAACGTTCGCCACGTGGAAGAATTATTACATGCCGTTGAAACAGCAATAAAGAGATAATAGTTTTTTGCATTTGTTTATGTTGCATTCCTTAAAGGATACCATAAGTTTTTATCATTCTCTTTAACACTATTTGTTTAATATTACCGACTGTACATAATGTTTAATGTACATATTTTGTCTCTAATGTTCATAATACGACATTAGCATATTGTTGACCAGTTTTGTTATTATTCAGTCTCTTTTGCATGCTTTTATGCAATTTCAAAATAAAAAAGAAAAATAACCTAGTTCAAATTTACTTAACAGATATTTAATATGTTATTTACATTATATTATACAAGCCGTACTTATACTCTATTCTCTTCGGAATACAATTTATTTGATTGTTTTATAATAAGTTCTGATCCCAGAAATCACTGTGCGGTAATTCGATGGTGATAATGGCATCTTCATGGGGATAAGATGGGTGCCACCAATCTAGAATTTGACAGCTAACAACTTCATTTAAAACCACAACTTGGTTCGTGAATGTATTCGGAATATTCGATGTTCCGAATCCCAACTGTAATCGGTGCTCTTTGAAACCTGGCATCAAAGTCATCGACACTGACTGCAGAATTAACCCGATTACTGGTGGTAACATACTATACTTTAAACAGGCTACCTATAAATTGAAAAAAGAAAGATGAAAGTATACGTGTCTCCCTACAGCGATCGTGTACTATATTCAACTGGTTTATATAATTGTAAGTACCCTAAGTACTTTACAGCCCTCTTCCGGATTCACAGCTACGTCTTCCAACATTTCAAGAAAGTCTGTCTTTTTGCCGTTTGTTTTAGGTTTCCCTTGTATCGAATGCTTAGTAAATTTTAATATTTCTTTCAATTTGAAATAAAAGTACCACCGTGATTTTCCTTTCTTAAAAAGATCATCAAGTTAAAACCACTATTATAACTATACCGTTATATTAAGGAGTACTAACGAAGGTTTATACACTCGTGGAACAGTGTGCTTTATACATACCCACTCATGTTCGCTTTTATACTCACTTTATGCCACATAAGACAACATCTTCTTTTCACGAGAGAATGAGGCTCATCCTGTTGCAAATAAGATAGATCATTGAGTTCTCTCTTCAATGCAAAATAAGTGTAATGCAATGTCCTAATCACGCACGCACGCAACCCGTGCATGCGAACCATACATTGTGGTTGAAGACGTTCCGGTAAACCAGCTACAGGCCTGTAGTAACTGTAATTACGATTCGTTTAATATTATTCTGTTAATCTAATGTACAATGATCTGTTATTTATGCAACAAAACACTTACGACTTGTACAAATGAATCCAAAATTTGCCTGTTGTGGTCACATGATAAGAACTTCTACATATTCGGGCAAATTTTCCTATAGCCTCGGGACAAATATACTCAGATAGAATGAACCATATGTCCAATGGATAATCTATACCTAACAAATAATTCAGAAGTACAATGGTTTATCTAGTTACAAGTTTTTACTTTTCTTTCATTTATGTTATACCTTCTTCCTCTTCTATGTTCATTTCAGATACTATTGTTTTCTTGTTTCTTCTCTGATTGGTTGATGTACCTACACAGACACGTAGTTTAATATAGTAGAGAACAGAGATAAATAAAAAACTAAATGCATTGTTAAAACAAATTACTTTTACTGTTCTTCTTGGACTTATCTGCATCCAATGACTCTGATACATTTGTTTTCTCCATCTCATTCCACGTGTCTTCCTGTATTGTTGCTTTCTGTTTCACTGTAAAACATGTAAAATATATAGCGGAAATAATTGAGTTGAATGAATTAACTTGTTATAAATCTGGAAAATTCGTGGCATTGTTTTAAAGGGAAAAAAAAATATAACCTTCCGATGACACGTTAATCGCAGCCTTTTTAAATCTTGCGTGGTTCCGCGACGAATTGGCGAAATCGTCGATGGTCACATCTGTGGACACAAAAGGGTCATTGAGTCCATGAATATTTTGTTACGAACGGAGACATTATAATTATACAAATATAACAAATAACCTCGAATCAGATTTTCACTCCCATTCTCAGTAACTGACTTTCTGTTGGATTTTTTCCTCAGTATAGGCATACCGTCGCGCGCTACGTGATCTATATCTAAGAATTAATCAAGTACCGGTTCTTAATAAAAAAAAACAACGTAAAATTAGAACTATTTATTTACATTAGTGACAGATGACACTGTGAGCACCCATTATACTTCTTACAAAGTCGATAAGGAAAATGCATTCGTCAATGCTTAAAGGTATACACATCGCGTTCGATTCGAATTTCACATTTTATCTGACCGCATTTTATTAGTTTAAGAGAATATTTATGGGTTATTATAAACCTTTGAAAAATCATGTAAACTTGTAATGATTCAGGTGTAGTCTTTCGCGCTGATGAAACACGACGATTTCTCAAACATTGTAGTCAAGTAACAGGGTACACGTGACGGAGTCGGTAGGTTAATGTAAATTTGGTATTTTTTTAAATTGAATTACTGTTATTATTAAGGGTTACACGTTATATTATAATAATAAAGTTATACTTCGGAAATTAATTGAACAAAGACTAAGTATTCCTGTATTAGAATGTTACAGAACTCTCCTCCAAAATGAATAATTCCATGGAAGAAGAAAAACGAGTATTTACATTCATGCAGCAACAGAATTGTTGCTTAAGGTGTTGTTTTCGTTTCATCGGTTCGAAAATGTCAGAATGCTTCCATAATCCTGTTACATTTGCAAGAAATGTATGTTACATTTATAGTAGCTTTCTGTCATACCTATAATTTATTACTACCCTGTAGATTTGACCCAGTTATATTCCTTGTTTTCAAAGATTAATCAATGCAATTTGAATTTATATAAACATTCGCAGTCTATTTATTATAATATTTTCTACAGATGGGCTACATTAAAAAAGATGAGTCTTTTGTTGAAAAAGTACCCTGCATGGCTTGCCTAGGAATTCTTCAGGATCAGATGCTAGAATCGGTTACTCAGGAAGTATGTTAAAATATTTCATCTCAAGCAAATAAACTCCATATATATTTGACATAATTTTATGAACAGATTCAGGTTGAAGTACAAAAGCAGAATTATGACAGTGAAACGTTTCTGTGCGCATTAGTTGTACCTACATGTGTGAATCTCAGGGAACGTATATTGTATGTACAGTGTGGCCTTGAACTTGATCTTTCAAAGGATACATTGCTTTGCCTTAAGGTCAAATTGCAGAAAGTAAAAGACATTTGGAAGTCCGTGGTTACTTCTAGATTAGAGCAAGCTATCTGTAAACAAGTAGATTCAATAACTCCATCAGCTTTCCTTATTGAGATTATTTTGACATACAAACATAATGACAAAGAATACGAAGCCTTGTAAGTTAACAAACAGACATTCTCTCTTTAATTGATATGTACATATAGTTCAATAATATTCTGCTTTTTTGTTATAGAGAAAATTTTTGTGTAAAAACAAACAATGTAGGAAACAAACGAAAAAGAAAAAACAATGATAATAGATTTAGTAGAAAAAGTATAGACACTTTAATGGCCAGAATAACAGATGAAGAATTTAACCAATTCTTAAAGACGTTCTCACTCGATGTGTCTACAAATATTGATGTGGGAAACATTGTGTGTTCACATTCTAGTATTTTTATAGGAGGTAATGTATGGTATTGACAACATAAAAAAAAGCCATATAAATTATGCATTATCTGTATTACAATTACAGGTCGATACAATAAGTTGTCTAGAGAACTCAGTCAAACACCATGGTTTATAAATGGTGAAAAAAAGATGGCTACATCTGTTCAAGATCTTCTATGTAATCCTATTGCTGATGTTGTACGAGCTCAATGTATGTCATTTTGATACGATCTCCAATTGTTTTTGTATGTATGTATGTGCATCCAGTCTTAGTGTTTTTATATATGTGCAGCCATTAAATTTTTATCATCCGGAAGAGAGGATGTGGACGTTAGAAACATTTACTCGGGAAGACCGTTTGCGGTTGAGTTAATCAATCCACGAATGACTAAAATAACAGATGTGTTATTGACAACCCTAGTCCAAGAAATCAATCAGTCTTCGAAACAAGTACGAATCACGTCAAGTTTGAAAGTTTTGTCGAAACTCGATTTGAAAAAGCTGAAGGAGGGTGAAAATGTTAAAACTAAAATTTATCGAGCGCTTTGTGTTTGTCGTACTATGCCTGAGAATATGTTGCCTTTCGAACAATTGAACAATCTGAAAAGGGTGGAAATTATCCAAAAAACACCAGTTCGAGTGTTACACAGACGGCCTTTGAGTCCCAGGACACGTTTAATATACGAAATGAGAGCTCGCGGGGTGAAGCCTCAAGAACTGAAAGCATTATTGAATACCGCGCGTGAAAATGCCAGTATGTTTTTCGTATTGGATATTAAAACCCAAGCCGGGACATATGTGAAAGAATTTGTACACGGTGATTTCGGACGCACCAAACCTAGTTTGTGCGATATCCTTAAAGCCGAAGTCGATATAGTCGCACTAGATGTAACAGGTATCAACTTAGAATGGCCTTAAAAAGCTTTGAATATTATTTTTTTATGTAATTGTATCTCTGTACTGAGTAAAGTTGAAACTAAGTAGACTATTTAAAAAAAATATAATTAAAACATTTAATTAATCATAACAAGCAAAAGTGTGAACTCCTTTGTCTCAATCTTCTTTTCATTCTAATTGTGTGCTTTATACATAAACAAGATTAAAAACTGATTACACGTATACAATGTCAAATGTAGTTATAAAATTATTCGATGAAGTAAGACTAAATGCTTTACATCAATGTGCATCCTTATATTTTAGAATCCAAAAATGTTTTTTAACAGCAGCCATAGAAATTCTTTCCGTGCTTTTCCGTTTGATTAACTGCAAACAAAACGTAAACTATAGTTCGTACGAACGGGAGAATGTGTTACAGTTAGAAGGAACATAAAAATTACCTTTGATATTAGATCTTTAGCACCAGGCGTAACTTGTACCGGCCACTGTATATTTAATGTCTTTATTTTAACATAAGTTTCCTGTTGGGAATCACTAAGAAAAGGTGGTCTACCAACTAGAAATTCATAGCAGAGAATACCCAAACACCAGTGATCAACATATATGTCGTACGTTTGTCCTGTTACCATTTCTGGTGGTAAATAATCCAATGTTCCACATAATGTGTTTCTCCTATAATCATCAATTCTCATAGTAGTATGTTTTCTATACTAGTAACTCCTTCTTTACACTAAATATACTCACTTAGATGATGGAGCATGAACAGACCATCCAAAGTCTGCTAATTTTATGTCACCGTCGTATGTGAGCAACAAATTTTCTGGTTTTATATCTCTGTGAATCACATTGTTCTTATGGCAGTATTCCAAAGCATCTGCAACTTGATAACTATATTTTGCAGATCTAAAAAACGATAGGAGGTTGATTAAAAACTAGGAAAATCATAGAAGTATACATTTTAGAATCCTTTAGAAGTACATACAAATGTTCATTGAATCTTTCATTAGGTTGACGTTTCAGTTCTTTGTATAGTTCTCCTCTAGCTGCAAATTCTAGTGCAAGATAAATGCGTTTATGGTCATGAAAGTAAGTCAACATTTGAAGAATATGAGGATGCCTGAAAGCAATTCATTCTAATATGTTCAAATTTAAAAGACCATAATCACAAATAGTTGTAGTTACCTTAAATGTGTTTGAATTTCAATTTCACGCATAACTTGCTTCTCCACACGACCCTTCATTAATTCAACTTTGTACAAGGTCTTCAAAGCAACCATATAATGTGTACTTTTCTCTCTAGCCAAATAAACACGGCCAAACTTACCACGACCTAATGGGGAACCAATTTCAAAATCATCTAAACTCCATTGATACCTACAATGTGAAGTTATTTCTTTTAAGATATTTACACCTTTATATATGAACAATAAGCACATAAGATTTGTAGTCTAACAAGGACCAAAAAAATAGGTTTAACTTACCTTGAACCTCTACCTTCAACATGCTCTTGCATCTTGTACAAAGTATCATGAATAATGTCATTATACTCGGACGGAACATTGGAATGAAGCTTAAATGCTTCTAAATGAGTCATTATTGGTTATACCCTAAAACATGTTCTTTTTAGTTATGCCTGCTACTTTACACAAATAACACACGGATAATTTATTATATAAAAGAAAATTTTCAAAACATTTATACGCTATTGCTACATGACATTTCTGGCTCAAATAAATGCTTCACAACACTTCTCTCTCCTTTAATACTATATTTTACATACCTTAAAATACCTCTTTACAATAGTTTGTGCCGCGTGCTTAATAAATTATAAATAAACCAATACGTTGTTATTCACGACTCACGAGACTTTTACTTCCTTTTCAATACCTTTACTTCCCTCGTTTTTAACTGACATGTTTGATTCAAACCAAATCGGTTGGAGCGCCATCTGCAAATTGTAATGTTGCAACATAGACATCATAGCATATATAATAGAGTGCGCGGTCTTAAGGTAGGGATAAGGTTGGCAGTAGAGTGAGAGGATAATACATGGAGTAACAGACTTTTCTTTCTAATGGGGGATTCTTCTACGGTTTTGTGGAGGCATTACATGTGTCCAGCATAGGGATGAATCGATACAAGTAAATATGAGTACATTACTCGATACTTTTGTTTCGATACCGAGGACATTTGGTATCGATAGCTGTGGTTGCGATACCAAGTAGGTATCGAACAAAAGTACTCGTATCTAGGGTTGAATCGATACCACCAAGGTATCGATACTTTTACTCATAACTACTTTTGTATGAAGGTATCGATACGTACTCGGTATCGAAACAAAAATTACATTTTCTACATCTCACAAACATGGGGTCTTTTACACGTACTTCGGGAGTTCTATGACCTCACTCGCCAAGCTACATCTCACAAACATGGCGTCTCTTACGTACGCTCCTGGGGTTCTAGGACCCCCTTAACAAGCTACTACCACCGACTCGGTATCGGTGCTCTCCGTCGGTGTCGACGTGTACCGAACGATGCCGAAGATGGTCGCAGAGGGCGAACGGGAGAGAGCGAGAGCGGTAGAACGTGCCGCGGTATCGGTGCTCTCCGTCGGTCCAACGCGATAGTGAGTTGCGTCACCCAGTTTATTGACTTAGCCGTGTACGCCGTGTACCAAGGTCGTACCAGCCCGTGCAGGTCTGTGCTTGCTTCCTCACTTTGTCGTGAACCGTCGCGGAGGGTGGTCGCGCGTCTCATACTCGTCCTTTCTCTTGTTACTAACCCATTGTTTGTTGCAGGCATTCGACAACCATCAATTTATTTACTGTGCATATTGTTGTGTCCCCTCTCTTGTTACTAATCCCTTATATGTTACAGATGTTCGAGAACCATTGGCTTCGATATTTATCTTCTTATGTACTGTGATTCATTTA